ATAGTCATATCTTTCATGAACAAATGTTTGAAAATTAAAAACAGATCGATCGGAGGACTTGTTTGTTTGAAGAGAAAATCTCCACGCTTTCGATATTTTGGTCATAAAGGTGTAAAATAATCATGGTCACGGGGTTGGTTGATTACACAGAAAATATGAAAAGAGTGGGTTGCGATTCCGCGGGCCTCTGCCAATGGGTGCCAAACGAGGCTGGGTTTCTATGATTATATCATATTTCATTCAAATATGATTGCATCATGAGTCGAACAAATTGTTGTTTTTCATGTGAAATTAAAAAGAATCCATAGTTTGTTAACATATGGTTACAGCCGGCCAGATTTTCTCTGTGAAAGGGCTATACTGTACAACATTTGTAAAAATCCACAGAAAAATGCTAAGAACGAGAAAAGGAATCACCAGCACTAACGGTTTATTCAATTCCTGCCAGGAAAAGACAAATTAAATGTCTAACGACCTCTTAATAGCCGCACGTTCTATTTACTTTGTGGATGCTAATGTGTGAGTGCAATCGTTCGAAAACATCCGGTGGATGGAACTTAATCATCATCTGCCATACAATGGTTGGACATTTTGTACCTCTGATGGCTTTTTGAAAAACACAGCCAACTGCAGAGGATATCCAGCTAACAACAAGACAAAAGACCCCCTGTGTTAACTGTAATATTGCTTGGAAATGAGAGTTATGTCATTAATTTGGATGATCATCAAAAAGTTCCTAGACCTCTATTGTCCAGATGACTTCTATTGGCGAAGCTCTATTATATCATCGTTGACGTTTTCCCCTCAACAAATTAAACCAACTTCATTAGAATCCATAATTGCGTGATAGGGCCCTGCCTTTTAAGTCCTGTAATTTTCCATAAACTCCGATCTGATGACAAAAAAAGGGGAAACATCATATTAGACGCTAATTTTCGTGGTAGAGAGTCGCTTTTCTTTTTAGTATAACATTAGTTGCGTCGCTCTCTCTGATGTGCGTGGTGCCTCATTATATAAAGCAGAAATTGCTGCTCAATAACAGCTAACGAGGTATTATACCAAGGTGTTACAATGTGCACTTTAGTGGCTGATAGTGTTGTTATTACGGGGCACTAAATACATGCAAAACTGAGCTTTTACAATAAGAGCGACAACGAAGAAGTCAGAGGCTCAAAAGCACAAGTGGACTCACTGAATCACTATGAGAACTTCCGTAAGACACAATCTTATAACTCCACGAGAATTTTTTTTTTGCCATGATGAATCGCAAAATTTGGCTGGGTCTTACAATGCCGCAGATTTTAGTGTGGCGATTAACTTTGTTTTAAATTCGCTTTCCAGGACAGACAGAAAGAGGGTATTCTCTAACATCCAAACTACCAGGATAAAAAGCCGATGAAACTATGGAAATGGAAGAATTAAAAGCAGTACGACAGAAAAGAGATAACTGCGTGAAAGAAGTAAAGGAAGTATGGAAATCAGAAACAGATGAAGCTACGCGTGTCATCAAAGACTTCAGCGGCTATACCACCCTGCACGGTTTTCATTTTGTCCTGGACTCTGCCTCCCGGATACGAAGGATTATTTGGATCACATTGATTTCCCTGGGTATATGTGCTCTATTCTTCCAGTTTCGAGACAACTGGCGCAAATTACGAAGTTACGAAAGCGTCATTGGCAAAGATATTGAACATGCTGAGAAGCTTTTGTACCCTGCAATTACTATTTGCAACCAGAATATGATGCGAAAAAGTAAAATTTTGGGAACAGACGCGCAAACATTTCTAGACCAACAAGATCGTGTAAAGTTGCATATCTTGGGGAATAAACTCTTGGAAGAAAAGACGAGCCCTGACTTTGATCCTGGGGAGATTGTTATGAAGCACGGTCACAACCTATCTGAGATGATGAAAGACTGCGAGTGGAAAAATCAACCATGTACTCCTGCTAACTTCTCCTCTTTTATTTCTTTCATGGTGAGGTTTATAAATTTTGTGATTAGCTTATTGGTTTATGAATTCCTTCCAACAGAGTGGTTTCTCTCGAGTGAATCAGTTGACGAAGTGTCACTAACATTCCGCATTAGTATTTTAAAGAGTAATAAATTTTTTTAATTGAAACTCATTCTTGTCTATGATCTCGTGTGTTAACATTTGTTCTCTGTTTTTTATTCCGCAAAACAACAAAGGAATACAGGGTACAAAAAAAAGCTTTTACAGATACAAAAAGAACTATTCTACGTCAGTCAGTTTTTCCTAAGACTGAGAAAATAAAAGGATTTTCTACCTACAACTGGGTGAAATCGTTTGCTTTTGTTGCTATATGAGAACCATTGAGTGCATTTTTGAGGAAGAGAGGGAAAGAGGGGGAAATAATCTAGACTATTTCACTGTGTAAATAACACCATTTTTCTGCTTTCAGCGGGGGGTGTGCTATACGTTTAATTCTGATCAACGGGGTCACCAAAAGCTTTATGTGACAACATCAGGAAAAGTGCAAGCCTTGTCACTTTACTTGGATGCACAACCCGAAGAGTATTACGGGCCATACAGCTACGACGCAACAGGTTTTAAGATTCTGATTCATGATCAGAAGGACTTGTATCCAAACATTGAAGACCTCGCTTTGGATATTACTCCAGGGTTTACCACAAACATACGCGTGCGCAGAAGCAAGGTTGGTACAACCAAGTTTCCTGTATAGAGGACTAAGCTTTCTTTACCTTCCAGACATCTCACTGAGCTAAGCAATGTGTTACCCATGTCCTGTGTCTTACAGATCGCTGCGATCAGCAATGCCCAAATTACGCAATGTACTACAATGTATAATTATGTCACTGATCAAGTTTTAATTGTCATTTAAGATGGTGAGTCTTCCCGCGCCATTTAAATCCGCCTGCAGCGACAAGAACTTGGCAGCTTTCAAAATGTACTCACAGTACGCATGTCTATTGGAATGTTACACCAACATAACCTATGAAGAGTGCGGTTGTCGACTGCTATCTATGCCTTCATTTGGTAAGCAATATGCTGTTTAAGATGATGCTAATCCCCGAGAGATACAGATCAAGTAATCAATCAAATAAGGAGTTAAACTTAAGTTCAAGTTAAAAATTTTAATATTCCAACAGGTGAGAACAAAACGAGATATTGCTCTGCAAAGGAAATCTTTACCTGCGTCTTCCCAAAATATGGTAGGTGAAAGCTTTTGACACATCAGGAAACGCGCATCTCACTCACTCTTTCACTAACTCAGAGGTAAACAATAAACATCTTTACAAAACATCACTAGCTCCCGAAGAGCGTTATCGCCACACTCTCCAAAGTAGTGTCACAGTTCAAAAAAACATATTTCAAATGCACCCAGGTGAATAAGAACTTCCGATATGGTTATCCCAACGGAATGTATACGAATGCTTTAATCTCTCTTACCTCTCTGTTTAGGTAAATTTAATCCAAATAGTTGTGCCTGCCCTGTGCCATGTACGGAGATACGCTATCATGTCCAGGCCTCCATGGCGTACGCTCCGTCAAATCACTTATGGGAGACAATATTCCCAATGTACAACATGTCAACTAATAACACAGAGAAAGTTGTCGAGTTCCAGAACTACATCAGGTAACAAACGCGACATTACATTCTTACTTCCGGGAGTCCTAAAATCAAGAATCTTGAATATCACAAAACATAATTGGATACTTGTACTCCAACAAGACCTGCCCGTCGGTGAAGGTTTTTTGTGTGAGTGTCAGTCCAGACTTACTTCAAAGCGTTTGGGGCATAGTTCGATCTTTATCACTGAAGAGATGTTTTCAAGGACTTCATTAAAACTTCATACAAATAAAAATGTTATCATTAGAATAAGATGGTAAAGTTTGATAGTCGCACGATACAGAAGTCTCGTGCTGAACACTGTACGGAGTTCTTCTGAAAAGTTTTCAATTAAGCTTAAGTACTATGCGACGTACTTGTTTGACCAAACCTCTAGATGTTTTTGTATCGTTACATCTGTAGGCAAAGAATGGCTCAAGTAAACATTTACTACGAAAGTCTGGACACTGAAGTCACGAAGGAGAAACCCGCGTATGATTTCAATGCTTTTGGATGTGAGTAATGTTTCTAGTTACGTTCTGAACTCAAACATATCTTGGTAAAGGAATACATTAGCTGACGGTGTCTTCCTTACAGAACTTGCAGCAAGCGCACATTCATTGAAGCGCAGACTGGCGCCATGAGTTGCCGGAGAATGATATCTGTATCACAGTCGCGCATACGAATACAAAACGTACAAACATCACGTAACAGCCAAATCTAAGGGTTGGGTTCACAAGCTGGCATATTTTCGTGGACATGGGCCTCCGCAGCGATGGAGGAGCTCCATTACAATATATATATATTATATGAATAATTTTTGTTGTCTATTTTCCTCTCTAGCGGACGTAGGAGGTAACATGGGATTATTTCTCGGCTGTAGTCTGCTGACTTTGTGTGAATTCGTTGATCTGATTGTGATTATGTGTCTTCGTTGCTGGCGAAAGCGGAGAACTGTAGACCTCAAGACAGATCCATATCAGTGAAGAATTATTTTGCTTATTCAAAAACTGTAAATGACTCGACAGGTAATAAATATTTACGCTTATGGATTGAAGAAAATACTGAATCAGAAAACGCGAACACAAATCAATTCAGCCTCATGATTAAATTGTTTGAGTACCTTTCTTGTCTGCGCACTGAAAACGCGATCCATATAAACTGATCGATGTTTTTTTATGTATTTATTTGATAAACGTGATAAAAAAGCAAAATATTGTTTGATAGTGACGTTATCTATGCGTCTGTCCTACAATAGATCATTGTAAAAGCCGATCAAAACGCGTATATAAACTAAATTAAAAACTATATTGTAACTCGAGAAAACACCCTATCATTTTGCAATTGAGTACTTTCTGCCATCGTTAATGAAAATAGAGGTTAGTTTTAGAAAGATCTAGAAAGTTGCACTTTGCTCATCAGCTTATGAATATCCGTAAAAGCTGAAATCTGATTTATTCAAATCGATGCTGATTAAATGTGGAGTGCTGGGTTCAGAGGTCGTTAATGTCATAGTGAATGACAACCCTTCATATTAGATTTGTTTTTAGACTTTTTTTGTATTTATTAGAAAAAAAGGAAATAGAGAATATCAGTACTGATACTGATACAGAACGTTTTAGTCAATAAGGGATTTCACAGTCGATTTCATGATTGGATTCTAGTTTAAATTTACCTTTTCTTTCTTAATCATGCATTATGTGGAAGGTTTGTCTGGGATAGCCTTAAACTCACCACAATATCAAAATAGTTGAACAAACACGCCCGTAAAAAAAATTCTGGGAAAAAGATGAACTGTTTTCATGTTTAGGACCAAGGAAACGACAGTGCATGTTTTCGCCGGCATAATGTGAAGTGAAATTCTGGGTGAGAATTAATTAAATTAATTCAAAGTTAGTCACTCAGGTTAATTCAGCGCAATATTAAATAAAAATGTTTATCGCTTTGAAGTACCTCTTGTGTAACATGCACTAAAGCAACCGAAACAACCTACACCAACAACACAAGAACAGATACAGAACAGGGCAAACTGCTACATCATCCTAAGACTACCGTGGAAAAAAGGAATTATCTGGTGTAACAGCAACCAAAAAAATCAGAAGACTTAAAAAGTAACTATCAGTCTTAGTTTACATACATTTCCAAAATGGCACTTTCCACTCCAATACTAATGAGTAAATGATGCACCACTCTCTCTTACAAATGTGTGTGGTCCAATTATGCACTAAATACTTTAACTAGTGAACTTAAGTGATGCCGGATTTCTTTGTCAGTGCATAGTACACTTGCTCGCCCTGATAGCTTAAGCAAATCTTGAAGTATAACGACTCAAGGATGAGGTCAGCCATTGCAGGTGCAATCAACAGAACCAACCTTTTTCCATAAAAAAATATAAAAGCCTTAGGGGACCATTCATGCCTCATGTAACCCACAACTAACACTACTACCTTAATTGTTGTTTTTAAAGTTTATGTGATTGAGGCGACTTTCAGTATTACTACTCACCCTCAGGGTCTCCACCTTCCCACACCTGCACAAGAGGACTCCCATATGACATGTGATTCCCCTTAGCCCCTCGACAAAATCATTTACAAAAAAATAAGGCTGCCTCCCACTTCCACGAAGACTCTGATGTAGAAGCCACTCCCCCCCTTCCCCCAACAACAACTAAATAAACAATGACATAGCCAATGAGTTATTACAAAATATTTAATCGATCATTATGGCTGGCCAAAACAGAATGAGCACAACCTCTCGTCTAGTGATTATTTCTCCAGTGATTGCCTGGTTCAATATCACTTTCTGGACATAATGTGATATCTTATCGAGTATATTAATTGTTCCCCTGATTTAAGTACATGCCCTTACACGCCGGCTAAGCCAGTGATGATAATTCTGAAAAACGTCACATCTGTATGTAGTTGAGTGATAGGCAATGAAACCTTCTCACTTCCTTTTCTTCATAAATTACGATTACAGAAGTGATTTTAAACCTTTATGGCATGGATGGATGATTAAGTTCTGTATACAATTCGATGAATAACTTTAACCCCCAAAAATCATACGCATTTAGTTGGAAATAAACCGAACGTGCGTGATGAGTTACTGAAATGCAACTTATTGGAAACGGCACGTGTAGACCAACATTCTCTGGCAAATGACTCAGGTTCCATCATTTCATCGCTTGAAACTAGTTCCAATTAAGATTTGTGAGAAAGATGTGAATGCAGTGAGGTACGAAGTTGCAAGTCACGTTTGAGCAAGAAAGATTCCATATAAATGTAGATATCGTTATACAAGTCATGAAAACTGAAAAAGATAAAAAATAATCATGTTGTTTTGCGACACATTACAACAAATTTGATTATGAAACAAAAACAATTGATAATTTGATTGAAAAAAAAAACAGAAATGTGATAGAGTTGTTCGTATAAACCATCCATTATCGCAGACTTGATTTTACAGCATATTGAGATTCAACTATCACAAACAGGGCTAGAGGAAGCCAAAATCAGAGAAGCAGACTTAGAGTACTTTTAAGTTGCTTCCTGTGGCAACTGCGTCGGCTCCTTGACTGAGCAAGTACGATCGTTTGCTGCTACTGCACTTTTAGCAGCCGTGCTTAGAGATAAGCCAATGACTTTTTTTTCATCTTTCACAATCTCTTGAGAATGTACACCGTTATTAGCGTGACCAATCAAAGGTCTCGCAGTGTCTTGTGACACTGGATTGTCACGCAAGGGTCCACCACTTATATGAACCGAGAGTGTGCCATTGTCATGCTCTTTGTCATTTATACGATGTGACTCTTCTGAAGACTCGACGTGTGTATTGTTGCTTGACAGTAAAACAGAATCACTAATGAGTTTGCTTGCACTTTTGGCACCTCCTTTTGAAGATAATTCTGTTTCTCTGTCGTTAGGTTGATGTTGTGTTAACACATTTGCTGTGTTGCCGTCTCCAGTTTTACTGCAGCTTGGTTTCTTTTGTTGTTTTTCGAGTTCTCTGCATGGAAGATGTTTGGTCAGGCAAATTCTCTGGTTAAATGTTTTGCTGCAAGTGTCACATTTGTAAGGTTTTGCGTCGGAGTGAATATAGCTGTGCTCTTGTAAATGGTGCTTCCGTTTGAATGCTTTACCGCATACCTAAAACAAACGATTTCCTCCATTTGTTATCGTTACAACGATTACAGTCAAATCCCTTAGGATTGACAAATCATCATCAAGTCGCTTCGGAGTAAAAACCATGTGGGCAAAGTGTTTAACTTATAGAAAAGAAAACCGTTATACTTATTCTACAGGCATTCACGATACAACTTAAATGGATAAACGTAGATCAATCATGGACTGACAAATCATCATCAGGTCGCTTCGGAGTAAAAACCAAATGGGCAAAGTGTTTAACTTATAGAAAAAACCTGTCATGCTTTATCGAAGGGCATTTGAGACACCAGTTGCTTATAACTAAAATGGATAAACATAGAACGATCGCGGACGTCGCGAATTCTGAAAACCTGACTTTCAAGTTTTCGGTCTTCGTAGTTTGGGTTGCTCGTGTTCAGAGATCAGGGTAATGATACAGTTTTGCTATTCGAGTCAGAATAGTAACGGATGATTAAGAAATAAATCTTGAGAAATAAATAAACTATCAGTTGTTGATTTTGAGAGAGCTCAGGTGCCGTTTTTTATCTGAAGTTTCGCGACTTTCAGATATGGCTGGCTGGTGAGAAGCTGCCCAAACAACTCTGTTTGGTTTGCAATCTTCTCAAAGTGATTGATAGGTTTTACAACCTGCAACCTTTTCCTCATCCCACGGTGGCACTATGAACGTTACCAATGAACAGTGTTCTGATCTGTCACGTGATAACACCATCAATAAAAAGTAATAATAGGGATAGATTAGGATAGAGACACTCACGAAGTCTGTATTACTTTAGACTGCAGAAAGTCTAAGGTGCACCCCAGTCGAAAAACTTAGCAGTGAAACCACTTGGTTGTGCCTCATGATTTAACATCAGTTTTGAACTATTTAGATCTCATTTCTAAGATCAATGAGAGTATTGGAGAGCACATTGGTGGGAAAATTGGAGTTGACTCATTAACCTGATTGTTATGGAGGGACTGACTAATTTGAACTCACAATACTTATGAATGGACTTGTGCAGGACTAGAAATGTACCACTTTATCCAGTAATAAGACTAATTTAAGATTGCACCATAATCCTTTTCACAAAGAAGACATGTGATACCTGACATGCATAAGGCCTGTCACTTGTAGGGCAACCCTTCTTTGTGGAAACCTGGTTAGATGGAGCTGGAGGTAACTTCTGTGGTGTACTCAGGGAATGTTGCCTTGTTACATGTTGCTTTAGGCCACTACTTTTTCTGAATGACGATTCACACTGAGAGCATTTGAAAGGTTTCTCATCTGAAATTTTACAAGACAAGAATATTCTCAAATTGTGCACAGCTGTTGCTACAAATTATTATCTTGTGGGGCTAACAAAACATGTGTGAGTAAATGCTTAAAGATGCTAATGTCACAGAGTTCTATAACTGACAGCTAAAAAAATTACATGTTTGCAGATGTTAGAATATAATATCACAGCTCATTAATCTACCAGGCTTTGCCACATGCCATAGCAACATATTTCAGGGAACACTTGCAATGTGAGACAAAAACATTGTGTGAAATTATTGCTTCTTGCCTCAGAATTTGTCCCTGCAACAAGTCACAGAAAAACAAGCTGGTGGTCCAAGCTATAGCATGAGTCAAAACAATTTGTGTGAAGGAGGCTGCTACACAAGGGGGGTTTGTTGGAAAGTATTAGGGCAGCAATTTGTTTAAATGTTCACTGTGACTTATAAATGTTGTTATTAAAAGTAACTAAGAAACTGTGCATCAGAAGTCAATCTGAAGAAACTAGCAGATGGGATTACCTAAATCTTACCATTTGCTTTGTTGTCACTATGTGAAACATCTGCAGTACCTTCTTTAGAGATGTTTATTTTGTCATCTACAAACCAGATCAATTTCAAAACATAAACAAGATGAGGAAAATCAGTAATTTGAAAGCAAGGTGAACTTGACTGTTGTTGAGGTTAGTAGTCACCACAGCATAAAGCATTGTGGTGTACAACCTACAAATACACTAACAACCTTAGACTAAAGCATATATGAAAGATATTTACATATGGTAAAGCTAGCATTTTATAACCAGTAACCTGGTATTCATCATTTTAAAAACTAATTAGCAGGGCTGTGAGAGAGAATCACAAGCTTTGTCAAAAACGTCTCATTTTTAAAGGTCATATCATTCTTGACCTCTACCTCAGAGTGGGCATGTACAATTTGAACACATATATGCAACAATAAGGATGGATATAATTTTCCTGTATACCCTTCCATAAACTTCATCATCATCACCACTTATTTGCCTATTTTAACACAAGATAAATTTACAGCATCATTTTTATATGGTGAGGAGACTACAAGACACCACTTGGTTTACTGGCTCCAAGATGACCTTGAACATGTTTTTGCCACTCATCAGAACTACAATGTTTTTGCCACTCAACAGAGCATCAATGAGTATGAAAATAATTATGACTGTCCAAACTTTGTAACCCTGCCTTTCAAGCTTGATTATGAATGTTATTTCTCTGATGTAAGTCAGGCCTATGTTAATAAGTCCAAAGATAACATGACTGATAAAAACTACTCTCACTTACCTAAATGATGTACAGCCTTCATATGATTGATCAGCTGATCTTTTTCCACAAACATCACTGCACACAAACGACACTGACGCAGTCCAACTAGATTACCAACTTGAATCAATGGTGATTCATTCACGTAATCCTCCATACTTTGAAAGTTTTTTGCTCCTTTCCGTTTTCTCTTTCTTGTAACAGTCTTGATGACTTCTTCATGAGCTGAGTTTTTATTTGACTGCACAGGTATCTTTTGCCCTGATAGTCTGATATGATCAGGGTCAACCCACTCTTCTTCATAAGCCACCTTCTTAGATTTTAAACTTCTTATGCGTGCACTGATTCTCTCACGTGGTGGTGTAGAACTCTTAACACTGTTCACCTCATGCTGCACAGATTCTGTAATATTACTTTTTGCCTTAGAGTCACTGCTTTGTCTGTCCATGTCCTTTTCTAATGTATAATTGCCAGTTCCATTCGAAGTAGTTATGATGCTTTCTTGCTTTCTTCTGTGGGACAAAACATTTTGTAGACTCAATGCAGTGTCTACATCCATGTACATTTTCTTCAGCATTAAAACAATGAACTCAACTTCTACTAGTCACAAGGCCCTCCCTCTGCCCCAAATACAATGTTGAAATACAGCCATATGATTGATGAATAACCCTCAAGATTGTTTAATACAGCCACAAAGGAAAGAATTGAGACTCCCAACACTTTATTCAGTGACTGTGGCTTCCTTCCCTATAGAACTACCAAAGGGTAGCACTGAGCTAGCAAGGACTTATCAAAGAATGGAGCTGTTAGCAAAAACAAAGACATGTGAATGGACATCTCCACAATCTAGTGAAAAAGCTCACCTCTTGGTTTTAAGATCAGAGTCTTCAACATCCTACAAGACCATCACAGAGGCATTCAATTAACTTCAGTGTAAATTTCTCAAAGGATTTTGCATTCAAGAAAATAAAGTTTGCAGCTATTTATTACAAACTGCTCACAAAAAATCTCTCTAGAAGAGATTTGAAAAACATACATACAAATTGATACTCAAGGGCATAGAATTTTCATAGAGAACTTGTGCACAATGTATACTTGTCCTTGAGTGAACTCCTCCAACAAATAGTAATTCATTCATTGCATATTTGAGGAGACACAGAATGAAAGACACTCAGTAGATACTTCAATACTTTTGTATTTGTACTTACAGATACACTCACCAATTCTTGTGGGTTTTTTATATCACAGTGTTCAGACAATTTCTGAATAATATTTTGAAGTTTAAGCCTGGAAATAAAACCAAAAGATAATTATTAATTCTTAGTAAAGAATTGTAGAAAACCCTCATTTTCAGGTTTTGTTTTCTCACTTTACCAAGAGCAAGTTTGGTTTTACAATTCATGGATGGATATCTTTGAATCATGTGTATCGAGTGTACACATTGCACAGTGCCAAAGTTTTCTTCCAATATCTACTATAAGTGAACATGTATACCCCAGACACCTCTGTTGAATGAACATACTGACACACCAAAATAAGGCATATTATTGATCTCCCTTCACTCTCTGAACCCTAAGAACAGGCTCTTTTATTAGAAGAGAGGAGTCTTCTGAACACAAGTGCAACTGTTCAATATTCTTTTCAGCCATCAAATAAACAGTTGCCTTAAAACAAAACCTTTTATGAAAATGAGAGTAAGATGGAATGTTGTGATAATTTCTATTAGCCACTGTAAAAATTTAAAGAGGCCAGAAGGCAAAATCAGGGGTTTAAATCTAGCAATTTAAATCTTTTTTAAAGATTGCTTTGAGGTTCTTTGTATATAATTTCAAGATTTGATAAAAGAAAAAAAATTGCCATCGCATATTTGAAAAGGGCAGCTCTCGTTTTTAACAATTCTGCATAATTCCTGAAATCAGCCAAATCTGTCTTTAATAACGGAATGAAATAAGACTTATGACATTAAACATCACGTGAAGAACGTCTTACAGGTATAATACAGCTGACTGTCTTGTCAGAGGGTTAACTCGTCCATTTTCAAAGACGTTATCTACTATTTACTACGAGCTGGCGGATTTGAAACAAATTTCTGAGTAACACTTATACAAACTAAGGTTTATAAATACTTTGTAATTATTCTTGTACACAAAAATTATACAGTATTGCTCAACTTCACACATGCAGACTTAATGTAAGTGGTAAAATACGCGAGGATTAAATAAAAAACAGACGAAATTCTCTACGACCTTTCGAGAGATATACTTACCCTCGATGATCAGTAGAACTTTGATGTGTCTCTTCCATGCTGCTGTACATACGATAAGTTATAAACAACAAAAACCTCAATTTTGTAACAAAAACATTGATACGCTCACTTGAGAGACTCACTTGACAAACCCCTTTCACACAAATACTATCCCAGACTTCATAGCGAGTTCAGGCACATCGCCCGGCCCAGTCTTTTTTTCTTCTCAGTCAACCCATTTCTTTTTTGTTTACACTGTAATAGTCTACATATGATTAGGAAATAGATGGGAAAGATAAGGAAACATGCCTTACTTAACCGCTCTTGGAAAACCGAAGTTGTAAGAATTTAAAGAGAATTTTTCCAAAAAAAGGGCCGTTCTTCTTTAGTCTACGTGCAAGCTCCCTCAAACAAAGCACTTACCATCCTCTCTTTTCCTTGACCTCTCTATCGCAAATCCTACATGGTGTGGATCAAGCCTAATGTTGCACGCGCGAATTGCTCTTTCTCTAGTAAAATGCGCCTCGTGATTCTGACAGTCTCTCCAGTCTCTTCTTGTTTATTATACTGAAGCAGACAAATGCGAAGGGAGTAGGAAAAGCAACCTACCTCTTTTTGCAGAAAAAAAAAATGCCGATTCTAAGTTTTCTCACGAGTTTCTTCTCGCATCGATAATCGTAGATAAGAGAAAAACATTACAGTCTTTTTATTTTCTCATCAAGAATTGAAATCCACACTCATGGAATCATAAATTCGTAACCGTTACGTTAAGTATTTTCAAGTGTACTATGAGGTAACGTCTGAGGGGTATGAATGGCCACCAGCAACCTGTCAAGGATACTCGGCGAATTGAGGGGGAGGGGAGGGGAGGTGGGAGGTCAGGAGTAGTCTGCGATTGACTAACATCCCCCCACGATTGAGGAGGAGTAACAGTACTGCTGATCGTTTTGTGTCATAGAAACCAAAATATGCCGGCCGGCTGACGACCCACTTGCTTAGACTTGATCTCTTTTCTAATATGCATACAAATTATTTATTGGACATGTTTTATTTTTGTTTTCACGTTCTCTAATTCTCTGCGCCATTGCAGACTTTAACATGGAATTGAACTGCAGCAGACGATAGTTCTTAGTACTCATCCCCTTCATCATCTTCGCCTTCTCCCGCAGCAGATTCCACTCCAACCTCTTCATAATCCTTTTCCAATGCCGCCAAATCTTCACGAGCCTCAGAGAACTCTCCTTCCTCCATACCCTCACCCACATACCAGTGGACAAACGCACGCTTTGCATACATCAGATCAAACTTGTGATCCAGACGGGCCCAGGCCTCGGCAATAGCTGTGGTGTTACTCAACATACATACAGCGCGTTGAACTTTGGCCAAGTCACCACCAGGAACAACTGTGGGAGGCTGGTAGTTGATTCCAACCTATAACAGAAAACTTGTTAAGCTAAGAGACGGAGCGCAGCTGTTTGTACAACTCAAATAGTTTATACTTGCATCAGCATTCAGTACACTAAGTATCATTCTCTGAGGACATCTACTTGGAACAAACCTTGAATCCAGTTGGACACCAGTCTACAAACTGAATGGTTCTCTTCGTCTTGATTGTTGCAATGGCCGCATTCACATCCTTGGGCACCACATCACCACGGAATAAAAGACAGCAGGCCATGTATTTGCCGTGACGTGGGTCACATTTTACCATCTGATTGGCTGGCTCAAAGCACATATTTGTGATCTCAGCAACTGTCAACTGCTCATGATAGGCTTTCTCTGCTGAGATCACTGGAGCATAAGTGGCCAGAGGGAAGTGAATACGAGGGTATGGTACCAAGTTGGTCTAGATAAGACAACATGATAGATATAAAAATGATTTGACACCTGTTACAGGAGTGATACCCATTTTATATCACCACCTTATCGTCATGATAAGGAAAGCTGAGATTCAGATACAGCTTACCTGAAATTCTGTCAAGTCCACATTCAAGGCACCGTCAAAACGGAGTGATGCAGTGATGGACGACACAATCTGACCAATCAGTCTATTCAGGTTGGTGTAAGTGGGTCTCTCAATGTCCAGGTTACGACGGCAGATGTCATAGATGGCCTCATTGTCCACCATGAAGGCACAGTCAGAGTGCTCCAGAGTGGTGTGAGTTGTCAGAATGGAGTTGTAAGGCTCCACAACCGCCGTAGAGACCTGCGGAGCTGGGTAAATGGAGAACTCCAGCTTGGATTTCTTGCCATAGTCCACAGACAGACGCTCCATAAGCAATGATGTGAATCCAGAGCCAGTTCCACCACCAAAAGAATGGAAAATAAGGAAACCTTGTAATCCAGTGCACTGATCAGCCTAGACCAAGAAAATCAAAAGTTTAACTAGTTTGACTAAAGTTATTCAGTCAACTTGGACAAGCTGCTGAATTTCTTGACTTTATGAACTTGCCGGTGTTCATCATTATTATAATCATTATTGTCATCATTATTGATATTATCGTTATCACACGACAAAAAAAGACCAATTATCATTTTTCTCCTCAAAATGCAGTAACTGCTGATATTAGCTACTTCTCAGCACCGTTTTGCATAAATCGAAAATAAACGCTTATATTTTGGCTCATTAGGACAAAGCCGGTTCATTATTTGTGTGGTGTATCCTGTAGGTAGAACGATCTCTAATTGTGCTATCTGATTTCTGCTTCTAAGCACAGTCTGCCACAACAGCGTTAAGTCATATGCGAGCGTTCTTACCAACTTTCTCAGCTTGTCCAAAACGAGATCAATCATTTCTTTGCCAACAGTGTAGTGTCCGCGGGCATAGTTATTAGCGGCATCCTCTTTGCCGGTGATCAACTGTTCTGGGTGAAACAGCTGTCGGTAAGTGCCAGTGCGAACTTCATCTAAAAAAAACAAAAAAATAATGCTATATAATGACAACAATAATATTTTTTGTTTTTAGTATTTGTGTATTTTACGTTATGCCCCAGCTCGAGTCAGTCAGGTGCATTATTCAGATCTAACCAAGGAAGATTAAACAGATTTCATACCAATATTGCTTATCAACAGAACTGTAATGTTTTGGTTGAGCTCGATAATTAATCATTAATGAGATTGTAAGAAAAAAACTCAAAGGAAACAGGCAACGCCAAACTTTGACAATTTTCATTCGCTCTTTAAAACTTTAATTCAAAGAATGATATAAAAGGAAAATTCCAAACGCCTCTCACCGACAACAGTTGGTTCCAAATCAACAAAGACGGCGCGAGGAACGTGTTTTCCTGCTCCAGTCTCGCTGAAAAATGTGTTGAAGGAATCATCTCCTCCACCGATTGTCTTGTCACTGGGCATTTGACCATCAGGCTGGATTCCATGCTCCAAGCAGTACAACTCCCAACAAGCATTACCGATCTGAACTCCGGCCTGACCAACGTGGACAGAAATACACTCACGCTGAAATGGAAGGAAAAACGGGAGCGCTTAAATTTTCATATTGCGCAAAATATGGAAATGATTCCTAAAAGATTTCTTCGCAATATCAGAGTTGAATGATCAGAAGCGTTTGCCTGTAATTATTCCAAACCCGGTACAAAAGATCGCATTTGGAAAAAAAAATAGTATTACCATTTTAAAATAACGTTATTTGGGGATCTTGTCCAAATATTAGCGAGGGAAAACTTTGGTGAGTTTCCGAGCTCCGAAATAGCAGCAACGTCTTTCGAAGACGGGAGTGGTTTGAACATAATCAATGAAGCAAGGCTATTGTATTCCTTTGCATGGCAGGTGACGGGGAAACTAAGTGGTTTTAGTTTATATGGTGAGGAAAATTAACATAAAATCAAAAAGATTGAAAAGATAAATCAGCTGGAGACTTATGTCGGCACAAATAATATTTTATTTACGTTATCTGATTGGCTTAGGGTGAAAAATTTCATGTTAATTGTGGTCCCCAAAGTAAGCCGCCGTGTGATGCTGTTTCTATTAAGTAACAATGTGATTTTCCATTCATGAAAATTTCATTTAGCGCCGGTTTTGTTTTAGCAACCTAAAAGCAAATGCTCTGGGCATTTTCAGATTGAAACCTTCGAGGGAGAAAAGAATATGGATTGCTCTTGCATACAGCCAGAAAAAGATTCTCTCAAGACATCTGTCAATTTGTGCTCAGCATATGAAACTATCTGCCTGCATATATGCAAATTTTTTTAATGAATTATAATGAATGTAACTAGACCTCCATCTGCCATTGTTTGGGAGTTCCGGCATAAAATTGAGAATGGTTTTTGCGATATAGTGATTTGTCGCGGTTGGATCTAAGTTGAACACAGGCTACCATTTTTACTACAAATATGAACTAAAATGCTGTTTCTCTGATTAAATTACAATGTTACCCAAATAGTGCCTAAAACCAGAGTAGATAAGTAAATACTAGGAATGCAGTTTCACATTTTAAACGTGAATAGATTTTTGTACACCCTTGTTGGTAAGTGTATCATGCTGAAATATGTATTTAACAGATTTACCGTGCTTTTTGTGTAATAATTGTCGCAGAGGTGATGCATGTTACAAATTATCACCAAGGGTGGGGCTAAGCTTGAAGGAGTCAAGGGGGCGGGGCTGAGGGTGGACGAATGAAGGGGAATGGGGCCCTTTTCACTTTTCTTGTTTTTAACTCGAAACTAAGTTTCCTTCGAGAAAAATATCAATGTTTTGTGAAACAATGAACAGTTAGTGCGTTTTTTTTTAATGAAATTTTTCTGTTCGTCTCAGTTTCGGGATACGCTGCCGATAACAAAACCAAACAACACGCGCCATTTGTAAGTGCATCGACTTACTTTCGTGTAGACCAGCTCAAGGTATTTTTAAATAATTCACCCGTTTTTTTATTTTTAACGAAAGCACATATTACATTTGCTTTGATGGCAAATGACGTATGAAGGATTTTTTTCCCTCTCCGTGTCTCTTTTGATCAGTGGTAACAAACGAACAAGGATTGCAGTCTTACGCTCTTTTATCACATTTTTAATCTGTATGCCACATTACAAGTTGGTTAAACTTTAGTATTTTGCAACTAAGCTTCCTATGGCAGTGAGTGGGAGATGTTCAGGGGTAGTGAGTCAGGGATCGATACAACTACCAGCCGCTTGCATTCTAATCTTGGACTCAAATGAAGAGGCGTAGCGTTTAATACATTATCGTCTTAAAATCTTCTTAAACGCAATGAAACACGATACGAAACCAAAAAAGCGCAAAAGGTGGTAAATTATTAACATATCACACCTTCACTAACAACATATGTATATACTTCTCAAAGTGACTGTCATACTCATTTCAAAATCGCACCTTCCTAAGGAATATAACAAGTTGGTAAAATAAACGAACTTTCTAGAATAAATACAATCTGTCATCAAATGGAATTAAATATCTTGGCACATATTTGGAACGAAGCTCTTAGGATTGGGGTAGATTTCGTTCAAAACCGTGAGTCTCGTTTGGCAACAAGATGCCAATCAAGGTTACTTTGCTTCGACAACACTTCCCCTGCTCCTCCCCTCCCCCACACACACCCAAGCCAGCAGATGAAGACTTTTAATACTCATCATCTTCCCCCTCCCCTTCGTCTTCAGCCGAATCCACTCCAACCTCTTCATAATCCTTTTCCAATGCCGCCAAATCTTCACGAGCCTCAGAGAACTCTCCTTCCTCCATACCCTCACCCACATACCAGTGGACAAACGCACGCTTTGCATACATCAGATCAAACTTGTGATCCAGTCGGGCCCAGGCCTCAGCAATAGCTGTGGTGTTACTCAACATACACACAGCACGTTGAACTCGGGCCAGATCTCCTCCAGGAACAGCAGTGGGGGGCTGGTAATTGATTCCAACCTGAAAATTAAATGAGGTAAAATAGCAATCAATAATTAAATTAATGAAAGCCCGGAATCTCTCAACTAATTTGTTATAATCCATTGGAGTTTTCCACGCCGAGAGAGAAAGGCTAAACTCTAATTGCATTGATCAATTTCAAAGTTAATTCTGTTTTCTTGGAGGCTTTTAAAACTGAAAACTAAAAGTCTGGTTCTATCAATCTCTTGCCGACTTGTAAAACTACTAAGATATTCTAAGCATTTAACCATAGGGTTCTTAGTTCTTAGTTCTTAGTTCAAGTACTTTACCGCAGGATCAGATTACGTAGACAATATTTCTTTTTAGTTCCGATAATCATCAAGAAGAGGGGAGACTACTGCTCCTACACTTACATCCTGTGAACACTTCTCTATTTAAAATACTGAAGGCGAACATTTTCAACACTGATATAATTTTAATTGAAACAGACTGCTCCACTCCTCAATAGTTATCCACCCACCTTAAATCCAGTAGGACACCAATCTACAAACTGAATGGTTCTCTTGGTCTTGATTGTTGCAATGGCTGCATTTACATCCTTTGGAACCACATCACCGCGGAATAAAAGACAGCAGGCCATATATTTACCATGACGTGGGTCACATTTCACCATCTGATTGGCTGGCTCAAAGCAGGCATTGGTGATTTCAGCAACACTCAACTGTTCGTGATAAGCTTTCTCTGCTGAGATCACTGGAGCATAAGTGGCCAGAGGGAAGTGAATACGAGGGTATGGCACCAAGTTAGTCTAAGTGAAATAACATGAAGGATGTTTTAAACAACAAAAACCAACGGGAATCATATACATTATGTACTGGATGCAGGAATGTCAAGATTCAAATATACCTTACCTGAAATTCTGTCAAGTCAACATTCAAGGCACCATCAAAACGGAGCGATGCAGTGATGGACGACACAATCTGACCAATCAGTCTGTTCAGGTTGGTGTAAGTGGGTCTCTCAATGTCCAGGTTACGACGGCAGATGTCATAGATGGCCTCATTGTCCACCATGAAGGCACAGTCAGAGTGCTCTAGAGTGGTGTGAGTTGTCAGAATGGAGTTGTAAGGCTCCACAACAGCTGTGGCAATCTGTGGTGCAGGGTAAATAGAGAACTCCAGCTTGGATTTCTTGCCATAGTCCACAGACAGACGCTCCATTAGCAATGATGTGAATCCAGAGCCAGTACCACCGCCAAAAGAGTGGAAGATAAGAAAACCTTGCAATCCAGTGCACTGATCAGCCTTGATAAAAATCAATGTAAAAAATCGTTTCCCAAAAAATATTACTGACAATAATGGTTTATAATAATGACTTATTACAAATCGGCGTCACTAACTTAATTCTGATATAACTTTCTTCCGGGTTTACAGTTATTTCCACCTCAGCCTTTCAGCTTGAAAGATATCAAAGAAGTTCGGCATCGGTAATGTACGTTATCAGGCGAAATCAAATCTAATAATTGATAATTACCAGTTTTCTTATCTTATCAAGAACTTGATCGATAATGCTTTTCCCAACAGTGTAGTGCCCACGAGCATAGTTGTTAGCAGCATCTTCTTTGCCGGTCATTAACTGATCAGGGTGAAAAAGTTGTCTGTAGGTACCACAGCGAACTTCATCTGATGAAAATCGAAGGAGATACTATTTGTTTATAGAACATAAAAACAGGCAACTGTAACTGCAAGTGAATAAAAGGGGTAAGTTTCTATAGAAACTGTGCTGCTGCGTCAGTGGGAAAGTATAACAGGGTAATTTAGTATTATCAACAGAGCTGATAACGTAAATTGGCCACCGTAAAGAGTTTAAAACCTGATGTTTCGAGCGTTAGCCCTTTGTCAGAACGATTGTCATAGCCCTTCGTCTATCGCTCTCAAGAAGGGCTAACTGTAACTGCAATTGTAGCGCTTTATGGGATGTGGCGGTGTTCTCAAAAGATAAATTGGTAAAATAGCCCAACTTGGTTAATACTTGTATCATCCTGTACCATAATCTCACCAGTTTTATGATTCCATCATATCATAACGTTTATGACTGCAACATACCGAGAGGCTACTAAAGTTGTATTTCTTTACATTTTTCTTACTAGAGCCCACAAGCCTCCATATGTTCATTAAAAGTTTCTTCGCTCTAGTTAACTCACCGACGACGGTTGGTTCCAAATCAACAAAGACGGCGCGAGGAACGTGTTTTCCTGCTCCAGTCTCGCTGAAAAATGTGTTGAAAGAATCATCTCCTCCACCGATTGTTTTGTCGCTGGGCATCTGGCCATCAGGCTGGATTCCATGCTCCAAGCAGTACAACTCCCAACAAGCGTTACCAATCTGAACTCCGGCTTGGCCAACGTGCACAGAAATACACTCGCGCTGAATGAGAATGAAAGATGAAAACTATAAAAAGGATTCGTTCGGAATACCAAACAAAGTTTTAAAGTGAAGGAATTTTTACGCGATTTTCTGAAAACTGTGTAAACCACACTGTAAAGTGACTGCCAGGATATGCAGCCGTTTTGTAACCATCAATCGCGAACTGGATTCGGCAAGACCGCCATACTGGCGGCGTTCTAAAATATCTCCGCTTTTTTTTCTAGGAGTAAACGTCCTTTTGCCGAGAAACCCCATAAAAACTAGCTGATTGAGACTCTTACCATTTTCAGCTGAAAAAAGTTGTTTGGATGAAAATAATGTGTCTCAAATCAAAAATTTTAAACTATATCCCTATCGAAAAGTAGTAACGGTGCTTCTCGAACAAGGTTCACAGTAGTAGTGTTTTGCCAGTTTCAGTGAATCTTATTTTGCCTAAAAACTGCGGGAAACTACAGGTTAATGCTGGTGCGGTGCTCCGCGAAATGTAAACCCCGGCAGGTTCAAGTTTTGGTTCACCTTAATACAACTCACTGCTTTGAGCAAAAACAAGTCTCGTTACCAAGATGAGGCGTCGCCTTTCACTAAACATAGAGCAACATTTGGGAGACCAACCAGAAGCGTTCAAGACGAGGGCTCGCCTTAAAAAAAAATGGCTTATATGCTATAATCATAAAAGTCATGATAACATGTACCTTTACACCAAATGAGAGAAAAACAAACCACAACCCTGAAAATGCCTAGATAAAAAGTAACGCGATTTATCAAAATTATGCGGCAGATGAAATTGGCAGGGTTTGTCATGAAAAAGTATTCTCATCCCGATAATCTTTACTATTGAGACGAGAGCTGAAGCAGGGAGAGCGAGAAAAAGAATTAGGGGAACTGGGGCCTTTACTATCCGCGCGCAAGCCTCTATCCGTGGGAACTTTTGCCAGGCTCTTCCGAACCGAGAGCCTGGCAAAAGTTGCCATCAAAACTGTTGTCGAATTAAAATCGTTTTTCTTTTTCTCTTTCTTTCAATATCGGAAGATTTTAAAATAAACCCCTCTCGAACGAGGCGATAAGCATAATCGAGTATGCCTAGAGCTTTCACGGCTAAGCAGTTGTAAGCAGTTATAATTCCCCGAGAGGATCTGGGTACTAGACTAGGCACAGCCTTTTGTACTCCCTCACGAGTACAAAAGTAAAATTTACATAACGATGACTACAATGTCTGTTGCTTGTGAATATTACACTGAAACGCTACTCAAATACTTGATGTAAAAAGAAAATTGTAAAGGAGAGAAAACCAAGTTTGCTTCAGGCAATCGATGAGGAAAACAAGCGAAAAAGCAAAGGGAGCGAAAGGAAAAAACGATGGGAGACAGCTAAGAGAGAGAGAGAGCGAATATAGCTGCCTCTTCGCTCATTCCAGCTTATTTACGCTAACCAGCTCTTTCTCCTGTATCCAGTGAAATAAATTATGGTATCGGCTAGAGACCAAAGAGAAAATATCTCTGCTTTCTTGTGCATAAAGTCTCGTCGTCCCGTATGACCGAGTCATACCGAGTCACCATCTTTGATATATTCTGAACAGAGGGCAAACTACTCTCCCTTGGAGGGAGAAGGTTGTAAAAAACTTTACGTCACCTCCCTAGATGCTTTTCTCATGTCGTGTAGTTAACCTGTTTCCAAGCAACAAGCGGGTGCGGTTTTACTAAATGAACATAATTTATGCACTGACCAAACACACCCCAAACCACGATAAACAATGTCTCTTGAAGACAAACTGCGTGTTCTAGCAGGGGAGGGTATAGGTAAGAAGCAATCTCGATCAAACGTTTCTCTTCAACGCATCAGTACTCTACTTAACGTTGGATCATTATTTCAATTCGCTCATAAGCTGATTTATTTGACATTCAAGCCTCTTTGATTCGGAATTTTTGAGGAGTTTCGTAGACTTGCCTTAAGCCCTCCCGTTACTAGCGACAATCAAATCCGAAAGTGCATTAAGCAAATTTATGCATCATTCATTGTGTCACTAACCCACAACACGTGGTTGCTACGAAGAGCGCCCTTATAAACGCGCCTAAACTTGAGGTTGCATTAATTTCAACGGTCGCACTGTCTTTCGTCGAAGCCGTCGCATTTCGATATAAGACTCTTTCGCCCGATATTTTGAACAGAGAAATTTTTCTACAGTTCATTTTGCTATAATTCTGCATCAACATGGTAAGCAAAGTTCTCCTTCTTAGTTCTAGAGTCCCGCAAATCTTAATATTTGAAAGTAAAATTTGTGCCTTTCCGTCGAGGAAATTTAGCTGGGATCAGCAAAAATTACCCTTCAAGCTGCAACGAAAGGGAATTCGTTTGTTTTATTATCATGTTACAATTCCAGAAACCAATCTTTGATTTATACCCACAGTTAGGGAACATTCGTGTTGCGAAATATCGAAATTTGTTTCCTTCCATTTCAGCGTGAGTGTATTTCTGTCCACGTTGGCCAAGCCGGAGTTCAGATTGGTAACGCTTGTTGGGAGTTGTACTGCTTGGAGCATGGAATTCAGCCTGATGGTCAAATGCCCAGTGACAAGACAATCGGTGGAGGAGATGATTCCTTCAACACATTTTTCAGCGAGACTGGAGCAGGAAAACACGTTCCTCGCGCCGTCTTTGTTGATTTGGAACCAACTGTCGTTGGTAAGTTAACGAGGACCCGTTCATTTCTTCATTAGTGCTTTCAGATTAGTACTAGCAGGATTCTACATGAATTTTTTATCGATAGCAGTTAAACACTAGGCTTTTGATCCTTAGAAATTTTTTAATTCTGCTTTCGTTCTATATGTCACGAGAAAGAAGACTCCTTTGTGCTATTGCATTTTAATAATTAACAATCTCATTTGTACTTTGTGCTCGTTGAAGTATTAAAAAACCTACCGATTCTCGAACATTTGGTTCAACACGAAACTCATAGTTCTACTTTTTACCACTTTTCTCTCAAACCATCGATTTTTGGGAGATAACTCGTACGATCGGTTGACTTTAGTTGTTTGGTAACCTGCATAGCAACTGCCCCTTGACTACTGTAAACACAACGCAACTAACACTAGAATTTTCGCTCTTACTCACAGACCTGACCTTACTGAAACCGTCATATTTTCGAATTGTGAAGCTGATTTTCTTAACTTGATGAATTCTCACCCTCAAAATTTTTTTTCTGACAGATGAAGTTCGTACTGGCACCTACAGGCAATTGTTCCACCCAGAACAGTTGATCACTGGTAAAGAAGATGCTGCAAATAACTATGCTCGTGGGCACTACACTGTTGGAAAAGAAATGATTGATCTTGTTCTGGACAGGATCAGGAAATTGGTTAGTATTGTGCTGGTGGTGTATTTATTTTAAGTTGTTTTTCCACGAATGGTTAACGATAGTCTAATTTGTAATGTTCTATTCATAGGCTGATCAGTGCACTGGATTGCAAGGTTTTCTTATCTTCCATTCTTTTGGTGGTGGTACTGGTTCTGGATTCACATCATTGCTCATGGAGCGCCTGTCTGTGGACTATGGCAAGAAATCCAAACTGGAGTTCTCTATTTACCCCGCACCACAGATTGCCACAGCTGTTGTGGAGCCTTACAACTCCATTCTGACAACACACACCACTCTGGAGCACTCTGACTGTGCCTTTATGGTGGACAATGAGGCCATCTATGACATCTGCCGTCGTAACCTGGACATTGAGAGACCCACTTACACCAACCTGAACAGACTGATTGGTCAGATTGTGTCGTCCATTACTGCATCGCTCCGTTTTGATGGTGCCTTGAATGTTGACTTGACAGAATTTCAGGTAAGGTATATTTGAATCTTGACATTCCTGCCTCCAGTACATAATGAATATGATTCCTGTTGGTTTTTGTTATGTTTATAACGTCCTTCTTGTTATTTCATTTAGACCAACTTGGTGCCATACCCTCGTATTCACTTCCCTCTGGCCACTTATGCTCCAGTGATCTCAGCAGAGAAAGCTTATCATGAACAGTTGAGTGTTGCTGAAATCACCAATGCCTGCTTTGAACCAGCCAATCAGATGGTGAAATGTGACCCACGTCATGGTAAATATATGGCCTGTTGTTTGTTGTACCGTGGTGATGTGGTACCTAAGGACGTGAATGCAGCCATTGCTACAATCAAGACCAAGAGAACCATTCAGTTTGTAGATTGGTGTCCAACTGGATTTAAGGTTAGTGATTAGGCTGTATATATATATATTTTTTTTTTTTTTTTTTCTCTTTGATTAAAGGCCCTTTGTAATTTAGAGAATGATGAGCAATGTATTGTTACTTTACCAAATCCAAAGTTTGTTAATTAACAAATGTATTTGTCATGTACGGTAGGTTGGAATCAACTACCAGCCTCCCACAGTTGTTCCTGGTGGTGACCTGGCCAAAGTACAACGCGCTGTGTGTATGTTGAGTAACACCACAGCTATTGCTGAGGCCTGGGCCCGTCTGGATCACAAGTTTGATCTGATGTATGCAAAGCGTGCATTTGTCCACTGGTATGTGGGTGAGGGTATGGAAGAAGGAGAGTTCTCTGAGGCTCGTGAAGATTTGGCAGCATTGGAAAAGGATTATGAAGAGGTTGGAGTGGATTCAGTTGATGCTGAAGGTGAGGAAGAAGGGGAGGAATATTAGACAAAACAAGACCACCCTGGAAGAAAATTCATGCTGCTGTGTTTTGAGATTGAGTTCTGTGATATTGTGTTGTAAGATTGAGGAATAAATGTTTGTTTCATGACTAGTGAAGTGTGGTTTTTATGAATTTGTGTTGCTTGTGACAGCTTATCATGAAATTTCCTTGGAACAACAACATTTGTAGGTTCCTAATAACAGTTTTGGCCGAGAATTCTCATTTACTAAATATGACAAAAGGAAATGATAATACAATTTGTTTTTCTAGAGATGAATTAAACCCTGTGCCAGTGGGAACTTTGAACTACCTTACTTTCTAAACTTTGACCATAATGACTTCCCCCACCCTATTTCCTAGATTTCCCCATGAAATACCAGTTAAGTTCCTTGGTGGAATAGGATGTTTTATTAAATTTTAGGTTTGGGAATGAGTTACCTAGTTATTGAGCAGGCCCTATTACGACCCTAAGAAGTGATCCAGATTTAGACCGCTATCCTTCTAGACAAACATCGGTAGTGAATATTACCTTTCAAAGAGCCGCAACACCGTATTAGAAGTCTGGCGATTCCGGTTTACAGATTGTATCATTTTTAGCTGAAGGAGTGCCCTCCATGTACGAAGCTTGGACAGTCTGGTGGAAAAAACAACCTTTCCAGAAATCTATGAGAAAAATATCTAGGTAAACGCATAATTTCAACCGGTTTGTGGTTCCAATATAAAAAAGAAAAAACTTTGTCCCCTCCCCCACAGGTGCTGCGATAAAATTATTTGTTCCGAGAAGCTATGATCTGCCGTGCTGAGAGACCACTATGAGACATCGATTGATTCTAATATTTATATTCTCCTATACCCTATTCTCGTTACATTTCCTGTGATACTGACAAGGAGAATTTGCTTGACAATCATGACCTCTAGCCATTTTAAGAGCGATAATGCAAAGAGAAATTAGAAGCCAGCCCCTCCTTAGGGTTAAAGGGTCAACTGAAAATTCTGGCCTGCAGAGAACTCCCAAGGGGACACCCCTTATAAGACAGGTTTGTAATATACCTGAGTTTATATTATTATTCCAGGTGACGTTGACGTCATTGTCACCGTATATAATAGAGAGCTGGTACATGATCAGTTCAGTTTTTGATTTGGAGTCATCTCTGTTCGTCGGTTACTTGTCGAAGGAGGGATCATTTATTTCCAGCTTCCGTTTTTCTTTCTTCTCTGCCATTAAATTCTATACCGTCCGAAATGGTAAGTTAAAAAGTTTCACCTTTAGGATACAAAGGACACAAAGCTGTTTTAAGAACTTTGAAAATTCTTACAAAATGATAATATAGTTTTGGTTACGTCCTCCGCTAGCGAGAGTGTATTTCTATCCATGTCGGTCAAGCTGGTTGCCAGATCGGTAATGCTTGTTGGGAGTTGTACTGCTTGGAGCATGGAATTCAGCCTGATGGCCAAATGCCCAGTGACAAGACAATCGGTGGAGGAGATGATTCCTTCAACACATTTTTCAGCGAGACTGGAGCAGGAAAACACGTTCCTCGCGCCGTCTTTGTTGATTTGGAACCAACTGTCGTCGGTGAGTGAAAGGAGAACAGTCCTGTGTTTTATTTTCGACATTCTGCTTAATGAAAAATTTGGAGTCTAAAATGAATTGCTAAACTTCACCAAGTGTATGCCCTCTTCAGATAGGAAAATATTTGTTCTGGTGATGTGAATGTTGAATAAATTCGAAAATATGCTTGGATCGATCATTTCCATATTCATCTTTGTTAACGTGGCACTAATATTACAGCGCACGAAATGGTGATTGCCAGCTAATTTCGAAACTGCAACTCGCGTCCATGTTTTATTACTAAAACCATTAAAGACATAATGTGTTATTGAAATTAAAACAAAATTCGATAAACAGATGACAACCTCCATGTGTTAAATTGAATTTTTACTTGAACATTACTGTCTTAAGTGAAATATTAATATCAATATAAAATCAGATAAATCGTGAAAGAAATAGCGCGTTTGCTGTTTTTACTTCCAGCCATAATGGCAATATCGAGGACCGGTAATTATTATTGCTTTGCCAGCGAATAAAGTCGCTTTCACCGTCAACTTCCGGTTAGGAAAAACTCGCCCACCTGCAAGATGGTGCATCTGTAAAATTGTGTCGTATCAGTGAGGCAAGGGTGTCAAAGTCTACATTAATTTCCGTGGTTTGGCAAAACGGTTTAGTTTTGTGTCGGTGCTACATGGAAGAATTTATGGTCAGGAGGTTGGCTGTGGCTACCGGGTACTAATCTAGCCGAAAAGAAGACATTCTTTAGCGGTTCTCGGCAACCGCGTCAGAATAAACTGTTTGAGTCGGATAGTCTAATTTTGCAGTCAAGGCTTAAACAATGAATGCTTTTCTAAATTTTATTCCTTTATCGTGATGTTTTGAGCCAGAAACGCCCCCGCAGCGCTTTGTTTTAAAAAGACAAAGTAAATGATACTCTCTACAGGTTCAAGCTGTTACACTTAATGTTTTACCCCATCAGTTGTCTCAGACTGGGTGACGTCTCTGCATGTTTCTGAAAACTGGGTCAATGTCAGCCTCAACGCTTTAGTCAGAAAACAAAAAACAAAAAAAGAATGTGTGCGAATATTAGCGGCAAAAGTATCAGACAATGAACTTTTCAAACTATTTCATGCATTCAAAACTGTTTCTACCTACGGGACACTTAGTTTGCCCCCAATGGAAATTAATTAAAGGGTTCGAAATTAATTCCCCGTCTTTATTTGTTCAACAATTGTTTGACTCTCTGTATATTGGATCCTTGTCATAGATAATTTATGGCCACCAGGACTTTCTCACGAAAATAATATTGCTAATTTCCTATCTTTATTACGTGGGAGAGGAAATATATTTGCATGCATTAGCGTTCGATGAATCGTCATCCAAGACGAGTCTCTCCGATATCAGTTCTTAACAAGAGAATACGGAAAAATTGGAAAATGAAGAGTCTTGAGCGTTGTATTTGTCTCTGGTGCCTCTTTATGGGAAACGAATCCTTTTTCGTTTGGTAAATTGGCAGCTGAATGATAATAAGCGATGTTAAACCTTCGCTTTCGAAAGTGTTAATAAGACTTTTCCGGATATACTTTTGATGGACAAGAACAATAAGCAAAATTTTAAAATAAATTTTAAAAAATACGCTAAGGACGTTGTCCAAATGAATACAAAGCGAGAGAAAAGGACTTGGTTAAGAGAGAAAGTTCCAAGAGGACCTGTGACCCTGCTCCACCCCTCCCTCTCGATCAAAAAGTATTGACTCGTAAGAAAGCTCGAAAGCTTGACTGTCAGCCTTGTTTTGCAGATTTCTCAGGATCGAAATTCTCTATAATAACGCGAATAATTTCAGAGTAATTATAGCTCGTGGCTGCAAGAACTTTCTTAGAACTAATTTAATTAAGTTGTTGTTCACTGGCTGTTTTAGATGAAGTACGTACTGGCACCTACAGACAGCTGTTTCACCCTGAACAGTTAATTACTGGAAAAGAAGACGCCGCTAACAACTATGCTCGCGGACACTATACTGTCGGAAAGGAGATGATTGATGCAGTTCTGGACAGGATTAGAAAACTGGTAAGCTGCACAGAAAGATAGAATTAAAATTAAATTCCTCGAAAGCAACTTTCTGATTGCTACATAACAGACTCTTCCTTAATCATTCCTCTCTAAGGCTGATCAGTGCACTGGCTTGCAAGGTTTCCTTATCTTCCATTCTTTTGGTGGTGGTACGGGTTCTGGATTCACTTCACTGCTCTTGGAGCGTCTGTCTGTGGACTATGGCAAGAAATCCAAGCTGGAATTCTCTATTTACCCCGCACCACAGATTGCCACAGCTGTTGTGGAGCCTTACAACTCCATTCTGACAACACACACCACTCTGGAGCATTCTGACTGTGCCTTCATGGTGGACAATGAGGCCATCTATGACATCTGCCGTCGTAACCTGGACATTGAGAGACCCACTTACACCAACCTGAACAGACTGATTGGTCAGATTGTGTCGTCCATCACTGCATCGCTCCGTTTTGACGGTGCCTTGAATGTTGACTTGACAGAGTTTCAGGTAAACTGTCTCTGGATCTCAGCATTTCTTGTCATATTGATTCGGTGGTGATATGAAATCATTTCAATTTCTGTCTTGTTGTCTTATTTAGACCAACTTGGTGCCATACCCTCGTATTCACTTCCCTCTGGCCACTTATGCTCCAGTGATCTCAGCAGAGAAAGCCTATCATGAGCAGTTGACAGTTGCTGAGATTACAAACATGTGCTTTGAACCAGCCAATCAGATGGTTAAGTGTGACCCACGTCATGGCAAGTACATGGCCTGCTGTTTGCTATACCGTGGTGATGTGGTACCTAAGGATGTGAATGCAGCCATTGCAACAATCAAGACCAAGAGAACCATTCAGTTTGTTGACTGGTGTCCCACTGGATTCAAGGTTTGTTTCCGGTCAATTTACCAGGAAATAATGTATATTGAACGAAAAAAATCGGTGGTGCCCGATGGTTGTCGAGCTAGACTACGGATTAAAAGTTAAGGGCGTTATATTATAGGGCAAGATACCTTATTCTCTAAGAACCTCTCACCGCTGAGGTATTTTAATTCAAGTGATTTGTCTGAGAAACATTACGGACTACTATGGTAACTTGCAATGGGAAAAAATCCCCTTCAAGGGAGAGTAACTACACTCTAAGTCGTTCCGTGCAGCAGAAATCGGGTAAAGCTCTCACGGCGCGTACCAGTCAGCCTGTGAGCAGGCATGCTTTTGTATTTAATGCGTATAGAAATGAATCAAAAACTGCTGCGCCGCGTCTGTTCAATTGGCAGAATTTTTTTCTTATCATAGGTTGGAATCAACTACCAGCCTCCCACAGTTGTTCCTGGTGGTGACTTGGCCAAAGTACAACGCGCTGTGTGTATGTTGAGTAACACCACAGCTATTGCTGAGGCCTGGGCCCGACTGGATCACAAGTTTGATCTGATGTATGCAAAGCGTGCGTTTGTCCACTGGTATGTGGGTGAGGGTATGGAAGAAGGAGAGTTCTCTGAGGCTCGTGAAGATTTGGCAGCATTGGAAAAGGATTATGAAGAGGTTGGAGTGGATTCGATTGATGACGAAGGGGAAGATGAAGGAGACGAATACTAAAAAGAAATGTCACATATACCGTTTGTTTAAAGTTGAACATTAAAACTTTATTCCATGAAACTTAGAATGATTGACGATGTCTTGCACAATTCAATTTCACGATTAAGAAGTTTGGCATCTATCAGAAGCAAGGTTTTAGTTTTGAACTGTTGAGTGTCCAGGGATGGTTTGCGAGCAGTTTCTCATTGGCGTTGCGCGTCGCGAGCGATGAAGCGCGCGAGTTTTCAGTTGGAGCGCGATACGAGAGGTCTGCAAAGTATGAGCCCACGTTCCCCTCGCGCACCAGTTCGAATAGCGCGCGCGAATCCTTCCAAACGAATATTTTTAAGTCGAAAAAAAAGCAGGGATATCAATAATTGTCAATGACTCCCTTCAAGAAAAAAACATAAATGATTAATTATCGGGATGAAAACATTCTTGGGAATATTTACGGAGTTTTCTCCTGCTTTGAACCTGGCTATAATATAGTCTCACCAGACCTAAAATGCGGGATGGAGAACTTACTTGCTGTATTCGCATTCGAAGAACAGAAAAATACCATGTGGATCAAATGGGGAAAATTGGTATGTTGAGTAACCCCTTGATAAAAGAGATGACTTTTTTTTTGTAAAGATATTAAAAATGTACGAACTTTTTCACCCAAAATGAACTGAAATTCTTTAAGGATAATGTACTACTAGGAGAAGGAGTACTAAACCTAGAGGTGGATAACTCGCTAAAATGCCTCGTTGCAACATAGTAAGCGGTCACAAAACAGGTAATACACTATGAAAGTAAGGCGAGGTATTTTTATTGAGAATTTGACTGTATTTTTTACTTCCTGAAAGTGGTGGTAAGTATTCCCTTACAAACTCTTATATTTTCGCCATGACTCTTAGTTTGCAAAATGATCATCTCACAGCTAGAGCCTGGGCTGCCGGTGTTTCATATTACTCAAAACTCGCATCCGTTTTTCGCATGATTTACGCAGGGCCTTTTAATTTCCATTCATGTTTTGCCTTCAATACCACATAACCTCGACTTTTTCCAGTGACACTATCCAATGGTAACATGGATTGGAAAAGCACTTCAATAGGAGCCCAATATGGTGGGTATTTGTATCTTGCTGTGTCAAATATCAGCACAGAGTTTGATTCTTTGTCCACTGCGGCAATTGGACTAAAGTGGCCTTCTCCAACCTGCCCTAGAGCTACTCTCGAAAAAGAAATTGCCATAAGCTCCTCTGGAAGTTCTCCATCGAGTAGCTCCTCTTTGGACTGCTTACCACCAGTACAAACTCGCTCTAAAGTATGAGTAAACTCATCATAATGTTCTTTCGAGTAATTTGGTCGAACAACGCTCGCTACTGCTCCATTGCAACTTGCCAAATACACAAATTCATCCAAATTGATTCCAGATTTTTTCACTTCTTCAAGTGAATAACAACAATCCAGAAGTTCCACGGTGTACCATCGCCAGGTTGACATAGGACTCCACTGACGCTGAGGATCTATTCGCAAGGCATTTAGGATGATTGCTAAAGTACTAACCCCGCAATAAGAAGGTTCGGATTGAGCATCATAGCACGAAGATAAGGATAGGTAAGGAACAGCATAACCAGTTTGCAGAGCACGGCAGAGGCGAGTTTCGGATTCCTTAGATCGGTAGTCAACGAGAAAACGAGGCAACGGAGATCCGTAAACCGTTTTAGATGAAAGAGTCGACATCGAGCGCCTTCTGTAAAAATGACGGGAAAGCTTTTTCAACCATGATTCTTTTGAACTTAATGAAGCCCATTGAATTCGTATTTTGCCATGATTAACGCAGCCACTCTCATAATTCCATTCTTGTTTTGCCTTCAATACCACGTAACCTCGACTTTTTCCAGTGACACTATCCAATGGTAACATGGATTGGAAAAGCACTTCAATAGGAGCCCAATATGGTGGATATTTGCATCTTTCCGTTTCAAATATCAACACAGAGTTTGATTCTTTGTCCATTGCGGCAATTGGACTAAAGTGGCCTTCTCCAACCTGCCCTAGAGCTACTCTCGAAAAAGAAATTGCCATAAGCTCCTCTGGAAGTTCTCCATCGACTAGTTCCTCTTTAGACTGCTTACCACCAGTACAAACTCGCTCTAAAGTATGAGTAAACTCATCATAATGTTCTTTCGAGTAATTTGGTCGAACAACGCTCGCTACTGCTCCATTGCAATTTGCCAAACTCACAAATTCATCCAAAGTTATTGTTCCATTGTCCCTCACGACTTCCAATGCACCACAGCAAAATAAAAGTTTCGCAGTATACCATCGCCAACTTGACAAAGGACTCCACTTACGCTGAGGATCTATTCGCAAGGCATTTAGGATGATTGCTAAAGTACTAACCCCGCTATGAGTTGGAACGGTTTGAGTATTATAGCACGAAGACAAGGATAGGTAAGGAACAGCATAACCAGTTCGCAGAGCACGGCAGAGGCGGGTTTTGGATTCCTCAGATCGATAGTCAACAAGAAAATGAGGCAACGGAGATCCGTAAACCGTTTTAGATGAAGAAGTCAACATCGAGTGCCTTCTGTAACAATCACACGAAAGCTTTTCCAACTTTGATTCTTTAGAACTTATTTTAAGCCCATTGTTTCGACTGATTTGATGATCTCAATGGGGTTTTCCGTCACCTTTCAATTCAAAAGGCCAAACTTATGACCGCAAATTGTGAAAAATACAGTACCTTTACTGTTAACCGTCATAAAAGCCAGGCTGTATTAGACGCCTGTTCACGCCACTTAAAGAACGAAATGGAGCGAAGCCCCATAACGAGCTTTGCCTGCCGAAAAAGTCATGCAAATCAGGGTTTGGTGTATAACAGCATGATTTGGTTTTGTCAACCGAGTTGATATGTGATTTGGCCACTGTAAATAATCTTAAGCTGATGTTTCTCGCGTTAGCCCTTTGTCACAGAGAGTCCACTCTGACGCGTTTCCAGGCGTTCAGTGATTAAAACGGAGGGCAATATGATGCGATATTAAACGGTGCGGTGGGCGCAAAGGTGCGAAAACACAAGGGAGGTTTGGGTCGAATCGAGTAATGTTCACTGCACAACACGATCCTAAATTCTTCCGTTTTTATTTATAATCTTTCCCAATCCAACTGCTGCATGTACGGGCGAAGATAACAGTAATGATGTTTTTATTTCCAGCAAAAAAATCTCATGTCGTATAAAGTACTATTATTAAAAGTGCCGTTTTATTGTCACCTTCAGACATAAAAGCAGACGAAAAAACAATTGAGTAACTTCGTGAATAGAAGAGAGCGGCAACAACAAAAGTTCGTTGTTAATGACGTCTCTACTAAGTCGGATGGAAAATGGTCTCCTTGCCATTCTTAAATTACTTTTTGGCAGCTTCTACAGAGAAGAATATTTCGAACAAACACTGAGATATTTCTACAACATGATTCATATTGCTTAATAAACAGGTTGTATAAGAAAGGGAATTACAATTTAACGAAGACGAATTTGCATTTGCATTTGCATTTGCATCATTGTTGTTTTTATTGTATATTAATGACATATCTGAATTCTTATCATCTACAGTAAAATTATATGCAGACGACACGAAGATCTACAGAGAGATAATTGACCCTATAAAAGATAGTCAGCTTCTTCAGGATGATCTTAATAATCTTAGCGCATGGGCTCGTAAGTGGCAGCTACGTTTCAACGCAGACAAATGCGAATCTATGCGAATCACGCATTTACGCGATAAGTCGGTAACTAATTATTTCTTAGAAAAGCCCCTGAAAGACGTGACTAATTTTAAAGATCTCGGTGTCACACTAACTAGAGATCTTTCATGGGGCCATCACATAAGTATCACTGTCAATAAAGCGAACAAAGTTTTAGGTTCCATTAAACGCTCAGTAGGCACCGCTAACACAAATGTTTTTTCTATGCTGTACATGTCTCTGGTACGGCCAATCTTGGAATATGCGGTACCTGTTTGGTGTCCTTACCTTGTTAAGGACATCCATGCCCTTGAAAATGTACAGCGAAGAGCCTCAAGACTCGCTTTAAATCAACGCAAAGGAGAAATGTCCTATGAAGACCGATGCAAACTGTTAAAATGGCCCACTCTCTCTGACCGTAGAACTTACTTATCTTTAGTCGAATGTTATAAGATAGTTTTTGGTTTTTATCATTTAAATTTTGAAGACTTCTTTGATATTGCCACGATTCGGTCTACGAGAGCAAATCATCAATACAAACTCTATATTAAACCAGCTAGACTTAATTGTTACAAAAATTCTTTTTTTATTAGGATTGTCAAATTATGGAACGAGTTACCGGGTGATATAGTGGAAGCTGACAGCTTTCAGCATTTTAAATCTAAACTTAAATCGTACTTAAATATTTGATTGTAATGATTTTGATTTATATTTTGTCTTTTCTTTTAAGGGAGTTTTTACACAGGGATAACCTCTTAACTTCCTTTTCTAGAAGTATTTTCTTTTTAGTTTTATTTGTATATAATAGTTATCATCTGCTTCTGGAATAAATAAAGTATGTATGTATGTATGTATGTATTAGCTGCAGACTTTGTTAATACTCATGCTCACGACTGTGTTTCTTATTTCAAAAAACTGAATTCGTCTTTTGCCATGATTTACGAAGTCACTTTCATAATTCCATTCTTGTTTTGCCTTCAATACCACTTAACCTCGACTTTTTCCAGTGACACTATCCAATGGTAACATGGATTGGAAAAGCACTTCAATAGGAGCCCAATATGGTGGGTATTTGTATCTTGCCGTTTCAAATATCAACACAGAGTTTGATTCTTTGTCCATTGCGGCAATTGGACTAAAGTGGCCTTCTCCAACCTGCCCTAGAGCTACTCTCGAAAAAGAAATTGCCATAAGCTCCTCTGGAAGTTCTCCATCGACTAGTTCCTCTTTAGACTGCTTACCACCAGTACAAACTCGCTCTAAAGTATGAGCAAACTCATCATAATGTTCTTTCGAGTAATTTGGTCGAACAACGTTCGCTACTGCTCCATTGCAACTTGCCAAATACACAAATTCATCCAAATTGATTCCAGATTTTTTCACTTCCTCAAGTGAATAACAACAATCTAGAAGTTCCACGGTGTACCATCGCCAGGTTGACATAGGACTCCACTTACGCTGAGGATCTATTCGTAAGGCATTTAGGATGATTGCTAAAGTACTAACCCCGCAATAAGAAGGTTCGGATTGAGCATCATAGCACGAAGATAAGGATAGGTAAGGAACAGCATAACCAGTTTGCAGAGCACGGCAGAGGCGAGTTTCGGATTCCTTAGATCGGTAGTCAACGAGAAAACGAGACAACGGAGATCCGTAAACCGTTTTAGATGAAAGAGTCGACATCGAGCGCCTTCTGTAAAAATGACGGGAAAGCTTTTTCAACCATGATTCTTTCGAACTTAATGAAGCCCACTTTGCCATTTGATTTGATGGTCTCAATGTGGTCTTCTGTTACCGTCAAATCGCAAAAATCTTCAACACCAAAATACAAAATCTTGGCCACCAGCAAGTATGAGACGCGGCTGATCTATCTCGCTATGCCTCACCAATAAGCATTAATATTCTTTAAAATAATTCAATGACAGGTTCCTAATGAGGACAGAATTTGAATAACTTAATTCTGTTTGTTTATTTATTCCTTTATCTAGTGGCGAGTTGGATTTTTTGTAAGTGTGTTCTTGATTGAAGAAATGTAAAATGGTTTCCGTGTTTACATAGCCTGATGTAAACACGCGGGAGGTTGGGAGAACACGAGATAAAAGCACACTCCGACATCCGTCAGAAGGAGGTCATCTCGGGTAGATTTCCGATTACGAAATCCGAGCTCGCCCGATGTTGTCTTCGTGATGAAGGCCCTATTTAGCATATTAGACCCGCAAAACAGAGTAGAAACGAACACGTGCTTCGTTTTCGCTCATGACTTCGTATTAGGCGTAAGATATTGCTTTTTTTTTTTCGTTGCTTACCTTTATTACAGACTCCACAAAATTTTTGCCATGCCTCCTTTTCACGGATGGCCGATTACAACTACAACATAGTAACACCTCCACGAAATCTGTCAAAAGGAGGATTTTAAAACACCGGAAATGGAGAGGAAAGATAAATGATACGGTCGATTAACTCCCAGACAATTGAATGGTCCAAACTCGCAAAGGCGGGAAATTTGTTATCGTGCGAGATATCAAAGTATCTGTTTGCTCACTCAATTCGTATTCAGCGTTCGGCCGTATTCCAATCGATAATTTCGCTTTCTGAACAAAATTTCCAATTCTATGATGGCACGTAAATTAACTTCTCAAGAAGTGAGTTCATTGTTTGAGAGAAAGTTGTCTGAAAGGTCAGGTCTGGTGAAGGATGTCAGGTCAGCAGAGTTCATTCTTCGAGAATATGAAACTACCACCGTCACCAAATTCTGTTGTAGCAAGTCAACTGACAAAGGTTTTGGAAACACAGGTGAGAGGCCAATCTTCTTGTCATATGCGAGTGTATTTTTCCGTCATGTAATATCCTGGGCTTGATGTTTCTTGGTAGACATTTGAATAAAGTAGGGGGATTTGATCTAAAGGCACTTAGGGGGGATGGTGAGCGGTAGATGAGAGTTGACTGTAAGAACGATATCTCACTTATTTGACGGGCCCTATGTATGCTCGTAAGTAACAGGTAACTAGGTATCATTATCGATGTCATGATCCTTTTTGACACATTATCGTCTAAAGGAAGGGTGACAAGTTGACTATGCTTCTCAAATTTGTAAAAATTTGTTTTGTAACATAGACTTGGCAGCTAAAAAACACAAGGTATTATCGGAGGATAGTCGTCTGCCATTTGATCACGTCCCATTTGTCGTGGTAAATCACAAGGTATACGATTGTCAACATGGTGTAGATAGACATCTAAGCGAGAAAAGGAAAAACCAAGCGGTACGTTGAAAGTATTTGTATTTAAATGATTTTGCAGATTTTTTATTTTGCGTTAATTAATAACTAAAGGTCAAGATCAAGTAGCCTTGAGTTTCCTCCTCCTTGCATAAAGATAAGAGAGTAGATGATCTGCAAAGAGGACTCGATAGGATAGGATATTTCAATGTCCAACATGGAAGAAAGTTTCAGTGGAAACGTGGTGTTATATCACTGCTTCAAAAGTTTTCATTAACAAGAAGACTTCTTTTTTCCAAAAACATAGGCCGGTGACCACGCCTATCGAAGAAATGGAGCTGGTAAGCTTTTACAAGAATCAAGAAAACTCAACTGTCCCGCTCAAGTGCACATGAGAGAAATCATCAAATTTCCGGAGTTTACAAGGTAAGTCGGAATAAAGAAATTGCAAAATGTAATTAAAACAAGGAAAACGCCGACCTATAAATGACATCAAAAAAACGTCAATTTGTGTTCCTCCTTTTGACCTCTAGATCTCGCAAAAGACAGAGTGGCGCTGTAAGAGTCATTCCAAAAAGCTGTGCAACGCCATAGATGCTGGAACGGCAAAAACTGAAAGGTGGATTAACATCCATTTTCCCTCAGTCGATGAACACACCGTGCACCCAACTGGAGAAGTAAGCTCTTACAATTAAATACCCAGTTACCGTCGTCACAGTTTTTGTTGCGGGCTACGTAACTGGTCCTTCTCATAGAAATGAGTGGGTCAAAAACCGCATTTAGTCGTGTACGTAAGAATTATTTTTCGATTTTCTTAATCTCATTATTTACTTTTTTTACGCTTGATTTCTGATTCATTCATTTCTTTGTTAATTTTGAATTTAGGCAGGAGGTCTGTTTCAGCGCATAGATGAGAGGCTCGTGGCAAAAATACAAGAACTCGTATGTGCAGGAGCAAGATCAGAGAAAGAGATACGCCGACATTTAAAGATCTTTATGCAAAGAGAATTATATCGAGGGAAAAAAGCGCCATTGAAGACCAACAGACGCTTTTATCCCTCCAAAGTTACGATTAGAAGTCACATGTACAAATCCTTAGTCAAAGAAAGGTTCTCGAAAATTGACCAGGAGGATCTTCAGGAAAAGGTGAAGCTTTGGAGGGAGATTTCTCCTGAGGATTATTCTGCGTTCCAGCCCTATGTAACTTACAACGAAGAGGGAGAGGAACGAAATGGGGATGATGATGATAGCAGTCGTAGCGATGGTGAGGAGGATGATGAAGATATCATATTGAAGACGCCAACTAAAGGGCTCCTATTTGCACACCAGACGAAAGATCAATGACGGCTTTAAGAACGCTATGGAAATGAAATAAGTATGCTAGACGCTACTTATAAGACCACGAAGTACAGCCTCCCTCTTTTCTTTGTAGTTGTGAAGACCAACGTCGATTATCAAATTGTAGGCTCTTTCGTCATCCAAAGCGAAACGTCAGATTCCATTTATGAAGCCCTCTCGATAATTAAGTCTTGGAACCCCACCTGGAACCCCTCATATTTTATGGTGGATTTCTCGGAAGAGGAGATGTTTGCAATTGGCAAGTTATTTCCAGGTATTAAGATTCTTTCTTAAAGCAGTGTCACACTGCAAAAATAGATATCTATGGATTCGTAATTTATGACCATTTATGGTTTTATAAGAGAAAGATGCGAGCACAGTCACCATCTTCTAAAATCTAATACGTCTAATGAACGTCTTGATTCTGAAACAAACAAAGTACACGACAAAAATCAACTCCCATGATCACGTTTACAATAAAATTCTCGACAGGTGGAAGAGTATTTTGTTACTGTTTCTCCCTCTAAATAATTATTAACATTCGTCAACGAATGTTAAGCTGGTGCCAGTTTGATTCTTTCATGCAAAGTAACTTCATTCATTTTATCCTTTTTTTCCAGTGACAAAATAGAGAGTGCGATCTACATCTGCGACTTTCATCGTGAGCAGGCATGGAAAAGGTGGCTTTCAAAGTCCAGCAATGGCCTATTGAACGAAAAACAAAAAGTCCTTGCAAAGCTGCGAGCGATAGCTAAGGCCCGCACGGAAGAAGAGTATCGGCATAGATTGAGCGACCTCCAGGATAGCGAAGAATGGAGGACAAATACCAACTTAAGTAACTATATCACAAAGACATGGCTGCCTCAACATAAGGTATATGCATACTTACCATCATATTTTCTTGAATTTCTTGCTGGAAAAGCTAATTTTTAATTCTTTTATAGAAATGGGTATGGGCGTTCAGAAAAGACCGCTTCCTTACAACTATCAACACCAACAATGGCGTTGAAAGGCAGAATAAGGCTTTCAAGTACGATTACCTAGCAGGAATCAAACAAAGAACCTTGAGTGGGATGCTCTCAGTGCTAATAGATGAGTTCCTTCCTGACAAGTATCTCAAGTAAGTAATTCCTGCTTTCCGTGTCCAGTCACATGCTGTCTATATTTGGAACATTTTGTGTTTATTTGTACACTTTGGTATAGAACGTCTCGGTTTCAGTGTGAAATGCCCGAAAATTTAGTAATGAATGAATAAATGAATGAATAGAAAGATGTTTTATTGTTTTAATAAATTTTAACGGACAGTTAAATAGTCTAATGAAAGAAAGGGAAAAGAAAGTTATTTTTCAATATGAGAGAGTGACTAAGTGGAAGGCGAGACAGTCTGTAAAGGCGTGATACAAATACCATTACCATGGAGTAAAAAGGAACATTCTGATGGCCTTTTTGTGTCTCAGGTATGTGGAATTGAATACAAAACTTCAAGCAAGTTTTCGACGCTATAACTCTGCCATCCCCTCCTATTTAAGAGAACGACCGCACCACATCATAAAACATTCCATGGACAGGCTATCTCTTGCGGAGTCTATCCCAAGTAGCAAAGTCACAGTTATTGACATGGAGAATGGCGAGTTTTTGGTGAAAAGCCAAAATAGACTCGAAGAGAAGAAGATGTACAAAGTCATGTTTGGGACCAAGCAGCCAAGCTGTGAGTGCTTTGATTGGGAGAGGCAACGGCTGCCATGCAAACATTTTTTTGCCGTATTCCAGCACGTCCCGTCATGGTCGTTCGATAGACTTCCAAAAGAATATCGAGATTCCCCATTCTTCAGTGTCGATAGAGATGTGCTCTTAGCTGCTGAAAAGGAAGAAGGCGACGGTATTGCCGATGGGAAAGTAGTCGACTCACCTCCATGTGTGCATGACGAAGTTCACGATCTTCAGAAGCAATCGTCGCAGTTTGAAAATATACCTCAATCGACTTTACGACCCCGAACCCACGCTGCAAAATGTTGTGAACTATTGGGTCAGATAAAAAACCTGACCTACACTGCAGAGGCGTGGGAAGTTGGTGGGAGTTTACGGCAAGTTCAGGAAAAGCTTGAAGAGTGTCTCGACCTTCTGCAGAAAACAGCCCCCAAGGAGGACGGTATCATTCTGGAAGCTCCTCTACATTTCGCTACTACATGGCCTCAATCCTTCTAATCTGACATTTGACAGGAAGCTGATAAGACAACATCTTTTAAAGAGGCTGGAGAGTGGATCGTTCGACCCCTTTCCCCTCTCTAAAGTACCCGAGTGTCGAGACAGGAGGCCACTTTTTGTTCAAGAGGTCTCGGTAATGTGCGAGTGTAGAATGCCGAGAGAAGAGTCAGACTCGAAGTCTCCTTCTTGTTGTGTGAAATGTTGTAGCTGCAAGGAGTTTTTTTCACAGGAAATGCATTTCAACAATTATTTTGGAAGATTCAAGTGCAAACTGGCGTTGTCCAAACTGCGAAAGAGCCCTTAAGCAGGAAGAGAAAAATAACCATTAATTTAACATGTAGTATTAAAAACTGATTCTCAGAACTTCCCATTAATTGTTTATTAAGATAATCGTCGAAGTGAAATATATATGTGTAGTAATTTTTTATCTATGTAGAAGTCAGCTGAAAGAATTTTTAAAATGTATTCATGAGAAACTGTTTCTTATAGATCTTTCCCTAAGTACGCTCTCACGTTTAGAATTGAAAATCCTCATCTAAATATTGTAAAAAATATTATCGTGGAATATTTTCAATGATGATCATAGCACAACGCAGATAGAGAAAATGTAATAGGTGAGACAAGTCACGGATTATCCTTGTCGACAAAAGTAATATGGCCTGCTACATTATATTCAAACTTAATCTCCGTCCAATCGAGGTAATGTACAATTTTTTTTATCAATTACCATATTAGAAATAACAATATATCGCTTAAACTCTGAACGTAACTGCGTTAAATTTATTGCATCAGAAATCCAGAAGATTTCCGGTGTTTTAAAATCCTCCTTTTGACAGACTTCGTGAAGATGTCATTACGTTGTAGTTGTGATCGGCCATCCGTGAAAAGGAGGCGTCAAATGTATTTTGTGGAATCTGTCATATAGGTTAGCAACGGAAAAAAATGCAAATATCTTAACGCTAATACAAAGTCATGAGCGAAAACGAAGTAAGTGTTCCTTTCTACTCTATTTTGCGGCTCTAAAATGCGAAATAGGGCCTTCATGACAACATCGGGCGAGCTCGGATTTCGTAATCGGAAATCTACCCGAGATGACCTCCTTCTGACGGATGTCGGAGTGCGCTTTCCGCGTAGGAAACCACGACGCGAAGCGGAGTGGTTTCCAGCTTCTCAAGTGTTCTCCCAACCTCCCAAGTGTTTACATCAGGCTATGTAAACGCGGAAACCATTTCACATTTCTTTTATAAAATAACCAATGAAAGAGGTACGAAAACAATGTTTACATACACTCATGTAAAATGGTTTTATGGCCAATCAGAGCGCGCGTACTATTTGAATTATTTTATAATTTTGTTAGGGTTCAACTGAGTTAAATTTTTTGTCTGACACTATATGATTGTTATACCACAAGACCGGAGTCAAGTCGAGCCGGCCAAGACTCGGTAAGTACTGGGAATGTGTCTGGGAATGTACTTGTTACGCTTCAGAAAAACATCTGGGTGGTCATCAAACATTTACCAAGCGAGTAGGAGAAAAATTTGGGGAAACAGGGATCATTCACTAGATGCGATGTCTTCTAACACTCCTAGAACATTTTATGGGCGTTCTCTCCCTCAAAATCTGGTTGACTACCGATCTACGGAGTCCAAGACTCGCCTCTGCCGTGCTCTGCAAACTGGTCATGCTGTTCCTTACCTATCTTTGTCTTCGTGCTTTAATACTCAAGCTGAACCAGCTTATTGCGGGGTTAGTACTTTAGCGATTATCTTAAATGCCCTGCGAATAGATCCTCAACGTATCTGGAGAACTATTTGGCGATGGTTTACCGAGGAACTCTTAGAATGTTGTCGTCCGCTAGAAGACGTGAAAGTATCAGGTATCACTTTGGAAGAATTTGTTTGTTTAGCACACTGCAATGGAGCAGACGCCACCCTTGTTCGACCGAACGACTCGAACGAACAATACAAGAAATTTATTCAGATTCTAGAGCGAGTCTGCACTGGTGGCAGGGAGGTTAAAGGAGAAACGTTTGATGAGGAAAATCCAGAGGAGTTCATGGCAATTTCTTACTCGAGGAAGACTTTGGGACAAACAGGCGACGGTCATTTCAGTCCTGTTGCTGCAATGGACAAAGAATCAAACTCTGTATTGATGTTTGACACAGCCCGGTTCAAATATCCGCCCTATTGGGTTCCTATGGAAGTGCTCTTCCAGTCCATGTTACCACTAGATAGTGTTACAGGAAAGAGTCGTGGTTATGTGGTATTGAAGGCAAAATATGAATATCAAGGTCGAAAAGTTGCTTGTAATTGGAGTGAATGTAATTCTTTGGCAGATTGCCCAGAAAATGATTTACCAGTACCAAAGCCTGTTTATAAAAGTGGCCAGTGGCATTGCGGAAATTGGCCTTGTAGTGGAGGTCCTTTTGACACAATTAAACCAACTTAGTTTGGTTCACCAGCACTGGAGGATTTACAATCATTAGGCCACTTTGGAAAAAACAGTAATCCTTTTTCATAGGCAAGCTCAACCTTACTGGTTTGCAGTTATTCAAGTCTCCCTGACATGAGTTTTAGTATTCACATACCAGGGGCCTCTTCCCTGAAATGTGCCTTGTGTTGAGATTTCACATTAGTACAAGCTACAATTCAGAGAAATGATAAGATATGGTGTTTTCAATGGAAGTCTTTGCGGTCATTAAACAACAGCTGATTATCAGTGCAAAACAGTTGAAATTGGAGCAGTGACCTGAACCTCATTCAACTTCACAATTTTATTTAATTTTTTTGCATAAATTGTGTATAGTTGGATATCTTGAGAAAACTAGATGCAAATCCCTATGAATACTTAGATTCAGACATAGAAGAGGCATACACTCCTGTGCTTGAGCCAGTAGACTCAGATGATCAGTGAGCTCAAAGTTGAGTCAAGACAACACTGGTAATGCAGCTGAAAGGTGTTAGAAGAGAGGAATGCTGACAATTCAAGAGGGATCTCTTGTTACTCTCTGTCAAATTTTCATACAGTTAGAAAATATACCATTATACCAAAGAGAATATTTCTTTGTTGCATTAATTTTTTACTGAATGCTACCCTTGAATCGGCACAAAAAAAAATGGAAGTGGTTTTAAGATCACAAGAAAAAAAACTGTTACATCAAAGTTTAGTAATTTACTTGTACTGATAGGAAGAGTATTAATAATGAAGGTCAATATTGTTAACAAAAGTGGTGATTTGAAGGACATTAAACCAGGGTTAATAATCAAGAGAGTTTGTGTTTTTCAATATTAATTCATCCCAGTCTGGGAAATACTCCTCCTTGATGGTATAACAATGTGCTTCCAAGTTCTTCAATTGTGACCTGATAAGTTTTGCCTGTGGGCTGTGTGGAACATTCCAAAGGAATACTGCAACCAATCCAAATATTGCAGCATCTAAAAGGCATGGCTTGCTTCCCATGATAAACCTCTTTGTTCCTAGCACTTGTGATACAGCCCTTAGGTCCCTCTCTGCAATGCTGTAAATTTCCTCTCTAGAGTGCCGCCCAATTCCGTGACCCCAGAGGTTCTGGCGCAGATAATGAGATGCTAACCATGACATAACATAATTTAGAGGAATTGGTGTTACTCCCAAGAGAGGTGACATCGACCTTGTATCTGCCAGATCAGCCACAAAGCTATGATATATCAGAGTCCTGTTACAAGATTAAATGGAAAATTACATAAGACAAAGGAGAACTATTACAGTGCTGTAGGGAAGTGGTTTTGTGTATGGATCAGATCCTTGAAAAACAGAAAACTGTGCAAGCTCTTGGAGGCAGTGAGGGAGAGGAGGGAAGGGAGCCTTGCTGAAGCCAAACTGGAATTCTGTTAGGAAAGGAAGGTTTAAACTGGATTTTGCTTAAGTTTTACAAATGGTTTGCTGAAGTTTTGTTCATTTCAAGTGCTGTAAATTTGAAAAAGATCTGATCATAACCCTTGGAAAACATGTGGAGTGAATGTAATTAATCTTGTTCAGTCCATGTAACTTGTCTACACAGCTGGAGTCAGGAGCCCATTACCTGGAGCCTCCATACCAATTGTACCCTCGAGTCAACCCTGTCCCATATTCTTTTATTTTTAGAACTGAGATATATAGGGAGTTCTATAATTTCCCACAAAAACATGTGGCCTGCATGTGACGTAAACAATAGAGGACCACAGCTCTCATATGATTGGCTTTTATGTAAACACCCCCAAAGGTGCTTCTAAAAACAAAAAGATACAGGACAGGGTTGACTCAGAGGGTAAGTATGAAGGATGGAAGTTTCGAATAATGGGCTCCTGCTCAAGTGTAGACATCACCTAATTTGCAGCAAAAAGACATTTTGAGACACTTGTATGAGAGGAAAAAACCCTGAAATACATGACCTATTTTCTTTTTAAAAAAGTTTTATTGCTCTCCTACCCTTGCACATGACTCGTGCTTTGCACTTGCCTCTCTTCACCTAACAAATGCCGAAAAAATTAGGCTTGTTCTACAGCCTAATTCTGTGCAAGTTCCTGTTTGAGAAAAATAATGGAATGCATTCCCTCTTCCCACCTTGATTATGCTTTTGACAAGGTGCAAACTCCACCCCTATTGAAAAGCAACTGTGTATCTAAAAAGAAAATCAAACATGGAATCACTAACCCTTTCTCTCTCTCTCTCTCTCTCTCTCTCTCTCCCCCCCCCCCCCCCAACACCGCAGTGCCACACCCTCAAGGATACAAAAGCTGTAGACCTGGAGGATGTTTTTTTTTTGTTACAAACAGTTTAAAGTAAAAACAGATAAGTGTATTATATATTATTAGAGGTCGTACCAATACGTATTCTCCTCGAGTGTTACGAGCATGGTATGCGCGATGGCTTTTTCCTCGACACTCAGATGGGCATCGGGGTCCAATTGAAATTCTTCGTTGAGAAAACGGACAATAAAGTTTGAATCCGCAACGGACGTTCCATTATATTCAATCCATGGCACTTTGCCTTTGCTCGACATTCTAAAGCTGTAGTCGCTTTCATAGGGGACTTTGTTCATTCGTAAATAGGTCTCTAGCTTTAGACAAGATGGAGAAACATTTAAAACTCGGGAATTTGGAGGCATTTGATGAAGGACAACCTTTCCATGCCGTGGGCTCTGATTCTTCTTTGGCTTCAGTCTCATGGAAACTAAAACGGCTTGCACCACCAGCAGAAGAACTAGACAACCACAGGCGAAAAGAACAGCAAATATCACGCTATAAAGTTCGAACGCCATTAGGAACGGCTGTATATGTTGCGTGACGGAGCCAAATTTAAAAAAGGGTGTCGAATAGCAAACTCAAAACGAGGCCTCGACGTCACGGGATGCCATATTTTTCGCCGTGAGAAGACAGGACAGACGGCAGATAGAACAGAACTTTTCATGAATATTAGGACATCGAGGCGCTGTGAGGACCATCAAAATGCCGAAAATGAAAACTCAAGACAGTATAAAATAGCTCCGAAACATCTAAGGCTAAATTGTCGCAGTTTTTCTTAGGAATATAGCCAGTTAACTACTAACTGTGCTTCCTACAGCTAGCTAACCTACACTGTCAGCCGACAGAAGTTTATAGTTTTTTTTTCGGCCACAACCGTAAGTTTCTCTTGGTTATACAATCCTTGTTCTCGAATGGCTGACCCTGCCTCCAGGAAATCAGCAACGCTCAACCGGTTGCGATCGCAACTGCGACGAAAACGGGAATCTTTGGCCGAGCAATTTGACTTCAAAATGTACTTTGCAGTGGTTTTTAAAGATAAGGTAAGCAAATTATTTAGTGGCAGATATAGTAATAAATAAGTGGATTTTATCAACAATTCACGCAATTTCAACTTCGTAAAAAAGGTTTCTATTACACTCTTCATATACATTAAGTTATTCGTACTGTTTTGTGGTTTAATAGTTATCTTCTATTGAGATTGCAAGTTCGAATGTTGTTGGTTATCACAAAGTTTGAAAATTAGTCTGTAATAATGTTAAATAAAATTTGATCTAACGAAAACATTGGAGCACAAAACACTAATCAAAATGAATAGTGTAATTTTTTTATGATTTATGAAACGATCATACTAGAATTGTTATTGCTATAGTATACAGATGTGAGTATTTTGATTACAAATGTGATAAGTCTACATTCAGTATGAGTGATTCTCACTTTAAATTGACATAAAACAGTGAACCTCAGAATAAATAAATGAATAAAAAGTCAGGATTTAATAGGGCTCAAATGTATATCCTTTCTACTCCCATTGATTGCTCCTCAGAGCCAGGAGTCAAGAACTCTCACCCTTCACTACTCAAAACAATACCTGCCCACTTAAAGTAATATTTCTCTTGAGGTCATTCTCCTCAAAATTGTACCTTTAATAACTGGAAGGGGTATATCAGCACATATTGCTGTATTCCCTTCAGAACTGTTGATCACCTCATGGTTTTTATCTAAACATTGATGTAGTGGAACATTTTCTGCATAGTTAGAATGATAAAGCAATAATTATCTTTACAGCTGTAAGTAAAACATGCCTTTTGTTTTTCTTCCCATCTTCCAAAACCTCAACTCCCCCAAAACCAAAGAGTTTATGGACAATTCAATACACAAGGAGTCAACTTTAAATTGCTAGGATTTTGTTTTCACATTGTTTGATTGCTCTTAACTTCCTAGAGTTTTTACCAACTTACTAGCAACAGTAGTTGGACTCTTTACCATCCTGGGTCCAGTTGTGTAAACAGCGGACAATTCTATCCCACGGATAAATCGCTATCCAGTGGATAAGTGATAGCAAAATGTATAGCATTATCAACTCGATAGAGATTTATCCAGTGGATAGCATTATATGATCTTCAAACAACCGGGGCCAGTAGTTTTGAGAATTGCTGTTGATGCAAGTACCTACCCACTGAAAGAAATGCACATGTGAAAGCACTAGTCCTCTTAAAAGTAGTCAATGTTATTTGTTACAGAAGAAGAAGTCTGCATTGTTTGAAGTGGCAGAGGTGATCCCAGTGATGACAAATAACTATGAAGACAGCATCTTAAAAGGTGTCAAGGTGAAAATAAATGTTTGTTTATGCTGGTGCTGATAAGGGATAGGAAATGAGTACAACAGTTGAATTTGCCATTTGCCCTGGTTTCTAAGAGTGACAGTTTAGTTAAGTTCTCACACATAAATTGTACATATATATAGTTATTATAGTCTGACAAATCAGTCATTAGAGTGGTCTTTTGTTCTCTGGAAGCTGCGTCGTAGTGCATTTAACCCTTCCACTACCAAGATCATATGAGTAATTCTCCTAACTGTTTGCTTACAATTCTTATGATGTTAGTTAAACTAATGATCTCCTAAATTAAATTTTTCTTTATTCTCATTTATTGATTTTACGTTGTTAATTCTAATTCGTAATTAATTCTATCTTAGTCACTCATCATAGTTAAAGGGTCAACTTAAATTACACAGCAGCCCCTATCTGGTTTAAGAGTGAAGAGCTAGTAACTTCCATAGGAGATAGAGAAAATACCAGCTTGAAGCTTCCTATTTAAATGCAAAGATAATTGTAAGAGTTTTACAAGTAGATAATATATTTTCTTTTGAAGGAAGAGGTGTATTCCCTTGAGAGCTCACAACAGCTGTTGGAGAAAGACATTGTTCAACTTCATGCTCCAAGATATCAGTGTTTAAGAAAAGTATGAAACTCTAAGTTAGACTGTGTGTTAGCTAGGCCTTGTTAATTAATTTTAATAGGTGCATTCTATCCAACTTCCTAAATTCATTTGTGGGATACACATTTGTCCCAACGGAAACTTAAATTGTCCTTAAAAATGAAGCTTTGCACAGATTGGATTTTTTATAGAATTATGGAATAAACAAAAAGCTTGTAACCCTTTGTACCATACTTGTCAAAGGTGGGTAACATTTATCTTTTGATCATTTCCTAGGATGTCATTGGATGTGTGCAGGAAATTGATTTCTTTTTGTGGCCTCGCAATGACATTGACAAGATAGTATGTCTGCTGTTTTCACGATGGAAAGGGGAGGAAAATTCTGAATATAGACTCATTCAGGTGAAGTTTTGTAATATTATCCAAAATGTAAGGATAGGGTGGGAGTACAAATGTAAGTGAAGACCCCCCCTGAATATTACTGTTTCTAATGTAGATTTATTTGTAATTTGCAACATTTTTTACTCCCCTCATGCACAACTGAATTGATGTTAGATTTGTTTGGCTGTTATCTCTAGGGCAAGTTTGAATTTGAAAACCATGACTACGAGAAACAGTTGCTACGACTTTTGACCAGAAAGGAGCACACTGGTTTGATCCTTAGCAATCCATCGCAATCATTGTTTCTTTTTGTTGACAAACATCATTGGCAGGTATAGGTTATTACAGTATGTTCCATGGAAGTAGTGTACTTTTGTCAGTATTGCTAGAGTAGATGTAGTCTCATAAAAAAATTGGTTTTTGCATTTTCACTTAAAATATGGACAATGAATTTATTACAAGCAAAGCTTGAAGAAAATTGTAAGCTTTTTGATGCAGATATCTGATTTGTCTTTGAACAAATATATATTACCATATTTTAGCCAAAAGAAGATCTTATGTCAACTTCCCTTAAACATTTTTGCAGCCAGCAACATAAAAAGCTTCCAAACAGCTCTCTCTGAAAAAAAAAAAAGTTATTGTGCAAGACTTGTTATTTTTCTCAGCTCCAAGTGTTATCAACAAAAAGATTTAGTCTCTCATTTAGTACTGCTTACTACAAAAAATTTTCTAACACAAAAAGACTTTCATGAATCGCATGCAAGATTTGCATCAGGAAACATCACTTTGGAATATTCTAACTTGATAATTCTTCAGTTTTTGCTTGATATATTTGGTTACATGAAGGACCAAAACCAAGTGTGAGTGTGGGTGAAAATTATTGACTCATTACAATGTGTTTTACTCCTGTAATTATTAAATATTTTCTGTGTACCAGGGGTATTTTCTATTTTTTATTTTAATAGACTGAAAAGAGTAAAGTTGGAGTATTCAAGATGTCAAGTTTTTGTCTTCATATTCCACAAGTAAAGATATATAAAATTTTGACTTGAAACACCTTTTTCTAAGAGAGTAGGAAGAGTTTTTAAGCATTTTTTTAATTTGAACATTCATTCTTGACAAGCTGAATTGGACATTAGGAATTTTTCATGTGTGCTTGAAAAAATCAACAGTGACAAAACTTTGTTTTCTCTGAAGATACATAGTGAAAGAGTGTGCCATTGTAATAGGAAAATTAAAGATGACATTTTCACAATTGACCAAGTGTGGGATCAAAATGCCAGAATACTGGCCAAGAACAGGGCCAAAGAAACTAAGGAAGTCACCCTAAGTAGGAAAAGTGGGCAATATGGGTTTGTTGGTCAGTTGATATCAGCCTGGATAGAATTGTACTAATTTTTGCTGCATGCAGAGTCAGCCCAAAAGAAATACATTTCTGAGGCATAAACTCCATGCCTCTGTTTAAGGGTTTTAGGGGTGCAAATGTTGAGTTCATTTCTTATTTATTTACTTCTTGTGTGCTTGTCTTCTAGGATCAATTGACCCACTGGGGAAGTGAACTCAGAGATGATGTCTTGGCACCTTTTAAGCCTGATTAAGATTTTTCGTTATAGCTTTTTTTCCTCAATACTGTGATGCAAAATTTGAACTGACCTTGTGAAAACACAACTATAAGTAAACTTCAGCCCCGTAACCTTTTGTTTCTGTCTAGCTGTATCTGCAGTATCTTCTATTCTGCTTTCCTGTGCTAACCAAGCTGACATGGTTTTGTTTTTTTAAAGCGTTCTTGCCAGTGTATTTTGTATTTGCTTTCGGAGTGATGCAGTTTATGTTGAAGTGGGAAATAAAGTCTCCCTCATAAACAAGTTCAAAGTGTTTATTTGTTTGTGTGAATTAATGATGCGGTATGGCTTAGGGTGATTCCCTAGTATTGCACTGCTCATGATATTCTGCACAAAACAAGCGCACAGGGCTGAAATTGGAGCGCACGTTAGTTAACATACACAAACCGAGGAGTAGTGTAAATTGAATCCAAGAGAATATTTTCTTACATAAACTACCTTGGTTTGAAAAAAAATCGAGATGTTTTAAAATCTTTGTTCGTGTCAAAGAAACTTATCAATCAGATTCCCAAGAGAACAATTTATAAAAAAAAAAGTATTGAATATTAGCACTTTTCGAAATTGTAAATTATCTAGAGTTACGCAATAATAACTTTGTTAGTCTCCGCGTCATTTTGTTTAAACAAATATCAAACAGAAATTTATTTGAAGGCGTCACGCCCCACAGAGCGACAGCGCGATTGTACTCCTGGATTAATATAATAATTTTATTGGTTGGACTGTGTCCATTAGTTCAAACAAACATTAGCATTCATGCTCAATGCGTCGTTTAATTAGCACTTTTGTTTTGAATTTCCTTGAGTAAACAAAAGCCATAGTTTCTCTATACACTTATCAATTCCACCTTAAGATACATTTCTCCTCAACGGTTTTTAGCTTTCTTTGACGATCTGATATTTACTGGCACCAAACGTAAAAAAAAGGAAAGCTGTGGGGTAATTATGAACTTCAAAGATCCTACTGGATCGGTTTTGACTTTGAGAAATCGCCGCCTTTCTGAACCGCAAAAGCTACCAAAGCGTGTGTCTTTCAAAGATGAAGCATGGGTGATTAACATTCCCGCTCGCGACGAAAACACCGTGGATTTGCGGGAGGGTGTTTTATTTACACGAAACCCCGTAGCAAGGACCTCCGTGTTAGCGAGCGGAACATCAGTCCACAAGCCGAACACAGGTGTAAACTTTGCCACTCTCCCCAACAACTCTCCGTATGCAAACTCGGAACATACAGACACGCAAACATGGATGACTTCAAGGACAATTGGTTCGGAACCTAGGACAAGTCGTGCCCCTTACAAGTCAATTCTAAAAGCATCAGCATCACGGACTCGTTTTGACGAAGATCATTTGAAAACGCACAATTTGAACGCAGCCTGCTTTGGAGAAGCCTCAAGGCATTTTCTAAACAATTACTTTAAACACGATACCAGCCATTTACTGCCATCAACAGACGTCGTGAAAAGAGTTGAGAGACCAGTTATAACCAGAACTTTGTCATCGAGACGCTCACTCTCAAACACTCGCCCTCTTGGAACTGAGGACGCCTCACTATTTAACAAAACTGGACGATCGGCTGGTAAGGAATTCACAGCAGGATCTAATAGAACTTTTTTTGATCACAACTTTAAACCCCCGGCCAGTGAAGGAAAGAGTAAGGCTGAAGGTGCCCCACAGCCAGGGATAAATTTCGGCATAGTTGGGGTTACGTATGGGGGTGTGAACCAAATGCCTTACTTTTACGACATCAGAGGAATCGCTGATAACGGAATAGCTGAATATTCTCGTGAAAAAAGATCTCCGTTCCACGACCGAACTCGCTCTGAACATTCCTCGGTTTCTACGCCGCAAAACCACTACTCTTCCCCTAAAAGACAGGAAAGACATTTGGCAGCAATTCCAGCTATTGAAGCTTTCAACAGACGGAGCCGTGGAACAGGACGTTATTCTTCGAGGGATTGGACCCACAAACAAAATGCAAGCGCAAAGAAGCAATTACCAATTGCTTGGCAACCTTCCAAACAGAATAATTTCTCAACAAAGTAGAGAGAGAGAGAGGTTGGTTTGGATAAGCAATGGATCACCTCTCGTTCATTCTCATAAACAAGGGTGTAAATCCATATCTGTGGATTTACTTTCGTAAAATGCCCCTTCGGGAACCTTCGGGTCTAGTGATAAAGAAGCAGAAAATAAAGATCTTCAAATGTTACAGGAAAACATTGCTTGCATGTTTAACCGAGATTTTCAAATTTCCCATTACACAAATTTTAAAACAGTACATAAACCTTTTTACAGACACCATTTTAAACTGGATGAAGCAAAGATTACTGAAAGATTTCAATTTCTAACCGTCAGCCAACAAGGCCACTAACTTGTTATCAATTTTTGAATCCCCTTCCCCCTTACACAGTCAAATATTTTCCAAGATACGACAATCCAACACAAATTGAGGAGTACAAATCAATTGCTTTATTGACTATGAGAACTGAACATTTTCTTCACAGACCAATCTTTAAACGTCCCACAATAATAGGGTATTTAGACGATAATTATTCCTAATACGGACACAAAATTGCTTCATGCTTTCAGGCTAACTGTCAATCTACAGTCACTCGATGACCATCAACCGACGAACATTGATTAAACAACAACAAAAACTGCGCCATTCTGTCAAATGGTTATAGTAAATTTCCTATATTTATATTGTACAGTCCGAAAGTTACAAGAGTCTGGAACTAAGCAGCTCAATGATTTTACAAAATCTATTCTCTCGCTGTCTAAATTCTGCACCAAAAATAGTCGGATCCAAGTTATTCAAATCGTGTCAAATATTTAACGAAAGTTGAGTTTGTTACAAATAAAACTAATCTGCCACTTATAAATATCAGTGTGTTTAGCCTTCAAAGAGAAACTGTTTTTTAAGGTTCCACCTCTGAAGGCTCCATATTGTCGAAATTTGCGAACACTGCTAACTTTTACCGCTCCGATTCGAAGGAGAATTATTGTAGTTGGAACACTATGGGTAACTAACAGGAACAATATCTAAAGGCATTATCTACCTCGTTTGTGACTAAAAGTCTCTTTTCATGTTTTCCATCCTTTGTTTATGATCTAAAACCATGTTTTTAGTCAAGCTTTCCATTATAAACCATTTTAATTCGGTTTATCCTTCCTTCTCTATCGTCTGCCTACCCAAACAAATTATCTTTATAATTAATTTAAGACCTATTGTCTGCTAATGTCTAACCGTTACATGTTTATGTTGTTACGTTACGTTGCGTTACTTTACGCTATCAAGTCACGTTTTCCGACGTGCAAAACACCCTTCAGTTGGAAGAAGACCACAAATGTCGATGAAGATGAAAAAAACAAGAAAAAAAAGGGAAAGAGAGAGAAAAGATATATAAGGAATAATAAACTTTCAAGGAACAAGGATGACTTGGGATGGACAAGATTAAGAACAAATAAGTTAACAACAAATAAGGCTAATTTCCCAAGCTTCCGAAGCCATAGAAGCAGTTTTACTGAGACTTCAGAGGAAAAGAGGTTCAGTAATGATGAAAGAGGACCTCAGTATACCAGCAGCAATCCATTAGCTCTTTACCAAAACCAAGGCGAGAAGAGCCATTCTGATATACATGCCGTACTCAGCCTGACGGAAATAAGCGGCTCTAGGATCAGAATCGACCTCCACGCTGCAAAAATGTACAAACACAGACTCTGTCAATTCCGTGGCCAGTAATTGATAACAAACAAACAAAGGAAGTTAATGCTCGTTTCTACCTCGCAAATTATTTTCAAGGTCTTTCATCAAGGCGCACAAGCTACTGCAGTGGGTAACTCACCTGATTTCATTTACACGAGGCAAAGGATGCATAACAACCATCTTCTCCTTGGCTTCTGTTAGAATCTGTGGTGTGATGACATAGCTTCCAAATACCTAGAGTGAAACAATCAAACCATTCAACCATCAATCAGTCAATCAATCAAATGATTGTCATTCAGTCAATAACTAAACCAATCAGTTGGCTGCTCAATAAATCAATCAGTATATTAACGATCCATCCGTCAATCAGTTGGATAACTACCAGTTCCGTCAGACAGATGGAGAGACAGACAGTCCACAACAAAATATGTACGTAAGTCAGTTGGCTAGTTGTTGCTTATATAGCTAAAATAGTAAGCCATTCAAACGATCACTAAGTCTCACTTCATTACTTTTTTTTCGTTCAAGTTGTGAACATTTCGAGAAAAAAATGATTTTTGAAGTAAACAAATACACAACTTACCTTTTCGTACTCTTCTTGGCTTTCAAATCGTTCCCGTTGAATTCTTGTCACGTACAGAACATCTGTGTCAGGAAGCGCATCCGTAAGACTTGAAAATTCTTCCTGTGAAGAGAGAATCAGCCAATCAGATCCCATTATATAGCACTGCAGTTCTTGCTCTTAATTTCTCCGTTGGTTTTCGATCGAGGTTCCCATTCTCAACCCCAATCCATACTAGTGCGTTTTCGTTTGGATAACCATATTTTTTGGTGCATGTTCCTATGGGGAACAATACTCCAGTCAAACTCACATTCGCATTGCAGTCTCGGAAAGTTACAATGAAAAACAGGTGACTTTTACATGTATTCCGTGATCTGCACAAACCTTAAAATTTTCTGCTGAAAACAATAACCAAAACAAACGTCGGACCTGAATCGTTCTCAATTTTGTTTGCCAATTGTAGTAACTTTCTTCCAACATCAGCAATGCACTCTTCAGGGCTTTTACGTCCAATCAACGCTTCAGTCAGCCCACTGTCGTCAAGGCAACTGCAGCTGTCACTCACCTGATGTATTCCTTTCCTCCGGACATATTCCTTGACGGATTCAGGCATTGAAAGTGCCGCAGGTGAAACATAACGGAGCGTGACGTCATAGAGGCAAAGCAGTTTGGCCAATGAGTGAACAGTACGGCCGTTCTTCAGGTCTCCGACCATGGTCACCTTTGAAAACCAAATCAGAACAAAACTTTATCTAATATGATTAATTTGCGTATCTCTGAAAGTGAAAACTCGTTAGGGAGAGGTACAGGGCAGATGTATGGTTTGTAACACGACCGGCCAGAAAAATAATCAGTTATTTTGACCTTTCTCGAGATAACCTGTGCTTTGAATGTAAGATTACACTCAAAGTGTAACCCTCCCTTTGCACACCTTGTATTCGGACATCAGTTATCAGCAATCCATACTCTCATAGAACACTCCCTAAGCTATGTTCGGACTGTTTCCCTGATGGTTAGCCGCCTGCACTTCAAGAGGCCGCATTAGCAGTAACACTCACCAATGGATCATGAAACCTATGCTGGTAGGTCATAGCATGCCCGGGACAGATATTAGAAAACATACATTCAGCACATTGGAGGAGTTTCGTTCCACGTTATCATCTTGGGCACCTCAAAACTTTTAGGTATTCACTGACAAAGTACAGCGGATTGTTTTCCTTACCGTCAGACGGTTTACAGTACCAATCTCCTCACGGATGGTAAACACATCCAATAGGGCCTGGGTCGGGTGTTCTCCAACTCCATCGCCCGCATTTATGACTGGCTTGCGGCAGTGTTCGGCGGCTTTCTGTAAATGGTAAAAACCCATTGCAATCCTCATATAAAATTAACAAATTAATGAATTAAGTAACCAACTCTGACAGAAAGAGGCATAAAATGCAACGAAAAAAGAAACATAACGACACTTGGGGGAAAACCAACTAGAACTTGCTAAAGGACTAGCTGACGGACTCACTGAGTGACTGACTGATCGACAGACTGACTGACAGAGAGACAAAGATAAAGACGGACAGACAGACTAACAGTTATGTAAGAGGCTTAACACATCGAAATAAACTAACTTTAACAGTTAAGGGAATAAAATGCCACGAAAGGAAGAACAGAATCAGACAGTCACTCAGCTCAGTGGTTATCAACTACAAGCGACTGACAGGCAGACAGACAGACAGACAAACAGTTCTGTTAGAAGAAAAGCACCAAAGGATAATAACAGACCTGTACTGCTCCGGGCTCAGGGTGTCGTATCACTACTACATCACAGTAAGATGACATCACTTGTACGGAGTCTGTCATTCAAAATATTACCACTTGTGAGAACCGACAGCCTTGTTTGTTATCATTTTGAAGATAAAATTTAGTCTTACCTGGCCAAAACAGCTGTACATGGCTGCTGACTCGATGGGTTACTTATTTCTATACTTCAAGACCTAAAGTTGTAACTATCACTTTCTACCCGCAGAACAGAATCAACAAAATTTATTCTCTCGAAAACGTCACCAATCCAAGAAAATATTCTGATCAAAAGTGTGTCTTCTAAAATACTACCTGCTAAACTTTCTCCCTTCTTGGCCGATGAATCTTGTTCCTTCATGAAGATGACAGATCCACCCAGTCTCTGCATGGCGGCAGCAAACGATGATGACGTCCGTGTACTGACTTCGTAAAACAACGATGCCATCACCCTACCCTGTATAAAAACAAGGGAAATCAATGCAGTGTTGGGAGCCAAATCAATCAAATAATGAATCACAGTCGATACACAAAGCAGACAGACAAGTCTCATCTGTTGGTAAGTCGATAACTTTATACATATGTGATAACAGACAACAAATCCGAAGGAAAGTCTGAGGAAGAGGTAACTGGCTAATATCCAAGCTTATCCCGGGATCTGTGAAATTAAGTGGATGAGAATAGTGCTACCCTCCGCCCCCTGGATGGGATTCTAGTACATCGCAAGTCCCTCTCCCTCCCACAGGCTGGTTGGAGGGAGGGGTTACATTTCATCAGCTTTCTTTGACGATTCACCGGTACCTATTTATACTCATGGGCGGAGAGGGGACTGTAAAAATAAGAGTATTGCCTAAGAACTCAACGTACAGACCAAGCCAAAGCTTAATCCCGGGCGATTTGGAATTTAGGGAACGAAATTGCACCGTCCTATCTTCCCCAAATTTGTTTCAGAGCTAAATGATCTTCGGAGGAAATTACTCTCTCATCAGAGTTTTAACAAAGTATTACCTTAAGTAAATCCAGTACACCTTCTCTCTGAACGACCAGCCGCATCTGATGAGCCACGTTGAACAGGAAATGGAGCTGTGTAAAGAAAATACGCTCTTCTAAGCAGAACATCCTTACTAATAGACTATCAACTACAAGAAGGATATCCTTAGTCCATCCAAGATATGGCTTCAGGTATAAACCTTTTTGTGAGGTTGTGTTTCCAATTATAAGAAATTTACGAAAACAAATAAACATGTGAATATACAATAAAAACCAATATCAATATAAAATCACACTCATCAAAAAGCATTTCAGCCTTTACCTTTCTTCTTTGCGATAGATTTCATTAAGATCTAGTTGTTCAATAACACTTCCCTTCTAACCATAGCATTTAACTGTATCGTAATTTAACAAAGCGTTTCAAATTACAGCTCTTTGAAGGCTAATCTAGTTTTTAGAAGAGTGCGAGCTAAATCTTAGAGTTTTGATCTTCGTATTTTCAAGGTGGTATTTGGAACACTCGTTTGTGTCCATACTTGAGGAGTCAAGCTCACAAATTCAATCTCCGGGAATTTTTCCAAAGGAAGCTGGGAATACAAAATATATGAAGACAAGTAAAGAGAATTTGGACGTTGGTGGTACACCTCGCTCTTCAAGAGGAAAAGGTAGCCGTTTATATACCTGCTCTCTGGTGAATTTACTGGCGCTCAAAATGTGTTGACCCCAGATCACATTGGAAGGTACATGGGGAAGGGTCATTGGGACATGTGAATGTACACCTGGCGACACTGGGTGTGGAGGGGTATGGACAGAATGCGGTGCAGACTCTGGGGTCCCATCTGAAAAACAAAAAGAGAAAAACATGTTAAAAAGGGGATAGGAATAGAAAGAGGGCCCTTAAATAACGGGAGTAAAAGTCACATTTGTTTGTATGCTACCTTTCAGAGGTTAGTTAGTTTCTCCCGAAACTTTTTTTGTAGGAATTTCAGTCCCGTACTTCTGGTTGAGTTCATTTGGGAAGAAGAGGTGCTTTTTGCGGGAGCAGCACAAGCGCCAAAGTTTTACACCCGCGAAGCAAAGCAGCAGTTTTGGCGCGAGATATTGTCCATGTCACGCGTGCTTAAACTGAACAACGATTGAATTGTGAGCCTAAGTACCTCCTAAAGACACGCTGAGAGGTTCTGGTCCGCCATAATGCGTATCAACAAACCGATGTACAGCCGGTGGAAAGCCCCAGCGGGTGTCTGACACCTTCCTGGGACTGGGGGGCGGTATCTGAGGCTGCGGTTGCAATTGGTAGACGGGTGGCGCAGCTGGCAATGAACTGATCATGCGCACATCTTGTCCAGCTCCAGGGGCCGCCAGGACCTGCAGTGTAATAATTCTCTATCAATCTGAAGATCAACAAGAACTGTTTGCTACTGGTGACGACCTCAGCTACTCTATTTGAGCGCTCTGAGGTTACGAAGTTGTTAGCGGAAAATCTAGCCGTCTTTAGTTGAAAAACGTAGTTTTCGTCATTTTTCAAAACTCTCCAGACCCAAAGTCAGATTCAAAGACACTCAACAAGTTATCCTTTTCCAACACAGATCTAACCGGAATTGTTCACATCCTCCTTCGGCACAGATTAAGAATCCGTGTTACCAAGCAAATAATGTTAATCGGCCTTCAACAACCAATAAAAGAGAGGAAAGGAAGCCTCACACTCACCTTTCCGTCAATAACCACAGTTTCACCCCTCAGCACAACTCTTCTAACACAGCCATTGACTTTCATTCCGGCGAATGGCGTCCACTGCGCTTTAGAGTAAGTCATAGCGGACGGAATAGTCCATTCCTCTCCAATTTCGACCTCAACGTATGTATCTTTCTGCTCGGGAAGGCTGAAGATTTTTCGTGGATTCGTGCACAGTCGAAGAATAATGTCCTAACACACGTTTAACAACTAAACGTCAGTTACACTTTCCCGAGGATCACTAATACTAGTAAGTCCAACATATGAAGCAATACTGATAAACGTATTGGACAAAAGCTAACTACATGTTGGAAACACATTTGCGATGTTGCTACACTTATTTCACATAACTTGGATTATTGGGACCCAGTCTATTTCAAAATATCCCCTTTGACATTTTGTTGTAGCATAGAAAGACACATCATCCTGAGTGCATAAGTCAGAACTCCATATACAGGTCGTTCATTTGACTATGTAGACTAAATCGGCAAGTGTCGCGCGAAATCTTATGATCATCCGCGATCGACAAATGGTTGGACGTATGACAGAAAGAAAGATTACTTGTAGTCTGGCTAATAAAAGCCAACCAGTGCTTCCCTATTGTAAGCCTTACAATAAGGAAGCACTAAGTAGAAATGGATCTTCTTCATACAACCATTTCCTTTACTTCTTCCAGAGTAAATATCGGAGCAAAAATCGCAGACTTAATTACACAAGAAAAAGGGACTTAGCAAAAACACATTTGAGCACCGGGGAAGCTGGTGAGACGGAAACTATCCTCATCAGTGTTCTATCCCTGCTTCCTTCTGACCCTGTTTGACAAAGGCTGTAAAATGTACTGCAAGCTTATGAGAAAATGAGAATTGATTCTTACTTCAATCGTTAATCTTTCTTGGTGCACTGCAGTTAACAGCAGAGGCAGCATGGTTTCCAGTCCAGGAAAGCCAGGCGGCGGCTTATCAGAATCTTTCTCTTCCAGTGTATGTGGTGCTACAAGAAAGAAAAAATTAAACACTTAAGTAAAAACCGCGCGGCGATAAACTTTCATGCTGAATTATGTGCACAAGACCTAAGAGTTAAATGTTATCAGTTATAATATTCAGGCCAATGAACCTCACCATGATCTGTAGCAAAGCAATCGATGATGTCCATATTATCCCAGAGTGCCTTCTGATCTTCAGCCGTTACAAGAGGAGGCTTGACCCCAACTCTCTTGATGCCAATCCTATCCGCGTCATCTTCTGTCAGGAACAAGTGATGAGGCGATACTTCACATGTGACTTGGATTCCTCTCTCTTTCGCAGCTCGAATCACAAGCACCTACACACATTACAAGGGGTCAGTTAGTTCAGTTTATTGTCAGTTTGGGTCAGTTAGTTATGTTAGGAAGATTATATGAGAAACGCAGCGATAGTGAATAATGCTTTCTACTGCTCCATGATTATCTCTGAGGAACACTTCCTTCAGGAATATACTAAGACATTGCCAAAGAGCCCGTTCGGCAAAACGTGAGCAGAATCTCAAGACGACCATCTAAGGCTCAAGTTCTTCCCTTTCCAAGCCAGTTTCTATTTTTTTTTTCATTACTTTGTTTTCAGATGAAGAACACGACAACGCAATTCAACATCTGCTTTGGCACAAGAGGAAGAACGCCGAAGGAGATGCTAGTTTAAGGCTGAATAAGGCCAGATTGGAGGGAATGGAGGACGTAGAACTACCGCTTACATTTTTGTAGAGTGACAAACGGCCTAAAACGAGCCTCGTTGACTAAGGAGGAATGGACCATACCAGGGGAGGGGAATACTAATCAAGTAGCCCGGCTTTTTTGCTCTCACCTCTTCTTTCCTTGCCACATGAGCTATATGAACTGGTCTATCAGCAAGCTCTGCTAGCAAAAGGATGGCAGCAGTTGTGCGTCCCTCGGCGTGGCACACCAGTGGTATATGTTTTGGCCAATGCTCAAGATGCTGGAATGAATAAAAATGATGAAAAACAATTTACCAACGCAAATCAAAACTTTTGGCATGTTTACAACGTAACTGAAGCGCAATACATCCTACATATCCCAGCTGTAATTAAGAAAACTGGTGCAGAGAAAAAATCGCGATCGCTACGGCAGAGAATCCCGGATAGCGCTATCTATCGAAACAAACCAGGCCCCACCTTCATCCATGTTGACATATCGTCAAGTCTCAGAGTAGTAAACGTTTCATTGAGGTACATTTTTAGACCAGCAGACAGGTGGGCCAAATCCTTCACTGTCGTGTAGTTATCAGCACTGGCACCCAAGTATATACCATAATCACATCGAGCACCAGCAGAGGCCAACTGAAAATTGAGGATTGATAAAGTAAAATCTCAGTTGTACATTTAGCGTCGTGTCCAAAAGAAATTACAATAATTTTTCCTTCATTAAGGTAAAAATTACTGATCTTACTTTGCCATTTAAATAGCATCGTATTATATTTACTCTTGCCACCCTAAAATCAGTCTCTTTATTCTCCACACTGTTCTCTTTACATTTCCTAAGGTGCTGAGGAGAATTTGTTTAACAACTATGAGCTTCTTCTATTGGTGATCGTTTCCTTTATTCTCATGACCTAAATGTGTGATTAGGGGTGATAATGTGAGGAGAAATTAGACGCAAGTCAATCTTGTGGGTCTAAGAGTCAAAAAAAGAGCACTAATTAGATATTTTTAAAACATGTAAATATAACAATGCCGTCATGGTAAACGGGTAACTCAAATAAAGCTCTGCTTTTTACAAATCATCTCCACCGTACCTTTCTAACCAGATTGAACGCTGATTCATCAACAATAGCGGGATTAGTGTTAGGCATGGCTAACACCATTGTCACACCACCAGCCAAAGCTGCTGCAGTCCCAGATGAGTAATCTTCCTTATGTGTCGCCCCAGGATCGCGCAGGTGCACATGTACGTCAATCAACCCAGGCAGACGAACTGCGCGGCCAGATGACATGCAATCAATGTGAGTCTTCAGTTTAGGGGCTCCGCCGATTCTCTTTAGAGCCTACAAATCACAAAGATCTACTCAAGGGAACAAATTAAGTACACAAGAGAACAAATCAAGTTGTGACTTAGTACAAGGTCCATAAACATTATTGTTTACAAAATTAAAGACGTTCAGCGGATTCGTTCCAAACCAGACTTACAGTTGGCCTCTCTTCAGACGATAGTGACTCTACTTCGTGAGTAAAACGATTAAACATTCATTTAGTACCGTGAAACAATGTGGACAAGCATGTCGTTTACTTAACTTCTCGTAATTACCTCAATAAGGAGCTTAGCACACTTAATGTCTGTGATGAGTGGTATGGAATAATCTATAGCCATTCTGCGGGTGCGGTAACCATGTGTTATATAAGACGACGCACGCCTGGAGCCAGTTCTCCTTAGCGGAAGGTTGATCACCAAATCAAACTTGTTCTGTGCAAGGTAATCTAGAATACTCTGCTCTGTGGCGCCATTACCTCCCTCCTCAAATGGCCAATCCACTGTTTTGACCTGCGTGTAAAGAACACCACTGGTTAAGGAAGAAGTCGAGAAACCCTGAAATGTGTTCGCCCTAATTATGATATGCAATTATGAAATTATGCGTATTTTTACATCGATAGACTTACCTTGCCTTCAAGAGTGACAAAAAATTTCGCTTTGCGCGCCGAACATTTTAAATCGTGCGTAACTATGCTTTTCTACCAATAAAACTACACAATTCCCTGACTAAAATCAATAGATTCGAATTATTACTAACAATAAAAGCCTTCAGCCTTCCCTGGCAGTCGACCATTCCATCCATTTTCTTTAACACAGAGAAGTTCCAAGAAGCTCACAATGGCACGATGTAAATACGAGTCGGTGAATTGTTTCTGCTAGCGGTCAAGAGTATTAAACAGGCGCAAACGACTGACAGACAGACTGCCTGACTGAAAGGTAAATTAGTGTTAACAACTGAGTTGAAAACGTAAACTGGCCACCGTAAATAGTAAAAATGCTGACGTTTCGAGCGTGAGCCCCTCGTCAGAGCGATTGGAAGAATTGTGGCTCGTGTGTAGGTTTATATTCAGAAAATATAGCTACGCTATTGGTGGGAATATGGTGACGAGAAAACAAGAATAAATTAGTCGAATGAAAAGCGCTCGTTGATACCGTGGGGATTAAGAGTGCCGATTTGGAAGATAAACTTTTGTTCTAGCGTTTTGCGGCTTTCCGAACTATTTTTTGCTAAACTCTCCCACCGACGCAGCACCACAGTTTCTTTAGACAGAAAAAGTGGTAAACTGACTGCCTGACTAAATATGGGTGAATGGCTTTTCTCCAAAAATGTCAGTTGTAGCCGGACGGATCATTTCCTGACATGTGGCTACCACGAATTAAGACACAACAACCCTAAACCTTTTGTCCCTCTAAGCTTTCTTCTATGTTTGATAAATGAAAATGGTAGTGATTACTGACCTTAACCCCATGCTCCGTGTAAAAATCAGCTGTCCCTGGACTGGCATATAACTTGAATCCTAATTCTACCAAAGTATTAATGCTTGGTAACATCTCATTCTTGGACTAAAAACATTCAAACCACACAACAATAAAAATTATCGCGTTGTTCAAAGAAAGTTTGTAAAATGCTATTGGGAACAACTGCAGTGTCAAAAGAGAGTGATCAAAAAGGGCATAAAGTAGCTAAGTGCTTAAAATCCAGATGGTTTTCTCTTTAAGCTCGTCCAAGATGTCGAGGGTAAAATTGAGAGAAAAATATCCCTAAGGTTCAAATTGTTATCGGTGAGGAAAAAAAATCAACTTTTGAGATATCAGTGAGGAGTAATGTAACTGTGGTCAAATTTGAATTTCAAGTCTGTAAGGCGGGGTCTGAAGTTCAAGATGAACTCAAGTTTGCGATATTTGGAACAGTATTGAAATTACCTTTCAGTGAAATGAAAACTAACTTAAATAAATTTAAACTTTTAAAAGTCATTGTACCTTGAAGCTTCCAATCGATAGAAGGATGCACTCTTGAGGAATCTTAAACCCAGTACTAAGCATACCCTTGAGGTAAGCTTCGTATCGATTTTCGCCAAAACAGGCCACTTCTCCCGTACTAGACATCTCCACGCCTAACATGGCATCTGCCCCAGCCAGGCGTGAGAAAGAAAATTGAGGTACCTTGATGACAAAAAAGGGAAAAAAAAAACGACGAAAAAACAAAAATCGATTTACTTTTTTTGTCATCTCTGACACAATCCTTCCGAACAAGATATGAAATGTTCGCTTTTTTCGTAAAAAGACCCTTTTCAATGTTCTACATTTTATTGAAAACACGGCGTTGTTTACGGTGCTGGTGACAGCATGTGCCGTAAGATAAACCGGAAATAATGCTAACGGTTTTTAATTACCGGCCTCAGAAGCGTCACATTTAGTCCAGCGATTGCATAGAAGTTCAAAAAAGAGTTTGAGCACTAAAATACGGAAACTGACGAAGATCGCTTAGTCATAAATATGTCTCTCCGAAATTAAAGAAATTACAAGACTAGACATTTCTGTGTTGAGGATTAGTGAAATAACGTGCGCCTGATAAGTCAGTATCTCAAAATTGAAGAAGCTCGTTGGAGCCAGACATCTCTGCTAGCTACTTTATTCCTTTCAAGTGTATTGAAACAGAACAAATTCACAAACTGCTCTTATGCTAAACGTTCCTTTCACCTTCACTCCAACTCGGCCATATCCCGTGCGATCCAAAGCTGGCTCGACAGGTACACCACAGATTGCTCGTGTTGCCATAGCGATAAAGTCGTGATCAAGAGTCTTGGATACAAAAGGAAAGGACCGGGACACACGAAGATTACATTCGATTACTTTCAGTTCATTATCCTGTGAATCAAACAATACAACTCACTTTAATAAACCTATCACCATTCGTAATTATCACGTGACGAGGAGAAAGAAAATTATCATTGTGGCATATTTCCCAATTTCAAATTCTCAATACTAACCAAGAAAGTAACATCTGGTCATCAGTTGGAGGAATTTGTTTTCAGATCATAGGAGGAAAACTTTAAATTAAAAAGTACAAGTAAGTTTTCATTTAAAAAGGCAACTTTCGCTTTTCCATCGAGGAGACAGTAGTGTGAGTTAAAAGGTAAAGTACCTTCCTGTTCATTGTGTAAATAAAATAGATTCCAATTTGCATCTAATCAGTTACAGGTCACATCTGATATTAAAATCGGTAACATGAGTGAGCCACTCGCTCGCGGCTCGTGTGCGATTCTTTGACCTCAATTTGGCCTCATCTGTGAACTAGAACTGAACAGAGACGGCAAAAAAAGGGTTCTTAATAAAACCATGTGTACATACAGAAGACAAACCTTAGCAATCAGCTGCATGTTAAAAGGCCCTGTGACCATTAAGGCTTGTCCAATATCAAAGCAGATCTTTCGAATCTTTTTGAGTGTCTCTTCATTCAGATCTTGTGGAGGTAAAACCATTGTAGCATCACCAGAATGGACACCAGCATTTTCTATATGTTCAGATACAGCCATGACAACCACCTCACCATCACTAGCCACTGCATCGACATCTATCTCCTGCAGAGACAAGTTGAGCAATTTGTGCAGATGATGATATTAAAGAAAGTAGGTAACTTGGTATTACGCGGGCTTCTTCAAAGTGAGATGTAAGCATGCTTGAAAACAGCTTCTCACCTTTGCATTTTGAATGAATTTGGAAATAACAACAGGGTGTTCACTGGATACAGACTGAGCATTGCCAAGGTACGTAACCATTTCATGATCAGAAAATGCAACATTCATGGCCGCACCACTGAGCACATAGGATGGTCGCACAAGACAGGGATACCCAACTGTGGCACAGAACTTTTTGGCATCCTGTAAAATAAATGTTTTCAAAAAGAGTGTTAATGATTCTCGTCGAAATTGGTCGGTCTGTGGTCAGTTGAATTCTTACAGATTTACTCTTTTCCCCACATTTTTAAGCACACATTTAATGCAACTTCTTAAACAGCTGTAACGTGCCATGCAGCCGCTGTACAAACACTAACACCTACACTACAGCTATGGCATATGAAAATATTCAGTGCAAATGAGTTGTCTTTTCATAATTTTTATAAATCAGTTTTACCAACGACGCTTCTTGAATGCATTGAGGTAAGTATTTCAAACATTTCTCTCTCCTCAATAGTTATTCTTTACATAATTTGAAAAGGATGATCTGTTTACGCAACATACCTCTAAAGTTGTAAGAACTTTCCACTGTGGCTGCAGAATTCCAATGTTGTCCAACATTCTGGAAAACTTGAAACGATTCTCGGCATTGTCAATCATCTCAGGAGAGGTGCCGAGGATGCGAACCTACACAACAAATGATGCAATAACATTACACTCATAGCAGTTTGGAGAGATCCATCTGACGAACCACTGTTGGCCAGTGACTTATTGGTGATGCATACTAAAGATAAACACTTAGGGTTTTGATCGCCAGTTACTCCACCTTTCACCTTTCTGAGCCTTGAAGCCCCAGAATGTCCACCGGTTTACATGTAAATGGGGGGAGAGGGAGTGATAGGGGGGAAGGGGGGGAGAGGGGGAGTAGGGGGTGAATGAAGTGAATATTAGGTGCCATGGATTATTGGTTAATATCAATAATCAATTGACTGCTTGACTGATTGACCCCTACCTGTTGTCTGTGAAGCTGCATTGCAATGTTGTTTGGTAATTGTCCTCCCATGCTTAGGATAATACCCTCTGGATTTTCTTTTTCATAAATGTCCATAACAATCTAAAATAATAGATAGACACTTGCTAGGTGAAAAACTCATAAAAATGGCTTTACTACAAACCAATCTATTTGGAAAAATTTTGTAAAAAGTTGAACTTGGAGCCCTGTGCAACACTCACCTCAAAGGAGATTTCATCAAAGTACAGTCTCTCACATTCATCATAATCTGTACTGACAGTTTCTGGATTATAGTTCAACATTATGGTCTTTTTCTTCAACTAAAAAATAAAGAAAATTTGTGACTAGGAAACATGGCAATAGAGGTTCTCAAATAATAAGGTTGACCTGCTTTCTGAGGTGATTTACATGCAAGGAGAATATCAAAACAACTACGACAGTGTACCTACCTTTCTAAGTTCTCTGATACAGCCTACAGCGCACCAATCAAATTCCACACTGCTGCCGATTCGGTACACCCCAGAACCAATTACCATACAGGCCCCACTGTCGAAATCTATATCATCTTCACATGCATTGTAAGTCAGATACAGGTAGTTTGTAAAGGCTGGGTACTCTGCAGCCACGGTGTCAATCTGCTTTACATATGGAGTAAGACCATACTGCTGCCTAACTTTGCGAACAGCAAGTTCAGTGCTGAAAGTACACAAATAACCTTACATTCCAATTGGTCACAAAAGATAATTAATGAAGTTGCTGGCTCAGGTTAAGCAAACCAATAACATTTTTCTTTTTTTGAATGCTCAGATGTACAGATAACTGAATTTGTAGTTTGTCATTTAACAAGAATGCATTCTGCTAGTCATGATACTGAGCACCTGACAGAGGTGAGGAAACTGAATGACCTAATCCTATCAAACCATGTATGAATCCTTTTGACTGGCTACAGCTGGTGAGGTTAGATTTGAAAATCTTGCAAAATGATATAAAGGATACAAAATTTTCCATAGCTACATGTGCAACTTACTTGTGAATACACTTTGCAATTTGCTTATCAGAGAATCCTAGTTGTTTAGCTCCAAGTAAATGCTCATATGAGACTTCAGCTGCCTATAAAGGAACAAATGCACATACTTTTCAACTTTTATTCTGAAAAAAAAAAACAAACAAACAAACATACCTTCTACCTGATCCCTACAGAGCCAACTTTCACCCAGTTTGGAAATAAATAGTGTCAGGCCGAGTGAACAGAAATTTTGAGTTACCACCAGTAATGACCATTCTTTTAGGGAAATGACTTAACCCTTTAACTCCCAGATCCAATTTGTAATTCTCCTTTCTGTCAACCATACAATTCTTATAATGTTAGTTCAAAGAATTAGGTATTGGATCAACTTATTATCCCCAAACTGATCTTTTTCTTTATTCTCATCACTGATCTGGCTGATAGCGTATTGATATTGCGAGGAGAAATTCTGCCTTGGTCACTCATGGGAGTTAAAGGATTACATAGAGTTGAGATTTTTCCCAGAATTGAACAAGCAGGAGGCAATTAAGGTTGGCAAATTCTTTTTTTGGTTTATTTTTTGGTGTTCAGGTCCATAAAAATGCAACAACAACAACATCAAGCTGCTAGGATAATCTCAAGCTTCACGCAACAAAAGATTAAAGGAGATGTACTGCTAAAAGTATTTTTTCTTTGCCAATTTTGGTTGAAAAAACCATGAATAACTGAACTTTTTGGTATTGTTTCTGGCCTTATAATCAATCACAATGTTAGTAGGAACATGATGGCAAACTATGTCTGATTGTCTGATTGGATTGTTCTCGCAACATAGCCACTTTCCAGAAAAATTTCTCATGATCAGGATTTTCTGAGTGTCAAGGTAACAGTAGTTAAAGTTGTATGATTGTTGCATTTCTGATTATCATTTACAGTCTTTTGTTATTCACATATTACATGTATGTTAGTGTTTCAAGTAATTACATATTCAAGTTTAGTACAATTTGACTTCTTACCTTGTTTTCAAGTAGCTATTTAAAATGCTAAAAGAGTTTTAATCCAGCAGCTTTATTTCAAAATGACTAGTCAATTTTTAATTTGTTATAATGGACATGTTTAGCTCATATATTAAAGGTTAGCTATTAATAGTGCAAGACGTTACCATGATTGTCGCTAGATGCTTTCTAACTTTCCCTGTCCTTGTAAAGCAGTTAGTTGGTTAATAAAAATGTTCATAACGTTTTGAGTTTAATTTGCTGTTTGCTACTTCAAACTCTCTACCTTCTCTCTGTGCATTAAGGGTGTAGATGTTGATGACGGTTGACCAGGCTACAGGGAGCATAAATCACCAATAAAAAATTGTCAATAAAACAACACTCACGAGTGCAGCATAAGACAATATTATTACAAGAAATTCTATACATATCAATGAACAAAATTATACATTGTGTCCTAGAATTCACACAGCTGCTATCATTTAAAGGAACACCAATACAAACAATCAAAAGAAATTTATTTATGTCTGTCAACTAGATGAATTTTGGTGCCCTGTTAGCTTGTATTAATTTTTCAATCATGCCAACAAAAAGCTTTTATGATTTGAGTTGTTCTTATGTTGTCTAACCTGACAATAGTAACTGATCCATTGATTCAAAAAAGGGTAAGTTAAGTCATGCTAGAGAGGAAAATGTCTGAAGAATTTGTTCTTACCTCAGCCTTTTCTCTGTAATTTTTCAACAAAAGTGCATAATCCATGATGCACTTCATGCGGCTCAAAAACCACTTGTCAATCTTTGTCAGCTCGTACAGCTTATCTATGCTGTACCCTTCCTTGTATGCAGCAGCAAGCACATGAATACGCTGATCAGAAGGCTGCTTCAATTCCTATATCACAGAAATCACAATTATTTTGACAGAAGGGTTTTACTAATGTCAAAAACCTGAGTAGAACAGACTATTTGTAACCCTTACACTCCCAGGCACATAGTTTCTACAAACTATTTGGTACACAGTCAAGGACATAGGTGATGAAGATTGTACGAAGAAAAAGGAACTTACCTCATCAGATGCAGTATGGCCATGAGAATCAAAACCCAGGTTTGACTCGTCCACCATCCTTAGGGCTTTCTGTAGGGCCTCTTCAAACCGTCGTCCAATAGCCATTACTTCTCCGACACTTTTCATTGAGCTTCCAATCTACAGATTGAAAAGTTACATAAGAATTAATCATTTCATTTCACAACTGCTTAGGATGTGCAAAAAGTTATTTCCTCGAGATGAATTTCTCCAAATAGTGCTTGCCAGAGGCAGTGTCTAAGCTAAAATTGCTCACAGCACGGTAGGTGCTTCTTACCTTTGTATTAACCTTGCTGAACTTGCCCAAGTCCCATCTGGGAATTTTAACAACAACATAATCCAGGCTAGGCTCAAAGCAAGCTGTTGTAGAGTTGGTGACTGAGTTCCTTAACACTGGTAAGGGTCTTCCCAGAGCTAACTTTGCTGCAACATATGCCAAGGGATAGCCTGTAGCCTTTGATGCGAGAGCTGAACTTCGAGAAAGCCGTGCATTTACCTCAATGATGAAATACTAGCGATCAAAAAAAACAAAAACAAAAGCAGGTAAAATTTACATTTGCATAGTTGTTTATTTAAGTGCACCATGAAGAAAAAAGTTTTTATCTTTTTGTCATCATTTCATGTTATTTTTGGCATAAATGCACCATGCCTCATTTGCACCTTAATTCCAAAAAAAAGAAATCATCAAATAAACAAATACAGAAACTATTGAAACAAAGTGGTGAAAAGAATCCAATACACAAGACTGGGATAGAGGATAGTTATAGTAATAACACACACATACTTCATATAAAAAAAAATACAAACCTCTTTAGATTCTGGATTAAGAGCATACTGTATGTTACATTCTCCAACAACTCCAAGATGTCTGATAACCTTGACAGCACAAGAGCGCAGCATGTTGTATTCTGAATTGGTAAGTGTCTGACTTGGAGCAACAACAATGGACTCTCCAGTGTGGATACCAAGTGGATCAACATTCTCCATGTTACAAACCTACAGGGAAACAATGATGGATTGGTAAAACATTTGACTCTGTATTTGTCCAAAGTAGCAAATCCAGCCAGAGCTTGTGCTGGTTTCCGTAGCATGAAGATATACAAAGTACTGCTTCTTCCTTGGTCCATTACAGGTTATTGTCCCCCCCCTCCCCTTCCATGAGGAACTTTGCCCCAAAAATAATGCGTAGCATGCATTCTACAACAGAGGTACTATCATTTCTGTCATCAATGTAGAGAATTACATGCAGTTACTTAAACCTGTTGATTATAAGTTAATGGTTCACCTAATAATTATAACTTCACTGAAGCATGAATTTCAATTAAGAAAACACAACAAATCTTGGATCAGAATCACTTAACACAATCTCATCATAGAGGCTGAAGTCTTCGATCCATCAGCTGAGCTTTCTAGAATTATAGGATCCAATCTTAACCCCAACAAGCACTGGTATGTGGAAACAAAAAGTTAATGTGGAATCAGGCTGAATGCTTTGGCAAAGAACTAAATGTTTTGTTGATTCCCTGATGACTGCAATACCTTCTGTCCCACCAGAGGTCTCAAGCACGTCAACAAAGGTTGTTCATTCAACAACAGGTGACCAAACAACAAGTATGTTGCATATTCATTTGGCATCTGTGCCTGACTAATTAGACAGAGAGAATTCCCAGCAGGTGGATTGTGAGGTCTCAAGCTATAATCCTGTTGTTGATGCGGTAAATCAAATTGTTCTTGACCGGACATGGATGGCCTGAATTGCAAATTAGCTGGCTGCACATTTAATGTGCAGCCAGCTAATTAGCATATATATATATATCTTTCCAGCACAAAGCTGCTCATCACGCTCTCCCTGCAGCATTTTGTCAGGTTTTCTGGTCAGTTTGGTGACACCTTTTTATACTAGGTGGAGAGAGGCACTGTGTTGGGAAGGAGAGAAAGTGTCTTGCCTACGAACATTACACTATCAACTGACCATTTCTCAAATACAGTGTCCACCACCCTAACCATTTTGCTGAAGTGTCTCCCCAACTACTGTATACATAACACATATGTTTTTAGAGGAATTATATGAACACAATTTTATCACACTGTACTATACTCACTGTGATGCAGTTGTCAAAAGCATCTCTGACAACCTCATATTCAATCTCCTTCCATCCTTTCAATGATTTGTCCAGGTTCACTTGCTTGGTATGGGCAAAGGTTGCATTGACAAGGGAAACCAGTTCTTCTCTGTCCTGAGCAAATCCTGACCCCAAGCCACCAAGTGCAAATGCTGCCCGCACTAACACAGGATACCCAAGTCTTTCAGCGGCAGCAATAGCCTAGACATGGATTTCGACAACACCCATAGGAATGTAACTAATTCTTGTCAAAACTGTTTTTGTAATGTCACACCAGTATACAATAGTTTCTACACTTGTAGAGGTCCCATCATAATAACAGAAAACAGCTTTTTAGCATACATCATGAAATAATAATGTCATTGGATCCAATTTTTTGCATGATGCCGAGAGCTATCAAGGCTTAGGTTTGTGTCATTCACCACTACCCCCCCCTCCCAAGCAGCTCACACAAACATGCACTAACCTGCTCAACAGAATACACTGCTTCACTTGGGGCAACTCTCTCCCCAATTTCTGCCAGTTTCTCAGCAAACATCTTTCTGTCTTCAGTACAAACTATAGAACTAACTGGAGTCCCTAGTGTTTGGACACCATACTTCTCAAGTACACCACTTGCTTGAAGCTCAATGCCACAGTTCAGAGCAGTTTGACCTCCAAATGACAAAAGGATACCATCTGGGTGTTCACTTTGAATGACCTAGATTGTACATTAATAGGAAAAAGAAAAACAAATATTCATTAAAACTGACTATTGTCAATATTATTTTGAGAATATGAAATTAAAATTTAAAAATCATATTATTCTAACAACAAAATGGTCAGTTTAATTACCTGAGTGACATAGTTGGCTGTAATGGGCAGAAAATAGACTTTGTCTGCAAGGCCTTTTGATGTCTGCACTGTAGCAATGTTAGGATTCACCAAAACAGTTTGGATGCCTTCTTCTTTCAGAGCTTTAATAGCCTGCAGAAAGTTAACAATACTATATATAAGCTACATACCTGCCCAGAGATTACATGATACCAATATACAGGCACTGCGACACTTGCCAGCTATTTTTTTTGTGTCAAATTTATATTACTATTCCCAAAGTGCGTCAGTTAAGTAAAGCATTACATTTGTGGCCTCACCTGTGACCCTGAGTAATCAAACTCTCCAGCTTGTCCAATAGACAAACCTCCAGAACCTAAAATCAAAATTTTCTTGGATCTGTGTTCACTGGGGGAGACTAATGGCTCAAATTTCAGTGACTGCTGAATCTTTTCCTTAACTGATACTGATTGCTCTCCAGTTTGTTTGAACTGCTTGACTGTGGACAAAAAGATGTCAAACAACAACTCTAAGTCCTGTGGTCCAGCCATATGTTCTGGGTGAAACTGCACACTAAAGAATGGCTTGCTGTTATGAATTATCCCTTCATTTGTTTGGTCATTAGCATTTGTAAACAACACTGACCACTCAGGTGGTAGAGAGTTGGTGTCAATAGCAAAGCCATGGTTCTGTGTGGTGATAAAACAGCGATCTGTGCCATGATGTATGCAAGGAATATTGTGACCTCGATTTCCATACCTACAAAATGAACATAATTGTAACAGAATGTTTTCCTGTGGGCCTGCTGAAACATTTACATGATTTTGTTTTACAAAAAAGTAATATGCTTTTAAGGTAACTGTTTTGGTGCATCAAAAGGCAAGTACATTTTTCACAGAATTTCCTTTCTCTGTGTTATGTAAAATTTACTTCTTGAGACCATTTCATGATTTTAAGTCATTCAGTGGAGAACTTTTAATTAGTCCTGACCACTGCAACCATGTTTTGATTATAAGCCCTTCATTGGAGCAAAATTAGACAGGTTAGAGAGATAATAAAAGTACTTTGCTGTCCAATAGACTAACACTGCAAGTATCAGCTTTTCAGGCTTAAGAGGAGTTTTCACTTTTTTCCCAAAGAATTCTAAAGTAACTTCTCTAAATTGTAGCATTGTTAGAGAAGATGAGTAATTCTTTCCTGTTATACAGTGTAGACTTTAAAAATATGGTTTTCATAAAGGCTGATTAACAACAAAAAAAGGCAGGAACAAGATTTTCTTCAACTAACTTCATTTTGAAGCTTTTACATCCAACAGCCAATCCCAGGAGCTGATGACCAAAGCAAATTCCAAAGAGAGGTTTAAGATTTGTACGTTCAGTAAACTTTCTGATATTGTTAATAGTATCAGTAGTGAAAGTGGGGTCTCCAGGACCGTTGCTTAGAAACACACCATCACACTCTGCAAAAAAAAGCAAAAAATAATCACTGATTGAAAAATATCTTGCTCTAAACTTCAATGTGCTAACTCCATCATTTACATGAACAATAGACATTCTACCAAGGGCAAAACATTGACTAAGGTTGAAGTTCCATTTGGTTAGGATTTCCCAAATAACTTGATGTGTCACCATCACTTATTTGCTAGACTTCTCCTTTACCAAAAACATGCGCAGGTAGCATTGAGAGCAAAAGAGAAACATGAAAAATTTGCTTACATTCTCAAACTATGCATAATAAGCAGTTGAATGCACTTTAACAGAGTTACCAACAAAGAGCATCGGCGTTCTCTAGTAGTCAGCAGTTTTTTTGCATATACACATGCGTTGGAACTCCATGTGCATCCTTGTGTGTGCTTTGAGCATTAACTTGCAGCATTGTGAGAAGTGGCTGCTCATTGTCCAGGCAATTTTCCCCACCCCTTCCCTCCCTCTTACCACTGTTTATTCAGTGTAATGGATGCCTGTTTCCCTTCCCTATGTGGGGACTCGTGGCTGGGTTGCCAGGATTTACTGGCCATGGGGCTGGCTGCCAAAAGTGGACACTCCTGGATGTTTCAGGCACCAACCTCCACTTAGCAATGCAGTAGTTAATTGGTGACTACATTTTTCAAAATTTGAATTTTACTTATTGTACCACATGGTAGCGAAAAAACTTACCTCCTTTTTCTACATCATCATTGAAATTGTAATTCCAAGGAACAACTTTAACAGCAGCTCCTCTGGCAATGAGACACCTTATCTGGTTGTATTTTATTCCACAATCCACAGCAATGATCTTTAACTCACCATCTGGGTTATAAACAACCGGTGCCTGTCAAAATAATTACAGTGTAACAAATTATTACTGTGTAACTTCTGTTTCTGTGGTAACTTCATCAAAATGACCAATCTATTACAGGAAATAAGCTATAAATTGCATTCCTATGTCAGCTATGCTCTTGGTCAAATACATTAATTGGCCCAATTGAAACAAGAAATGAATAAAGGAGGAAAGTTTCTCAGATCATGTGTACTCTAGGTGGCCTCCGTCAACATATCAGCCGATAGTCGACCAACTATAGGTCGACTATTGGTCGACAGTCAACCTTCTATCGGTCAATAGTCAACCGATAGATCGGTCGACACTGGACCAATATATCGGCCGACAGTCGACTGATAAATGTGTACATATCGGCTGATGCATTGGTTGACTATCGGTCGATATATCAGTCAACTATCCGTCGACTGTCAACCGATAGTTGGTCAATTGCCGACTGATAGTCGACTGATAGTCGACCGATATATCAGTTGATTGTTGGCCTATATGTCAATCGAGGCCACCTATAGTACACATGATCCAGTTTCTTTAGAAACTGTGGTGCAGCATCAATTGGGGTGTTACATGATAATTTGGTTCTACCAACTGAAATGAGATTGTAAAATGGCCACTGTGAAGGGTTTCCAAATATCACATTTTGAGCATTAGCTTTAGAAACTGTTTACAGTGGCCATGTGTTTTTAATTTGGTAAACTAATAATTTACATTTTTTTCAACTATTTCAAATTTTACCAAAGAGTGCTTGGCAATAGTTATAAAGCTTCCTTCTTATGTAAAATTACAAAAACATTATTTTTAGGTTTTATTATTTTATCAATTATGGGTAAAACAAATCAAATTGTTTGATCAAATTTGTATTTTCTTCATTCAAGTACCAAGCATTAGTTAAGAAACCTCAAACAAATTCAAAATCATAGGCATAAAAAGTCTATAGATATTTGTGCATGTCATCTAATATCCCTATTCTAACAAACAGAAAACCCAAAATACTACTTATGGTATGCGTATTTTCTCTTGTTCCATAGTGGACAAAAGCTTGACTTATAATAAATACAGAAAAACACTTCACTACGGAATAATCTTGACAATTTAGAAGATGCCTGGTCTTTAGAAAGCCCTCCAATCTGATTTGATCTTTTTGAAATTTTAGACTTATAAAGCTAACCTTTGATGAAACCTCTGCAACTAAGTTTCTCTGATTTGGGTCGTCAAATGGTACAGACGCTGGTTCAACATCTTCAATCACTACTTTTCCTAACATACATCCTGTTTCTCTGATCTTTTTGGTCAATGCTCTTGTGTCAATACCTGAAAGACATGTATTATAATGATGTAAGAAATCAAACAATGTCAAAAAAAAATTATTGAACTACTGCCTTGTCACTGTTATTACTGGACAACTTTGCAAGTGCCAACAGAACCTTGCTAAGTCTTCTTCTTCTCTTTAAGACACCAACAAGGTGAAAGGGAAAAATCCCCATGAGGACAAGAATCAGAGGGTTGCTCCTCAAAGACCAGTCATCAAAGTCTGTTGTCACCAGTTTCTCTGGCAAAGACCTATCTGAAATGTTAGCTGAAAGTTTAAATCCCTGAATTTAAACATCAAATTGGAATTACACAAGAAACTTTCCTTTAGTTTTTCTATTTAATATTTATTAGAACTTCAGTAAGCCAGTTATCATTCTGCTAGAGGCAGGAAACTTAAAATAGGGGTGTATCCTTGGAACCCATTTCAACAACCATTGTTTACAAATTATAGACTATTTAATTTGTGTTGGCTAGCAATTTTAGAGTTTACTACCTGAATTGTATTCATTTGTTTTAACATCGATCACCTAGTAAAAGGAAGATCTCTCAAAGCATCTTGGAAAGCTAGGAATAATAGAATGGACTATTATACCATCGTCCCTACATCCCTTCCCAATCAACCATAACATTTTCATACAACTCCTGAAAATGAACTACAATTTCTTTTTTCAAAAAATACCTGATCAAAACCAAACAACTAACCACTAATTCCTGGTACCCCCTCTTCTTCTAGCCATTGAGAAAGTGATTTCTTTGCATTCCAGTGACTGTACTCTTCCACATAATCACCAACAACCAGTGCAGCTGCCCAGATTTTATCTGACTCAAGCTCAGCTTTTAAACCATATGAGTCCTTCTTTCCATCTGGGACTCCATAGTTTCCAATCAGTGGGTAGGTGAGAGTAAGAATTTGACATCTGTATGATGGATCTGTGAGGGATTGTGGATATCCAACCATACCAGTCTGAAACACTAATCATAAAAGTGTTAGTTATTTATTTACTTTTTCATTTATAAATTGTTTTTTTTTAGACCTATTGGCATTAAGAGCATATTTTGTTGGACTTTGAGTCAAATGGTGTTGGCTTAACTCATCAACCCTAAGATCTGGTTTTAAATTCTCCTCTCTGGCTGCTATACATTTTATTATAAATTAGCTACAAGAATTGGGCACTAGGTCAAGATAACAACTTCTACCTGATAAATTGGAGTATTCTCATTACCTCTTTGCTAGATAGTTTATGGATATCATAATGAGAAGTTACAAGTTAATCACTTGTGGGAGTTAACCCTTTATCTCCCCAGATCTCATAAGTAATTCTCCTTACTGTCTGCCATATAGCTCTTGTGGTGTTAGTTTGGAGAACTTGGTATTAGATCAACTATGTAATCCCCTTATTAATATTTTCTTTCTTCTCATCACTTGTCTGCTTGATATTGTGTTTATATTGTAAGGAAAAATTCTGTCGTGGTCACTCATGGGAATTAAAGGGTTTAGTGAATGTCTTCTCATCCTTAGCTAGCTTTTATGTCTTAAAACTGATTATCCATATTTCTAAACATGCCTGTTTATGATAAACTCTCTGGCTTTAATGTAAGAAAACTTTATTTACTGATACATCTACTATCTTCAAAATATTTTCCTACAAGCTCCCAGCCACATTTGTGACCGGATGTCACATTTCATGCTTTGACATCCGGGACCTTCTCAACATTGCTATTGCTCATGTACCACGTGCTGACATAGCTACTGCTTCTCTACCACGTGCAAGAGGTTACGAGAAAACTAAGCCACACAACATTTTCCTTAATCGTTCACATAGGTACATCAAAGCTTTCCTTCATGTCATTTCCCTTTGGTTGGTTTCATATGGCAAAGTTTTTTGTCGAATCTCTTTACCAGTAAGTAAAAAAATGTCGTTTCGTTAGAATGTATTCTATTCTATGACAGAAAAAGCTGTACACGGAGAAAGCAAGACTTAATTATGTAATTAAAGAGTCACAATTTCATTCTCCTCGCATATCAGAACTTACAGCCTCTAAAATTTCTAATATAAAACAGTCTCCCACTTTTGAACAACGATTTCACGGGCTTATTTCAACCATTTCGGTACTGTAGAGGAAAAGGGATCGAACACGTGAGTTCGATGCTCGACTAGTCAACTTTTGAAAACAAATAACACTAAGTAATGCCTTACCAACTTCACCAGCAACGCACTTAGCTGATCCAAACAGCTTCCCTTTGTATACAGAACCATCATCTAAGATCAAACTGGCTAGCTTTGAACGGTTCGACGCCATTTCCCTTCTGTGCATAGATTATTACTGTGGCCAAGTCACCATTAGCCACTCTGAGTTAATAAGAAATTTGGCGCGATATATAATTACTCGGTCCAGCTTCCCGCTCGCACTAAAGTAAACCGGAAGAAAATCTTATTACATCAGAAAGTGCATTAGCAATCTACCTTGATATGTGAACAAACTTTAACAATCATTTTCGATGGAAGAGCGCAACTACAACTTCAAAGATAAAATGATATACACATGTAAAGACGATTCCGTTCCTCGAACTAGTAGAACACAAGAAAATGTTGAAAGTACAAACCTTACACGGAATACTGCCAGTTTCCTCAGTGGATAATATTCACAAAAAAACAAAGAATATCCATCAAGAATTAAAAAAGTCTTAAAAAAACAAAGAAGGGCTAAGAACCCCTTCCATAATTCCAGAAAGACAAACAGAAACCAAATCAATTCGAAAGAATGTTCGATGCAAATGAGCTGAACATATCGGTCTGATTCCGAGCAGCTTGGTCAGATTTCGGACAACTACATATAATACGTTTTCAGACACTTCCTCACGAATTCAGACGCTAACGTCTGTTCTTGGAGGCATCCTGTCAGATTTTGGATGATACCGTCCGATTTCACACGATTCCAGCTCCAATTTTGGAAACTATGTCTTTATGCAAAATAATATATTAATATGAAGATTTTTAGATATATGAAAATTCACATATTTGCACTGCGGTGGAAAGATGAAATTAGGAGATCCTCAGCTAAAACACTAAAACGAGTATTGTAAATATTCATAGGTTCAAATCCCGTACGGGCCTGAATTTTTTTCAGGTCCTATTTACAACTACTCGTTTCAGTAGTGTTCTTAGCTGCGAGGATCTCCTAATTTCATCAATATATTAACATTTTTTTATTGATAAGATACATGAAAAAATTACTCAGTTCTTATTGGTTAAGATAAATGCAGTTTTCAGGTAATTCAATATAGAAGAGGGTTAATTTGGTGCAAAGAAGTAACAAACCAGACTGAACAATTCCTTTAACTGTTTAGCCGGAATTTGAACTTTTTTGCGCCTTAAAGATGTGAAAATATCATTGCATATTACTGTTTTGATCGAACGCGGTTGTTTTGACCGAACGCACAATGCTACTTGCAGGGTCTGAATAAATTATTTTTGCACTTGACGCGCGCGCTTTGCTTCTGCACAATTATGATAGGCTATCTCGTATTTTATCATGTGTAGTATTAATACGTAATCACATGATTTTTCTCGTGCAGTTTGGAATAAATAAGCATTTGTAAATTCTTTCGAAGACCACAAATAGTTAGTCTTTGAAATATTTACTCATGCTTCTTTATTCCAAATTGTACTCGAAATCATATGATTACCTATACGAATAAGAACGGAAAATTCTGAGGGTTGTGCTTTCACAGAATAAAGGTAAACCTTAGGTGTCATTGGCACCAATTGACCAATTCTACAGGTTATACTTTTAGTTAAAGCTGCAAAAGCTGTAATTGACGGAGAAAAAATAACCAGTTAACCAATGCATGTATCCAGGAACTAAATAAATTCATTAACACGTTGTTCACTAGGAGGCCTCATTCAAATTGATTGTTAGCAGATACCAGTTGAACAAGGGAAGGTGAGGCCGCGTTCAGTGGAGTCTTGATCATTCTCAGGCCCTGACGGTATTCAACGAGGACATATCGGGATACTACCTTTACGGTATTGTTGTTGTTTCAAGTGTAAGTTGATCCGTCCTCGATAGCTGAACGACGCTGAAGGCTCGGTGTTGTTTCAGGAAACACTTTTGGCAAAGAAGCTGTAAGTGAGTAACAAAAGCATAGAAATATTTTAATCTTTGTAACCCTCTCACGCATTACTTTAACAAAAGTCTAAGATCAGTGTTAGTGGGGTTGACACTGATACAATTTCTAAGGTATTAAAGTACAATCTGCGCGACCTTTAGCTTAACCAAGCGAGAAGATCTGACGACATTCGTAGAGAGCTTTGCGGGGGATTATATTTATTAGTATTTTTGCGGGTTAATGAAAACCAATATGATGCAGAACCGTAGTTGCTGATGTTATTGTTGTTTTGTTTGTTGTTGTTCTTCAAGTACATTGTTACCTTTTTCAATGTTATGTTGTGTTGTATGTCTATAAAGAATAATTAGAGACTGACAACTTTAGATATTTCAGCTCTAATCAAAGTCAAATCTTTTTTAAGGTGATCCATTTGATGTTTTTCTATTCTACGAAAAAAAGTGATTGTTGATTTGCAGTTTCCCTGAATTTTTTACTTTCCCTCCTCTTGTGTGCCCTCTGGTGTTTTTAATCAATGCAATTTTTCACACATAATTTTTTTTTTATGGATCTGTTCTTTTTTCGAATTTTCGAACTTTTGATCTTATCTCTTCTGTGCAGATTTGTGAAATATTCCATTTAGCAGGATGCTAAATCGGTCACCTTTGATGTGGTTTTTAATCGTTTCTTTGGCTTTTGAATCACAGTACGCCATGGGAGGTAAGCTCATTGTTAGTTTTTCGTTGTGTTTAATGGAAAAATAAATTAATGCGCGTAGGTGATTTTCAATTTAACTTACTATTTACACAAATATCGCCTAAGAAACCGAAACCGCGCTTAAAAGGTCCTAATTTTTGAGATCATCTTAAGTTAGATTTACGTTTAGGCTCACTTTCCTTGATTTTGTTGTTTCAGCCAAACATTACAAACACGTTCTTATTTCATTAAGAGAATATCAACTGGTATTCTCTTAATTTTTTTTTCATAATTCACGAGCTTGTTCCAGTCGTTTTACGTTCAGTAAAGTTATACATCTACCGAAACTGTTACGTTTAGCTGTGACTGAACGAAGAGCTGCCTCTTAACAATATAACTAAGGAAATAAGGTGGTTTACATAACTTAAACTAATGGCCAATTTTTAATAATCACGCAGTGTGTTTAAATCTTTCAAGGAGATAACCTCCACAACCAGTACCGTTATGAACGTCACATAAACAAGAGAAATATTATTTTAACCCCTTGACCCATAGTAGTGAATGGCATCTAATTTCTCCCCACAAGATATGGGAAGGGAGGGGGGGGGGTGGTAAGTTAATTGTAGCCGTATAAAATTTTCAGAGCTGCTATCGACTTTCAACGTGCACGGCTTCTTCTTGGACCGCAATGCGTACATACTTTTACGTAACATTTTGGGGTTGAGGAAAGTTAGATGAGGTCTTTTCACATATTTATTCTTTTCTCTTGACAGGTTCGAAGTGTGCTCTTTGTTTTGGTTATGGAGGTTACGACTGTATCACCCAGGTGTGCAGCTATATACAAGACTTCTGCAGCCGAATTAGTTTTCGCGATTACACGGCGGAATTTAATAACACACTAGCAGCAATGCTCCATGTGGCACAATGCGCCGACGAAACGCTTTGTAAAAGACTACATCGTCTCTACTCAAGAAATGAGCATGTCTTTGTAATGTGTTGCTCAGGAAACATGTGTAATAGGGTTTTGGCATGTATATAGAATAAAGATATAGGGGAATCTTGAGGCTTAGATTTATCACGATTTTTCATTGCCAATCGATGGGATTCAAGACGTAATTCAATTTGAGGTGTAGATACATAAATTTACAAAACAAAACTTGCACTCTCTCTCATACTTTAATTTTTAATCACTTCTATGAGGTTTCCTGACACGTTTTCTTAACGTTTGCTTCCAGCGGCTACACCAATCAAATCGTTGTGTAGCCTACATAATTTCACATTAGTACCGAGTTCTTAAGTGTTCCTTCTTACATCTTTTATCAAGATTTAAAATACCTCCTTGAACTACAGACAAGACAAAACAATTGCCAATGCCATATTTGATAAAATGATGCAGATAATTGAAGTATCAGTAAGTTGTTTGTGCCTGTTGCTGCTGGTAAGATCTATCCCGGTCATACTGGCGCCCATGTCTTTCTTGCCAATTGTGCCGATCCTGTCTGTCTTGTTTATCAGACCTGTCTTGACGATCATAATGCTGCTGATTCTGTCTACGATAGCGTCCTTGACCTGAAATGACCCAAACAAGATTTTTTAGGCAGTGATAAAAAAGTCGAATGGAAGAATTTCCAGAAGTGCTGTAACAAATCTCTAATCAGTCGAAAATTCCCGATGAGTTCCACCCTTCTATCATGTCGATCCATTCACACTAGGAGTGACTAGCATCTAATTTATCTTTCCTGTATCAACCCTTTATTATATATAAGGTTATGAGAACAAAGGAAATGCAAGCAAATTACAGAACCTCTTGATTGTCAAAGAAACTCTCTTTGTCAGTACCATAGGAAATGGCTTAACCTGTGGAACAAGCTACTGTACAAGGTTAATACCTTATTATTATTTTTGTTACACGAGACAAAATTGTACCAGTAATTCATCATGAACTGAGAAGTGTTTGTGCAAAAGACACCTCTAACGAACAATAGGCATAGAAAAGATGTGTACCCAACGAAGACAAATAATCAGGTCTTACCTTGCCTATCCTTGAACTGAACAAATCCTCCATGCCTTGTGTCGTAAATACGTTCGTTATTTTCCACCAAATTGCTGACCTGAAATGCAAACGACACAGCCTCTAAGCACCTGAGCTTCCAAGCCAGCTAGGAGCTGGTCATTATCTGAGTTTGCAACATACCCATGAAATATGAAAATATAAAAGATAATTTGTGAACAAGATACATTTAAACAATGAAATATAGATTTTTATAGGAGAGAGATAATCACAACTATAGTGGTTGAAATGTAGCCAGGTCTTCACAATGTGCTGCTGTCCATATCACCACTTTGACAGTTTAACAATGCCACATCGTATATGGAGGTAAATATATTGCATGACGCACCATACACGTAGAGTTCTTCGCCTTGATTGACTGAACACTCTCTCAGAACAAATACCCAGCACTGCTACTGGATCCGGTATTTTTGGAATCAACGGTTGATGAATGTAGATTCAATAAAAACTATTTCATTGGGTTTGAGTGGAACACAAGCTACTTAACCAAAAAAGATTACCTTATCTGCCAACTGTAGGGCAAGGTTCTGGAGAAGGGAAGGTTCTGCTCCTCGGTGCATTACAACTGTCTGAGTTGGTTCATCCCAAGAGGCCTGTGTAATAAAAAATAACCATATACTTGCTCAGCAGTTTAACACGGTAAGTTCAATGCAGCAATAAAAATTAACCATATACTTGCTCAGCAGTTTAACACAGTAAGTTCAGTCCACTAGTAGGTATATTTTAACCTGGCAATACCCTTTGAAAACACACAACATAACCATCACAACACAACTTCCACAGCTTAACCAACACAACATAATACAGCATAAGCAACACAGCATAACCAACCTGCAACTCTTCGTTGATTATCATTTTACTGATGGTACTGTGCACCACAGATGGAGGCAAATCAAACATCTCAGCTAATAAGTGCAGACTACAGACAAGAAAAACAAATTATCTTCTCTTATTTTCCCCCATAAAATTAATTGATCTGTTTTACATAAGTTCATAACAGCCTCTCAACAAAATTAAAAAATTTCTGAACACATTCCTTTGTGAACCAATCATGATCCCCAATGGTTATTTAAACTACTGTTCAAAGTTTTGATGCATGTGCTTACAAGTACAAGTACTATATAATGGTATTGTGAGAACTACAACAAAACTATTAAAACTAGTGGGGGACATGGCAAAGTTAAGCAAGTTGTCATAATCCCATCTCATTTTTAACCATCACCTATAAAATTCAAAGGGCAACAAGTAAAGATTGTTGAAAAGTTTTCACTCCAATTCATAAATCTACAGTACATTGCCACTTACCTCAGTGAGTCATACACACTGTTGTAGGTAAACAAATATGTTCTTAGGCTTTCCTCTTGAATTTTCCTGAAACAACACAGAGAGAATGGTTAAAAATCATCACCTTACAATTCCTATAGGTAGATAACTAGCTAAAGTCAGTTTCGAAAAGCTAACATTTCAGGTGTTTTAAACCCTTTCACTCCCAAGAGTGACCAAGACAGAACTTATCCTCACAATATCAACACAATATCAAGCAGACAAGAGACCAGAATAAAGAAAAATATACATCATGGTACTATTAGTTGATTCAATACCAACCTTTCCAAACTAACATTATAAGAATTGTACATCAGACAGTAATGAGGATTACTTATGAGATCTTGGGAGTAATAGCATTGGCTGAATTTTGAAAAAAGTTTCAACCATCTGTAGAGGCAAATTATGATGGTGTCTTCATATACCTTGATAACATTTCTTGTACTTGTTCTGGCTGGCGGAATAGCTTCCATACCTATCACATACAAAGAGAACTCAATTTTGTGTATAGTACATCACCGTCATAAGCCTTTGTTCCCAGAGCCTAATCTGGCCTCCAAGAAAGTCAGGTATATTGTATTCAATTAACAACAAAAATAACAACAAACAAGTCATCGCATCCAGGAGGAATGAATGATTGAGATGAAAATGTTGTATTAAAAGAATTTATTTTCATTAATGGTATTTATCCACCTGAGTTAACTCAATCTAATACAAGCAATCTATTCATTTAGCACACAGTCATTATTCATCCTTTCTATTGACATTGTAAAATTCGACATATCTTGTCATTTACATTTTGAATAAGACAATTATGTTTTATCTTAAGCAACAATTTTACCTTAACAGCTAGAATGTAGTCCCTACACTGCCTCCAATCTCCTTTCTTCATTGCTTTGGAAGCAGCCACAACATGTTCCCGCATGCTCTCTGGGGGACCTACCATTAAATGCAAAAATATTACCAATGTCTGCTTGATTGGTCATCCACAATGTAGCTTCTCTCTTAGTTAAAAAAAGGGACTTAAAACACAAAATGACAGGTGGAACATGGTACTAACCTACTAATGTTTGCTTTTCACTCTGGCGTAACTGATAGTGAAAGCTCTTGCTAAAAATGCGGGGCCTGTAATCATATGCATGAGCTAAAATTGAGGAGAAAAAAAGGATCAATAGTATATTAATTGCTTTGTGCTGATGTAACATCCCGCTAGTTTCTTGAGGTCCCCTCATAAATTTATTTATCATTATTTTTAAAAAGGCAAATCAAATGATAATGATGATGAACTTAAATGAATGATTTTTGAAAGCCAGTCTTTCTTTTCTAGAATGGGATAGACTCCTCTATGAAGATCTCAACCCCATTTGCACCTAACAAAAATCTTATGCACAACTCTAACATACACAATGAACCAAAGAGAACAACATAACTTGACAGCCCTATACTAACTGACTATTCATTAAACCTTGAAAAATAGGAAAGGAATAAATAAAAAAGCCAAGCCAAGCCTTCCGAGTTTCCCCAAATAACACCCTTTTTAAATACCAATTGAAATACATGACCATACCAGCCATCCATGGTATTTCCATCAACATTGCTGAGGTTAAATAAACACACTCCAACAGCTCAAGATTGATGTGCATGTGAAATGGCACCTAATGTTCAGAAAAGTTAGCATCTTAGTTAACCAAAATGCAAAATTAATTCATTAATCATTAAGGACAAAAAAACAAATGGTCTCATTTTAAACATGAAGTTTTCTATAACATGAACTTTCCATGATGAGAATGAAAACCAGAACCAAACATCTCCCACAAAATCTGTGCACTCCAGGTCAGTGATAGTCAAGTTGAAAAATGAAAAGTGTATGCACATGCTTGCTGCTACAGGTAACTTCAGACAGATAAAACAATCTAAAATATGCTAAAACTTAGATCTAGTGCAGTCTGAAATGTAATTTGAGGGTTAGGAAAATTGTTTAAATCAACACAAAGGTTACCAAACATTCTTTTATCCTCTGGGTACTGCTAAAGGGGTTTGCGCATTTTCCCTACATACAATTAACCAACTATAGTAAAAAATTTGGAAAAAAGCGCAATACCTGTCTTCTCTTCTCAATCTTTTCCTGTTCAGGGGTTCTTTCAAACTGTCTCTGTTGCATTAGTCCCTAAAAAGAGGAAAATGTTACATAGGAAAAATATGTACTTACAGATTAACAAAAACAACACACGGGTCAAAATGTGCTATAATTTTCATACTTGGGCAAGAAGTTCCTTGGCTCTTCCACTTGACTGTACATCATGCAATGCATTGTGTGCATCTTTAATCATACCATGCCTAAAAGCACACAGGCCAAGCTGTACCATGGTTCTGTTGTAAAGAATCTGAAAGGCCACAAAGGGAAAACTGAAACATAACTTTGCGTTCTTGACAACTTGCCTCAGACAAGGCCATGTAATTTGTAACTATACATTAGTATGCAACTTACAATATGTATTGAATGATTTTAAAATTGATCCACCAACTGACTTAACTACGGGAAAAATCATTTAACTTCTCTAGTGTAAATAGTTTTGAAAGCTGATGTTTTGAGCATTATCTCTTTGTCAGAGCAAAGGGCTAACAACCAATATATCTGGTAAAAACCCCTACCAATGCAGCACTAGAGTTTTTTTTTTTAAGAAACTTGCCCCCTTTACTTTTGTAATGGCCAGTTTCAGGCATGTACCAGAAATACAAATGCAGGGTGTAAACATTACTTTGTATGTTTCGCTACTAAGGCTGCTAACAAAATAAGAGTCAGCAGCCAACTCTCATGAAACATGCAATAGCATGGCACCAAGGCAATCTAAACACAAGATTACACCAGTGCCATGTATGAAATCTACTGCTCCATCTACCACACAATTAAGTTGGACTTAGTAACCATGAAAAACCATTACTAAGCTCATCAGTAACATGTGGTCATTACTGTTCTGAGAAATGTCACCCTTACAAGATTTTCAGTAGGAAGTCACATTCGAGAATCACCAAACATTTCCTACACCACAATTGGACCATCACAAGGCGAACAATTTGATCTGAGTCAAGTGCACCCAGTGTAGTCCATTCATGGATCATTTATTTAAATATCAAATTTAGTTTTTTACTTGTTACCTGGATTAAATTCATATCCTTAATTCTTAACACAGAGAAAAATTTCAAGCTTATATAAAAGAAAAACAAACAAAACAAAAAACAAGCAAACAAATAAAAAACAGCACCAACAAACCTGTGTGGGAATGTCAGAATGTTGGATGGACTCTTGTAAATGCGACATCAGCATCAGATCACGAGCCTCAAACCAACGATCATTTAAGGCATGATGATACACATGACAGAGCATTGCTCTGGTTCGGATGCGGTCTGATGTATCTCGTGAATAGATGAACTTGCACATGTCATCAATCGATACTTTTGAGCTTGCTTCCTCAGTCTTTGGTTTTTCTATGGGTGTTTCTGTTTTCTCATCTGTGGAAGTCTCCACCTCTGAAAAACAAAGTTGGGAAATATTTTCTTGTAATTTTTCCCATTTTGTGCCAGCATGTTTTTGTCCTTCATATAGTATGATTGAACATCATTTCTTACTTTGATAGTTTGTACCTATGTGAGATTTGCAAGATGGTGCATAATACACCACTGAGTGGGCCTAAAATTTTTTCTATGTGATTCCCTGGTCTCTGTAAAACCTTGAAGCAATATGATGTAGTTCCTGTCATATTGAAGTATTTTAAGGTTTAAGGTGCAATTTTTGAAGAAATTAGTATGTTCAAGTTAGAATCTATACAAAATATACTAACCAGTATTCTTGTTTACATCTTCACTCTTCTGCTCAGACTTAACCTAGGACAATTTTAATATAGTTAGCCATTTCACCCCCAAGATTTCAATAGTAATTCTCCTTACTGTCTGCCATTAAATTTTGATAAAGTTAGTTTTGAGAATTTGATGTTGGATCAAAATTAAATTTTTATATATTCTCAACTCATGTCTGCTTGATATTGTATTGATATTGGAAGGCAGAATTTGTCTGAGTCACAGTGAAAAGATTAACGTTGTCCATCACAATATGTGAAACTACCACAACTGTCCACAAAACGAAGAATTTATACATAGGTTCTATATTGCTGAAAATCCATACAGTGACAGATCAAATGGCAACAACATAAAAGTCACAAAGTAGCAGTTGAGTGACAATGACATTCTTATTGCAGAAGAAGAAAGGGAGAAGAAGAAAGGAAGAAAGAGGAAGAGCAGACTGAGGTCATATGATAAAATGGCTATTGACTGAGTAAGGTTTGGCCAGATGGGCAAATATTTGGCTCCTGGTTATCAAGAACAAAGGAAGTGTGGTAAGCCAAATACTTTCTCATCCATCCCTTCTGTTTGATCACCAAGTACACAATAATCCAACACAAACCTTATAGTAAAGATGTTCAATGTGTCGTAAGTACACTCTGCAGATCTCTGGTCTTGAGCCATTCACCTCCAGATAACCTTGTAACTTGGTGATCAACTCACACACTACTTCTTCATCTCTAAGTCTAAAATACCACAAATTAATCATAGGAGACATCACAAAAACATGAATGGAGTCTACTTGCCCTTCTTAAAACTCAAACCAAAGCAGACTGCACATGTGCGAAACCTTTTGTTTAGCTTTGTTATTTACTTATTTTAAAATATTTTACTAGTACCTGTTGTTGTTTCATTTTTTGACTTGATAATGACATTACATTAACATTGAAACTTGATTGATTAGTTTTTTTCAGCTTTCTAAAATTTATTATACTTTTAAGTATTTTATTGCAATTTCTATTGTTAAATGATTCTGTATTTAAATGAAACAAGAAAACAAATCTGTCGCAATACAATCTGAGGTAAAGACAACTTATCTTGCATTTACTTCAAAATATAATGTGGCCTACATAAAATATGGCAAACATGCCTTGGATGACTAAACATTTGATTACAGAGGAGAGGACAGAAATCATGCATGGATAATCCAAAAGACAAAAATAGACACAAAATTCGTTACCTTGCTACATATTCAGTGGAGTGACAATCACACCCTTGAAGCATCTTTGTGAACTCATCATCCATACGTTCAATAGTGACCAGAGGACAGCCTTGCACTTTAAGGTTTTGAGTCAAATCCTGATTATTATTGCAAAAGGCAAGTTTAGACAAGTAGTAGTAATAAAACTTTATAAGTTCTTTTCATGCTGACATGTTGTATATCAACATAATAAATGTGACATAAGGGTAAGCTGACAAGATGTGTTTCTCCTCCCTCTGTAAGAAATGTAAACTTATCACATGCAGTTTGAAGACATCATGTTCCCCCAACAGGTTATCATACCCACAATCACTATAAACCTTTCAAAATGTGAAGCTAAATTGTCTTGGCCAAGAACAAAGTATAGCAACCAAAGTAACGGTTAGGTAAATCTGTAAAGATTTGCTGAGTTTCTGAGAGCATGTTGATCAATATTAATCAACAAATTTAGTTTATTAACTGTTACATTATTAAATTGATTTAATGCTAAATGGTTTCATTCAAATGCATAAGTATAACTTCGTAGTATGTACAAGCTCCAAAATGAAGTGAAGCTATGAGTTAATATTGATATCATTCTAAATCCTACATGCTACCAAGAGAGCAGTCTTAGCTAACCGACTTTACATGTTAACTGCCACAAACCAGTAATCATTACCCAAATCATCATCATCATTGTCATCATCAACAACATTACTCTCCTCATTATCATTATTAGAGACCAATCTTACCTCTACATTCTCTGATTCTTCAGAGAGGTTCTCTCCAACTGTTAATGTATCTTGATTGTTGATAAGGATATCTAACAATTCTGAAATCTGCTTCAAACACCTTTTAAAGCAATGGTTCTGAGGTTAGGAAATACTCTCTTCTTTGAGTCACAATTTGACATCTACATGTATACAATTACAGGTATATCATATTACAGCATTGCCTGATGGCAATAGAGCATGACTTCTTTTATTTCCTAGTTGTACAAGGCAAGAGTTTCAGTACCTTTATCCATAAGCAACTGCAGACAGTGTTATACCCAGAAAAGGGGCTGTAAACTCCCCCCCCTCCTTTCATAAAAGGAGGTCTGGGGGCATGCTCCCCCAATTAACCATTTGAAATCTAGAAGCTCAGAAGTAGTTATTATTTCCAGCATTTTGGGACTCAAAAAGAATGCTGTTAATGATAATTTTTGTTGTCACTTCTGTAATTTTTCTGTCATTCCTGATCAATCAGAAAGCTGCATTTTCAGATAAATGCAGGAAATTCAAAAATGAATGGCTTGCAGGGAGGTTCTCATTTCAAGACCTCCCCACCACTTGCAACTCATTTGTATGAAATCCCACATGAAACCCAAACATGAGAGACTGCTTTAGGCAAAAAGGAGGAAGTAAGAAGTCTTTTAGGCAGTAGTATACCACAAGTAAATGGCTTTTATTGCGACCCCTGAAAGGCACGACTCTTCTTTATCAAGCATTCAAAATAATATCCAAATACTTTTCTGCAGATGACTTAAGTCAAGATGTTTTGCAGATTAGGTAGACTGAAGACCTGTGCAATTGAGTAACATTTCTTCCTAAAGCTGAAAATTCTTTCACTGCACTATTGGAACCAATAAATTAAAATTACCGGTAGTTAGCTGAACTAGCGCTTGGTGTATTGTCACCTACACTTTGCCGCACGCAATGACAACCAAATTTTAATCTTAGCCCTATGTGCTGTATCTCTTGCACAAATGGTTCCTCATACATACAATACTCAGATTCAAAACGCAAAAAAAGTAATTGTTTTCACTCACTCCTGCCACATCTCTGGTTTCATACAGGTAGCCACATTAGGATTGTAGTCAAAGATGGAAGAGACGATGTTAAAAAGGAGCTTCACTGTCATACCAGCACCTACATGGAAAACATAAGTGGTTTTCAAGATGTGAAATGTGCGGATCCAGACTGGAGATACTATTCCTAATGCTTTGTATCATACACTTATAATTACCACAACATCACATTAATGACCATAAATGAAAGCATCTGTTTACCATGTGTGACACCTACAGGGTACAGACTCCAAAAAGTTTTATACACTAAATTAGCTGCTCTCTATGCTTTTCCACCATATTAACCTTGATAAAATCTGGCAACATCAGAACAAAAATACACCCACCTAATTTAGCATTGTCTGAAATCACTCTCAACTGTTTGAGGAATTCAATCTGATCTGTACGGTCTGTGCCCTACAAAAACAACAGCATAAACTATTCACTATTCACCTGTGTGATATGTATGTTATAACAATTACTGTATTACTATTATGACAACTACTAAAAATTTTAAAATGGACAATTTTTTAATCAACAAAAGAAACTTGTTAGGATTCAGGATTATCACAGTGCTGGTCACCTTTTTGCCTCGAGCAGAAAGTATCTCATGCAACTTCTTCAACACCACAGCATGAGTGATTTCAGTGTCCTTTGGAAATAGTTGCTTTGCCTTGTCCTGACAAGGAAAAAAACAAAAATCATCAGGTACTGAAAATCATATAAATCATTCACAATGTAAGGAAGTTACATAGCCTGGTTGGACCACATCTCCTATGTGCTATCCTTATCCCAATAAACATATATACTATGAAGTGACTGCTAGTCTTGCTACAAGATCTTTAGCAGGATGACACACTGAGGTAAAACACATGGTTGGTACACATCTGTACTCCTGACCACTTACCGAAGCTGACAAAGATGATCCTTTCACTTCAGTCCAACCTCCACCATCATCTATACCTTCTTTAGACTTCAACTTAGTTGTCTTTTTCTCTTTAGTTTTCTTCTTGTGTTTTCCTTTTTCATCTGGGCCCTTATCTCTGTGCAGTAAAGGAGGGAAAACAGGTCAGAGTTTTCGTCAAATTTCCACACACTTGTACCATCTCCTGAATTCTACTTAAGCTCACACCTCTTCCTAGGGTGCAATTATGGTAAACAACTACATCTGTGAGAAGAGATTGACTTGTAAGAAACACTAAAGTAACAGAAGTCAGCACTAAGATAAATTTTTCTCAGTGCTGACAAATAACGTGTCCTTCATTTCTGTTGCATACTTATTTCCCCCCTGACAGGCAAAGTAGTACTCTACCAGGGTCTACATGTATGCTATATAACTTACATTTACCAACTCCTCAATTTTCCAATATGCGAAGGTTGCTCCCTACTAGATTTTAAGAAGAAATACTTAGAAATTGCACTTGTCTTACTAAAAGGCCTGCCAGCTTCATACATGCCTGTCTATTCACTTCCATAAACTTTGCTTTTATAAAGAAACACAGGCTGGTAAAAACTCTTCCATAATAAGATTTAATAAACAGTGGAAACACTAAGAATGTACTTACTTCTTCAGAAACATGCTGAGTCTGTATTGCATTGGGCCTCCCTCTCCACCAATATCACTGTCACTTGAAGATGACTCATCTTCACTGCTATCCCAATCAATGCTGTCATCATCATCATCATTTTCATCATATCCAGCCTAACAGCAAAAACAATCAATACTTTCTTACAATCAAAAAAAGGCTAAAAATAAATAAAAACACCTCTTTTTAAATATGAAGGTCACCTGAAAAATTCAGTGAGATCAAATCGATTTTGAGGAGAAGTTTAATATCTCTAGAATTCCAAATGTAATTGCTTTGTTGCACCAATTATTTTTAAACCTCCAACACTTCCAGCTAAAATAAATCAATGGTAATATTTAAGTTAATGGGAATGATCATACTTGTAAGAACATGTAACCTTCACAACAGCTAAGGAAGTGTCACCTAGTTTCATCCATTCTTAAAAGCTCACTAGCTCAGGTTAAAAGGATGAAAAACCACCAGAACTTGGAAAGTAGGGAGGCAAAGCTCTACGAATTCATATAAAGGTAAATTTATAATCAATAACCAAGTATAACTAAAACATTTTACATCTGTTGTCTTTGGAGGCTTGCTCTTTTCCACTAAAACTTTCTTTTTGGTAAAATCTTCTGTCCCACGGAAGTCATTACGATCATCATCATCATCGTCATCGTCATCTTCTGAACCTAAAAAACAGAAACAGACTTTCACTAACTGGATATTTCTTGCTCTATTTCTGGTTCATTGTTTGAGTAAATTAACAATTATCCCCCTCCCACCCAAAAAAACAATCATTTTATATTACATGTAGGTTAACTTCATTTAGATCCACCTGTACATTGAAATCCCTTCAACCAAATAAATGTAACAGACAACATTTTAGATTATCAACTCCATACTAGATGTACACATATATAGAGTAAAAGTTGAAAATGTTACCTGATTCTTCCTGGTCGGATTCACCAGAGGGTACAGGGTTCTGTTGTGGTAAGAATAAACTTAATAGGCTTTTCTTGGGCCAATTTTCAATTATAGGTAGTCAAAATTTACTCTGTATTACATTGTTAGAGAGCTAGGAAATAATACTTTGTAACAAAACCTTTCATGGAAACATACCTCTCTGTATTTCAAAATATCCTCTTCAAAATCTTTATTGTATTTCCTCAATTTTTGCCGCAGAGTAGCCAAAGCCTATTGGTTGCAAAACATTTCAGAGAGAAATCAGATCAACTTCAATTTGCTCTTCAAAAAACACTGAGAGAATAAATTGTGTTTCTCATTGTTTACATTGTATCTTACATTTGTTTTGTAGTACATTTATGTGCATATTACTGAAGACAAACTTAAGACTGCAAACGCAATACACAATCAGGTTTATATTCAGATACTTAAAAAACCATGTAAAATTAAAAATAAAACAATCTTTATACAACTCACTTGAATAGTGATGACAGAGTGCGCAAAAGCAATTGGGAAAGATCTATGGAATTTTGTCCATAAAAATATTAAGACTTACTCGAGCATTGACTTTGGAAAGCTTCTTGCGGCCCTCTGTGTCTTCCCAGTTCTAGAGACAAAATAAATATAATAAAAGACATGTAGAATAAGCTTAGCTTTTGGTTCACAGCTAACAGATTAAATACCTCACTCATTATTTGCACCTTAACAGCACTGACAATTTGTTTACCAGAGTTCTACAACTAAATTGTGTTCAAAGCTCTTTATCTGGAACAGCAAACTAAATGTGAATAACCTTTACCCACGATTCTGCACAGCTTACAAATAAAACCATCTTAAATTAATGGCTTTTCATTTATATTAACTCTCGCACCCTACCTCAAATATATATTTTTTTACCTCTTTGACAAAGTCTTCCAACTCGGTTAAAGAGCGGATATAGAACTGTGGGATTCCTTCTTTATCAACAACAGCTTTCGCTTTGGAGAAAGCTTTTCCAAGATTCTCAAATTCTAAAAGAAAAAAGGCAGCAATATGAAATTCAAGGGCTAGCTATTTAACCAAAGTATGCCCCTTGTTTAAAAAAGCCGTGATCTAACCCATCTTCAATTTAGCCAAACTTTTTATCTGAACTTTACTTTTGTAAACAGTGTTGAGAGGACTAAAAGCTAACAGTAGAAGGACATTTATATAATTAAATCAACCCTCTTAGAGAGAATCCTTGAGGCTCATTGCTTGTATAAAACTGTGGTTAGGGTAAGCCCTAAGAGTCTATGAAGACACATCTAAAATGAAATCTTTTTTACCAAGAGTTGTTGAGGTTTCTCCCTTTTAATTCCTGAGGCAAATTTACTAACCGATTCAAACTTTAATTCAGGTGTTTCTGGTTTTAAGAGTTAAACAATAATTAACCAATAACAATAAGCAGCAAATCATGTGTCAAATGAAACAAACATACCAGTAAGAACTTTGGAAATATCCTTGATTTTCTTGTGATTCTTAAGCTGTTTAATAGAGTTGGTGAGCTCCTCAAACCTACCACATTAAAGCATTAAATCCTTAGCAATCAAGATCTCATAAGTACATACAACTCTCTCTTCTAGTTTCTATACATTTTCTTGTAAATAAGGTAGAATAATTTGGCATGATATCAAGGGAACTTCTCATAATTGGTAATCATATCTAGAAGTTTAGGGGTAAAGAAAGCTTAAAACTGAACAATGTTTAAATTTTCCCAATGCCCCTTGCTCTCTGATGTTTACATCTTGCATATCCTTGGTTCCTTTTTCATTTTAGAACTCACCAAAACATTATTAAGGGTAAAAAAAAAATCATGAAACAACAAATCTAACCACAAAAAAATATAACCATGAGACAAATGCTATGGTTTTCCTTTTATCTAAGAAATGCCTTCCACTTAATGAACATTGTATTTTACCAAGAGCTACATGTATAAAGTATGTTATTGAAGATGTTGTGATTGTTTATCCTGGTTAAATAAATAAATGAACGTTTGATCATTTGTGTCATGCTATAGAGTCAGGCTATCACTTAAATTGATTGTGATTAATGCAATTAAAAGCCCAACTCTGTACTCCCAGAGGAATGATCAAATGTTCAGTTATAGAATGTGGAGTAGTTAAAAAATTTCCTATGAGAACACCATTGTTGACAAACCTTTTATCTTTCTGGCTTCGCACAACTCTCTTAGTTTCCTCTTCATCATCGCTGAACATAAAAGATCTGAAAAAGGTATATAAGTGATTAATTCCAACTATTGTTTGTAACAAGACACCCCTGTCCAAAGCTTGCAAGCAGCCTTGTGTTGAATATTAGAAAACATTGCCAAAACATTTTAAAACAATGCTTTACCACCAATAGTTTTTTAGGGCCCTAGTAAGAAGATATCGTGGCCTCTCTTTGTTACAGAATTGTATATTTTTAAAACAAATATTGTACAATAGATCGAGAAACTTGCTGTCTCGATCGGCCAGGGAAAACGAAAAAAGGCTGAAATGACAGGAATTTTAAGTTATCTGACTAAAAGAAAGGGAGTTGGCTGGAATTTCAAGTTCACAGGTACAATCGAGTTGCTAAGGTTCCATATATAATTCTTTGCGACTTCTTTCAATGTTTTACTCACTTGGTAGTAATAGTGGCTGGTTTCGAAACTGCTGGCTGTTCATCTCCACTATCAGAGGACTCGCTTTCCGAACTTCCCGCGGCGAAAAATTTGGACTCAGCCATAATTTTACTCAATAAAGTATGACCAGCACAACCAAGAAGAATAAAATGGCGGCACACGTGTCCGTAATCGGTCCCACAGAAATTATTCATCAGCGGAGTCAACCATTAGTCCCAGTCTCTACTCTACAATTTCTCACGTGGAGAATTTTGCAATGCAGTAAATTGACCAAAACATTTCTTCTTCTTAGTAAATATGGGCAAAAAAACTAAAGTTGGAAAGCAAAGGAAGGATAAATTCTATCATCTCGCGAAGGAAACGGGTATGTAATGTCGATGAAGTCCGAATGTGTGATTATTTGTGGAGGTACTTCTCAGCTGTTCAATGTTTACCATGGCTGATTTTTTTCTGAAAATAAGTAATGTTTCTTTTAATCTTTGTTAATCATTTAGGTTACCGTTCACGATCAGCCTTTAAGTTGATTCAGTTGAACAGAAAATTTGGCTTCCTTCAGACCTCAAGGTGCCTGATCGATTTGTGTGCAGCTCCAGGAGGATGGTAATAACTTATAACTTTAACATGCTTCAACTTGACACTTGCATGTCGTGTATCTCTTTGTTTACAACATTAACAACGAAGAGTTCAGATAAAAGTCGGGTATTGACTCTAAATTTTTCTATCAACTCATCATGATCAATAAGCTCAGCCTTTCCTCTAAGATTCATTGTGTTGCTGGATCAATAGTTTAAGAGATATTGAACGTACAATATGTCTATCTGCTACTCTTTTACAATTTTTTTAAAGGCTTCAAGTTGCATCTAAGTTTATGCCAGTGTCAAGTATTATAGTCGGTGAGTTGTTACTGTTATAGAGTTGTAGTCGAGAAACTCTCTTTGTCATAATTTGTCCCAAGTAACTCGAGGATGGTACCATGAGGGAACTAGTGCTGATATATTTAAATGATGTAAATAATTTCATAAATTTGTTCCACTATTGTACTATCGGGAACATTAAATTACATATAAACAGGATTCTTCTACCTGAATGATAGTTGATATTATTTTCTTATCTCTGAACTTCCTGTTACTTCAAACCTTAATGTATTTAACATGAGATCAATGATATTGGAGGGTAGGTACTGTTAGGGTTCTCATCACCAGCTAGGAGGTGTCCATGGCAATCAAGCCAGAGCCCTCCTCTAGGCAAGTATCTACATAACAGCAAGACACTAATGTACAGAATAGACATTGATCCAAAATCCTGCAAATTTCTGTGGAATCAGTCCATTATCACATCAGGGAAGCCACTGCCTTGACTTGGTTGTTAATGTAACTGCACCCAAATTACCTTTAAGTCATATTTATTAATTGCATGTATTCTCACTTTAGGTGTTGATTTGGTTCCTATCAAAGCAATTCATAATGTCATAACAATTCAAGAAGATATTACAACAGACAGATGTAGACAGGTATGTGGCTTCATTCTCTTACAGAGGATTGTTGTTGAATTCAACAATTGAAAGATTATGATAAATTTTATCCACTTAAAACATAATCAAACTTCCAGTTAAGATTTTTATCAAGCTTGTACTAAATCATATACTCCTTCCCTGGATAGAATGCCTGCCCATCCCTCCCCTAGGTATTTCATCAAGTTTCCCTTACAGTTTTCTACCACCAATGACTTAAAAAACTTTTGTTGTTCTTAAATTATATTCCTGCACAGATTGATGCTTTTTTCACTCTTATAAGTCATAATAAAAACTATCAACAATTTCCAAATTATCCTATTACTTATCAACAAGTTTTGGTCAATTTTTGAGATACAAGGTCACCATAATCTAGAAACACTAATAGGTTTAGCTTTTTTTGCTTATAACTGAGAATTGAGTACAATGAACCTTGCTATTTTATTCTTGAGATACAATCAGCATATCAAAGGTAATATTTCCATTGAAAAAAAATTGTGTAGTGTAGAATAGCCACCTTCATTTTTCGATGATTTAAGGTGACTCTGAATGTTCAATACAGATCTCATAAGTATGTCTGTATGTCATAGTATATACTTTTCTATTCATTGAGTTCTTATATGGATTAAAAGCTGATTAGCAAAGAGATTCACACTTGGAAAGCAGATTGTGTTTTGAATGATGGAGCTCCAAATGTTGGGTCAGCCTGGATTCAGGATGCATTCACGCAAGGTGAGATGAATACAAAATATGTTATTTTGATTAGGAAAGAAAGCATGCAAAATTGTAAAGCCCACCATAGCATCACAGTATGGATAATGTTGATAAAAATGCTAAATCATAAAATGTTCAATTTCCTTGTGTTTGAACAGCTCAGCTGACCCTCAGTGCATTGAAGTTAGCTTGTGACTTTTTACAGGAGGGAGGATGGTTTATAACCAAGGTAATAGTTCAACTTTATATCTCTAAATTTTTTTTAATTGGGCAGATCATGTACAATAACAATTACAATATGATAGTGATATTGATATTTAACATAATCTTTCATGGTTTATCAAAACACCATCAGGAAGTAGAGAGAAATCGTTATTATTTCTGTTTGTTTTTGTAGTCATTATTATTGACTGAACTAACCTCTAGATAGTGTTTGGATAGAACATTAGATGGAGATTAATCTTCATGTGGATATCACGAGAAACAGACAGTCTTCTGTTGGTCTAAAAGACCAACACCAAAAATTTGGGGAAGTTGATTTGACATATCCTAAGGCTTAGTCTAAAAGCCTCTCTTTAAGTCCCCTGATTATTTAGAAAACCTTTGAGTACCAACTGATTTGATGTGAGTGATAAATAATTTTGGTGGTGTATATTTTAATCAAATTGTTTTTGTAGGTATTCAGATCCAAAGATTACCAGCCACTGTTATGGGTCTTCCAACAACTTTTTAAGAGAGTGCACTCAACTAAACCACAGGCATCACGATCAGAGTCAGCTGAGATTTTTGTTGTATGCCAGGTATAATCTTCAATTAAAAAAAAAAAAGAGCTGTCATGGTACTCTTGTCATTTATAACAGAGAGAAAGGGAAAGAAAGTATTCTAACCCTTTCCCTTTCTATTCTCTGTAACCATGAAATCATGTTAATATAAATCATTTTGGGCAGAGGGACATGCCCTAGTGATAATTTATTATACTTTCCTCTACACATGCTATTGATAGTTTTAATAATTTTGAACTTTCTTATTTGTACCCATGTTTCTTAATTTTTAAGGGTTACATAGCTCCTGCCAAAATTGATCCAAAACTCTTGGATCCAAAACATATTTTTAAGGAGGTTGAACCTGAAGGCAAGAAGAAAGTCAGTATTTTACAAGTTGAGGTAAAGGTTGTTTCATTCTCTTTGAAAAGATTAGGAACACAGTTCACTTCTGTTGTTTTTTATAGTATCTTTCCCCTTCCTACCAGTTAAAGGTGGCTCTTAGTAAGTTTCTATATACAAAATGTTTTTTTATTGATGTGTTTTATTTATTTTTTTGTATGTGAAATGATCTAAACTTGTGACAGTTATTGTCAGTTGTAAATATTACCAATAATTATCTATTTTTTAAATGTAAGGATTTAAAACAAATTTATATCATGGATAATTTTTCATTCAAAAAAAATGTTGTGCTTATTAATTGTGGTAAAGTACAATAATAATATAATAATCGTTTAAAATGTATTATCATAAAAACAAGAAACCTGTAAGTAAATTGTTTGATCTGTTTAAATTCAGTTGATTTTTAATTCTTGTTCAAGAAACAGAAAAATTAATTTTTCATTGTTCTGATTTAGTGCTCCAAGCAGCTATGGTTGAAGGATGACTACAAAATTGTTTTTGTAGATCCACTTTCATTAGAGTGTCACTTCAAATCTGTTTATCAATTCTTGATTTTTAATTCTTGTACAGAAACAGAAAAAACGTGCTGAGGGATACGATGAAGGAGACTACACATTGTTCAGATCAGCCACAGTCTCTGACTTCCTGCAAGCAGAGCAGCCATTGGATATATTAAGTTTAGTAAATGAGGTTTGTTAAGAGCTTGATCTTTCTTTAAACCTTTAAATTCTATTCAGATAGTTTAGGAAAGAATTTGAAAGACATTTGCCTCTTTTCGCAATGGAGTATAGATGGAGACCATCAAATTGTCAGAGAAACCTTACAAAATGAGTGGGGGGGGGGGGTGATCTACACTAGAATAGCTACCTATTTGGAGGGTGGGACTATAACTGCAGCAATACTTCTAGCCTTTTGTGCTATCAATGGAACTGGGATAAGCTCTAACAGTTTTGGACCAGTAAGACTTCAGTACCCCCCCCCTCTTATAAGGAACAACATTTAGAAATGTTTATTGATAAAAGGATCAATTAAGAATAGACAATGAAATTCAAAGTGAAAACTTTCTACTTTTAAGGTGATTTTCACCGGCAAGCTGATAAATACTATTTGTCAAGTTATATCTTTATCCTTACCTTTCTGATTTGATTCAGATTGTCTTTGATGACTTAAAATATTCAAAACATGTTTTGACCACTGAGGATGTCAAGGAAGCATTTAAAGATGTGAAAGTTCTTGGAAAGTCAGACATAAAGTGAGGATTCAAAATATTTTAAAGCTATAAGTACATGTATGTGTGGAGAAAAATTTCATCCTTTTATCGGCAAGACAGTCACATGCATGTACCAGGATGTCTTGATAGTTCACACACCTGTAGTTTGGAAAATCTCTTCAAAACAGTTTGTCATTTTCACTGTAAAACTTGTTCTGTGTCAAAAATCAACAGTTTATTTTTATCTTTTCTAATGTTTAATTTCTAATGTTAATTGTTTCCTATGTATATGGTGAGTGTACATAGTATACAACTCCAAAATATTACACTTCTTGTTTGGAGTTCACCTTTTTTTAGAGTACCAATATTCAGCAGCTAACACTATGATTTGATGAATTATCTTGAAGGAATCTATTGAGTTGGCACAAAGCATTACGGAAAGAGTTTTATGAAGAGCAGACTGAAGACACCAGGTATGGCAAGTTTTGACCCTCTCTCCGCTAAGATCCCCATATCAGTTGTCCACACTGTTCAGGATACCTGTCCATTTGTGGTAATTTCAGCTCCTAGAATTTAGTGTTATATCAAACATTGGTTGAAGTTTCAAATACAGCATACATGTATTATCGACCATATTATTTCCTTTTATTATCAGGGGGCAAGGAGATGAGCAGAGTGGCCTTGAGGAAAATGAAGAGGTTAGCTCATTTTTTAATTTACTGACACACTGATATATAAATATTTGGTGGTTGGGAAATAATTTTTTAATTGGGGTGGAGAGGGTAGGAGAAATGATCTTGTGTGTCCCAGGTGAATGTTGTGGAGGGGTGGAAAGGTTCATTTACAACATGATTATAACTACAAGCAGTTTTATTATCATTTAAAATCATTTCTACCTGTGGCAGGGTGTGCACACAAACAACTTAATGCTGACCATGTCTTGTCATTTTTTTTACGGGGCCTCCCTGCTTCTTTTATCAGCAACTGTCCCTAAGTGACATGTTTTTGTTATTCTTTTTTGCATCGGTTGATTTGGTCATAAAGATACAAAGTTTTGCTTCTGTTCAAAGGGGCCAATTCTTTATTGATTCTAAATTTTCCAACACTTGTTCACGTTTTCAGTTTGTATTCGATTCTCGTTTTGTTTTTATGCATAAAAGTGAAAAGTTGAATGATCAATATAAAAGCTTTCAGGAACGTTGTTAATTTGTAATAAACTATTTTAGGAAATTATTGAAAAGACGATACAAGGATTAAAAGATGAAGAGATTGCAAATGTTAAAAGGTATTGTGCTGTTAACCTTTTATGCCGTAACATCAGTATCCACAATCTCCATACTTATGTCTATACATTCCTTTGGTACTGACAATGTAATGTACAACGAATCAACGTAAAACCACATCATTATGAGTCGTCCACTGAGGGAATTTCCAACTTTGGGCCTAACTCCTTACATGTGATCTGATTCACACCCTTAAGTCTGGAAAATAAAATAATACCTCGGATAGACTCTGGAAAAATGTGTATTAGCCTTGTAAATTATCAATCCTACATATTTTTGTTCCCAGGGAAAAGCGGAAAGTTCAGAAGCAGAGACAAAAGTTACAGGAAAAGATGAAGTTAAAAATGATTATACCAGGAGACACTAAAGGCATGGAGACGGATATGGAAATGTTTTCTCTAGCTAACATCAAGAGTAAACAGGTATTGGTTGAAATTATGTCAAAAGTTAGAGATATGTCACAATGTTAGGTCTCGATGTCTGCGTCCTTCAGTGGTAACGTCAAATTAGGAAGAAAAACGTCAAGTATAAACATTGGAAGATATATCCGTAAGATATTACATGATCTTGCGGAGACACGAATTTTATCTTCGATTGCCAATGGTTAGTGTATCTTTCAAGAGTGAGCACACAAGAAGACTACTTCATATACAAACGATGTTGTTTTACCTATAAAAGACAGTGGATTTTATCCCAAAAACTTAGCTGTGCAGCAGTCGTCAAATACAATTTCGTTGATCCGTTTTAATGCTCTCCATCTTTTAACGTCGTTGTTCCTGTACTTAATTTTCACCCTTTTTCGAATTTCGTATCGAAGTTTGTTCTATTTAAACAAAAAGATTCTATATTTTGCAATTATATTATGAATTTCTTTGTTGCAGCATCTTGATAATGTGGATGATGCAGACATGAACGAAGCAGACAATGAAGATCACAGTGAAAGTGAACAGGAGTTAGAATCTGAATCGGATCACGATAGCGAAGATGATGAAGAAAAAAATGAAGATTCCAAAAATGAGGAAGGAGAAGACGGAGAATTAGAATTTGAAGAAGAAAATGGTGAAGCGGATGACAGCAATGCGAAGCAACAAAGGTTTATTTCCATAGTTTTTTAAAATTTGTATTATTCTCAATTTGTAAGGACATTTAGACTGCTGTTGCTCTGCAGGTTTGTCGTCAAGAGCTTTTACTTGAGTTTTTTCTTGAAGCTGAAACCTAAAAAGAAATTGAGTAGTCTCTTTGAATGGTGGTAAGTTAATTTCAAGGTAGAAATGACTTGAACTGTGTTTTCTTTAGGGACAAGAACCCACTCTTGGTAGAGTTGGAACCTGAAGTTCCTCTTACGATCAAGGCAAACAAGTGGTTTGAAAAGGTACAAAAAAGTCATATTTGATCTTTCTGAATAAGGTTACCAGTAGTCCTAGTCCCCTCTTGTTACAAATATAGGGCGACACTTCGCTCGTGTTCGGTCTTGAATCCTAAGTAAACTTTACTGAATACCTGTTTGATATGGCAGGATGCGTTCAAAGGTTTGGAAGACGATGCCGACGAAGACCTGGAGATTTCCCAGATGGCGGAACTGTATAAGAAGCAAGGAGGAACTATCTTGGGTAGGTGTTACCACAATCAATTATACAACCAATAACGAAATAGTAGAGTTTCTCCCAGCTCTTAAACATGATATCTTCTGCGCGCACAGTGAAGATGATGTCTTTAACTTTCGAAGGTAGCAATATCGTTGTAGTTATAGCCACCGTGTGTGTTAACACAGCGTCTGTGCTTTCTACGAAGGTTTTTTTTTCATGTAAGCCTTGAAACTTTTTAAAGCAGGAAAAAATGAGTTCCTTTTATGTGTATGTTCATTCAACTGGCGTAAAGGTTGACAATTAAGTGTCGAAATGTATTTTTATCCTAGAAAAAAATTCTGAATCAGATTTGGGTGAGCAGCAGCAAGGGACCAAAAGAGGGATCGACGAAAAACCTAAACAAGCGAAAAAAAAGCGGTTAAGTGATAAGGAAGATAGCGACAGCGAAGAAAGTGAGAGCAGCACAGACAGCGAGGAGGATAACGCACCTGCCAAAACGACACTGGACAACGAGGGAAAGAAAGTCAGTTCTAAAGGAAATGACTTTGAGGTTGTGCCAGTAGAGGATAACAGTAAGTTGGATAATTTTTTAAGTGTTGTAAAATCTTTAGAGTGGCCACAAAGGTGTTGACTTCTTTTGGTATTCAGTCTCATGTGACATTTACCCAGCACAACTCAGTGGAATTTTCGACGCATTGGAGTCGCGCACCATGCGAAGTAGCTGCGATCTTAATGGGATTTATTGCTGGCATCAAGCCGCGTTGTACGGCGATTTGTGATGCAACCCAAAGAAAACGTTACTTTTGAATAGCAGTTTGACAAAAGAACAAATAACTGAGATTACTGGTGGCACCTCCTGCACGGAACTAGTAGGATTAACCTCTCCCTCCCCCTCCCTAACCCTCAGTATTACGTCAGGCTTCCTTGATAGTTTGCCGGTACCTATTTATACCCCGAATGGGAGGAGACACTTTGAAGAACACAACCCAATGACACGGTTAAGGCTCGAACCCAGACCTCTCAGCCCAGAGTCCATCCTTCTTACAACTAGTCCATCGTTCTGACTGTAAATGATATTTGTTTTACTCAATAGGTGAATATTTGAAGAAGCTCACCCCAGAAGCTCTAGCACTGGGACATAAGATGGCTTTTTCGCGAAAAAATAAGAGGGACATCATTGATTCAGGATATCACAGGTGAGTACGACCAGAATATACTTCCAACTTTTGGTCATATTCACTCGTTATTCCTAAAACTCCTTTGTACCCCTGCAAGGTGGGCCTTCAATGACGATAACCTTCCCTCTTGGTTCGTGGAAGATGAAACGAAGCACTACCAGCGGCAAATACCGGTCACCAAGGAAATTGTGGAGGAATACAGAGCAAAAATGAAAGAAATCAATTCAAGGTCTGTTAAAAAGATCGCTGAAGCAAAAGCCAGGAAAAAACGAAAGGTATGAATATATTGACATACATATTACTTGTTTATGTAGTGTAGAAGCAGCTCACATCTATTTGGCAGGACACGTTAAAAGGTGTACTTTCTTCCTAAGAGTTTTGCTTCTTCAGGGCATAGAAATAGTTCAAATTAAAGGTTATCCAATCGTTTGAGATGGAATACGGTGCGGCCAGCTCTACACCCCTGTCTGTGAAGTGTAGGTTTTAGCCCTACTCGTGTTACGAACTGTGTTGTGGTCTTGAGGAAGGCAGTGCATTTTCACATTCTCTTTCTCTCTACCCGGAAGTGTGACTGAGTACCAGCTGGCAGGCTATTGTGTGGCATCCCAATTGGCATCACGTGTAGGGGTCGGTATTAGTAATGCAGTACATTTTTTCGTCCTAAGGTTTGAAACTGAGATAAGCTTATTCGTTGGGAGCGACTAGACTCACATGCCAAAAAATTTTATTTTAACGGCATCTGGAAACCTAAAGTAAGCAGAAAACTTTTGGGCGAATGTAAATGACGTAGAATTCTCAATTATATATCTCTGCTTAGGATTCAGGGTTCTCGGCTCGTACAACTTAGCTGTAGTGAAGCTGTAAGAGTTTCTCGAGTGGTTTTTCATTCTCTCTTTTAATAATTTCTTTTCAGGAAATGAAACGACTCGAAAAAGCCCGTCAAAAAGCAGAAGCTATTTGTGATACCGTCGATGTGTCCGAAAAAGAAAAAATGAATCAGATTAGAAGGTAGGCGTGGAATTTAATGCTCAGAAGTTTTAAGGCTTTAGCGGCGAAGACAAGCGGTTGTATCGCTGGCTATAATAAGTTTTGTTACTTGATATTTGCAGTTTGTACAAAAAAGCTGTTGGAGGTAAACGGAAAGAAGTGAAGTATGTTGTCGCCAAGAAAAGCCAAGGTAAAGCATATATTATATATTAAATTAAACTGCCACAACAAAAGGTGATTTAGTGTGAACAACTGAGTTGAAAACGTAAATTAGCCACCGTAAAGGGTAAAAAAGCTGACGTTTCGAGCGTTAGCCCTTCGTCTATCGCTCTGACGACGGGATAATGCTCGAAACGTCAGCTTTTTTACCCTTTACGGTGGCTAATTTACGTTTTAAACTCAGTTGTTAACACTAAATTACCTGTTATACTCTCCCACCGACGCAGCACCACAGTTTCTTTAGAAACTTACCCCTTTATTCATGCTACAAGAAAATGTAAGCAACCTCTTTTGGTACAAACGTCGAACAGGCGTGCAGAATTTTAGGAAATCAGAAACTTAAAACCATCTTAATGCAAGGGAAAATGGACTGCAATCCATTCAAGTCGTCATTCGGTCTGCGCCGTACGGGTGCTCTTATTGGCCCAGTCCTGTTGCGTGGGCGTGCTTGTTTATCCAATCACAATACATTGGTTTGGGATATGATATCCGTGAAGACCCCAAAAAAACGAGGCCATAAGTCGCTGTTATTTATGTTATTACTGCGATTCACACTGAAATCCTGTCCACCTTCTTTTTGCGGAAGCTAGTTTTCATTAAATTGTCAACGTTTCGAAAAGTGAATTGTCGTTGCTACCAATCTTGTTGTTATTCCACGTATTTTGTGGATTGGAATGTTTTACTTTGTTAAAAATCACTTTGTTGCTTCTTCCTTAAAAATTATTCCCTCTTTTTTTCAGCCGCCAAGAGAATGAAGAGACCTGCTGGAGTTAAAGGTCCTTACAAAATCGTAGACCAGCGAATGAAGAAAGACTTACGAAGCCAAAGAGCTAACGAAAAGAGAAACAAAAAGAGTGGAAAGAGGAGGAGATGACAACCTTAGGAGCACAAAAGAAATTGGTTGTGTTGCAGAAATTGTCACGATCGAGTACCGACAGTTCACGTTCGAACGATAATGGAACGCGTGAAGGAAAACCAGGACTTATGCTCATAGAAGTTTCCTTGACCTTAATATTCAAGGGATAAGTGTTCTAGTTCGTTTTTCAGCACGAACATTTTCCTAGCTTCCCCTGTTTGCTTGTAAAGCTCTTGTCGCAGATTTGAAACTTTATTTTCAAGCAAATACAACCTTCTCTCAGCAGCTTCAGCTCGTATAGTACTCTCTTTGATTTTCTCACCCAGCGCGTGTGCTTGAACAATACGATCTTTTTCTTCTTCGTAAAATCTCTCGTGCTTTACACGCAGTCGTTCCAAAAGATTCTTTTTTGCAACAAGCTTGCTTTCCAAATCGCTGCATTTCCTCTGCGCTCTCATTTCGATGAAATTTGCTGTTTTAATCTCCCGGCTATAGTATTTAGCTTGTGTCTTGAGGTCGCTTGCTTTGTTTTCAAGTTCGTTAGCTTTCGCTCGTGTTTTTTTCAAGAAAACTTCTAGCGAAAAATTTTTTTGAGTGTTGCGCGTCTCCAGGTCTTTGAGCTTATTGATAACCATGGTATTTGTGTAGAGTAATTCGTCCACTTGTTTCAGTTTCGAATGGTTAGCCTCCAGATCTTCGTACGTCTTCTTCAACTTTTCTTTTTTAATTGCAAGCTTTCGGCGTTTATATGTGGCGTCTTCCCATAACATTTCACATCTCCGTTGTTTTATCCCCAAAGCTTTCGTCGCCCTTCGAATTTTCTCTTCTGCAACCTCGATTTTATTTCTTAAGTCTAGAATGCACGATTTCAACTGCTGAATTTTCTCTCCCATGATTTTGAGCAGACACCTCCAGTTTACTCACATTTTCTACGAATTCTAAATGAAGCATGGCACATTCGCTGTAAAGATAACAAAACAATTATCCCATAAACTCTAATCGAACCATTAATAAGGGTTAAAACAAATACTTTGGGAACCAATAGATGGTTTTTAGGGTCTGTAATTCACCTGTCTGCATACGATCTATTGAATCCGCTAAACATAACACACTATTATCGCAGCGCATCCGCATTATGATTAAAATATTACATCTCCGTACTGTATCATTCAAGTTAAAGAAACCTGGTGATGAAAATTCACTACATCGTCCAATGAAATAATTAATTGGTCTGTCACCAATCAATCAGTTTAAAGAATTTCCTTTTCGGTCACAACAAAACATGATCTTGTCAGTAGTAGGGCAGGTGTTGTAATTAATGTGAATAAACTTAAACGAAAACAGATTCTTTTTTTTAACGAGGAAGCTATTTTCTTGAATTCGATAACGATGCGGGAAGTACTTTCGGGAATTTTTCTCTTTGCCAAGAAACTTATCATACATAAACAAAGGGCTCGGAATTATTTCCTTGTTACAGTTATTTCATTTCTTTCATAAGCAGTTCTGTGACATAAATTTTCAAAGGAATAGTGTAATGTAGCTGTAAAGAACTTTTTCACACGGTCTTTGCAGAGAACCAGAGGTAGCTTAGTAGCTTCTTTCTCCATCAGGCGACGAATACCCGCGCATTGATGGAGTTTATCTCGTTTACTTCTCGTTGGTGAGCCTCCTCGTTGCAATCGCGTGACGCGCGACCATTTTCCACGCAGCTCATGGTGTACCTCTGAGTCTCGTGAGGCAGTAAAAGAGGAACTCTCTTATGAAGTGCTTTTCTAGTTTTTATCTGTTTGTTCATCTGGAAGCTTTTCATCTGTTTGCTCACTGTCATGGATTTGAAAGGAGACGCGGTTGACAAAGTGAAGTGACGGGGTGCAGGGGAGGGGGGGGAAGGCGTTAAGAGCGAAAGAGTTTAAATCCACCTGAATCCACTGATTTGAACTCTCTTGTCCCCATCCCTAACAATTTCCCGAATGAAATATAGCGATGCAGTCAATCATCGAATACATAAAGGCCTGCATTTTTAAAGTTACCCTTGCAGCCGCCTACGCAAGAAATAATCTGTCACCACCCCGGATAAAAGAGTGTGGAGCCCAGTATCCCGCCGCGCAATATTTTGATGGCGGCGGCCATGATGCCTGTTCCGGGTTAGTTTGATTGCGATACTTTGTTCTTTTTATACCTGTTTAGACACTTCGGACGAAAATTTATTGACTCAGTTAAAAATAGATTCTTCCTCTATATTTCTGAGTCTTCATAAGTGTTTCATAGCTCTGATTTGCTAAAAAAATGAATCGAAACTATTGCAGCTTTGTAGCACTTGTTTCCTGAGCTGCATAGAAAGAAGATAAGCTTATGACAAAGCTTAAGGATACTCTTTCACTTTCTCAACACATGCTCTCGTTCTAGAAGGGCTAAGAAGAGGATAAAAATACGCTTGATTTCCAAGATTGGAATTATTGGTACAATCCATCATTTTTTGAGCAATTGTTTTCTCGCGTGTGCTTGTATCTGTACATGGAGATTTCCCTCGTGTACTTTTGTATGATAAAGCATTGATGATTGGAAAATCCATGGATCATACTTCAAGACGACAAAGCACTCAATAATTTGGACTTATATGCATGGGAATGACCCAGTCTGTGTTCTGTGTGTGTTACATGGCAAATGTGGATGGTATTCCAATTAAGTGGATGGGAAAGATTGTTTGTAAACGGAAAAAATTTATAGTTATGTAATGAAATATGCCACTTAACTGTCCCTAAGGATTGTAGCTGCAGTAACTTTAAGGTGTGCTTTGAAACCCACCTAAATGTATGAACTAATTTTTATTTCTCTTTTATTTATCAGAGACCAATAGCCATGGTACAGACAGCCCAAACTACAGAGACAAATACAAAACTTTGAAAAGAAAACTTAAATTCCTGCTTTATGTAAGTTGAATAACACCTTTTTGAATACCTACTTTTTGACTCAAGTTATAGATAATACACAATAATATATATAAATGCGTGTTTTTTCTTTGTTTGTTTATCCTGGAAAATACTATCTTATCTTAACCTTTCCACTCCAAAAATCTCATTATTAATTCTCCTTACTATTTTCTGATTCAATTCTTATGATGCTAGTTTGAACAATTTGGTATTGGATAAACAAATGATCTCTTAACTGAAATTCTCATTAATTATCTGCTTGATTTGAATTAATATGGTGAAGAGAAATTCTGTTTTGGTCACTAATGGGACTTAAAGGGTTTACATCTTCTTTTACAGGAACAGGAATACTTCCAAGAAGAGCTCAGAAGAGTGCAAAAGAAGCTACTTCGTGTTTCTAGAGACAAAAGGTGTGTACATGGAATTTTAAGACACATAACATTATAGCCCTAAAAAAAATGCACCTGCAGAGAAGAAAGAATTGGCTCATAGTGGTAACATTTTGGCTTATCTGACAGAAGCATTTAAAATTAGAAGTTCAAAAACCTCTTCCTGAGAAGCCTCAATAAGTTTATTTTCTAGCTACAAACTTTTTTGGCTAAAAGTGAGAAGAACCTATTCCTGGTCATTTGCAATGTGTTGGGTGATGTAATAACTTGTGTTTGGTGTTTGTGATGTGGAATGCACCAAATTGTCTTGAGAACTGTATGTCATGATTGTGTTACTGATAAGCCTGTCTCTGGTTAGACTTTTTCTAACTTTTGTTCTTTTTTGTGAGGGTATTACTCCAATCTGACAATTGTTTAACCCATTAACTCCTAGGAGTGATTAACCTGCAACTTTCCCCTATAATATACATACATTATCCAGTTGTCATCTTGGTCTGAAGCCAAATTCTCTTAATTAATTTACAAGGAAATGTCTAGGAACTAGAGGAGAGAATTAGCAATCAGATCTTGGGTGTCAAAAGATTAAGATTAGTCTCTTAAACTCATATTTGACAAGTGAGATGTACTATTTATCTGCTTATAACATCGTTCTGTTAAATGACTTTTTTCCTGATAAATTTTTCCTTAGCTTTTTGCTTGATAGACTTCTGCATTATGAAAATGTGGATCATTCCTCATCTGGTAGGTGACACTTTAATATGTGCGCAAACTTTGTTTCTTCTTGCTTCTCACTCACTGGGTCTACAAATTAAAAGGCCTGGGTTTAAACATTGGTGAGGAAACAGCCACACTTTTATTTGCTTGACTGCAGGTTGAAAGCCCTTGATAATAATGACAATTTTTTCCAAGTCTCAGTCTAATAGCTAAGAGTAAACTGAGCTTTTCAGATTGGGGATACTAATATCTTGTAGATAAGATGATTGTTTTTTAAAAAACCCTCTCCTTCCAGAGTGTTTGTGAGCCTGAAAATCGTAGACAATAACCTTTGATGACCCTGTTTCACATCAAGTAATAGGTGGCAGGAGGCATTAAGTGCATAATTCTGAAGAATCTGTGTATTTTGACTTCAGCATCTTGATAATTATTTCTTTTCTGAACAAGGTTTGTTAACAGAGCCCCAGTGAACAGAGAATTCATCAAGTACACTGTAATTGTTGTACACAATAATGAATTACTTTTTATGTTTCTAGATGATGATGGTACAGCATCTTCCTCAGGAGTCAGTGATAGTGAGGGACCAAAGGTAATGTAATATAGATGTCGAATATTTGAGAAGTGAACTTTGAATTTCTCTTTTTAATGCCAAGTGAAGATGGCACATTGATGATGCTGACATATTTTTCAGGTACCCATTGCAGAAAATCCACCACCATCAAATAACAGGTACTAAATTTATCTTTTATCATAATTGAAATGTTTTGTGAATCTTTAAATTAGTGTCTGAGATGCTTTCTGAAAGGGGAACTAAAAGGTGCTGATTTAGTTTCCCCAAATCAGTGGCAGATTTGGAATTGTACATATATATGGTGTTCTTTGTTTTATCCCTAGCAGTAGACCGAAGAAGACACAGGTTGTAAATCATGGAATTCCAGCTGATAGTATGGGCATGTTTCCCTATCCTTCTTCAGATGGAACAAGCAGTGCAGTAAGTATTTTTGCTGGCTCACTTGCCTCGTTTAGGGTGAACTCCAATCATTTTTTGTGTTTTTATTGAAATTTTTTTCAAAATCTATTATCATAATTTTGAATTCTATTCACAGGGAGGTGAATTAGCAGCTGCTTCAAATAAGAAGAGTATACAATGTCAATATGTAAATAATGTAAGTCATAAAACATTTCCCCTTGCATTTGATTTATATCTTTTACCCTCAGGAATGACTTATTGACAATTTTTCCTCACTATGTTAGTACATTTTCAAGTAGTCAGGTGACAATAATGAGGAAAGCTATCAACAAGAAGACTTTGTTAAAAAAAAGTGTGGCATATGAAGATATTCAGGGTCAATTTCTGCCAAGGCTGTTGAGCATCCCAGTCTTCAGACTAAGCTCCTGCTGCAGAGTGCAGTTCCTGTATGCAGTAAACCAAGGATTACTGTTTCAAACTATTTGGTTGTAGGTAAATGGTAGGGGTGGTTGGAGATCAGTTAAAACTTGATACTTGGTTTATGTTTTACAGGGTACCGGTGATCAGTGTCAAGAGAGAATCAGTAAAAGATCCAAGTCAGGGTACTGTTCTGCGCATAGATCAGTTATACGCATCTCTAAGCAAGGTATTGACAAAGCATTCTTACATTGTAGTTTAGTTGTAACCCACAACCATTGGATTATTATTTCATTGATTTAACCCTTTCACTCCCACAAGTGACCAAGACAGAATTTCTCCTTACAATATCAATACAATATCGATCAGGCAGGTGATGAGAATAGAGGAGAATATCAATCATGGGATTATTAGTTGATCAACCATTGGAACTATTATTTCATTGATTTAACCAAGTAGTGTGCTGAAATGCAACAGTTAATGGCCATTTGCTAAACTTTGACCTAGAGGACAACTGAATTGGGTGAGGCTGTAGCAAATTAAAAAAAAGTGAAGTGCCCTAAAGTACAGGATAAAGCAGGAAATAAGTCAATAACGTCATTCGTGTTAATTTTAAAAGACAGTGAGCACATTCTCCATACTATCCTCCATACATGTCCTAAGGTGCTGGCTGGCAGAATTTGTCTAACAATTAAGACTGCTTTAGTGGATGATCATTTCCTTTATTCTCATGAACTCAATCTATAATTCAGGGTTAATATTGTAAAGAGAAATTAGATACTAATCACTCTAAGGGGTCAAGGGATTAAGGGTTCTGGCATTTAGCACTGGCCTGGTCATTGTGTGTCACACTGCCAGTCTCCACCCAGGAGTATGAATTGGTACTAGTGATCTGTTGAGTAAGCTTGACAAAATTGTTGGGGTAAATTGCAATTGACAGTGTTTGACATTTTGTTTGCTTGTAGCAGGAGGGACACCACCTAAACAACTGAACACAAACACCAAACCTATTCTGGAGTCACAACGAGACAACTCTTCCATGGTGGACCAAGTAAGCAGTGATACTACCTCTCTCAACTTCTTAATTTATATACAGTACAACGTTTTTGTAAAAATGAAAAATAAACTAATCTTTTTTATAAAAATTTAAAAAATGAACTAAACTTTTTTGCATGAGGTCCTGTGGCCTAGTAGTTAACATAGAGGACTCCCAGGAGCATACCTGGGTGATGGCAAATTGACAGGGAAACCTTGAGAAATGCTTGGGGGTAAATTGCCATGGACAAGCATTCTATCAAGGGGTTGGTGGGGGGAGAGAGGGGGGTCAAGACACCTTCAGCTAAACAACAGTGATGTGTACTATATGTGAGGTCCAGACAATTGTACCCTGTTTCCTTGAAGAACATGTATTGAGAGAGATTTTGTTTTCACTTTCATTTCCATTGCTTTTAGCAACAACTGGAGCGCCTTAATCAACTTTCTGAGTCAAGCAGTTGTACAACTTCTCAGGTGCCACAGGCCACTGAAGAACTACCACAGGAGATGTTTAATGTAGAAGATGATGAAAGAGACAGGTCAGTTGTGTTTCACTCTCAATATGTGTTTAAAATTACTGGTTCAAACAGGTTTGGACCAGGTCAAGGTCGTTTTGCCAAACAGCTATTCCCCACATCTGTTGGCTGCACTGATTTAGATTCAATACCGTGATTGGCTTCATGGCTCTTAGTTCAGTTCAGTGATTGGTGGCCCACTTGCAGGTCATTTCTTATATCTGATCTTTCAAAAAACTCACAAAAATGTTGGGGCAGTTAAAAATGGTGGGCCATCACTGATCGTACAATGTCGATAATTAAGTCAAACATTTAGAAAGGTTAGTCTCTAAAAGGAATTCGAACTCATGACTTTTAGGTTTTTCTTTTGACCTACTGCTTCTTATCATTTCTTGCAGTGAAAATGAAGATTCTCCTGGTTCGTCAAGTTTCCATGGCAACATATATGAGGGTGATGATGATCTTGTAATTGACTTACCCGAATAGAGAAAAATGATTTGACCATAATAAAATCAAACGTTCATTTTTTTATATACGTCTTACTTGAGGCATCGCCATCACCAGGAAAAATTCTGCCCAATCGTGTAACTGAAGTGGCCTAACTAAGACGCCTTATGTAGATGGCTTGTTACTCCTGTAATTTAACTGTTTGATGTATATACTCCTGAATTGTGTCTAGAAGTAAAGTCGGCTTTGTTACACCGTGTGTTGCTAAGGTAGATGTAGTTCCGTGTGGCTTTTGATACCAAATCGTTTTCGTGTTATTGAACGGTGTCGCCAAAGTTTGATTGATATTTTCCTGCACCAATATTCGCTAGAACGAGCATAATGAGTGGGTGAGATATTCTCCCGCTTTACCTTTGCTAAGCAACCAACCGCTTTGGTAAGCTGAGCCCACGCTCGATAAACAGCTCTGTCATTGCGCGTATCCCTTCTTTAAACTACTAAACGACTGGGGGAAAGGGGAGAGGGGGAAGGGGTTGGCGATGCAAACATGCCCCCACACCATCCATGAAAGCCACTTCTTCAGACGGAATTTTTGGGGTCTACTCTTGGAGTGATGACCTAAGAATCCAAATGTCGCTATTGATTAGAAGATTGGTTTGTTAAACAGACGTATGTCGAGTACATCGAAATCTTTTCACCTGTGCTTTAGACATAGGAATGGTCGATCCAGCAATACTCAAAAATATATTTTTTTGGAACATGCTCGAAGCATCTTTTAAAATGTTTTTGGACTGATATGTATGAAATTAAAACGATATTGGAATCACCCCTATCAATTATGTAAATTTGATCATTTGATATTGGAATCAATTAGGTGGGTATCTGACCAATAACAAAGTGGGATAAGGCGTTATTTTTAACTGAGCTGTTGAGTTTGGATCGCGGAGCACCCTCGCAAACTCCTGCATGATCTGCAAGGGGAAGTTATTTGTGTTACCTAGACTTTTAAGATATGAACGTTAAGAACCAGATGGATCGGTTAGAGCAGCAAATACAAGAAGCTCAGCAAAGGTATTCAAATGCACAGGGGTGGCTAAACGAAGAAAATCAAAGGACTAGTGAAAACATGAAGCGTGCCATTTCGATCAGTCGGAAAATTCAAGCTCGTCGAGAAAAACTGCGGGAAACGAACGAAGCATGCCGAACTAAGGCTGAAAAACTACAGCTTGCTTACAAGAACATCGAATTTCACGGGCTGATTGTTGAGATAAGAGAAGGGTTAAAGAGAGCTGTAGAGTTGACATCAAGAGCAGAGAGGAAGATGGTTAAAGTGGCTCACGGATTGGAGAGCATGAACGAAGAGAGATTGAACGAAACTGGAATTGATAACAACAACAATACCAAAGAATTTGGAGAAATGGAAACTTTTGGCTCAAGAAGGGCTCCATTAGAGGCATTAAGGAATGAATTTTTCGATTCTCAGCTCAAAGAATTCCTAATATTGAGAAAGAAAGTCGACGCGATCAATACGGAAATTGAGATTGTCGACGATAAGTTTGCCGTGTTGGAGGCGAGAAAACAAGAGTTACAAGCAGGAATACATGAGTATAAAACTAAAAAACGCGATCTCTTGAAAGCAAAGGCAAATAAGGAAAATCTCCACAGCCCAAACTTGAGGTTATTTTTAGTGGAACTTGGGGTAATATGAGCTCAGAGCGTGGCTAAAAGAGCAAGCCGGGTCTTTATTTTATAGGAATTTGACTAATATTAATACACATACAGTATGATCAAATATAGCGCTACGTTGATGCGCTACAAAACATTCCGCAGATACGAATGTTATGTATGAAAAAAAGCTAACAATTTATGTGAAGAAGAACGCTGAAGCTAGTTTGCCGTGATAGCTTTTTATTTCAAGTTACTTTTTCTTTCTCGTGAACTGGTCACCGTCAGACGGATCTGTGCACAGATTATGTCTAAGATAGTATATTAAAGTTCACAAGGCAACCAGGTGGACATTCTGACATGGTTTGATGCTACTCTAGTTTAAAAGAATTAATTAATGTAACCGAGAAGTTACAATTCATAGACGCTATGAATTGTATAAAGAGGGTAAGTTTCTAAAGAAACTGTGGTGCTGCGTCGGTGAGAGAGTATAACAGGTAATTTCATGGGTGTTAACAACTGAGTTGAAAACGTAAATTGGCCACCGTTAAGATTCAAAAGGCTAACATTTCGAGCGTTAGCCCTTCTTCAGAGAGATTGCGAAATGCTAACGTTCGAAACGTCAGCCTTTTGACTCTTAACGGTGGCCAATTTACGTTTTCGACTCAGTTGTTAACACCAAATTACCTATGAACTGTAACCTCTCGGTTACATTCATTAAATCTTTAAACCAGAGTAGCATCAAACCATGTCAGATTGTGTCTAATTCACTACTTAAGGTCTTGAGTTCTTTATGTAAAAAAGTCAAAACACGTTTCCACTTTTTAGTCCTAGTCAGTGAAACTCGGTCAGGCTTAGGGGGGAAAAGAAAAGTTTCGAGGAGAAGAAGCACATTTCAATTTACAAATAAATGCCTCCTTAAGCTCGTTTTGGGTGAAATCAGACGATAACGTCCAAAAGCGGACTTAGAAATTCGTAAGCGGAAGATAGAGTTCGAAATCAGATGATACCGTCCGAAATTGGACAGCAGCGTCAGAAATTCGACGATTCGTCTGAGATCGGATGATTGCGTCCGTAAATAGACGATAGTTAGTGATTCTAGCAGGACTCAGAGGAGTCCGATTCGGCCTGTAGTAATATGAGAGATATTCGCATTGTTTTCCGATTTGTTTATCATAAGTATGAAAACGTCCAAAATTTGACGAGGGCACCCGTTATCGAACACAAGGGTTCAAAAGTGCACGATAGAGTCTTCTTTTAATTTTTTGGGGGTAAGTCCGTGATTTTTTGACTGACTGACTGAAATCACGGTTAGGTTTATCAGAAAAGTTGATGGAGTCGCCTATTCAAAATAACTACTATCGTTTTAAACTTAATCAACTAATCACGAATGCGGTGACTATGAAAACTTAAAATATCCACCTACTAACGTGATTTGAAATAAAAATTCTGACAATTATCATAAGCGTTGTCCGATTATATTTGATGACGGCGACTGTGGAGTCGAAATTGATTCGATATGCGCCGTAGATGCGACAGTGCCTACATCTGTGCGTGCGCACACACTAATGCGGCCATTTATGCCGGCTTGGGCATGTTCATACTTCCCATTGAAGTCATGAAATATGAAGCGTGGGAACGGCCAAATTTAACACGCTTTACGCTTTGTTGACGCGACATTAGTGGCGAAAATGCTGTTTTTAATTTGCTTATAGACCCAGGAAGTAGATGCAAACTGAAACAGGAAAAGTCTTTCTAGGTATATTTTGGTGCAACGTGTACAAGCCATGTCCAATATCCAAGCGTCCACGCCAGTGTATTATTTCATACCAAATGTCATGCCAAATATGGAGAACACTACTGCTTGGCGGGAAATTTGTCTGTCACAGCGACACAGTCGTCTCCTGAGTATTGTGGCAGTTTCATTCATAGCGAGCAAACTATTTGGTCTTTTTTGTTAAAGGGACTAAATCTTTTTATTTTCATGGAGAAAGGAGTGGTAAGTAATTTTTTTGCAATTGTGTACAGAGAAGATGAGAATATTTATGCTGTGAGCTCACTTGCAAGCGATAAACAAATCGAGGTAAACCTTTCGAGCGTACGAAGGCGAGTCCAGCTGTGAAATAATTTTGTTAGTGCATTTCATATAAATAACATTTCTAACTGTGATATGTGTTAAATTCTAATTTTAAGTCCATAGGCTTGTTGAACTGCAGGTCAAAAGATCGGTTTAATGAAATTTAAGGAAAGATTTTTAGAAGATAGAATTTCTTCGGTACGAAACGTTTCCAAAACGAATTGAAAACTTCAGTGATGCAAGTTTAAGCTTCCTTGTCACCTCAAGTTTTATGCCCTTACGTAAAAAAAAAAACTCCCCGTTTTCCTCTCTTTCCTGGCCATTTAAAAGGTAGCCAAAACCTTCTCACTAGGCTTAGATGACTCAGTTGACGTAAAACAATAGCGAACAAAATAGGCAAAAGAACGAGGAAAACGATGAAAACAATAGGTTAATTAACCTCTAAGATATGAGGCGGTGCATGTATGAGACGTGTCTTGCGTCTCCTACACCAAGAAAGAGCCCCAAAAACGTTTCTTCAAACAAAAAAATATGGTTTTGTTTCCCTGTTTCATGTGGTGTAATAATTAACACTATTTCTGTTATGAAATAGACTCTTATTTAATGATTCCATGCATTGCGGCTTTCACTTTCCTGTCTTACTTCACGCCTCAATCAAGTGGATTATTACTATAATTGTGAATTGTGAATTGTAGATCTTAGGTGAGAACTCTTAATCAGCGACGTTGTTCATGAAACTTAAGTTAATTCAGTCGCTACGAATGCAAATTCAGTATCTTAAAAACATGTTCTTCTTATTGTTGCAATTTATGTTATGAGTTTGCCTTTCCTACGTACTAACAGTATTAATTTTCATGTTGTGGTTTGTAGGACTACTCAGCCAGTGTGTGTCATGAGCTGCTTGAAAACCCTTGTGAGAGTTCAGTAAAAGAATTCTCTGAATTCATAACCAGGGTAGGAAACCTCAACCACATAGAAAATATGTCTACAAAGAAGCTGATACACCACACCCACTCTGATTAGCTAAAAACTAATCCTTCAATGTATCGCTAAGCTTTTTGCTTATGTTTTTATGATATCCACTTGTCATTATCTAGCCATCCTTTCTATCAATTTACTGGGCTAGTAACCTTCATGGGGTGTTAGTGGAACGCATCCAAAAAGTTCATAAATCTCAAGCTAAAGGCTGATGATTCACAAACTATTCTTTGGTTCTCTCAACTTTAAATTGATTGGGTTGTTACACTGAAAAATGAGGAAAAAATAAAAAATCTTGCAAACATTGAGACTTAGTCACAGTTGTCTTTGGATCTAGAAGAGAGACCTAGTCAAAGACTTAAGGATGGGGTAGCTATTATCAGTATAGTATTGTTGAATGGGATAATTCCCTCTTAATGTTGCCTGTTGCAGTGTTATGAATGGTACATCATTGGTTTTTTTTTCCTCAGGGGATTCCTATCAATGCAATTTGGATGAACTTGCTTATAATCATTCATTTTTTAATTCAGGAATTAAATTCAGGACACATTGCTCAGCTGTCTGATATTTTCAAGAAGATCACTGACACCATTGAGAATCAGAAGGAGCCAAAGAATGTCAATCTGGAGAAGCTCTTTGACTTGGATTTTCATTTGATTATACCATTCATAAACAGTTTAGTCTTTGTTTAATAATATAATTACATAAAATTTCCCTCTGTCCCAAGTGTTTTTTTTCTAGCTAGAGTTTAGCAGGACATTCTGTTTCAAAAACCTGCTTGATTTTTTGCATCAAAGATTTAAGTGACTTGAGCCTTTATTCTTTATGATATTATCCACCTCCCAAAAGTTCTTCATGTACTTGTTGATGGGGATGTTATCTGCACACCAGATGCATTGGAATCATTGGTCTCAATGCTCACATTAATGACTGTAAGTAGCAAGTAAAATAATCTCCTTTTTTAAAGCTTTCAAATCAAGAATTGCACACTTAAGAAGTTTTTTACAAAATTCTGGAAAAGCCTGGCAAGTTGCATGGTAATTTTCAGTACACAGAAATAGTATTGAAAATATCAAAATATTAATAAAATGATGTATGAAAAAATTTGGAAGAATTTTCTATTCTTTTTTCCAAACAACAAGTCCTTAGTTGCAACCAATGAGATTGAAGAATTTTTAGTCTCAAGCCATGTGATTTGATTTGCAACCCTTATTCTGAAATTTGAGATAATGGTTTGGATTAAGTTTGAAGAAAGTAATAATTTTGTGCGCAAACTTAAGAGCAATAGTAATGATAACAGTGATGACAATGCCAGCTGACCGGTGATGCCATATTTTCAAATATTATTGTTTTTATTCTAGGCAACATGTGAAAAGCTTCCTTCAGGTAAATTTATTTGCCATTCTTTTGGTCCATGTTCTTCATGAGGTATTAAAATTTTATTTGTAAAGGATACATAGAGGATAATACAGACCCCACAGAGATACAAAATTTCTTATTCAGTGTTGAAAATATTTCAGGAGTGAGCAAAGTGAACCAATAAAATATTTTTTAACAGGAGAAGAAAAATTTTGTATCTCCAAGCAGCCATGTAATATTTTATTTGTATTATATTACCACTAATTAAATACTTAATCATTCCAAAAGACACAACTTCTATATGTAACCATAGCAACAGTTATATTTTTATGTGTGAAGACATGTTATCTTCATGTGTGAAGATATCATGTTTTTGCACAAAAGCTCAATTGGTATTTTGTCGGTGTTTCTATAATAATATGAAATAATAAACTTTCCTAAGAGCACCTTTCTATAATGATGACTTTGTGTAAAATTTTTGGAACAGGAAGGTCCAATGTTCTCACAACAGCAAGGGCCACTGTTGTGCACTATGAACATTTCAGTTATTAATTATTAGCATTGAACTTAGTTTTTGAAAATAGTTATCATGTTGTATTATTATTGATTTTTCTCATTAAAGGCAAGGCAAAGTTGGTTTCAGTTGTCCCACACTTAATTTGTGATATCATTGCAAAAGAGAAAAAAAGCATTGGTTTGAGTATTGAGGTAAATCTTCTCATTTGCATACCTGTCAAGTACCATAGAATGTTATGAACAATGTTCATAAAGCACTTTTCATTTATATTCACCACTAGAATAAAACAGGTAATGGCTAAACATTTTCACTCTCTGAATATAATTTCATCTGTATTTAAATGTCATTGTGATTAGTGTAAATAATAAAACTAAATTCTTAGTTCAATAATGTGGTATAAGACTGACATAGCAAATGCCTTAGTGAATGAAATAGAATTACTGACTGACTGATTGGCTAGGTGCCTCAGACTGTTTGACTGCATAGCTTAATGACCCACTGGTTGATTAGATCTACTGACCAGTCAACTGTTTGGCCAGGAGGCAGACAGTCTGACTCAATTAAGTTGTTTTTTCAGGCTGTGAAGCTAACAAATATGATTCTTGGAGATGAAGCTAATCATGACTTGGATCCATCAGATGCTGTGTGTCTGGCTTCCAAAGAATTGTATGGCTGTTCAACATAATTGAATAACAAAAACTGATCAACAAGGATAGTGATCACTCTATATCAAGTGTCACATGTATTAGGAATGAAGCAAATTGATAAAAAAATTGATGGTTAATAAAAAATTATGTAATTATATAGGCAATATTAAGGAAGACACTTACAGGTATTATAGTGAGTGATTTTTAGGAAGATCACAAGAGATTGTTCTAAGAGCTGCTGCTCCTTTTCACATTGATTTCTCTTGATACTTGCTCAGTACTCAAGCAATTTTGTTGCATTCACTTTATTTTTCAATCTTCAGAGAGGATAATATGGAATTTCTGCTTGTTAGCGCTGGAGGTAATTGCATTTTTCCTTCTGTATTTTTATATTGTTTGCAGAAATAACCGTTATAATAACACATTTTGTCTCTTTACAAATGATACCTGACCTATCCTGGCAAGAACCCATCTATGTGAAAAAAAAAACAGGGAACTAAAAACTGCCATTTATATACCACTTTTATGAGTGAATCTTACACATATCACTCAAAGGAAATACAAGTCTGACTGTTATTAGAGTAGACAGTGGCTGGAAAGTGGCACACAAGTGAACATATCAAAATTTTGGTTGTCAGTTAAAGAAGTTAACAAATGAAATGGGCCAGTATATGAATTTAAGCAATTTCTAATTTTAATTTTCTATTAAAATTAGAAGAGTGAATAATGTTAATGTGAAGTGTAGATAGAATATGATATAGCAAAGAATATGCAAACAAGGATTAAAAATTACAATCTGAGAGAGTTTTTTGATTCTTTTGAAATATTTAGATTTTGAACTACAAGCAGGAATGGTTGAGCTTATTGTTCGTCTCCTTCCATGTGCCAGCAGATTCACAAAGGCTCCACAATACTTCATAGATAAATTTGTTTCTCAGGCTTTCAGAGAAATCAGCATGGAAGACTTTGAAGCAGTAAGTCTAAGATTGATTTTAAGTTAAATGATTTAAATTTTGAAATTTGTACAAGCTTGTTCAAGATTCAAACTTGTGTCCATTTTTTTCCCTTTTTCTTCAGAGAAGAGAGGTTTAATTGTCATTGTGCGATTGCGCTAATTACTGAAACTAAAGAAAATAAAATAAAAAAATGATATTAATTGCTTACACTAATATACTGGTATATTCAATACGTTTTAAATCCTTGGATGAGGGCTCCCCCTTCAAATTTGTGCTCTTTCATCAATCAACTTTGAAAATTTATGCCCCATTGTCATTTGATAAGTGCTTCATCCTCTTCCCTTAGTTTTATGAAAGAGTACAGATTCAAAAAAGTGTGTACATTGTATCATTTTGGCTGTATCAAACTTATAGGACATTTTTCAATTATTCTGTACTTGTTTTAGTTTGTGAAAATGTCATTTAGACTAATTTTGTAGCTTACCGTCTCCATAATCCACATAATTAAGGTTAATTGCTAAATTTGTTTCTTTGGTAGGGTTGTAGGCACTTTCTCAACACTTTGAATGAAAGTCAAAAGGAAAAGCGAAGGTATCAGAAGTTTCCTTTGATTGTATGTACTGGTATGATTTCATGCACATTAACGTCTTTGAAATATGTATGGGAAGCTCTTTTCAAATTGGATTGTGACCAATTCAAGTCATATTCATTCTCATCTTTTTTTTTGTTTTTTACTTATAATTACATAATAGGAAAAAAACCCAGAATACAAAAGAAAATAAAATTGTGTTGTAAATTTTAACATTTTGGTTGGCTGAGTGAGTTTTCAAGAGAAGATGAGCAATAGATTATTCACATGCAGTGGGATGACTCAGGTGTCTTTGTTCACCTTTGGGAATAAATCTTATTGTTTCCTTTGGCAGTGTGACCTCGATTCCATGTTATTCAGCTCACTTTGGAACACTACAGGTTTGTTGGGATATTTTGCAATTATATTGTGTTCTGCTTATCATTACGGGAATTAGAAATGGATCATGTTGTCAGTGGTATTGAGCAAATAACTGGAAGTCACTTTGTACCAGAAAACTGGCTTTCAGTTAGTCTGTATAGATCAATTTAAATGGACAGGATTATTGTTTTGGTGACTTTTGTGATTAAAAGTTTTAAAACAGTCAATAATAGCATATTTCTAGCGAGTTGATGAAGCTCACTTACCTTTAAATAAATCAAAATCAGTTATGACATGAGAACAGAGCAAGAAATAAATATATTGCAAAATTCAGTGTGCTGAAACTATAAGGGATTAGAGACTTTTAATACAATGATAATTCTTCTTTATTTGTGGTTTTTAGGAAATTATAACTTATTGATGTGATATCATGTTTATTGTTCTTCTTTGGCAACCACAGGTTTACCAGCCAAGCTATGAGAAAATAAAGGATTTTTGGATAGATTTTAACTATGGTAGTGAGTCCATCACACTTTTTGTTGAGGAGAGAGACAGAGGTGGAAATTACAAGGTATAAAGATGGTTTTTTTTTATTATTTAATTATTCTGTATTCAACCTATTTCATTCAAAGTTCCATCCTTGTATGCTACCCTAGGTATTTGGATTGGTGGAAAGCCACTATAATCAGCTCATGATGGTTACCCTTTCATCTGGTTCCAAATATTCCATTGCATGAGCCAAGTACAGCATGGATAGAAGTACAATATTTTAGAATTTTAGTTAGTTGTATTGTTACATTGTTAAAGTTGTAATCAGGCTGCCTAGTATGGAGGGCCTAGCCCATTCTACTTTGACTGGGCAAAAGTGCTGGTCTAATGTTGGATGTCTGTTTTCCACTGTTATCTAGGAAGGTAGCTCATGGGAGACAGTACTCATTAAAGCAGGAGATGTTGAGGACTATCGGATCAAAGGTAAATTATTATATTAATGCCAGACCTACAAGTAACCTACCTTTTGTTGTAATTGCACATTTTACACTACCCTTAATCACTATCATACAAGGGAGACCTAAATCATTTTAAAAATTTGTAGTAAGCTATAACTCACTCAAAATACATGTGATTTTTGAGCCCTATTAAACATGCCACAATGTTAATAATGCAATGGACACCTAAAAACAGTGCTATAATTCTTTTATCTGATCAATGTTACTGAAGAGCCCACAGAAATTTTGCACTCAGCTTCAACTAAATATTTGGTCACAGGGGAGGTTGGTATTGACTGTTTGCATACTTGCATATGATTCAGGTCTAGAATGAGAGCAAGGTGGTGTATCAAATTAAAAAAATAATAACAGAAGGGAATCTTTTGGTGTTTCTTGAGTTTACTGTCATTGAATGTTACTTTAACTTTACACGATTCTATTTAATTAGATTGACAACAATTTCTTTCACTGCCCAGATTTAGAAACAAAGAAAGATGAGGTTGCCCTCCTTTTAAAACTAAAGCATGCTGCATCTGAACTTGTTTCCTTTGGACCTCAATTTGACAATCAGTTTGTCAAATTTTCTTTCAGTGGAATTTATATCCTTTCAGTTGAAAAAATTCTGACAAATGTAATTATTGTGTTTTTTCCTCTAGAGGATGCACTCATTATACTTTTAGTTTTGTTTCGTTTAAGTTTTTGATGAGGGTCTGGTCCCAATGTGTAATCATCAGTTTGGATATGAGATTTCTCTACAAAACTTAAAGAGCTTTTAATTATGGTAAGTCACAAAAGTTTTTCCTTTCAATTGTTAATGGTTGACAACTTTTGTTGCCTTTCTTAACTCTCTCAACTCACTAACCTTCTGACATCTGTATTAAAAAAAATTATGGGAAGTCCAAAGTTTCCACCCAGTAGTGACTCAGATGTGAGCTTGACTCCTTCAACAAAAGCTTCAGTAGCCATGAATCCTGTCTGCATTAAAAGTACACAAGTAGAGGTGACATGTGTTTGGCCTGTCATGCCTACAGCTACCTTGATGTCGCAGGTGAGAGACTTGTTGAAATTAAATAACTGATAATTGTTTAAAGTTGGTTCAATGGGATCATATTAAGCTGAAATGTTGAAGGTTCTGAATGGATCATCCTGTAACTTAAACTGAGTTTATTCCTGTATGTCCTTATCAGAACCACATTTTTGCTCTGCTTATGCACTGCTTTGTATTCTAATCTGGACTTAGAACATTATTACTACACAGATCATGATCATACAGATACTTGTTGTAGTAATTAAATGATTTCAAAGTTCTAATACTATCACCTCAAATATCTATATAAAGTAGGACAGTGTAATTAAATTATACTCTTTTTTTACTGCTCAGGCCAAGAAGAAGGAGTACAGATTTGACTTGGATGAATCAAAAGTTAAAAATTCCCACCAAAGAGGTAGTAAACCAACACAATTATCTGTTAAAGCTGGGAATATGTTGCATGATTCAGACAACAGCAGTGCCCACACTGAAGAGGAAACCACAAGAAAGCCCATTAAACGAGCTTCTAAGCGTCTACAGGCCAAAGAGGCAAGTTTTTTTTTTATAATTCACAACCAAATATGTATTTTCTTATTCTTTTTTTTAATTATTTTTTAATTTTTTTCCTTTTCAGAATGTATAGATATTCTCTTAATGATGTCAAAGTTGGAAAACAAATATTTCCTCGTCTTTTTGTGCCCCCCCTCTCTCTTACTGTCTGTTTACCTCCTGTTCTCATTTCAGGAACAAAGAAGAAGTGACAGTTCCACTGATATTGACATGAGTAAGAAAAACTTTTTAGAGAAATCCTTACCAACAGCTTTTAATGTAAGCAAGAGATTGAAAGCCAGCAAAAAAAAAGAAGAGTCCTTATCAAATGGTGCAAAGACCTACCAGGGTATTAGAGAGAAAGTTTTCTCTACCAGACATTCTTATCCATTGGTTGAGGTAAGTGTACACTCTTTAAGTTAATTTATGCCTGATCAAGGAAGAACTGAGTGATGAATGTACCAGTAAATTCATCCCTATCCCTAGGGGTATCCCTTTCTTAGCCTGAAGAGTTATTAAACCTCAAGCTCTGTCTAGTAACATCAATTCATCATTCATGCATTTTGAATAATTTCTATTTTCTTTCTGGCACTTTTCATATCATTTCTCTCTATAGAGCCAAAAGAAAATCATTGGCACATTACCCATGGTGACTCCAGCAAGAAGGCGAGACCCAAGATCTGGTAAGAGGAGAATTAGGTCATGCACCCTTGTACAAGTAAAGGGTTATAGAAGCAGGAAAGCAGAAAACACAAAGCTATCATTCAGCTCCTCATCAAATGTATTTTCTGAAAGTGACATTTCTTCCAATCAAGGTGAAGCTCCAGGAGATGCAAATAAGGAGACAAATGACAAGAGGAAAGAAGAATCTCTGGACATTGTTCAAGACTCTTTGCCACTTGCTGATAGCATGGAGGTGTGTTAAACTGTTTTCTTTTTGTGGTGTTTACCTTTTGATCGGATGCTTGGATATACATTGTTGATAATGACTAAGTGAGAGGGCTGAATGGGAAAATAGCTGGCTCAAGGTCATGACATACAGACTGATTTCATCAGGCAGACAGTTGCTTAATTTTCCCTGCCCTGTTCACACCATTGCATATAGGACTGCTCATGACGTTTTTCAAAATTTGCATGCAGTGGGTCAGAGGGATCCCTAATGGCCACCTTAACTAGTTGTCAGTGTTACAGTTAATGAAACAGAGTGGGACTAGCTACTAGCAATTCAGAGTAGAACTATGCAAGTCCAACTGAATTGGGTAAAAGCAACAGGAAGCTGTGGCATTTCTGTTCATAATGGTAATAGGACGTAGTGGAGTCCAATTTGTTCTGTAATCATATGAGTATTAACAAAATTGGATGACCACAAAGCGGGAGTCCAATTTGTCAATCATGAGTATGATTACCGACAGAATTGGACGACAAAAATCCTGTTACCAATTAATCATAATCATTACAATTTCTGAAAACAACAAATACCATTAGGTCAAATATCTCTGGTAGAGACAATGTCTAGAGTAAAAAATTCTCCATTTTGGAAATTCATTGGTGGTAATCAGTCCATCATTGCAAAGTACCTGTTCTGTTATTATGTATCCAAAGGATGAAAATGAATTTAATCATCAAGATAAGACAAATAAAGAGGGAAGTCTCAAGAAAAAAAAACTGGAAAAGAGGCAGAGTAAGTCAAAATCAATGCCTGGTAACACCCACAAAATAAAAGAACCAGCTGCATTGCAGCCACCTGAAGAAAGTAAAAGGAAGCAACGCACGAAGTCAGAAGGTGAATGCTAAACTGAATCTGTTTTATTTAGAAAGTCAATTTTGACCCGCTTAGTGAACCACAAGATCATTTTGATAGTTACCATCAGTGTACAGGCATCTGAGTTAATTGTTCTGGTCTGAAGCCCTGACCTGGTTAATGTTAATGTTAATTAATGTTTTCGTCTTTTTCTTAAAAAAGAAACCCAACTTTCGCAGCTTCTCTTTCCACCCTTGAGAAATGGAAAGGGGAAACAAGATAAAATGCAAGGGTAACCAGTGATTTACTGGTTCCACGCTTCTAGTAGCTTAATGTTGAGAAAATCAGGATAATCTCTTGTGAAATGCCCCACTGGCTTATTACAACCGATAAATTTACTTTTCTACCGTTCTCGGCTTTCTTCATTTACAATTAGGTGCTTTTGGATTTAGGAACTTGATAATTTTAATAAAAGAGAGAAGTAAGACATGGTAGTGCTTTCGCCTGTTTGTCTTAACGTATCTGGAAGTCACGATTTCCACCCTCTTTGCTCTTTAGGATTAAAAAAGGATAGAACTGCAAGGAGTAAGGTTTTGGTGCCAGATCCAGCAAAGAAACATCAGAGAATTAGTGATGATGTTTACGATGAAAACAGGATTGACATTGGCAAATATAAAACAGGTAATGATATCCCTAAAAATCAAGGTATGTGTACGCCCTATACACAGGTCCACTAACAAGTGTGTAAATACTTTGCCATCCATGTCCTATCGGTTCGAGCCGTAAGTTGCGGACCAGCAACTAGGTGGATATTTGTTACCTCTCTACAACTGTCTGACATGTTTCAGAAATTGCATCTATTCGTGTACTCCTGCTTCAAATGAACATTGAAAATGAAACAAGTTGATTTCAAAATCACGAAAAACGAGAACGATTGGCGATAAGTAAGAAGAGAGTTTGGCGACGAAATAGCTATGAAGTTTTACCAGCCGTACATGTAGAGCAGAGTAACACCCACTAAATTGACCAATAATAACTAGAGTAGTAACTGAAAGATAGGACAAAACATTTAACAATCTCAGTCAATTAAGTTTTCATTTACACGTTTTCAGTTTAAATATTCTCTGTAGTTGTTGTCACAAAATTGAGGACAGGCTTGTTCATATTTTGATATTTTGTATAGGGGCGAATGAAGACGCTACCAGTAGAAGACGTTCGCAAAGCACTAAAGTACAAAAGAAGCAAGCTACATCTCATGTTTTTGCCCTCAAATCCACAAAGGATGCTGATGATGAGGATGATTACCTTCAAGAAAATCAGTATGAGACGGTTTTGGATGGTACAGTAAATCTCAATTATTGTTTAATGCATGTTATTACCCCAAAGCATTCCTACTGAAATGTTTCGAAAATGAAAAGCTGCCATAAACCAACAGTTTCCCATCTATTACTTACTTTACCTTCTTATTATGTTGTAGATTATGAACTTGAAAGCAGTGATTATACTACAGAATACTATCAAGAGGCTGAATATGGAACGTCTTCACCGGTTGTTAAAGTCGATAATGCATCTCAAAGCCATAAATCATTGGAGGAGGATTTACCCATCAGTTCTCAGGATATGGATGACTATGCAGGATTCGACCATCAAAATACAAGAAAGCCAGTTACGAAGAAATTCAAGATAGAAAAGGACAGGATAGAAATTCTGAAAAAGAAAAACAGCAGGGTATGTATAGAGTTTGTGGTCACTCATTGTACTGTGTCATTTCACAATGATCCTTAAAAACAATTAGAAAGTGAAACCAAAACTGCGTTTGGATTTAATAACATTTTTACTCTGTACATAAACTTTGTGGCTTCTTGCTGTCGGTCATTCTCTATTGATTGAATCGCTAATTTCAAGTTTGGAAAATGCTTGCCATCATGGTATGTTCTACATACCAGGTTCCCGTTAAAATAAGGGACGAAGTTCTTTTTTACTGAGAGTGCTTTTTCGTTTTAGTTTTTGCCAACCCCGAAGTCATGTGAAGGGTCAGGTGACAATTGTAAGGGAGAAGAATCTCAACGCAGCCCAATGAACCTCTCTAAGGTAGAAAACCTTGGTTGCTTTCATCACATCTTCTAGCTACAAATAGTTTATTTCAATCCCAGGGAAGTTTGGCTCTGAAAAAGTTGTTAAAGTTCTGCCTTCCAAAGACATTGTTTGAATTCAGTTTTACCACAATGGAAATGTTGTCTTTACTGAAAGGCGCTTAATAGTCCACGACCAGCAGTCTTACCTGTATAAGTGGTAAATGAGTATTCCCTCCAAAAGCTTATTTTTTCATTCTCTTTTCATATTTTTTGCAATAAAGAACGGCTATCCAGACTTCTGCCCATGATATATTCTTCAACTTGGCTGGTTGCTCTAACGTAAGAGATATTTTTAAACCTCTCTCTGTTCCAGATTACTCCCATAGGCGAGGCTTCAGAAGCAAGTGACGTTACTGAACAAGACGAAGTTAAAGAGAAGGATGTTGAAGTTAAAGCTGACTCCGCTAATAGCGATATTGAAATAGATTATAACTTCGACATAAATATGACACCAATTTATAGACATAAATATAGGAATGAGCAAAGATTGGTAAGCTGATGTACATCAAGGAACTTAAGTCACCAATGTGGCGCTTTATTGATTTCATTTTATCGTTGTTGTTGTCGTAGTTAAATTATGTCATCTACTTGGAACAATATGCGACAATTTAAACATTTGTTTGAATTAGTCACATAATATCCTGGCTTCTCAGGTCGGCCACCTTTCCAATCCTCTCCGTCTCTGACGGATGACATTTATTTATTTAAGTATAACTTCTTTAGAGTTTAAAAGTTAAAAGACTCCAGAGAGTTGTATCTATGTTCGGTTTTCATCTTTCAAGGCTGGAAACAATACGCAGCTTAGCTCCAGTGAGGGAAGGTTAGGTTTGAAGCGTGTTGTGTCTCGAGATGACTCAGGTATTTAAACCTCTGATTATGTTTCCTAGCTAGCTTTGATTAATATTCTTCTTAAAATGTCTCTGAATTGTAGAATCTAAGAATGGCGCCATCGGTTTTTGTTAACACCATGCCTTTTTCAGTTCTTGATAAACGAAACTGCATCAACACTGTGGTTTAGAAAAGTACAGAAAATATTTATGTACCATTTTATCTTTGAATGTAAAATGTGAGAATGATTTGTTTGTCTCCTACCTGTAGGAATTGGCGAAACACCTTTCCAGGGAAAGCAGACAAAAGTATCCATGAAAAAGTCTTTGAGACAAAGGCCTCTTCAAGTCTCTGTTGTAAAGACACCGATCACGCCAAGATCAGAACTAGGTAAGACGTTGGCAAATTATGCAAAATTTTAAGGTTATGGTTCATCTTATATCTTGCGATATGCAACCTAAGTGACAAAGTGGCATCTTAAGACAAAGTCTAAAGAAGAAAAGCCTTTCGACTACTAAAATGGTCACATTTACTGATGAAAGTTTTAAGTGCTTACTGGTGCACCAACTGATTTGAAAGATTTATTTCGATACGTGTTCTTTTCAGATGGAGCAAAAACTACAAATAAATAACTTAACACGCTCTTTTTCACCCGTTACATTATGACAACCCAACTCCTTACTCTCGGTTTGCTAAGTAGTTTGATTTATTTATTTATTTTAGCGCTATTATTTCCACAGATAAGGATAACTGTGCAGTTGTTGAGGTTCGTAACCTAACGAAGTGCCTTTATCAAAGTATTTTTGTGTAAAAGTGAACCTTAGTGAATTATTTAACCCTTCCTCCTTTCCCTATGCTGACTCGACAGACTCGATCATAACTTGGTTGTCGAATTTAAAGCTGGACCCTTCTCTTTGACCTTAAGTGTAGCTGCCAGTGGCACCGAAGAGTATGGTTTAGACTATTTGCATCTGAAATTTATAGTCTATACAGTCTCATTGGCGATGCGCCCTTTATCCAAAATAACTTTTCTTGTCACTTCGAAGAAACTCCTATGTTGAGTTAGTCTTAATTGGGATATTGGAGTCAAGAAGTGCACCGAACAATGCCCCCTCCCTCCCTTTCGTAAAGCGGTTGGACTCATCGTGATTCGCTCTGTATTTGATTAGACCATAATTACTATACAAGCAAAATCTGCGAGCATTCGTCGGAGTAAAGGATAACCTTGTAGTAAGAATGTGGTAGCAATGAAGCGACAGGTCAGTCAGAATTCCACTGTTGCGTGTTTTTGCATGCATCATGAGGAGCGAGTCAAGTTTTGAAAAACAGGGTTAATGTGTTACACTGAATTTGTCTATGTGCTATTATTTGACTGTAGAGTGGAAAAGAGTCCGCCTCATCCCAAGAGTCAGGAAAGGAAATTACGGTTGGTGCATAAGGTTTTAAGAGCTCTTCAGCATATATAGTAATTGATATTGATAAACGGGCTACTTTTTTTACGAAGTCTTTTATATGCTTTCCGTGGTTCCACGATTTGTTTGTTTGTTCTTGCAGTCTCACGTTTAGCACAGAACATCTTGAATTTGATTAGTAAAGGATTTCTGTTTTAATAATTTCCACAGGTTAGAAAGCGAAAGAGGAATTACTTTGAGTGGTCACGATCAGGCCCCAGCTATCCTGGTGGCGCATCTCTTACAGGTATACATGCTCTGTAATGAGAACTGTCGCATCGAAAACCCCGGGGAAAGGTCTTCGACATTTGGAGAGAGGTTTTAGATGGGCTTAGAGATAAGTCAAGGGGAGCTTGACGTATGACAGATGGAGGGCGAGTTAGGAGAGGGATTGAAAATCGATTCGAAACGAACTGATGAGAAATACAGCAGGTAATTTAGTGTTAACAACTGGGTTTACGGTGGCTAATTTACGTTTTCAACCCAGTTGTTAATACTAAATTACCTGCTACACTCTCCCACCGACGCAGCACCACAGTTTCTTTAGAAACTTACCCCTTTATTGATGAGAAATACACTCGATTTAGTAGCGAAATATTTAAGTATGCACGGATGCAGTCTACTGATATGTTGATGTCTGAGTGGATCGCTGAATATTTCGCCACCATATCATGAATAGGTACCCTCCAGTTTGTAAACAGTTTAAATTTACAGACCACACAGTTCAGCAGACAAGAGCACACATCTGTGATAGTATCAAAGGACAAGTGTGTCTCATTATCCATGATATGATAGATATATTTTACAGCGTTTATCCACGATATATTTTTTTACTCTCAGCGAAGAGTACTGAACATAGAGAAGGCTGGTATAGTCGAAGTTTTTACAGGCCAAGGAAACTTTCCTATGAAGGTAAATTTGCGGCATGAAACGGTAGCACTGATACTGGTAACAGAAATTACCGGTGTCTAATACAGCGCATTTCGATTAGCAGTCTCACAACCAAAGAGTCAAAGTTATCATAAAGTTCTTCTCTTGAATTAAAAGCATACAACCCATGTTTACTGTTCACTAATCAGATCCGTTTGACGAGCTAGTTCTGGCTATTCGGGAACAAGCTGGGAACCTTTCATTTCGGAATGAACATTTTGCTGTACATTAATTAACCAATGAATCTCTCCTACGGTTATATTTATCGTTCAGTCATTACGTCAGACGAAAATCCCCTTTTTTCCATTTTTTGACTAACAGAAATAAAAATGTTTTAGCTTTATTAGAAAACAGAGAGGAGCCTGACGAAGAAGAAGATGATGGTGAAGAAGAAGAAGAAGAAGAAACCAGGTTTGTGAACTGATTTAAGCTTTGTTTGTTTGTTTGTTTCGATTTGTTTATTTTTGGTGGTGAATGGTCGACCACTATTTTCACAGAAGAGCGAAACGATAGAAGGGGAAATAAGACAAAGTATAGATTCCGCATCAAGATTTATTTGCCAAGATTTCTGTAAACTTAGCAAAACACTCCACAAAAAGTTTGATTTCTTTTCCTTCAAAGGAAAGAGGTACAGGGACTGATCAATTTTGCCGGACGAAAGATTATGAAAGCAGTTCGTGTAAGTAACGATTTCTTTGTCCAACAACAAAAGGATAAAACAGGCAACGTAACTCCCAGGGAAAATGCAGGGTTGCGGTTTGAGAGTAGCGGTTGGTATTGCATACTACGAGTAATCTTACTTAAGATATCGCGCACATTACGAAATGGCGCATTTTTCATCATCATCAGATTAAAGGTTACCAGAGAGGAGAACTCCCAACGTAGCATGCGAATCTATCTCCAGAAACGTAAATGATGATATTTTTAAGGAGTAGTGGTTACACTGTACTATTTTAAAAGTATCATTTGTTTGCCTCGTGATCTTCTCATTACGAAAAGGCTTTTGTTCTGTCAAGAAGGTGTACTCTTATTTTCAGAGAAAGCGTCTCATGATCCGGTCGTTTGTGAAGAAATCCAATGAGGTCATGTTTACCACCATTGACTCCCTATGGAGTCAAACGCAGGCAGCCAGGTATATGTCATGCTTTGTTCACCTTGTAACCAAAATGTGTCGTAATTTGATTTATCCTTGATTTTGATTTCATTTTTCGTTATCTTTGGAATAATCACAGAGTTTGAAACAAAGGAAAACCAAATTTGAACCATAGATTAAATCGAACTATAAAATATAAACGTTCAGATTGTTGCTCAGGTGAAAAGTACTATACGTTGGATGTGTTTTGGTGTGCAGGAACCGTTATCATGGGGAAATTGTTTCGGGAGTGGTGCTAAAGTTTAAGAGGCCACGTCATAGCTGATGGGTTTTTCAAACTCAAATAGCAGATAATAGAATTTCCGAGTTTGTCATTTGCTGTTTTCTACCTTATATGGCTACTATTTCAAAGTTTCCATTTAAGGCGTTTTTAACTTTGTGAAAATACTTCGAAATAACATTGCAGCAGCTCGGGTGAATGCTGTACAAGTTGTGTTTGCAGCAGTTTAATTAATTTTGGAGGAGTTGGTCAACAGCTCAGTGTAGTTTTGATTGTGCGGCTGATGTGTTTTGTTTCTTTATTTCTTCACTCTGTGACTATTGTGATCCTATAGTTACGACAAATTGAGGAGCTGCAAGAACCAATTCTCAGAACAAGTTCAAGTTCTGGAGAAGGAAATTGATAAAACATCTGCAGTCGTAAGAGGAATAGAGGAAACCTTCGTAAGTGTCAGTTTGTGGTGATTGATTTCAAGGTACAATTATGACAATAACCTTTTTTCGTATCTCAGTGTATGTAGAAGAGAGCCATCTTTCCAAAAGAACCATGGTTGGGCCGATGAACGTTTTTTTTTTTTTCAATATCACAGTTGTGATAACCCCTTACTTATCTGGTTAGAACATTTCTTTGAAAATTAGAATGGTTTGGAAAAACAATTCAAGATCCTCAAGAACCAAAGACAGGTGGAAAACAAGAGGTTAGTAGGTAGTTCTTACTGTTACTCTTAGTACCCTTTACGTTTTTCGTCATTTAAGGCCTGATGGGTTCACACTCGATCTTCGTCTCAAGGTTCAAAGGCTTGGAACATCTTCAGGTTGTCATGGAAAGTGAACTCACAAAGTTGAAGCGGAAAAGAGAAGAACGAGAGGTATTTGCTGATCATTGTACGTTTTTACCACCCCTGTCACGTCTGAGGAGGTATACTTTCAACCTGCTTTGGTAATGGAAGTTGGTGTTTTTGTTTCATTATTTAAAGGTGAAGTTTCTCTTTGGTTAGGCTTGCTCAGCTCAACGAATTGACCATATGTTGATCAAACGAATTAATGAGTATGACTTTCTTCATATTATCAATTTTATTTAAAGGATATAGATTAATTAAAATTGTTGCTTAAAGTCATATAAATACTTTTAACAGATAGCAGTGCGAACTGAGATGGAAAACGAAATGGAAAAACTACAGAATAAATTTCTTCAAGACGCTGTGAGTAGACGATCGGATTCTCCAACAATTGGTTTTAATTTCACGTGTGTGCGGTGTTGATTTTTCCGCTAAAACTTCTTTATTTCTCTTTTATCAGCGCAAGCAGACAGAAGATTACCTTAAGATGACATTGAACACCTTACGCATCCTTTGACGTTACTACAATGAATTGTGCTTTTGGTCCAAGTGTGTTAAGAAAAGATGAGACTGTTCTCTTGGTGTCTTCCGCAAAGAAATGGCTTGTGTTTGACGATTTTCAGTATAGAGGTTCGAACAAATTATTGGGTCTTTTTGTATTACACATTGAAAGATACAAAATTGAAGCCAAAACAGAAAAATAAGCGAATGAAAAAAGGAAAACGTAGAACAAGTTAAACGGAGTGGTTTTATGAACCAGTTGTTAGTTTAGTTTTCTAATTTAAAGTTACTTCCTTCTCGAAATACGTATTGAAATGATTATTTAATTCTAGCTGAAACAGCTTCAAATATTTAATTGATTTATTTTATTTATACTTGAAAAAGAAAAAGTAAACTTATCTATTTTAAACACCTTTTCATATGGTTCTATGATCTCCTTCATTTAAGGGAATCACCGTCTCCAAACTTCTTACTGTGGGAGCTAGCCTATAACCTCCCAAAGGCATTGACATTTATTAATAGTCGATTATGACTCTTAGTTGACACTCGCTGAGTCTCCTCAGGCAGCAGTTTCCTCAACCATCCAATAACCCCTGAAGTTAACTGCGACTGAGTACTCAGGACGAATAGCCGCCATATATTTGGTTTACTCAAAAAGCTGCAGTTTACCTTTTTCAGTCACGCATACTCCTCAAAACCTATACCTCGGCAGAGGCCTTGCAATCGTTGTTGGTGCTTTTTCGAGAAAATTGCAGAAGTTTTTGAATGGCACAAACAAATTTTCTACTTATCATTAGATCATGCGTAAGTTATCCACCTGATTATGCGATGGTTCTATGTTTGACCTTACTGGAAAGACTTTAAGTCCTTTTTTTTTCAAATCCCTGCATATTACTTTCTCATTGCGTAGTTTATTCTTCTTGATCACGATAGACCATCATTTAAGAGAAAATTCGTTTATTGAAATAACATCTGGCAGTCGTGAGACTAAATTACATGTTTTAAAACAATAACGGATAATCTATATACATACGATACATATAATTATGAAATTTGAACTATCAAGTGACCTTGGCTACATGGTGCATAACAAATGAGTTCTTAAATCTGTTAGTCTTGATTAATGGCAACGAGTAAACTCTTTTATGGTTCCGTTCATGATTACATGGTCCACGCTTAGCTGGTAATAGGTTCCAAACTTTGTGTGTCTCGTTGACATCTGTAGTCTCGATCTGACTAAATAGCAGTTGATACAGAGTTTCTCTTCTTTCAAACAAGGTTCCAAGTTTTGCTTCAGCAGTTGCTTCTTTGTAATTGAGGTCTGGAAAAATTATCCTAAGCCCTCTCTTCTGGATACGTTCCACCTCGTCTGATAAATACTGGGGCAAGCTTGAATGGAAAACTTAACAAGAATATTCTAAAACTGACCTGATACAAGCAGTGTTGAATTTAACAAGTGAACCAGGTTCCACGTCAGCTTTTTTCAGTTGCTTCAGGAGATAAATGCGTTTTGATGCTTTTTGGACGATATTTTCGATGTGAACATTCCTTCTAAGATCTTTTGTGATTACACCTAGAATCTTTGCTTGAGGCACTCTTTCAAGGTGCTGGCTGTTTAGGCTAATAAGTTCTTCCGCGTCTGGCTGCTTACTGAAGTTAATGATAAGTTCCTTGCATTTACAGGATTCAATTGAAACTTATTTTCACTTGACCAATTGGCCACTTCGTGTATTGCCATTTCCTGTAGCATACTTGGGGATGACTTCAGATATTGAGGTGTCATCTGCAAATTTCCACATAGACATGGGTGGTTGAGTAAGTCATTAACCATGGCTCGAAAGAGCCATGGGCCAATTTTCGTACCCTTGGGGGATAGCGGCTGGGACAAGCTTAAAACTGGAGTAGTTTTCAGAACTGAAAACTTTATGAAATCAATTCATAAATTAATGAACTAAATTAAGGGGATAGAGCGTTGGAGTTCTGAACTTATTATCATCAAAATCAAAGTAGAGGAAAGATTTAAAATGAAAAATTACTAAATACAGCACAGACAGTGTTGATGTGTTATACAGAGCTCAGAACAAAAGAGCATTCGAAAGGCACAAATCCATAATTTTATTGTGTAGATCTCTGTATCCGTTCTCCTTTGACTAAGAAATTTCAACGTTGATAAAATTACATTGTGGGATTTCAAGTCAAACAGATGCTGGCAGTTTCAAGTGTATAGACAAACGTTTTTTAAACGATTAAAACATCTGCAAAGTGCTCCCATGCCTTCAGGCTAAGCTATGCGCAGGTGAATCATTTCATGAACTTTTAAAAGTGGCTTATAGCCGTCAGTGCAACAAAGTAATCCGCATTCCAAGTCCAAGAGAAAAACATTCCCAACTTGTTTTAGTACTGATACAGTTATGGAAAATTGAGTGGAACTGAAAATCAACTGAGTGCTTATGTTGTACCAGGTGTGAACACTATTAGTGTGAGCGCAGTTGTTTGGTGTGGGCGTGTTTAACGATGCAGAAACGTCCTTCAGAGATAAAAAAAACCGAAGCTTTTGTCAGTCATCAGTTTATTTGATGTCTCCCTAAAACATAGGTTATTATAAGGTATTCGATATCATGACAGGGGTGCGACTCGCTAATTCTTTAATACTCATTATAGAGCTTAATCTACCAGACTATTGTTAACTTTCCTTGTTTGACTCCTATTGACGAGCGCTAAGTCACAAAACAAATCGAAACAAAAGGATCACGTAGCAATTAGCTGTAAAGTTCATCGCAGATTTCTGTTATTTTTAATTCTTTTCTTCTATTCAAATGTAAAGGTCAGCCAGATCATCAATATGTGTTTGTTCGTGCTTTGTAAACTTCAATTTAATTTTTTCTCTCTTTTTCAACAGCATGGGTGATACCCTTTCATTATTTGTCTTTGTTTTATTCACTTTATTTTTTGTTGCATTTACTAATTGACCTAAAAAGACATCACAGACCTTAAGGCTATGTTGAATGTGACGGAAGTTCACAGCTTGAAGCAGCTTAAAATGGCTGATAGTAATTTTAGTCTGATAAATCTTTTATAAATGCTACCGCAGATCTATCTATCGGATCTTTTGAAGTCTCTCTGTTTGACCTCAACTGTCCTAAATGGCTCCAAGCCCTCCAGCTCCTGTCGTACTGACTGTGAGGGGCTTTGATAAAAATCGTAACATTGTGAATAACAGTAATTAACCGCAGAATGGCACTGGAACAAGTCGACGTGACTCAACAGTAGAGGATTGAAAACAGAAATTGGCGATATTTTCAATAAAAATTCTAGTCCAGTGTCTGGGTGCCAGATTCGCATTCGCATGACTAAAAAGGCTCAGCTTAGTCTCCGCTCTGCTCTTGAACTTGAGCTTACAGAATCAATAGAGGGATTTCAAACATAACCGCAAATTAATCTGGTCGAGATTAGTCCATCTGTATCGCTATTTTTATTTACCATCTGTTCAAGACTAACCTAGAGAAGGGAGAGACAAAAAAAATTTCATGCTTTAATTCAATTTAGGATCTTCTCCCTTTGGGCTCTGAAAATGTTTGGAGCTAACAAAACCGTCAGTCTAAGAGTTTCCGATCAAACAGATGGTTTTAGCCACGAGTAAACAGTATCAACTTATGCTGAGAACAGCATCCCTACAAATGCAACAAAATTGTCAATAGACAACCAAACTGTGAAAAGAGTCAGTGACTCGCTATACTGACGTGAAAGGCCAGGGGAAAATGCAAAGATAGGATACTGCTGAAAAATGTCTGCTACAGTATTAATGTTAAAAATCCATTCATTATCCTGTCAATGAGAACTATGACAGTTGATTTTTTTTTTTTTTAACCCGGAATCCAATAAAGGAATGATAATCATTGGAAACAATTATGTAATAAAGCATGCGCGCGCTAAATTATAAGGGACTGCCACATCACGCCAGGATATCAATTGTGCCTTCAGTCTTCGTAAGAATACGTATTTGACATAAAAGCAAATGCTGTGCTGAAACCAATTTATTTTACCTTTGACTGAATTTTGTTTAATTCAGAAGGTAAATTGGTGACTTTGATCGTGACGTTCACTTCGTGTAACTGGTCTAGAACTTGGAGTTTAAGTACAGAGTCGGCTCCTCGGAGGTTGATTACTCAAAGCAAACCGTCTGACTGTGCATTTGGTTTCCCTCGGCAGGTATTCTACCGACGCACATCTGAGAGCAGTGAGAACCCACTGAGATCTATCAACGTAGGATTTAAGCTTTCCACAGCAATGAACAACTCTTTAAATTCAACTGCAAGTTCAGCGATTCTGCCGAGGAAGTTTGTACCAGAGCCGTTTGCAATGACAGTTGTAAGGCTGTCTCTTTTTGGCATCATGTTCCTCGCTGCCGTCATCGGAAATTTCTTCGTGTTTACAGCTCTTTTTGGTAATAGTCGCCTTCGAACATTCAGTTATTACCTGATCACGAATCTCGCAATAAGCGACTTTTTTAGTATCCTTTGGGTTCCTTTGATTCTTGTTAACGAACAGATAAAGTCTGGCTGGATCTACGGTCCATTCCTCTGTAAGTTGATGAATCCAAGCCAGGTCGTCTGCGGTTTGGTAACCACGAATGTGCACGTTGCTATAGCAGCTGATCGATATTTCTCCATAGTTAGTCCGTTTGGATATTCATGCAATCATTTTAAATACCGCCGTGCATTTTTAGTTGTGTCTGCCATTTGGATCGTGGCGGTCGTTTGCTCTCTCCCGTTGTTTATTTTTAGACGAGCAGTGAGTGTAACCTTCAAATCTGGCAGGAAGATGGATTACTGCTTTGAAATATTTCCGCCCATGAATGCGGATTCAGAGCATGGTTATCGTCAGATTTACTCTGTGTTTCTTTTCCTAGTGAATTATATTATTCCCCTATCTATTTCTACCGTGCTGTACGCAAAAATTATTCTTCACTTAAAGAAAACCAAGCTTGAGAGGAAAAAATTGGGTCGAAAATTCAGCCAAAGAAGCAAAGCGTCAACAAATGGTACCAAAGTGTATTGCAACGATTCAACTCAACTTGAGAGACGTTTTATTTCTATGGCTATCGTCATAATTTTGATATTTTTCTTCTGTTATTTGCCTTATCAAGTTGTCTTTCTTCTCGTTGAGTTCACAGACTACGCTGCGTCGTGGAAATATGTTCGAATACTAATGAAAATAGTTTATTTTCTGACGTGGGTGCCAAATGCATTGAACCCAATCTGTTTTGGTGCCATGGATCAGCGCTATTCGAAAGCTTTCAGAAAAATTTGTTTCGCATTTCAAGATACCTCTGATAAAGATTCCAAGACCAATCAAAGTGGATCTCTGTCGAGGCAAGCGCGTAAAGTAACTGACACTGATGTATAGATGTCTCTTCAGGTGGATAAATTGTTTGATTTGGTGTGACCACAATAACGATATGCTAGGGGGGGGAGAACTCTTAGAATTCTGGGTTAGGGAGTGTGAATGATCTCTTCAGTCTCTAAATATAACGCATCTCCATTCCTTATTTCAAGACAAGCAATTCTAGAGTCAGTTTTTTTTCAATAACCCATAGTGTGAGGTTCAAAGGGGTACTGTCTCCCTCCCCTCCCCCCGGTCTTTAAGGACCGCTGGATTAGAAGAGCATGCATATTCGTTCAATTAAATTCACCTTATCTTTTATGATCTTTTTGTAATTGTTTTGGCTGACTCTGCGGACTGGTCAACGAAGACATCCTCTGAATATGAACTGATAAGATGAAAAAAAGGTTGTAGATGAAATATTACGAAGTGACAAGAAGCTCAAGTGTTTTTGTTAGTGATCTTTAAGAAGTTTGTGCTAAAATACGTGACTGACGTATCCAGTCATTTGTGCTCTGAGATTATAATGAGACGGAAAAGGTCATTGCGGTTCAACAAGTTTTGTGATTTCTACTTAAAATGGTTCATAAATGTTTTAATTTCGAGATAGCTTGATCAACAGCAGTTTAGCGTTCGCGCTTTCATTTGGTAAAAACTCTCATCTTTATCTCCTAAGACCTGAGAAATCCAATTTTCAGTGTTTTTTCTATTTTTTTTTCTACTTAACCTCTTGCTGAAGTACTTAAGTTTCTTTGCATTGGTCCCTGGTAAAATTCCCGATTCAGTTGTTCTGGCAATGTTAAAAGCAAGAGGAGGGTTGATAAATACTCTCTTCATGAAATTTGTTGCAGAATTCTCCACTGCGTTAAGGAAAATCTCTGCGGAGCGCTGCTTCGACAATCAATAGGACTGTATCTTTCCGATTTCTTGCGTTTATTTACGATCTATACAATATCCGAACTCTTTACATTCAAACGATCTCGATCTTCTGTTACAAGATAGTGATTCTATTTATCTGCTATTAAAACGGGAATACACGCCTAAATTACGTAAATGCAAGACTGACACTACTCTTTCGTGATTTACTAAAATCCTGAGCTTTTAATTTGATTTTAACAACTGTTTCCTATTATACGCCGACCAACACTTCTGTAATTTACACCCACACGCACGCACTATTTGCGACACGAAAGACAAATTACGCAATGTCACAGGATGTTCCAACCCAAACGCGAACGCACAATTTCTCTTGGCAATTCCTTATCTAATTATTTCAGACCATTATTGATTTTCTATATCACGAACATAACACAAAACACAAAATCTTACGTAACCCAACTGTCATCAAACCTTCAGCTTAATATAAAGTGTCACGCGATACGCTTACAAGATTATCACGACAGAATTTCAAACACTTTGCGGTATCTCACGATGTTATCTTTGCTAGTTGTCAGTTTGAAAAGCACTCCTTTATCAAATGTGATTTTTGTTCCAGTCTCATCTGGTAACTACAGATCAACGATAAACTTTAAATCATACTTTTCTACAAATGGTTGTAGCCAAATTCAATCAGTAATCAGCCCCAATAAAAGAAGACAGCTTCTATCCCAACGCCGGAGAGTGCGTTACGCCTCAGATGCGCTTTCACAAACCTTAAAGTTACGGAGCATTGAGCCGCTTTTAACACATGTTCTGTTCAATGGAACCTGGCCAGAACGGTAAACGTAGAAAACAACCTACAAGAAATTTCATAAAAAATGATGGTTCCGTAACTAACTGGGATGATTAGAGGACGACAATTTATTGTAAATGTCGGTAAGCATCTTCATCGAGGCCATCTCGTAAAAGTTATGCAGTTTAATCGTTTGATTCGTTTTGTAGCAACCAATGGAAAGACTCAGGGGTCTCGTGAGGGTTTGAACAGATAATAATCGCACATCAAAATACGATTTCTTTCAAGTTATACCTCTGTAATTGCGTCTTGATGATGTCATTAGGTATCTAGAGAAATAACTCCGTGACTGTTATAGGTAAATGACCGCTTTAGGCTATGAAGTTTAATCAAATGAAGCATGTGTCAGAGAAAGGAGCGGAAGTGATTATAAACTTGGTTGAAATTCCTTGCGTGCGGGTGATGGTGGGTTTCAAAATTTACGGTATGGCCATAAAGGACGTCTCTTTGGTCAAGAGAAAGCATCAAATAATTATGATAGCAAAGATTATAATAATGATAATAATGATAAAACGAGCTGGCGTAATATGTGGAAACCTGAGAACACAAGCCACACTGAGTCAGCTGTAGAATGTTATCGCCGAAATTAACTAAACATACACTTCCTTTAGCAACTCTTTTATTATCTTTCATTTGTTTTCTGAAGAGGCAAATTTGCTGAGGCGAAAACCCGAAAACACGCCCCCCTTTATTTTTTTTGGTATTCTTTGAACTCTACTGTCTGAAAATCTTGTTGCTCGTTAGAGGAATTGAGAAAACCTTCATTCACTGGCCCCGCCCCTAACGAAGTGGAGTGTTAACACTCTGTGCTCTAAATTTAGTCTCAGAGATCTTTCACTTTGAATATATATACATATTTGATTCATGTAATCATCATTTCCGTCATTCATTACCTTACTTGATGTTCCTAAAGCGTGATAATGAAACCATGATTCCGGTCTTATAACTTTACTGATAGGTCGGCAAGGGAATGCCACAAACGCAGTATCTTGATTACAAGGTCAGCTGTTTATTACAAGCTTAACATATGGTTTTTGAGATTGGCCACCCCGGGCCCAGAAAGAAAATAAACGGCCTGAAAATTTGAAGTGAGAAGTGAGATGGCTGTTGTGCAGAAGTGGCCACTTGGTCATTGTATTCAGTATTAATTGACTGATCCGTTATGTCCATGTTTACTTTACGATTCTGTCTTTTTTTATAAGTCACTTCAAATTACGAGCCATTGGTCAGATCACAGTTCGTATTTTCGACATTTTTGTAGTGTTCTACCTCTCCCAGGAATTTAAAATGGTTCTTTCCTCAATAGTTAATCAAACGAAAAGTGTCCGAAATCTAAGAGTACAGTCCCAAATCGGTCGGATAATATTGTCTAACGTTCGAAAATGGACGAAAGCGTCCGAAATCGGACGATGGCGTACGAAATAAGAAGGTCCAGTGCTTTCCTCTCCGGCAAAGACTTGTGGGATAATACAAGGGAAATCACTGTGACGTTACATGACGTCGTGAGCGGCGGCCATGTTGTTTGCTCTGTTCTCTGTAAATCGGTGAGTTTTTCCCAGTATGTCTGAAGGAATAATTACAAAACGAAGAAGGACAGTTGCGGAATGTCTTTTTGGACTTTCTTTATAAGACTGGGACAATGTCGGTGCTGTTCGATCCACATGAAGTCGGTATAAATGGTCAGTCGAATTTGCGAAAAGGTGCAAGACCGCCTCGAAGGAAAGAAGATGATTTGCTTGTGTTCGGTTATGCGTGCAAGTTGTTCGAGAACAATCAAACGGCTGCTTCTTTTGATGAAGAAAAGAGCCTGATACCGTGGATGGGCGACGAATCCCTTCTGATCGACAGGTCTGTTTGATATGAAACTTTGTTTGGTTAAGATTAATAAAACTTCGTTCTTGACTTTGAAATCACGTTTCATGATTATTTGTGAACGTTGTTATTGTGAGATGAGGAATATTCCTCGATTTATTTCAGAAGAAACTGTTCATCGAGGATTTGCACTTAAAGGGTAATGGAGGTAAATCAGTGATCTATTTTCCCAGATAAAAACTTTTCGATTTGAGCTTACCATTTTTGTGCTACAAATACAGAGTCTTGACAGAATCGAAGGGTATTGTATGAAAAATTCTTAGAAATGCAATTTTTTACATTAACTGCGTCGATCAAAAAATTTAAACCCTTCGGATCATTGATAGCAAGTGATGAGGAACTTCAATGCATCACGGTAAGTTTTCTGTCAGAGGAGAAGTACAATGTAAGTAATAAATGGTGGTAAGTACTTTGGTGAATTTAAAAATATTGTAGTGTACATTGTTTATCATTGGTGATCTGAGAATTACACCTTGTGATAAAGATGTATGCAGGTTCTATGAATACCCTGTTGCTTGAGAATTTTGCTGGATTTGTATTCTGCAGATTGGCAAAACATTTTTGTGGTGTAGGAATGCAAGCTCTAGATGTTGGTCAAACTTGAAGGCTTCAGACCATTTCAGAGATCAAATATGAGAGACGGGACTTAGATTTATAAATTAAGTCATTGACACATCAATAAGCATACATGTTGCTGCATGGGTACAGTAATGGCTCTCCACTCATTAGTTTCCCCATGGCTTAATTCCAGGTATGATGCACGTCTGTTGTTTACAGACAAGGCTCAGTTTGTCTCCAAACCATCTCAAACACCTCCTGTCCTTTCACCAGAAGAAGAGGAGATGGAAAGACGTTTTGATGAAGAAAGGTATTTGGACCTCCATCATGACACACAGGAGTATGAATTACAGCAAGGTAAGCTGTAATAGGAAGGTTATGTTTTGTATGAAACTGATTTTTCTTATTTGAAATAAATGATTTACTCCTAGATATTTTGCAGTGTGTACATGGTTATCAATGTATGAAATAGTTGTATGTCAGCCCACTGAATCATTAATTAGGATATTTTTATCCTGACTTGAAAAAGTTTTTGTCAGACCTTTGATTTAGCATATGACAGATCTCATAGTTTGGGTTTTTTCCTAATCTTTCTTGGTGAGATGACTTCATAACAAAATAGTAAAATCCTGTCATTAACTATTAATATATGATAGATTAAAAGTAATGTGGAAAAGTGGTGAATTTTAGAATGAATCTTTTGTACTGTAGAAGTCATCTTACACATGATGATTTTTATCTTTACTTATAAATTAAATGTATCTTATAACTGATACACTCATTTTTTTCCTATTTCCAAAGAGGAGGAAATGAAACGTTTCCAGCAAGCCCTTAGTGAAGATGGTGCTTACAATTCAGTGGCTTTCAGTTATGACTATAGTGCACCAGAAAACAGCTTCCACTATCCACAAAGTGTTTCAAGTTATGAAACGACTTCAAGAGAAGGTTTGTACATAACTGAACGTTTTTTCGTATGCTGGTTATTTGCAGGGTATGATTGTAAATACAAAAGAACTTTTCAAAGCATCTTACTTTTATGTATGTATTTTCGTCACATGACTGGCATTTAACTCTTTAGACCTGAAGAGTGACCAGCATCAAAATTCTCCCTACAATATCACCCCTGAATCACATGTTAAGGTCATGAGAAGAAAGGAAATGATCACAAACGAAAGAAGCTTTTGATTGGTAAACAAATTCTCCTTGTCAGCATCTTAGGGAATGTATAAAGAGCAGTATGGAGAATATGCTTACTGGTTTTAGGGTGTAAAGGGTTAAAATATCTACAATAAGCAGAAATGCTCAGAGATGAGGGTTCCCAAGTGCAAGCAAAAAACTTTTCTAGATTTTCATTTTTCAGAACATGTATGGTGTACAATGCATTTAAAATTAATTTTAGTATCCAAATTGTTTCAAAATACCTCAGTCTGCTTTGTGTTTTGTGGTTGTAGATGTAACAAAGTCTCTAGAAATGAATAGGTCATTGATTTACCACAACACTATTGCATAAGCTGAGCTAGAAACTTCTCCATATTCTGGAACATTCTATAGAGTTATTTTAAAGATATGTCATCATTAGCATCTAGAATGTTCCTGCTTCTAAAAATAGTGTTTCGGAAATGAGTATGATGTAATTGGCCACTATAAATAAGGTTCGAGATCATAAGGTTTTCAGAAGATTAAGATAAGTGTTTAAAAGGAAAACAAGAATCATCTCCTGGCTTCGTGACAGGGAAACAAAGGAGAAAAAATTCAAACTACTTACATAATCAGTTGATGAGCTTGTTTGAAAATAATGCCTGAAATCTGCCATCATTTGTTGATCGCAGTTTATTTTGTTATTCTACAGGAACCCTTTTATACCAAGCAAGACAAGCTAACTCTTCTGTAGCACAGAGTGCACGAGAAGAAATGGTATCACCTTCTCCTAAACTACCTCAGCCACATCCAGTTCAACAACCAGAGCCTTTTGTTCCTCCAGAAGATCTGGAAATACCTTCAGATATGGAGATTGTAAGTGTCAAGGGCAAACAAGAGAAGGTTGTTATTTAATTGCCCTCATTATTCTTTTGTTGTTTTCTTATGATGTGTGTGATTTCTATTTCAGGAAGTTTTATTTGCAGCAGCTTTTGTTTTCCTTGATTTTCTAGTTTATAGAAAACCATGGTTAAATTCAGTGATGAGGTAGTCTTATACTTTCATGTAATACTCATTACAGCAAGTTTTTGGAGATAAGAAAAGAATCTCTGATGTACAATACATCTTTTAATGATAAATCACCAATTGAATATGGTAATACAGTCACTAGACTTATAATGTTGCAAGTCATTGTATAAGATTATGACAACAATGGAATGAAAACAATGGAACTGGCTGATTTGCTTAATCTTTTAATGGAAAGATATATCCAGTGCGAATTAGGGAGTCATTCTAAATTGCACCAGACTGTACTACAAACTTTTATTTATTTAATGTGACAACTACACTTGAGGTCAAATATTTTTAAAACAATCAGCCAAAAAAGTATGATTTTTATAGGAGAGTACTTGCTGATTTTAGCAACACAATTTGCAAACTTTTCAAGAATGTTGAAATTTTTTAAAAGTATTTCTTGGTTCTCTTACTTTTTTTCATTAGGATTCCTTTTTAAAATTAAATTATATACTTCATATGTGTTGAGTAGACAAACACAAACTGACAAGCAACAGCATTGGTGTAAAATTCTTTGCAATTGTTGGCCAAAATTAAATGGATCTTAAAAAAAACAACAAAAAAAGGTACATACAGAGAAATTATTTTGTTCTCTTATCAGGGAAAGGTATGCTTGTATGTATCCACAGTGTACTCTGTAGCTCTGTAGTAAAAGGAAAAAAAGTATGCCTGGCTTTACTAACATGTCCAGACAGTTTGTTTCTTCAGTAGGAATTCATCTACAAACAGTAAGAGATGATCATGAATGGCAGAGACTTCAAATGCAAATGTAATCATATGGACAAGTGTTTTTTCCAATTTCTGTGTGGAATATGCAACAGCTTTACAATGATGTCTTTAATGGTTTTTGTCTGACTCAAATGAAATTTAATGGCAAATGGAAATGTTGTGGTTTAAATATGCTTTTTTGGTCAAAGGCTTTTTAACCAGTTGGATAGGGGAACAAGAAACATTGGGCTTAGGAAGCACACATTTTGACTAGAAGTTCCATTAATCTTATAATTGCATTGTACTTTGGTCTTAATAATGTGATTTTTTAACCTGGGAAAAAAAGAAAAAATGCCAATTGGTTGAAAAAAACTGAAATCACAAGACTGATTAAACCAAAAAAGCCTTACTAGGCATATGTGCTGCTATTGCGAATGCTCTACAGGTTTGGTGAGTTGTATAGTTACTAAGTGGAAAGATTCCTAAAGTGATCAATCTTATCACCAAAAATACAAACCATGTCAAGTTTCCACAAAGCCTGGTTATTGAGAATCCTATACTCAAATGGAGCTAAGCTCTAAAATCCCTGTAAACTCACATGTGAAATTGTATTTTCTGTGATCACAATATTGTTTTTTATTAACTTACTTTAATATGATCATGCAGCTTTTATTCTGTTCTCTTCTGAAGACTAAAATAATATCTGAGATGGGTTATAATTGGATTTTTATGTCCTCTCCTACTAGCCTGAGACAGCCAAAATGCAAGCCATTATTGAAAGGACTGCTGTGTTTGTTGCTAAACAAGGGAAACAAATGGAAATCTTGGTCAAAGCCAAGCAGTCTGGAAACCCTCAATTTGACTTTTTGCTCATTGACAACTGGTTGAACCCATACTATCAGCATGTTCTTAAGTATATCATGGAGGGAAAGTATAACCCAGTCATACCAAAGCAGCCATCGCCTGAACCTCAGCCAGAGGCTCAAGAAAGTGAGAGTGAGGATGAATCTGATGGAGAGTATGAACTGCATCCATTGTTAGCTGCGTCGCTTCACAAGAAGGTTACAAGACCAAGATCACAGCCATCATCAGCATCATCATCTCCATTGCCAGACACTCTTGGCAACAAGTTTAGTAGGACATTTGCTCCAGTGGCAATAGGTTCGTCATCAGTTTCTGTAACACAGGATAATGGCAGTACTCATGACTTGCAGAATTACAGTGAGACTGATGAGTCATATGATTACAGCATGTGGTATTCACAAGGTTTGTATATTAAAATTTTCATTTAAATTCACTGTGTGGACATAAACTTTTGACCTTTTGACTCCCAGGGGTGACATAATTGAATTCTCCTACCAATTTTTCCTAAGTGTCAGGCAGGTTGATTACAAGAATTTATAAAATTATCAACTACATTCTTTTGGAGTTTTATCTTTCTCTAAAATACCTAATTCACAGAAATATCCAACAACAAAAAAAAAATACCTGTCATCAGTTTGAGAATCTTAAGAGTGATCCTTACTTACTAAAGTAAGAACCGGTGTTCCTTAGTGAGTTTTTTCAAGACAGCTGCTTTGCAGAGAAATTATGAAGTGAATTATAAAACGTTTTAGAGTAATATACATTTCAAAATGGTTTAAAAAATTTTTATTTCAGAAGGTATGTATGCACAGTATGGATCAACTAGTGGCTATACCTACCTTCCTCCTGTGACACCAGTCTTGTCTGTAGCAGATATGATTCCACCTCCTCCCCCACCCCCAGGGGAAGGTCCATTAGAGGGTATGTTACTTGTCTCTTGCGAAGTTCAGTGTTGTTTAAATGTAATACCAATGTAATACCAATGTAATCAGCCATGCTACATGAAATTGATTCAGATGCTGTACTTCACATTTAATTTTACTTAATAACTAATTGAATTCAATTCAGTCTGTGCAAAGTCAAAAGGGCCTAAATGAACAAAACATATTCTTGTATGGATTGTTTTTCTATCCTTGACATAAATGTTTTTACTCCCTTTTTTTGAACTGTTGTTGCTTGCAGAAGAGTGGTTGGATTCTACATCTTCTGCACCTCCTTTACCTCCCCCTCCCCCACCTCCAGCCCCTCCAGGTATCTTTGTTCCCAGCAGTGTTGAAATGTCCGGGCCAGTGGCACCTCCTCCCCCTCCTCCTGGAGTCTCCACAGTAGCTCTGGTCTCAGAGCAGATCATACCTCCACCTCCCGATCTTCAACCCATTGTGGATAAGCTAGCAAATTATGTTGCCAAGAATGGTCCAGATTTTGAAGAAATTATCAAAGCTAAGAATGATCCTCGCTTTGAGTTCTTGAACCCCTGGAACTCCCATTACAGTTATTTTCAGCTCAAAAAGCAACAGGCTGTTGAAGCTGCTCGACAACAAAGAGAAACAGGTTTGTGTCACCATGCTAAGTAACAGAGGAACAAGTAAATTACCAAGTATGCATGTTTGGTAGCTGTTATGAACACTGTTTGTTTGGTTTTTTTTTCCTTTTGTTAAACACTACACTCTCACAATCTCTCTCTCTACCAAGGAGTACAAATGGATACCAGTAATCTTTCAGGGAAATCTTTTGAAATAATTATTCAAGTTTTAGTTGCATGAATTTCATCAGCTCTTCCTGAAAGTGTGGGGATACCTATTTACACTCCTGGTTAGATATAGGTAATGTGAGAGTAAAGTGTCGTAAAAACACAATACACCACCTCACTGAGGGCTTGAACCTGGACCTTTTAACCCTTTACACTTGAAAATCAGTATTCATCTTCTCAATATTCTTCTCTATTCATTTCCTGTGGAGCGGACATGGAGAATTCGTTTAACAATCAAAGCTTTTTAGGTCGGCCATCATCGCATTTCTTTTCGTGATCTTAATGAGTGATTCAGCTGGAGGAGCAGATAGATACTGATCACTCCTTGGCTGTAAGGGGTTAATACAGAGTGAAGCACTAGTCCATGAGGTGAACATGTTGCCCATGAAGAACCCGATGAAATACTTAGGGATTATAATGGACAAATATCCTATTCAGGAGGTTAAGTGGTACTCCTAGTTGCTTTATCCTTGAAAACCGGACAGCACCACAATAAACACCGAGCCAGAGTCTAGTGCTACATAATACATCTTAAATTACTAAGTTAAAATCCTTTGAATTGATTCTTAATTAACACTGTTCTGTTTATCGATTGCAGAAAATGACAAAAGTCGAGTTGAGGTCCCTAAAGGGCCTATTAGTTTCTCAATCAAGGCCAAGGATGTGAAGAAACCCAAAATAGAGTACAGGACAAGTGTTATATACAAACAGAGCTATGAACAAGGACAGAGTGATGAGGATGCTGATGATGCAGAAACAGAGACCGACACTAAGGAGATATCACAAGCCAGCGGAGAAAAGGAGGATGTAAACAAACTGTCAGAGTCAAGCTTTAGTCGAGACACCAGTCAGCAATCTACAGAGGACTTGAACCAACAAATGGATTCTATTAAGGCGGCGGAGAGAATTGGTACGTATTTGCTTATTAATTTTATGGTGGATGAGGTTGATGCTTTGGTTTCAACAATGTTAGCAAGATCGTAATCTGGTGGACTTTTGCCTTCGATATGTGGCCCAAGCTCACAGCACGTGGGTCGCTAATCGGTTGAAAAAAAAAGGAGGCCATGATCAGTAACGTACAGAGCGGACCAAGAAAACGAGTATAGTGAGGTACTTACTATATCTCTCTGATGGGTTTGGGAAGCAATTTCTGGTCATGCCGAGCGCTTTCAAATGACTGACGCATGTCTGAAGCAAAGCAACTCAGTTCGAAAAGGTTGTTCAGTCGTCAGCATGTTCCAACACATTTTGAGAAACAGGATTTATTCATTTACCCACGAAGGTTAAGAACAATGGGCGATTAATAGCAAGAGATTTTGGCAAAGGAAGGAGCTTTGGATTTAAGTATGCAGCAGGGTATAACCCACTAAATTGATCAAGCAGGTACGTAATAATAGAAGGATATAACAATTTGCTCTCGTTACAGCTCAGCATTTGGAATCCGAATCACGTGACAAACAGCTTCAACTTGAGAGAAGACGAAAGGCATCACTTTTCATCAGCATGCTGAAGAAGACAAATCCCGGTGATGAACTGGAAGCAAACGAGTAAGTGTCCTCGTCGCCGTTAACCTCTGGACTTCAGTGATTCATTAATTCGAGGCGTGATACGTGTGTTTACATCAAAATGTTGAGTAATGTGTTCTTGGACATTCAACCTCGGGACAGTTATCCGAAGCTTTGGGCATCAAGGTGGTTGGATTGTATTTGCTTCCACACCCTTTCCATGGCTGTAAATAGGGCTCACAGAGTTGATTAACTTCCATTCATCCTGTCGGGCATTCATTAAAGGTTTTTGTTGTTTTTCTTTTAATCAGGTCTGCTCCTGAAAGCCAAGTGCACACTGGAAAAACCAGAAAGTTTGTTGAATCAAAAGGAGAGAAAAGGTAGTTAGTTTGATTAATTATTGTTTTGAATTACTTGCATTGCCCTACTTATAATCGACAGACAGTGAAACTTTTATCAAGGTTTGCTTTGAAACATAACGTGATACTAGGAGTGGATGCAGTTATAGCTTATTTTTACAATTCCTTAGAGTAGTGTGGTCCATTGGCTTGGCAGGTTTTGTTAAAATTTCATACTTTTTATGATTTATTACCCTAAATAAAATTTTAGGTCGGACTCCCCTACAGCGAAGAGAAGCCGTGTTGATGACGACAGTGATGATGAGTCAATCAGTCGAGGTGGACTGGGGATGCCACCCCCTGACAGCATTCGTGTTACTCAGGTGAGTATGAGGGGGCTTGGGGGAAATGTTTAGGATTAGGCGCACTTTGATTTTGTGTAGTGTACCCAATACCGAACCAACTACAACAGATGCTAGGTAATTTAGTGTTAACAACTGAGTTGAAAACGTAAATTAACTACTGTAAAGGGTAAAAAAGCCGACGTTTCGAGCGTTAGCCCTTCGTCAGAAGAGAAACTTACCCCTTTATACAACAGGTGCTACCTTTATTAAGTCCTGTAAATGGTATAAGTGAAATAAATTTTTAAAAATCTGATGTTTATAACAGGATTTGATGGCGAAAGTACTGGCTGCTTCCAGAAACAAGTGACACAAAGCCCTTGTGATGTGACAGGGTCGTGTTCCACTCTGTTGATGGACCGGAGATTCAAGTCACATCGAAACCATGCGACCCATGACTTCACATCATGTCCTCTCGCGTTCCAGTCCTTTGCCGGAGAAGTTTAAAAAGGAAAGCATCGAGACGTTAACCGAGAAAGCATAACGCTAAGCGTTAGTACTGAGAAGAAGTGAAAAGATAGGTCCGATGTAGGATTGAGAAATTTGGTCTATGTTTTTGTAAATAGTAAACAACCTTTTTTGTAAAGTACTTTAAATCTGAATTTTTTTCTAAATAAATGTAGAGAATCTAATGTTTACATCATGTGTCTTTGTCATCAATAGCGTCGGTGGCGTTTAGGTCATCTTGGAACAATTTTCAAATGTGTGTTTAAAGTGTTAGTTATAATTTTGATTTTAAGTCCGAAGCTATTTGGTTTTTAGTTGTAATGATGAGTTGCCTGATTCTGACTTTCTCGTCTAACTTCCGTAAGTGGACATGCCTTCTTTATCTATTGACTTTGATTTGGACCCACGCTGAAGTTCCTGTTGTCAAAGATTGATAGATTGATCGGAAGCATTAAGTAAGTTGTTGTTCATTCATTACATCCTTGCGATATTGTTTGGGTTGGTAGTTTGATAAGTGATTAATCTTCCAAGGTCATATTCAGTCATGCCTCGCGCTAGTATATTTAGTTGTAATGATGAGTTGCCTGATTCTGACTTTCTCGTCTAACTTCCGTAAGTGGACGTACCTTCTTTATCTATTGACTTTGATTTGGACCCACGCTGAAGGTCCTGTTGTCAAAGATTGATAGTTTGATCGAAAGCATTAAGTACGTTGTTGTTCATTCATTATATCCTTGCAAAATTGTTTGGGTTGGTAGTTTGATAAGTGTTTAATCTTCCAAGGTCGTGTTCACTCATGCCTCACGCTAGTATATGTATACGTGTGCACAAACAAGTTAGTAAGAGAATCAGGGTTAGAGTCGGTGAGAATGGTCAAGAAGTGAGGTGAAAGAATTTGCCGTGAGCAGAAGACAGCAAAAATTGTAGCAGAACTGGTTGAGACAACAAAAAGGAGACTGAAAGGGACAGAAATAGAGTACGCTGCCCTGAACGCTAGGTGAGAGCACAATTGACCAAGAAGACTATCCCTAGTCGTTATGGTTGACAGAAGAAATTACTTATTTAAGCGTTTGTTCGAACTTGAACTGAAGCTACAACCTTAGCGTAGACTTATAACCAGGTACAAGGCTGATAGAACTGCCGAGGTGATTTTGAGAGTTGAATGTCCTCAATACAACCGCTGAGCCCTTCGTCAGAGCGATCGATCGCTCTGACGAAGGGCTAACGCTCGAAACGTCAGCTTTTTTAGCCTTTACGGTGGCTAATTTACGTTTTGAACTCATTTTTTAACACTAAATTACATGTGATAATGTAGTCTGATCGACTGGGTGAGTGTAGTGGTGACTGACCTTTCGTCAACCTGAGCTGAAGTTATCATCAGAGTCAAGAGATGACATCCGCTCAGGTTGTCGAAGGAAGGATGAATCAGTCACTTCGTCACAAGCTCTGATCTCCTGCATTGCTGCCGCTTTCTTGCAGAAATATTACAGTTCTTCTTTTTTTTTCCTTTGTCGCCATCACCCTACTGAATGTCTCTCTCCCGCAAATAACTTTTACACTCCCCCACATTGAATTTCGAAATATTTCCGCTTTCACTAGCACGACACTTTATAAAATAGTTCAAATAGTGCGCGCGCTCTGATTGGCCACAAAACCATTTTACATGAGCGTATGTAAACACGGTTTTCGTTCCTCTTTCATTAGTTATTTAATAAAAGAAATGTAAAATGGTTTCCGTGTTTACATAGCCTGATGTAAATACTTGGGAGGTTGGGAGAACACTCGATAAGCTGGAAACCACTCCGCTTCGCGTCGTGGTTTCCTACGCTTATCTCGTGTTCTCCCAACCTCCCGCGTGTTTACATCAGGCTATGTAAACACGGAAACCATTTTACAATTCTTCAATATTCCTTACACAAATGGGAGGACTTTGCACGTAGCCTCGTTCTCACGCCGTACAGCGAGAACTTGGAGACAAAAGGAAACAAGGTAACGAAGTGGTAGTGTTAACTAAAACTTTGTGAAATTCCAGTTTGATCACTTAGAGATGCTTGGGTTAACTTTCCAAAGAAACATAACAAAAATCAAAACCTGCTCTTCCATGGTCTCAACCTGCTGGCAATGGCATGATCGTACTGTGTGGGGGCAAAGTTGGTTTAAGTGTCGCTTCTCTACAGAGAAAGGATCACATGTTGAAATTAAGAAGAGTACATCTCACTTTGCTCCTCTTCCCCTTCAAGAATTAGCTCTTGGATATAAACCTCGAATTAAAGGGCGATCATATCTACCTGGATCAACCTCTGAACGATTTCCAGAATTTCTTCGTGGACCTGAAGAGGGTAGTTCATTTCCAAAAGCCTATCGAGTAAAAAACTCTCAGCGGTACGATGTCAAAGGCTGGTCACTTGTATGCCGTCAACTTATTGATGAAGAGCTTGCCATTCATGGGGCAATTCTTATAAGGTACTATCCTGATCATCAGTGCAAAATGTGGTCAATGAATTGGGTCCAAATAAACATCCATGACCTCTGCGATACCGGTGCAGCGCTTTACCAATTGAGCTAACAAGCCAACTGGGAGCTGGTCAATGAATTGGGTCCAAATAAACACCCATGACCTCTGCGATACCGATGCAGCGCTCTACCAATTGAGCTAACAAGCCAACTGGGAGCTGGTCAATGAATTGGGTCCAAATAAACATCCAAGTGAATGGATTTCACTTGGATGTTTATTTGGACCCAAGCGCTGCACCGGTATCGCAGAGGTCATGGGTTCAAATCCCGTACGGGCCTGAATTTTTTTCAGGTCCTATTTACAACTACTCGTTTCAGTAGTGTTCTTAGCTGCGAGGATCTCTTAATTTTCAACTTTATAAGATTTTAAGCCGTTAACTTACGGTGTAAAATCTGATAGTATGTTTATTACCAACTGGAATGGTGGAATGGCGGAATGGTGGAATGGTGGAATGGTGGAATGGTGGAATGGTGGAATGGTGGAATGGTGGAATGGTGGAATGGCGGAATGGCGGAATGGCGGAATGGCGGAATGGCGGAATGGCGGAATGGCGGAATGGCGGAATGGCGGAATGGCGGAATGGCGGAATGGCGGAATGGCGGAATGGCGGAATGGCGGAATGGCGGAAAATGACCTCAAATCCTAAAACATAGAACGGCGGAAAATGACCCCAAATCTTAAAACATGGAACGGATGCCAGGGCATGTTGCACAAATTTTGTACAAAGACACCAAGCGCTTGGCTCATTTACTACACTGAATCCAAACATTTTACCTAACGTTTCCAAAAGAAACAATTTTTAAACCTCCAAAAGCACCCGAGTCATTTGGAAAAACGTATTTTCAAATGAAAGTTAATAAATTAGGAAGATGTCTCTTACCTGGACGAATCCCCTTGGGAGGAATTTTCGCGGCAACAGCTCGTCTTGGGGCACGTCTTTCATGTTATTTGCATATTTTGTTTACATCGCACACTTAACAAAATTCACACGTGGGGGCTCTACGCTTATGAAAAAACCTTTTCTCATGGAAAAATCATAAGCAAAAGAAAGTCTTTGTCAAAAAACAGGCCCAAATGATGGTATTTGATGTCGCCCTGTCACTCGTTTACTAACACTCATATCGCCAATTTGTTTGGGGACAAAAGTCACTGTCCCTTTTTGGCTTTGATAAAAATGTTGCTGTTTTGCTAAATTTGGCAATACAGTAATTTCTGACGAACATACATACTGTAGGATTTCCAGTCGGCACTAGACATACTGTAGGATTTTACGCCGTTAACCAACGGCATAATTTTCTCCAGACGGAAATATATATACTGTAAAATTTTACCCCGTTAATATCAGAGATTCCAACCCTCCCGATTTGATCGGGAGTCTCCCGATTTGATGTCTTGCCTCCCGCTCTCCCGATTTTTACCAAATTCTCCCGATTTATCATAAAATTCTGAAAACTAGGGGAAAATTGCTAATCGTTAGAATTTTTGGCGATCTGTCACTATGAAACACTCATATTATACTTACTTTCTTCGCGAAGAGCATTATGGTATGTTATAACTCAGGCCGGAATGATGTCAAAATTCAGGAAATGGCACTTGAGAGAACCTAAATTTGCAAAATTTCCCGGGGGCATGCCCCCTGACCCCCCTAGAAGCTCGCGCCTTTGGCACTAATAATTACTCCCTATTTTCCATCACATGGGGTTGGAATCTCTGTAATATACTTTTACTATATATTAATTTATTTAATTATTATACTGACTCAGATAGTGGTGTAAAATCGTACAGTCTACAGACTGTATTAGTCACATATTACGCAGTTATCCATATTCCTGCCTGCCACTTTCCCCCATCCCTTGACTTTGGAAGGTCGAGAAACTGGGGTTTTCAAAATAAAGCTCTAAATATAACAATTTATTAGCACCTTAGTTTTTATTCTTTCTGGGGTAATTAAGCATTATCAACTAAGTTGATAACGTAAATTTAACACGGTAAAGATTTGAAAGCTGACGTTTCGAGCGTTAGCCCTTCGTCCATCGCTCTGACGAAGGGCTGACGCCCGAAACGTCAGCTTATAAACTCTTTACGGCGGCCAATTTACGCTCCCAACTTAGTTGATAAAACTATATTACCTTGTTATAGTCTCCCACTGAAACTTACCCCTTTTATTTCTTTATTCTACCAGATCATTGAATCATTTAAATGAAATGAAATGAACAGTACTTGATACCATTCTTTTTGCCAGGTTTGGTTGGGGCCTTAATTTCTACTCTCTACCTTTCATTTTTCTAGGAATCTTCCACTTCGTAGCATGGAAGATTTCCAAGATTTTCTTCAGAACCTGGACTTCAAGTTCTTTGAACATGGTGTTACAGGTTATAGGACCCCACTGGGGGGGCATGTGTACACAGCCTCGGATGACCCTCCTGAGGTTACAATGGAACCTCATAATGAGTGTTCATATTCACCATTTTTTCCAAAGAAGGTTTGTTTAAATAGTCACTTTTTGTGTGGTAGCAGTAATATAGTATTTATGTGTGATACATGTGCACATTATGTGTTAATTAAAGTTGGTCAGTGTTATGTGTTCTTAAGCAAGACACTTCATTTTCACAGAGCCCCTCTCCACCCAAGGGAATCAGTGGATAGTAGCAAACTGTTTAGGCAATCTGAAAAAAAAATCTGGGGGTAACTTAGTGGCACACTACTTTTTTGTCCAGAAAAGGGTTAACACTCCTAATAACTTCAAGCTACTGAAATGGTACAAAGATGAACTTAAGTTTAAAGACTTTCCTTTTTTTACAGTTAGTTATGTTCTGTTTAAAAGAACCTGACCCATCTTGTGGTGGTGAAACTGTTCTCCTGAAAAGTCAAGATTTGACTGCCCTCTTGGATCCTGAAGTGATTCAGAAGTTTGAGGCAAAGAAGATTCGCTATCAAGCATTTCTACCAAATAAGAACACAGGAGCTGGACTTCAGAAGAGCTGGCAAGACAGATTCTGGATGGATGATCCCAAGGTTTGCTAAAAATTCTTTTTTCAGATGTTTATCCAAGGTGCTTGGTTTTGTTGAATTTGTAATTTGGTTTTGAAGCAGCACTTCTGGTCCAATAATGCAGGTAGATACAACTGGCGTAATGAAATTTTGGTTTACAGTAAACTTCTAGGATTACCTTTACCTGTATAATAAGACTACACCAGGAAATTGTTTCTCCTGAAGTAAGAAAATACTTAAAGAAATATTTTGAATCTTTGTCACAAGAAGGGGACTCAGGGAAGCCTGATAATTTAACACCAGTTGGTTGGTTGGGTGCTTTATGAGCTGGGATACAGAAAACTCCTTGGCAGGCTACACAATATAGGTTAAAGCATCATCTGTTTTTGTTTGTTTCTTTGTTTTTTAATGTTAATAGAGACTGATCAATTGAAAAAGTAGGTCTTTTGGTATCGTTTCTACAATGTAGATGCATGTAATGGAGTGTCATCAATTTAATCCTTTCAATGACTTGTTTGTATCAAATAGGAAGTGGAAACAATTCTTGAATCAAATGGATGGAGCTTCTCTTGGGACAAGGGAAAAAATCTTCGATTCTGGTACCTTAACTCACCTGTTATTGAACACCCCGTGACTGGGGAGAAGATATGGTTTAATCAGATAACAAGCTACAATGCAAGCTACTTCAGAGCTCTTCCTCTGTATGAAAATACTGGTGATAGTATTGAAGATGATCAATTTCCTTTTCACTGCTACTATGGTGATGGATCTCACATTGAGCCTGAGGTCCTTCAGCATATTCGTGAAGTGATGTGGTCCTGTGCAGTGGGATTTCGGTGGCGAACATTTGACGTTGCTGTACTGGATAATCAACAGGTTTTACATGGAAGGATGGGATGGACTGGAGACAGGAAACTTGTGACTTCACTAATAGATGAATAAAGCTGCGAATCCTTTTTAAGGCCAGGATACACTTTGGTATTCATAGGTGTGAAGGTGCATGGACAGATCGTAACAAAAATTGGCTTTGGGCGACATGAAGAATTTTTGTGAAAATATTTGTCTCTGTAACAAAAATTTTAATGTGAGAGGGTTTTATGTCTATATTTTACAATATGTTTCCTACATCAATTTCAATGTATTTGATTGTTTTTTTTAAATATTTGATTATTTTATTTTCAAAACAGCAAAACATGTCAATATTTTTGATGTATCAATTTATTTTATTTAGTGAAGAACACAAGTTTCAACTCCACATGTATACAATAATGATCTCTTAAAACTTATCAAATACCTAAAGTACAGGGTCAAATACTTTTAGTGATTTCCTTACCTTTTGGTTAAGAATATTAAAATGTTAAAAAATTGGAAGATTAATTAGTGGTGTGAAAATACATTTTCAGTTATTATCTTAATGTGAGGAGAAAAGACAGGATGCAGTTGTTACAAAGGCTACCATTCAAAAGATTTACACCTCAGTTATTTCAATTTTTTTCATTTTCGATCAATAACATCATTTTCACAAAATAAATTATGTCATAATGGTTGTAATAAAGTATAATTATTATGTATATATTTCATCATTCTTATACTCTTTGTTGTCGATAAAATCTTAAGGACAAACTGCAACATCATATGTCATCAGCCATTACCAATCAATGGAATTTACTGCAGTGACAATTACTGCTGAGTTCTCTCAAAGCATTGGGCTACAGCCACGGCAGTTTTTTGAAGATTTACTCCTTGAAGGTTCACCAGTATTGCAATGACCACTCCTTTCGGAGGTTTTGTGTGAGCTTGTTGCGGTCTTATCATCAATATGCTGCTTGCTCCAACTGCTCCCCCTGGAAAGAAAATATCAGATTTGATGAAAAATGTAAGTTTGGGTATTCTGTGGTCATCAATGAAGTTTTCTCTGGTAACCTCACCCTCAGTATGCTTGGATGTAAGCCAAGAAATGGCACTGAGTAATTTTCATAAAATGTGGTCAAGAGGTTAACTACCCAAGAAAAATATATCACAAAAGCATGTAGATTTTCTTCTTGACTCAAATTCTACTCTACCAGGGAAGCTTAGAAGTGTCTGATTGAAATTTGTATAACTGAGGGTTAAAAAGGGTGAATTTTCTTAGCAAGTATTTCGGTAAGCCTCATCTGCCTGAGACAGAGTCAGTTTCCCTAGCTTGCAAGCAAATACATCAAACCCGAAATGAAAAAGTGAGAGAGTTGGATTGGAAACTTAAGTAGTATAAAAAAACTGTTGAAATTATTCATAGATGAGGGGGAGGGGGGGGGGTCTCTTCAAGGTATTCAAGGTATTTAGGATTAGTGGTGATAAATTTCAGGGTTTACTTAAAATCTTACCGTCATGAAATACACATTCTGATTGATGTGAGCAGCATCCAAACTCCTGTTTTTCTGCAATGACCACCCACCCAAGTCCATAGCCACCATCTTTGTCACCTTGACCTTCTGTGTTAGCCACAATTTTCCAGAGTTCAGTTACAGTAAGAGGTTTAAGAAATCCAGGAAGATAGCCTGTTATTAAATTGAGTGTTATTAGATTTGTTTTCATCATCTTCCACCCTAGTTGCTACTGCTTTTTCTTGGTTTATTATCAGCTCTACCTTCTTAACTTTAATTATATTTGTAGCATCCTTCAAGTTGAGGGTAGTTTTCCACGGTACAAAAAAAGATTTAATCCTTTCATTGCCAGTGGTAATCAGTGCCTACACTCTCCTCTCAGTTTTACACTATCACACTATCAACAGACAGGTGATGAGAGTTAAGATAATAATCAAATTTGAGATGTGCAGATTTAGCTCTAAAAATCTCGGGACTGGTGCATTCAGAGGTGTGAGATCATGAGTTTGGAAATCAGCTTTCAGGTTTTTTTTTAGTGAAAACTACTATTGCACAGGTGAAGGCAGTTTACCCTGATCTACCGTAGTTCTAAAATAACCTGCCATACCAGATGCTTCCTTTCTGTCCACCTCTCCTATCTGTTTGGCATAAAGCAAAGAATTTCCAAATTGGATGAGATCTTTCACAGTAGACAGGAAACCTCCCCCTGCCCACTTGTAGGAGTTGTCTACATATGGTGCATTCATAAGACGTCCTTTGCAATTGCGTTGATAAAATCTGCATTGAGTGAGAGAGATCGTTGCCATTAAAAATTCATAATTCAGGAGCACTTGTAGGTTAATCTAACTAGGAAACATTGGACAAAAGAAGTAAGGAACAGGGGTTAAAATACTAACATGCACATGAATACAAGAGGAACAAATCAATAGTATATAATGCTGTGAACATTTTTATCATTCATTTAGGGTCATTTCATTACTTTTTTCCCATTTTCATAAAGTTTGAATTAAAAGTGAGTGTTGTGAACAGATATAATGATTTGTATTAATATCCAAAAATATCTGATAGATCCATATTGATTGCTTACACCATGTAACATAACTTAACCTTGCTCTGTTCAGAATAATTGTATCATTGAATTCAGCGCGTGTGTTTTCCATGCCCAGATCTTTAAACAGTTTTTTCATATACAGAAGAAAGTCTTGTCCAGATATGCTCTCAACAACAGCACTTAGTAAGGTCCAACCATGGGTGGTGTATAAATAACTTGTACCAGGAGTGGATAGGAGTGGGTCATCTTTAAACATGGCTATAGCCTCAGAAACTGATTTGTAATGGTCCTAAAAAAATTGAATAAGTTTTTAATTACACTGCTAAATGCATCTATCTCTGAAACAATTACTTAAAGGAAATGTAGCATTACAACTAGTTAACATCATTCTACCTATAATAATGTGACCAGGAAGAGTAACAGAAGCAAGAAGTTTGTTGAAAATGGGCACCTGGGACACTTATTACAGTACATGGCAACAAAATATATTTAAGAGGAAAGGCAAGTCTAATTAACCACTCTCTCAATAAAAGCGTTTTCTCAGTAGAGTTTTAGAGCTAGATTATATAGAGAATAAGGTGAGACCTCAAGGTTATGGAATTGGGACCTTAATGAAGGATTGCCTGAACTGGACATATTACTTCTAAAATAATGTGAATGATATATTGTTCTCATCACTGTAGAACAAATATTATGCTGTTAATTGCTGGCATTTTGTGCATCATACATGTCAATTTGTTCATTGAGCAGAAGTAAGAGTATCAAAAAGTATTGGGAAGGGGGGGGATGATGAAAGAATGCTTTAAACAAACAACAAGGACAGAAGTTACTAGTATGTTAAAAAATGCCATGGAGAGGGATTTTATTCAAGAGTTATTTCCCTACCTTACTGAAGAATTCTTCAAACTGTGAATCACCTTGTTGTCTACAAGTGCAACCACCACTCACTGTAACTGGAACAAATAAGCAAACACTTTCTAGAGTTGGTGAAAATTTGATGTAAGAACTCAAACACCAAAAAAATTATTTAATTTAAGTTTAAAATTTTGAGCATTCTTTAGAAATTAGGCACCACAACTTTACAACACTGAATATCATAGTGCATGCACTTTGGCAACCAACCCACCTACCTTTCTTCTCTTTCTCTGTCTTGTTTTCTTCGCTGGATGTTGTGGGTTTTTGGTAATGTCTTATTCCACCAAGGTGAGACAATAAGTGTCTGGTTGTAAGTGTGACTGGGGAGCCTCTAAAAGATTTCTCAGGAAATGATGTGACATATTTTTGGATTGGTGCATCAAGGTCTAACTTGCCTTCTTCCCACAGCTTGGCTGACAAATCATAGATAGAAAATGTTGGACATGATAGAGAGATCATGGTTAAAATCCTACATGCATGTGTACAATCTCTTAACATCCTTTACCCTTTACACCCTGACATCAGTATGTATATTCTCAATACTGTTCTCTATACATTTCCCAAGGTTCTGAAAAGGAGAATTTGTATAACAACATCACTTGCCCCTGACTGAATCAAGCACTTCCTACACAAGCTAATTTTCATTCCTTTTAATTTCAGAGAATCACCTACCTACAGCTGTTGCAGTAATAGGCTTACTGATACTTGCAATTCGCATAACAGTTTCACTGGTACACAACACTCTATTCTCTACATCTGCAAAGCCAAATCCTTCACTCCAAACAGTTTTTCCATCCAGGCTAACAGCTATACAAACTCCAGGGCAACCAATTTCTTCCTTCATACATTTTATGATATATCGTGATTCCTCTATGGCAGATTGAATGGTCCAAGATGAGTGGTCATAGATATTTTCTTCACTTTTGGTCTGATGTAATTGTTCAGGGGAAAAACTTAAAAGTCTTTGATACGTAAACTTGAACAACAAACCGCTTTAAATTGCACTGTATCCATACACTCAGTATTTTTTTTATTCAGAATAATACTAAACTTAGCAATGCATTTAAATTGTAAATGAAAAGCATTGGCGCATTGATCATACTGTGTTTGAGAGTGAAAGATATTTAATGCACCACTCCCTTCAAATTTCCCTTAAGATGGTCATTTTGCCAACATGTCAATTTTACAAGGACCAGTTTGCCAACATATGAAGTAAGTTTGCCAATGTCATGGTTCAGTTCTTCTGTCAATGCTGGTATGTCAGTTCGCCAAGTTACCTATTTGGAGACAATTATTTTCAACTAAAAGCTTTATTTTGGACATTGGCGAACTGACATGTAGGTGTTGGCGCCACCTCATATGTTGGCGAACTAGCCGTTAGCAAAAAGACCCGATGGCGAAACGACCAGCATTCCTTCAAATTAAGGGGTACTTCCTGGCAATGATATGTGTAATAGGTAGGGTACCCCTACGTCATAAGTATGTGTCAGTGAAAGTAATTTGTTGATGGAAAAAAAAGAGAACGTCAAACAATCCACTAGTCTAATTCACACAGATTATTCGACCATGTATGCCAGGTCTTGGGATGACGTCCATCTTTTAAACCCAGTCCGTAGCTCATGTCTACATAATCTCATATTGACCCCCCTGAAACGATCATTGCATCTTAAGGATACGGATATTTGAAGTGGAGAGTTATTTTCCTTTTCTTCGTTTTTCTTTTCGACGAACGAGGCCTCAATTCGCGATGTCTTTCTTTGTTTCTTTCCATACAAAATTCCGGAAAATCCCAATAAACCAGCAAGTCCAAAACCAAGAAAAAAGGCAGTTTTGGGCGATCTCCTCCCTGTTTCTGCGGGATTTAACTGATGCTTGGTAGAGCAATTTAGATCTCTCACAGTTCCTAAAAATCTACTGCTTGGTAAAGACTGAAAAAATCTTTTGATAAATGGAGCTGCCATTTTGGAATGATTATCCCCTAGCTAGTCCTTCTGGGACAGGGAGATCCAGCTAGCTCACGCTCCCTTGGGCTCTGGGAATGAGACGGTTGAGACGGCCATCCATTCAGCGGGAATTTTATTTTTCAAATGCGTAGTGGAAGTATGAGCATGAAAACAAAATGGCGACCAAATTGACTATCGTTGAAAGTCTGAATAAATGGAAATGAAATGCAGCTGATACGCAACCCTTTATTATGATATTAGCTTATATTGTTGGAATAGTTTTCCTTTTACTGTTGGCAGCCATCTTTTTAGGAAGGTATGTAATGTGTGGTTGACCTCACTATATGAGCGCGCTGAAGCTTTTTTTTCTCGAAGTGTCTTACAATGCATTTGATGGGTTACCTAAGTTAATTTGATAGGAATGTAACCTATTGTATCAAATATTGAAGATAGCATCTAAGGTGAAATTCTTGATTTATTTTTGAGAAGGAAATGCAAGTGCATTTTGGTGATTATCTGTGCTTGTTTAACAACAACAAAAACAGCAACAACAACAACAACGATAACAACAACGTTTCGTTCGCTCAACATAAATTCGTAAAATAAGCGAATAGTTTTTAATCATACAATTATACAACTGACTGAAGAAGAAATTAGATTTTTAAATGTACTCTAGATGTAAATATATTTGAATGTCTGAAATCCACTGGCCATAACCTAGCGTGGCTTTTTTTTTTCCAAGGTTCTTTGCTTGGCTTCTGGAGATCTTTGCTCAGTATGTTCTTCAGCTGGATCTAAAACTTGACACACTTGGCTTATTTGGTGCAAATGGTATTGAAATTAAATTCAACAATGGGTTGAAAATTGTAAGTGGAAATTGTAAGCTGCATGAATTCAGAAGCTTGTATGTTGGACTCTGATGTGAGAGGTTAAGGGTTTGATCTTCGGCCAGGGGACCTTGTTTCAAAGGTTCTGGTAACTTACAGTGACAGGCTGTTAAAGCTGTTCTGTTTTCTTTAAGATGGGTTTTTTTTTTACCTAAATGAAACTATCTGCCAAAGAAACAAAATGAATCAGTTAGGGTGCCAGAACTTTCTTCTCTAACCTTCATTCTTTATTTCAAAATATGGCTCACAGACTGTTGAGTTACCAGGACTTTTGACACACAGGTCCCTTTTTTCAAGGCTTAATGTCATGTGGGCAAGTTGGAAACCAAATCATTGGAAGGGTTTTTATTTGGTGTTGTTGTGGTAATGGGTACCTTAAGGTGGGCTGTGGCTCAATAGCTGTCTGCAAAAGTGACTTAATTAGGATTGGAACTCAGATTGCTTGATCTAGAGGTTAGCACACAACCTCTTGGAAAAGTTGCCAAATGAGATTCAAGACATACATGTGAGTTAAAAGAGTCCTTCTAATGCATGATTACAATTTAGGATAAACTAGCCTATACCTTTTAAACCTTTTTACAGCAACATGTATGTTGTTTCTACTTTGTTTCTTGTAGGGAATAGAAAATATAGGTCTCCACTGCAAGTGGACTCTAACTGACTCCAAGTAAGAGTGATATTATTCAGAAAACAGTTAATCATGTATTGATTTAATTTGTAGTTGTGAAAAACAAGCATTAATTTTATTTTTGAATACTCACCCACTAGTGCTCTAGAAGAAATGAGATATGCTACTTGGGTGGATAAGAGTTGAAAAGTTTTTAGGCTACTAATCAGGAATTTAAAACCATTTTGTAGGAGGCTTTTTACAGTGTTCTTTAGAAGGGTTGTTATAGAGGTAATAAAGATTGAGGTTGATGGCAATGGTACCCATCATCTGGATCAGGCATCAAGCCATGGCAGTTCATCAAAAAACTTTGGTATGGGTTACATACTGTATTTTTTTTGTCGGTAGTCAATGATAAAATAAAATTGTTTAATTTCTCTTATAGAGACTAAATTGTGTCCACATTCAGCTTGACATTCTCATTTTAACATCATATTTTGAGCTCCTGTTTGGGGTTGCTGAAAGGATCTTGTGTATCCCTCTCAGTCTCTCATATCCTCTGTGGTCTTCCTCCTTCTCTTTTCCCATTTATCCTTTCTTTAAGATACATTTCTCAACCACCTCTCTTTTCAAATGATAAGATTACTTCTGGATCATACCTTTTTCTCCTCTTAAAGCTCTCTTAGTACAAGAGTGGTGTTTTAATTTCAAACAGAATGAAATGAAAATGAAAACTTATAGGTATAATTTTATGTATTAATAGTAACTATGCAGTATAATGTACACATTAGTCCTATGCATGGTCAGGAAGAAAAATAAGATATTGAAACAGTTACTTCATAAAACATAACATTTGATTTTTGTACTCCTGCAGTTGGAAAACACAAGAAAACAATCAAACGAGTTTTAAGAAAGTGTTGTCAGGTATGTTATTTACTTGAAATCGCTTAATTCCAGCAAAAGTTTTGATTATGACTGACATTAAATTTTGTTTGTCAGAAATAATGAATGACTTAAATTTTTTCTATTGTCATTGTAGTTATCTATTAGTAAGTTTATAGGGTGGCATAAATACTCCAACTTGCTGGCAAAAGATGATAGGGATATGTGTTTGTTATCTGATCAACTATTCCTTCACCTTGTAACAGAAAAGAACCTGTTACATCTTTCTGACACTTAGAATTTCTCAAAACAAGTTATATGTATGCCTGGATAAGTTTCAAATTAATTGTGTAGTTATAAGAAGGTGATAAAGTCAGTCTTTATCTTAGTCAACTATTATGTTATGATCATGAAGTTTAGTACCATTCTGCTTCTATCACACATCTAAATAAACTTTCTCTTGATTTATTAAATAGTATGTAGGTATTCACATTTCCAGTGTAGATGTCAACCTTGGTAACAAACAATTACCTGGTACATTTTTCCAATGTACTCTGCCCAATGGCATGCAGTTTTGTGCAAGATCTGATCATGATCGGTGAGGTTTAGTTCATTTATGAGTACAAATACCTGTTAATTGGGCAGTGGAACTGCAAATTCATGATTAGCTCTTACACCAGGTTTCAAATGATTCATTGTCTTGTAAAATATGTTGTCTTTCAGTCTATGTTCAACCTTGGAAATAAGCAAGATTGGGACACGATTATTCCAAGCAGATAATGAAAGTGTGCAGGTAAAATTCTGTCTGTTATTAGAGATTAAGAAGATTTTAAGTGGCATTTCCATATCATCTAATAACAATAGCAAACTTATATCTATTTCCCACAAGTACTATACACAATGATATAATTTTACCAGCATGTTTTTCAATGTTAGGAACCATTAACTTTAGTATTGAAAAATTAACTCAACCAAATTCATTCTTACAGGGCACAACCACTGTTGCAGAGTCATCCAACCCTTTTGCAGAGATTTCGTGTTCAGTCCTCGCAGAAATTTCCGTTGTGCCATTCGAAAGAATTCAATTGATGGTAAGTTGCTACCCCTCACCTTCCTTCTAGAAATCATACACCTTATTTTGAATAAAATTATTCAAATGGATAACATGACATCCTAAGATAGAAGAGTTAAGAATTTTGTCTCCTTTTGTGCATCTTGAAAAAACTAGCCTTATGTAAGGCATAAATGTTTGTTAGCCTGAACCCCTCCCACGCCCTTTTGTTCTACTCTGATCTATTCTGCACCCCCCCAAAAAAAAATGTGATGTTCATGATAAATTTTGATGGCTGTTCCCAATCTAAAAGCATTTCTTTAAACATTAAAAGTCACATAACTTTATACAGTTTCACAATTCTTTAAAAGTGAACACATCAATTCTGAGCCTCACTGAGCAAGTTGATTAATTTACCCTTCATTACAGACAGCATCTGTGAATGTGAAAAATACAGATATTTTACTTTCAGAGGGTAAGTGCATGATAGTGTTCCTTTTTCTGTCAGGTACACTTGAGGCTACCCACAGTGATTTTATATTGTTTTTATTAGTGATGTGCAACATATACTTAATGGACAAACCTCTACATATCAATTACCAACTCAACAGTCTAAGTATATTACTTGTTTTGGCTGCATTCTTCTCCAATGACCAGGGTGCACATGCATGGCATGGTAGAGTCCACCCCAAAGGAGCAGAACCCCAATGCACAGATCACAAACCCCCTTTGGCTCCACTAAAAATTAATTGAGACAGTGGCATATGAAGCAAATTTTTGCTAAATTCAAAGTAAAATTGCTTAAAATCAGGAAGGTCTTCAGAAGCTTAAACATGCAGTACCTAAATAATTATTTTTTAAATGGGATATATGTGGTTTATGGAGAATGTCTCTCCTTTTACCATTAAGAACTTTTTTTTATCACAAATCATTCTTTAAAGGATTGCTTGGAGTTAGAAAATCTCAAGATGGTAGCACTCTGGAAGATACTCAGACTCATGACCTATCCTCCCCACCTAGACCTTTGACACTGATGGAAGTCCAAGAGAATATCTTAAGGTTGCCAAAGGTAAAGAACCTGGATGTAGCCAGCTGTTTTTAGATTTATCGTTATTTTTATTGATAAGGACTGTATGTTCTCTAATTGGTTTGTTAAAATATTTAAGCATATGGGTAGTTTGATTTTCTTTATTTGATATATTTAATATTTTGAAAATTGACAGTAGGATGTTCTCTTCTTTATTCAGGATGTCAATGTTGCCATGGAGAGCATAACTGTTACTTTTCTAAACAAAGATAAAAGGTATTGTTGTTTTTGTTGCTGTTGTTATTGTTGTTGTTGTTTTAATTTCAAGGTTTATAAGGCCTACAATCTAAGTCTTTTTTTGTTTTTCAGAAAATTTGTGTTGGAGGTAAACCGAGTAGACAGCCATCTTCATTCTCAGGAAGAGTTAGATACGAACTCATCAGATACCACTCAGTGTGGTTTGAGTTTACAGATATCAGGTAGTGTTAGTAACAGTAATCAATCAGCTTTTGGTTTGGAGTCACCTTAAACATGTTGTCTGTAATTATTGTAATTGCATATTTTACATTTGATTTTCTCCTTCATCAATCCCAGGAGCAACTGCTAGAAGTACACAATCTCACAAGATTTTTGAATGGACCAGGCTTAGAATTACCTCAAAGGTACTTATAGAAAACGAAGACATGCACTCAAGAAAACATCCTCCTGAAATTATGATATTACTCCACTGGTTCCAATCATGTGGCAGACTGATACAGTAAACTGGGAACAAACAACAGTCATGTTTAAAGTTTCTTTTCAGTATGGTTCCTGTCAAACCATGTCTTTATCCATCATTCAATATAAATTTTTGACAGTTTTCTTTATGTAAGGGAGCTTATCTCCACACATATGGAGGAGGGAGGGGAGAATGGGAATCAGTTTTCCTGTTATACACACTTCCCATCAATTTGCATTTTTGTTTTTGTCATTCACAGCTTTCTTGCCCCTATGATACCATGGCACTAACTTCTACGTTACACGTGGAATCTGTCCACTACACACATGTCCAGGAGGAATTTGTTTATTGGTTGGAATACTTCAAGTCTAGAAGAAAACATATGTCACTGAAAAAAATTACTGCTCCAGAACTTACAAAAATTGATCAACAGTAAGTTGTTCCTTCTGAAAAGTAACTCACTTTTCTCTTTTTGCTGATCTAATCATTGTTGTTAATTTGATATATGCTTGTTCTCCTCTTGTTCCTTGAAGGTCAAAGATAAGTATTTTGTCCAGACTTCCTGCAGAGTTGGAGGTGACAACCTCCATAGATATGACAGATTGCTCCACAAGTATGTTCATTTCCCTTCCTCATCAAAATGCTCAGCCCTTGAGTCAAGCTGTGTTTACATCGCTCACTGGGGATGTCAAAATGTCAGCACAAGGTAAATTGGGATAACTTACTTTGACTGGACTTGCATTTAAATTTTTTGGACAAGAAAATCATGCAAATAAGTTATCATACATATGAGTCTTGTGCACAAAATTTCTTACTGCTGGTACCACTGGCCCACAAGAGGGTGACAAAGGGTCTAGATGCGATGTTCAATGACGGCCAACATTGATATGTGACAAAAAGACAGGTATGATGGGTGAATTTACTAACCAGTACAAAGGAATCATGTGCCTCCTTAAGTGTCAGTGACATGTAAATTTTTCATATTTTTCTCAAGATTTCCTTGAAACCTTGTACACAAGAGAAGAGATTTGAAGTTTTTCCCTTTTATATGACACATGACTTTTTTTTAACATTTATGCATGAAACATGAGAGAGATTGCCTGCCCCCCCCCATTTCACCTCACCCCACCTTCCTACTCTCACATGAGATGGGGTTTTTTATTGTTTGAGCTTTCAAAGTCAAAACAAACAGACTGCAAATGGTGAATTAGGGATTGTCTCAATTTTTTTCGTCTGTTATCTAAACAGATTTGCATCATGTTACCACTGGAAGGGAGCTGAGGTAAATATTAGTTTAGTGTGTTTTAATTTTCCTTAAATGCACACAGTGTTGTAGTAGAGGAGCAGGATATACTGGGACTATGTTTCACCTCTCCTTGGTTATCATGGAACTTGGTTCTGATTCATTTGATTCTAATTCATTCTTAACCTGTTTCTAGACAAATATTTTAAAATATTTTACTATTATTCACCAAAGTGGAGCTGAAGAGTGGTGGATATTTACAAAGCAACCAAGTTACAAGGGAAATATCCACCTCTTTCACCAACTCTGAGGATAATAATTGATAGTATATGCCACACGGAAACCAAAAAGTCATTTTTGTTTTTTGTTAATACACTGAAAAATGGTCAGAAATACATCTTGATGCGTGATTTTGTCTCTTTGGCTGCTGAGAGGTGAAGAGTACTTGCTAATCAATCAGTGCACGCGATGAGCACTATTCACCCATATGAAAAATACTAACACTTTTCATGTGGTGTTCCTGCCAACCAGTATCAACCTACAACTGGAAAACTGTTATCTATATATGGATACAAGTCAAACAGCTTTTGTTGAAGTTTCTAAGAATAGTGTTTTATTAAACACTTTACAAGACTATCAGTCCCTTCTTCCAAGTTCTTCTAAACATGTCTGGGGCAGAGTGCTAGCTCTTGGAGGCTGCAGTGTTAAGGTAATCTTGAGTGCTATTGCATTAACATTATGTAACACTTCACTGATACCTGCTCCCCATTTATGATTCTGTGTAATGAGAGGTGAGGCATAAATGATCTGTTTTGCCTAAGAACACAACAGATGAATCCAGTCTGAACTCATACCTGAACCTGCCCATGTAGTTATTGTATTTTTCTCTTTTCAAAATGATATCCACTTTCAATTTTGATAATGGCTGTAAGTTTCCATTTGTGTCTATTTTAGGTGACAACTGAACTCATGGAAGGTATTGAGATACCAGCCAGTGTTAGAGTGACTGGCGAAGTGAGTTCATTGTTCCTTGAGTGGTCACATGATGTATGCAGATTGTTGCTTGAGTGGTTGAAGCTGAGTTCTTTTAAATCTCAAAATACTACAGAGGAAACAAATTCCACAAGCAGACACATAGGTATAAATCACTGAAAAAAAAGAAGTGACTATTATGCCATTCTTAAGACGTGTGCTGGTACTTAAATGATTTCAGATGAAAGTTAAAAAAAAGCAAGTCATTTTTCAAGCTGCATAGGCCTATGGCATGAGTGCAAGTACTAATCTTTAGAAAAATTTTCAAGTGCTAACTTTTACCTAAAAAGCATAAGAAATAACTGGATTACTTGTTTTAAGATGATAACGTGGTATTTGATATTAATATTTGTCCTTAACTTTTTTGCACTTTTTTCAATGAAAAAATATGTAATGCATCAGTGTAACTCTTATGTTCAACCTCATGTGCAATTTATATAGTGAAATGAATTTTTTTTTCTTGACAGTGCTTGATTTGGATTTTAGAGTTTCTGCAGTTAACTTGTTTTATCTTGGAGGACTAGAAGGTTAGAATGTCATTTTATCACCCAAGATGGGATCATTTTTACCAGATGGGTGTACAAATGGGTACCAGCAAATATGCTAGGGGTAACCCTCTGATGGACCAGCATCCCATCTAGGGGGGAGTAGCAATACTCTTAGCCGCTTCAAGCTAAAGGAAACTGGAGTTAAGCGCTGGCCCCATGGGCCACTTGGGCCTGTATAAAGGCTTTACTTTTTACTTTCACAGCTTGATCATCACCTTACCAAGTGTACACTAAAATTTGTCACTTTGTATTGCACAGGAGGAGTGGATTCCTTTATGATGAGAGTTGATATGGTAGTAATGAATGCAACATCAATTCCTGAATGGTCAATTAACAATGAAATCTTTGGAATGAAACTATGTCGTCTGATTGGATTAGAAAAGGTACGAGGTGTTTCTCTGAGATAAGCATGGCCTTCTTTCTCCCTCTTCTTCTTTATTGCTTCATAGTTTCAGTCCCAATAAGAAAGACTGCTTGTTGGTAAAGTTGGACAGTGAAGCTCCTTAAGTATATATTTTCTTTAAGAAGAATTACCAGACTAAACTCTCTAAAATTACCCTCTCTATTTTCTAAAGTATTTGGGACTTTTTTTTTTGTTTGCTCACAGGTGCCATACAAATGTGTCGTCTCTATGGAAATAGATAGTGACCTTCTCAGCATCCCTTTTGCTACTGTTTCAATTTCAGGAGAAAAGGTGAGATTGATATCACATCTTCAACAATTATTGCTGAGGGAAAGGATAGCTTGCTGGATAATGCTGAGTGATTATGCCAAAATGTGCTCTAATGCTCAACCACTTAGAGTACACACAGCATTTCTTTATTCATCTAAGCAATTATTTCTTATTTTTGAATTCCTCAAAACAGATTCTGTTTGCCCCCTTTCCCAAAAGTGCATGCTTAGTGGCCTTCTTGTCCTTGGGAAAGTCTTGTTTTAATTATTTTGTACTGGCCAGAAAAGCTAATGTACTTGAAAGTAAAAGAAAGGTTACCAGGGTGGCTATTTTAAAAAAGGTTTGTACTCATATTAGTAAAACAAATAGTTTTTGTTTACATTTCATCTTACAGACTTGTTTGATGTCTATTAAAGAAATATTGATAAGTTGGGATTCCACTTTACACATGGCCATTCATGAAAGAATGAAAGAACTAACTAACGATGGTGCTGAACTGAGAGGTAGGCAGATGTTTATATGGGACAAACTAGCGCACATGATGTAAGGACAATAAAGTAGGACCAATTACATCTGTGTGATTTGGAAACTTTGAGTCTCAACACACAGATTCAAACCTGTTATGGGAGTGAGAGGGTTAAAATACACAGCATGTAACATCCCCTCAACTTTTTATTCTTTCTTCAGTTGATACTTCTTGAATCTCACAGATCATTTACGCACTGCTTTGCTTTCTTACAGCTTTACTACAAGCATCTGTGAAAGATACTGAGAATTGTTCTCCACCAGAAAAAGAAAGCACACCCCTTCATCTTGTCTGCAACATTACATGGGTTAAATTTCAGATGCAAACTTCACCAAAGACCAGGTATGTTTCTCTCCTACCTAATTAATTAAAACACAATAATTTTCCAGCAAGCAGATCATGTGCTGTCTGCATTTACTATATCAAGAAATTGTTAGAAATGTAAAAGTTTCTGTTTTCTTGATTTTGCCAAAGCTTTGGTGTAGAATGCAAGATTTGTTCATTGTCATTGGAAAATGGTGCACTGGATATGAAATCTGACTATACTGGTTTACTCTTTGATAATCAAAGCATATTTAAATTTGAGGTGAGGTTTGTTTTATTTTTCAAAGTTAAGATGATCACATTCTCTGTTTCTTGTTTTTCTTGTGTGTAAACTTTTTTTCTTCTTTAGGCTTCTGTAATGGTATTGACTACTACTATTTAAAGGTAATGTACTTGATTGGGAACAGAAAGGTTTGCATTCAAGTGCTGACCGGGAGTTTGGATAAAAGCTGTCTTCAGGCAGTCTACTGCTGCCCATAAGACCTCTAACCACTGTCTGTTTAGCATACCTCCAGAATCCCCTTCAGTGGAGAAAGTGGCATTAAATTTCTGGGTACAGCCACTTCTTACAATATCAGCAGCCCCTTATGGAAAAAGTTATTTAAGCCCCTGACTGATCGGCATGTTGGAGTTGGTGTTGTGGGTAACACTCTCTTCTCACACAGTGTCTTGTTCACTCAGGGGTGTGAATGGATACCACCCAATGGTCTTTTCATTAAAATGCTACATGCTTAGTAAATTTGCAACAACCTTAATGTAATGTTTGTTTTTACTCAGACAATTTCTATTAGGAGACTTCAGCAAGTCGAGGAAGTTCTGAAAGCGAGACAACAATTCAGGGAGCTGAAAACACAAAACAACACAACATGGTTTGTATAAATATTTAGAGTGATAATTTGTACAATTGTACTTGTATTAACTAAATCACTGAGCCTGTATTCATCACAAAAAACATAGGTAAACCACTACTCAGTAACTTTGGTTGCAAGATAAGTTGTTGTATCCTTGCCCTACTGGAATGGCTTAATTTTATCACCAACAAACTAGGTTTTTATTAATGCACTGAATCATCAATTTTTCCATAGGATTATTCAGGCAGAAATGACACAAGTCTGTTTTCCTTTCATGTTTAATTTTGCTGCTTCAAGAGATGAGGTTTGCCCCTTTCTTAATTCCCTACATTGTACATGAATTCTCCACAGGGCAAAGCCTGTGAAAAAATGTGTCAATTTTTTAAGTGTTTGTGTTATTCAGGAGAGCAGACACAGTGGCGTGGGGTGAGTGCCAGGAAATTATGAAGGCTCAGATGCACTTGCTTTACACTTGCAACAGCTTGCTTGAAAAATAAAAAAAAAAGAAATTGATATTGTGAAGGTTGCACTCAGCCACTCAGCTGGATTTGTTTCTTAGCAGTCTCAAGTTAATCTCCTCTGCTTGTACATAGACAAATGCTTTGCCTTCAGCCAGGGTGAATATTTGGATTTGAACTGTTTCATTTTTTTATACTCAGTGTCCCCACTTAGAAAAGAGCCATACTCTTCCATAACATTATTAGTAAATTCAAAGATAGTATTAGTGTTATTTTTCATAGGCTTACCACTGCCTCTTTTCAGCTTGTTAACGTGTTTAAGATGCTAAAGTCACTTCACGGTAAACCCAAGGATGAGTCCTACGTTGAACAACTTCCTCCAGATTTATGGCTTAATTTTGAGGTAAATGCATCGGGTCATTTTAATTTTAGATGTATTGAATGTTAGAAAAATACAAAATATATGGTTGAAACTTTTATTTATTGTATAACTTTAATTACCAATACGTTTTATTTTGTTCTTATCCTTTTTTCCTTAACCTCAAATAATTTTTTCAATTTAAAGAGAATAACCTTTGAGATTGAAGATGATCCATTCGAAGTCAAGTTGAGGGACAACTATGCTGTATGTACACTTTTCAAACAGTTTCTTTCATGTAATAGTGTAGTTTGAACGTCTGGGTGAGTGTAGTCCTGAGAAGGACTGTTATCGGTAGTGGTGACTGACGTTTCGACAACCTGATGGGAAGTGGCATTTGGTATAATCAACTGAGTTGATAACGTAAATTGGCCACTGTTCAGAGTTTGACAGCTGACGTTTCGAGTGTTAGCCCTTCGCCATTCGCTCTCAGCTGACGAACGACTAACAATCGAAACGTCAGCTTTCAAACTCTTAACCCTTTAACTCTTAAGATCTGATTGTTAATTCTCTACTCTAGCTGATATACATTTCCTTGTAAATTAGCTATGAGAACTTGGTGCTAGATCAGATAGCAGCTTCTACCTGATAAGTTCGAATATTCTCAGTACCTGTTTGCAGAATAATGTATGGATATTATAGGGAGAAGTTTCATGTCAATCACTTCTGGGAATTAAAGGGTTAATGGTGGCCAATTTACGTTATCAGCTCAGTTGATAATACCAAATGACCTTGCTATACTCTCCCACCGACGCAGCACCAAAGTTTTTTTAAAAACTACTCCCCTTATTCGGTAGTGTAATGATGTTTCTAAAGACGGGGTTTGTTCAGGCCTGGATGGCCCTCTGGATTGTATGCGGATATTATTTTGGTACAATTGTATTTTTTCCTTTTTTCCTCAGTTACTGCTTGATGAGATGGAACAGTGGGACGAGAGACAGCAGCTACTGGCAGCTAAGTTAGATGAGATCCGAAAGAAGCCTGGAAACTTACTAACAGGTTAGGTTACCTGAAGAGGCGGTTATGGGAGTCCAGTGGCACAAGGGGGTTTTGCTTCGTTAAATAACAAATGAGATGATCTGTAATACAAATTATCATAATCATGAAAAGAATATGGCATAATCCTGAGAGTCAATATTACCAGGAGCCAAATCAGAACTTAATATAAACATGCGTGGATGATCGTAGGAGTGAGGACACGAAGTTAGCAAGTTGAGAATGGTTTTCGTTTTGCATATGATGAGGATACAGCAAAGCTTTCCCAGACAAGTGGCAGCGCGCAGTGACGTAAACGGATCATTACAAATACACACTTTCAAAGCTCCCTTGAAACCTGCTTTATCCTTATTTTGACTTCCTATGAATATCTTGGCCTCAAAAGGATTGAGGGATACTGTATTTAAGTTCTGAAACAACTGAAAAACATAGCAACATTTAAAAACTACAAGTTTTGCTGTGCCAACCAAATTCGTCAGAGAATGAAATGTTTACAGGGGAGATTCTGATTTGATTTGAATTTGTTATGGTAGTGAAAAAAGAAGAAGAACTGAAGCGGTCTTTAGAGGAAAAAAATTCTCAGATCTACATTCGAAGGTCCCAGGTGAGTCACACGCGAAGGTTCACATCACGTCTCACACGTATCTTACCTTCTAATTCGTATCACGAAAGAAAGATTTTAGATATTCCTTTAGACAGATTTCATGAGAATTCTTCCGATCAGGTGACATGCATGTACTTGTGTTACCCTATAACAAAACGCCAACCAGGGAGGCCATGGATTATCACTCTCTCATTATCTTCTTTACCAGTTCTTCTACAAGTATCGCGTGATAGTAAGGTTATTTTAAAGTTGACCAAGAACACGATCCTTAGAAGGTTTTATTGACTGAAGGAATAAAAGTGTCCCTGAGGTTACAACCCTAGCTTATCCGCCCCGTCCACCCCCTCCCCCCCCCCTCTCACTGGGACAAGAAATAGAAAGAGTTGAATGATTCACTTGGTTTAAAGTCCTAACTGAAACAGTTAACCCAATCTTCTGTTCACTTGCAGTTCTGAACTAAACAAATCAAACCATGGCACTGGTCTCGATATCCTTGTTTACCAGAGGAAGTCTTCTTAAATTTTAATTACCATTAGCACCACCTTTTGATATGCCTACCATCATCCAACTTTTGGTAAGCCCTGAACATGAACAAATATATGACTTTCATATATTCTTAACCGTATTTTGGTAAGCCCGTTGTTAAGGTTTTGATGTAAGGTGACATTTTTTCTTGATGTGCCACAACAGACTCTGTATGAGCAGACTCCGATGAGAACCGCTCTACTGACCTGGGAGTTTCACGGCTTGGATCTCATTGTTTTGGCTGACGAGTCTTACCATGGACAGGAAAAGGCCATGAAGATCATGAAACAACTCAACAGTGATAGGTACATGCATGCTCTTTCTTAATCTATTATGTAGTTTTGAGTGTCGTAACTTGCTTCATTCCTTTTTTCCTCTGTTTGTACCTTTGTCAGCGTTTTAACATTACCTGTAATAACAATAAGTTTTAACAGTACGAAAAAGGTGTAAAAACTCATATTTCCAAACCATCCGCTCTGTGATTACGTACGGGTAGTATGCATAAAAGAACACTTTTTTATGGGGGGTGGGGGGGGGTTAGGGGAGAGGTTTAGGGGAGTGGAGGCAGGTGCAAGTGGAGTGAAGGAATGTAGAGTGTAGGAGCGAAGAGCGAGAGTCACGTAAGTTACTCCGGTGGGGCGCTGTGCTTGCCTTGCTATCATCCTCACTAGCATAAAAATGCAATTGAATAAAGTAACCGTCCAAATAAGGTAGTTGTTATGACTTCTGTTGATCAGATAAACTAATATCGTCCTCCCACTTTAGCCCATACCCAGCTTCACGACTTAAGTTTACAACACTGTGGTGCCGGACAATTCAAGGACAACTTCAGTCACAGAAGGTTTGTGAGTGAGCCGTTTTATCAAATGCTACTCCACGGCTCGAAATATTTACTCTTTTGCAAAAGTAAATACTGATTGATACGATTTTCTATGCCCGCATTGCAGTGTTGTCTGAGAGATTTTCCTCAGCCAATTTTTACCTCAAAGTCAGTTGAATTACAAGGAACGCTTCTTGGTGCGGAACAAAAACCAGCAGACCGAGGTATGTTTTTGATGAGTTATTGTGCTGTTTTGCAGGGCCACGTTGATGTTTCATTTTACTTAAGCGTTTAATTGTGGTTTCCTCGTCGATCTATAAAGGTTCTACTGAATGAGGCTAATATTACAGTACTGCAGCTTTTACAGACTAATTTTTTAAAATTATGTTTCAGCCAAACGAGAAGCCGTGGTAGAAATTGGCAAGCCTTGGGACAATATGACGATATCTCGAAGTCTAAGTTCCTTGAAGTTCTTTTATGATCTGAAGTTTGGTATGCCAAGTTCATGGTGCTTAATGTTGCACTGCACACCTTTAAGGCGCATAATCTAATGTGTTCTTAGAGCACATACAATTGAAAGGTGGTTTTTTTTTTCACTCTGGTCCGAGCTCTTTAAAAAGGGAAATCGTTGATATATCGTCAACGAGTGTGGTAAACTATCTGTTTTATCGATTCGTCGTTATTGAGAAACCACTTTAAAACGGATGAATTTATAATACTCTTCTTGTGGCTCAATGTGTGTGGTATACTTTATTTTTTGTACTTCAGATGCAGAAATTGTTGAGATGGCGTGGGGTGTGGACATTGAACCTGTCTTAGCTATGGTGTCTTTCACATTTGGTATTATTAATTTTTACAATTTTTTTCTCCATTGGTAACTGCAAAATTTAGTAGACTTATGTTGGTTATGATCCAATTTTTCCTGTGGAGCAAGTTTCTCTCTGTTAACACTGTGCCAAATATTATTCTTGCAGAAAAGTTGAGTTCTCCAAGTCGTGACGCAAGCAAGCCTCTTCCTTTCTTTGACAAAGTATGTTTTAAACGAACGTTTGATTGTAATTTTTTGATAACTAAAGGGGCCCGCTGACTCCAGCCAAGGGAACGCAAACGTAGCTTGAGGTATTATAAAGTGTGAAATAGCAGATAGATGACTGAAAAAATGCTATTCATGAAAAATGGTGATAAGTTTTAGATAACGTGAAAAAGAAGGGTTTTTTGCCATGATTTGTGGTGATTGTTTAAATGTTCATCCCACAGATGCGCCTGCTGTATCATGGCCATCTCCACCTAGCCATGCGCGAATGGTACCTGTACTTTAGTGCATCCAGGAATCCTTATGATACTACAGAGAGGATGCAGTGGGAGTGGAAACAGGCTAAATTTGATTGGACCAATGGTATGTGAATGAAACAATTCCCTGTTTCCGTAAGCGTTTTCGAAGAGACTCTATCCTCTTTTATACCCCTGTGCTGAATGGACATTATTTTTTCGTGGAGTTAAACTGTAGCTCCAAGTATCTTGCTTGATTATCTTAGACTTTCAAACGAGGAGCCATTCTTTAGCATTACGAGTCTGAGCAATCTGTTCTGGTTACTTTCCAGGTCGAATTGTTGTTGAAGGTGATTTTGACCTGCATACCAGGGCAGCATCTAAGTATGATGATCGACAGGTTCTCCATTTGCCTGCATTTAAATTATGGTGAGTTAAACGTCGACGAGAAAGCAGGATGAAAATCAGGATAGATAAAGGGTACATAAAGAATGCATTGCTTGGGAGAACTCGATTTAAACGCGTGTACACACCCTTGAGCGCGGAAAAATACAAATGGCAAAGTCATAGTTGGTTTTACTTTTGCATCTGATTGGTGGAGAGGTTTGTGCGAATTTCCAGGCAAATGAAAGAGCAAAGTTAAGCAAAACCAGTGAAATCCTGAATTATTTTCAACACCTGAAAATTGCTAAAAATGTCTGATCCTGATTCTAGCACAAGCATGAAGTGGCATTGTCAGGGTGATCCAAATGATCATCACTCAGTGATTCAGTGTGCTCCAGACAAAATACCACAACTGGCTCCTAACCAGGTATGTAGGAATGCAGCAAGAAACAAAAGGGATGGTTAATAATTATCTGCTAATGATTTTGAGTTTTTTTTTTTTTTAGGTTCATGACTCATATGCAGCTTTCAGATCTCAAAACCTTACTCTGGACGTTTCCCTAGAAACAGGATTGACCAATAAAAAGGTTTGTTCAATGAAAGAGTTCACTTAATGGTATCAATGATATCAATGATGAACATGAATTTTAAATCTTTTAAATCCAGCTATTTTAATATATTTACCAGCTTGATAAAACATCAAACTATCCTTACTAATTTACAAGAAAATCTACAGCTGTCAGAGGGGAGAGTTTGTTGACTTTGTTTAATTAACTTGACAGGACTACTCCCAGAGCGACCCACCCAAGCTGTTCATGTTTGCCAGCACATTTAGATGGTTCCAGAAATATCAGGTAAGCTTCCAAAAGTATTCAGAATATTTCTGGTGAACAGCATTTGGACTTAGATTGATGACAATAGGAAAAAAAGCGTGATTAGATATTTGTGCATGGTGAGGAAATTGTAGTTAGGTTTAAGTTTAGACATTAACGCGATTGGAGAGCTTCATTTGTGTCATTTGGTTATAGGCTGTGGTGTTGTGGTATGTGTCACGGCCAATCAAGAGAGGAACTTATTTTAAACGGAACCGGGTGAAGAAGCGTCCTCTTGGACGACATTATAGGTTAGCACATTGTTCATAGTTTCTTTTGTTTTTGTTCGTTATTTTATTAAAACAGCTTTAAAAAGAGAGACGTAATAAAATTCACAGACATCAAATTTAAGATAAGACAACGAAATTAAAGCTGATTTTGGCGGAAATCAAATCTCTCTCTCAGAAATGGTGACTGGAATTTTGGTTTTTTTTCACAATAGACTTTACTAGTAATTTACGTAGCCTCAACTAAACACGAGTGGTGTTGGATGAATTTTGGGAGGTATGCCAACCCTCGAATGCGTCTCAGGTTTGCCTAACTTTCGATCATTCTCTCAACCTCCTTCAAAAATACCCGCAAGTCCAAAAGCTGAATGTTACGTGATAAATCTATGATGTACTAAACTAAATGTCACCTTCCACAGGGAGGTCAATTTATCGCTGCATTTTCCTGAATTTTCTTGGTGGTACTGGGGCTCATTTACACAACAAAGAGGGTTTGAGCTGTCACTAGGAAACGGTTTTCTAGAGACCACCTACCGCCTGGCGCTCAGAGAGCATCGTGATGGCCTGGTGCGGAGACCAGCTGCTGACTGGAGTGCAGCTAAACTTCGAAGTGAAGTGTTGAATGTTACGTGTCATTTGTACGGTTTGGAAGAAGTGGACGGAAAGGAAAGCAGTGATGAGTATGCGGAGGTGTGTTGGTGTCTCTTAACCTTTTACATCCTAATATCAGTATGCATATTCTCTATACTGTTCTCTATTGCGGAGAAAAAATTGTGTAAATCGAGAGTTTCTTTAATTGGGGATTATTTCCTTTATTCTTTTGACCTTAATTTTTGATTCAGGGGTGTTATTGTAAGGAGAAATTAGATGTTAGTCTTACTCAGGGGTCAAAGGGTGAACCTTTTTACTGCTGAGGTCCTAACAACCACGATTACTTAGCTTTGTAAATGACAACTTCGTATACTGACTGAGGTGTGCTTAAAATATATGCACATCACTATTCAGCTTTATTAAGACGCAACTCTGTGAACTGGTGTGTGTTTCGTTGGATTTTTTCTCATAGTAAAGTCTTACGATACTTTCAAGAACTTAAAATTGATTAAGCTTTTGAATCAAAACATGAATTATAACCCAGTGAGTACTTGGAAAAACAAACGGTTTTTGTGGTTTAACGAAAACGATTTTGCTTTATTTAAAATCATTCTATTGTTTTTCAGGTTAGTTCTATAGACTTGGAACCCACAAAGTACTATCTTCTTGCAGCATCAAGGCGAGTTTTGTGTTGTGAATACTCAAAAAAATTAAATTTTTAAACGTTCAAGATTCAAGTTTCGCAAACCAAATCATGGCTGAGATTTACCGTCGTTTGTTCCTAGCTAGTGCAAGACAATTTGCTCATTTGCTTGTATGTGCTAACAGAAAATGCGTGACATTGTCATTTTATTGCATTTCGGGGACTCTGCGCAAAAGGGAATGAATGGGGCGTTTTCCATTCATCAGGTCTGGCTGAACTTGAAGTGCTTCTTGCCAGTGTAAGTGGAAAACAGTAGACAGTTCCTTGTGATTATAAATACCTGTTCTCTTGGGCGCGTTTCTTTACGAGAAGGACCTTGAATTATTTTAGTTAATGAGCATGTAGGGGGCGTCAAAACGAACTGGCTGAACTCAAACGACAGGGCTAATTACAACACAACCAGTCGAGTTAGTTCTCAGAACTGACCCGTTTCATTCATGGACAGGACCATTTGACAAATAAAAAGCGACCTTAGGTTTGCTTACATGTGAATATGCAACTGTTTTGCTATTAATGCATCAGCGCTTTTCTTCTTCTTTGTGAGCAGGTTGGAGTACTCTCGTCAAGAAACGTCAAAGAAACAAGAATCATGTATAGACGGCCCTCCACCAGAGCTTCAGGTAAGTTGTATTTGTATGGGTAAAAATTCCGCTTGTGGCAGTTTCCTGCTGCACTCGGAAGAGGTAATCCAAGTTTCTGCAGCAGAGAACAGTCAATAGTATCACCTATCCTGTCCCAGTTGGCTCATTAGTTCACCGCCGGCTCCCCCTCCCCCCCCTTTCACTGCTTCATAGATCTCTGTGGAAGGCACTGTAAGAATGACGTGTCATAAACTGCATTTACATGTATATTTATCCTGGTCAAGCCAAGAGGGAATGTATGACTACTAGGCTTCTTGATCAAAACTTGTCGTGCCGGTCCTTGGACATGGAAACTTTCGGAGGAGATTGTAAAGTGTTTGATGGTAATTTGTATTCAGAAAGTTTAGCTCTCGACACGTTTCCTTGGTTCGTTTTATTTGCTAATGGTTATGTCGATCAGGATGTGCTTGCTAGGGAAACAAGCCAGTTTAAATGCTGCTTTATCCAAGAGCACAACATCACTGAAATCCTAGTTAAGAATTGAACCTAGAGTTCTCCCTATCTGGTGTTATCATGTCATCATCATTTCGTCTTCACTCAATGCGGAGGATATCCCACGATTAAGCTAATTTGTTTTTATCAATATTTCTCCGACATAACAGAACTACAGTCATCGCGTTGTGTGCCATGACTTGAAGGGAGCCTGGACACTAACCAACCGTCGTATAGCATTTGGTCTGTTTGAAGCTTACACCAATGCTCAGGTCAGATGCACTGTGATCACTGTTTATGGATCATATGAAGTTTTGGTAAAATTATAACGGTCCTCTTTGTTTACCATCAGGTTTTGAAGAAAAACCTCTCCGCTGATGCTCTAAAATTCACAATTATGGAAAAGAAGGACAAACAGGTATGTTTGGTGCCATCACCAAACGGCACAGCACTATTGAAGGTTTAAAAGGTGTATTGAACAATTCCCATCAAGTGATAAGTATTCTGAACGAAGTGGTTCCATGATCGAAGGAAGATGATTGTAATGATAACTTCTGAAGTAGTTCCTGTTTTGGTTTTCCTTAATACATTTACTTTTCTTTTACTGTATTGCACACTGTTGAATTTTATGGCGTGTCACTCGCCGGCTTTTTTGTGAGGTTTCTCTGATAGTTAGCTGGTAATCATTTTTTACTCGAGGGTGGAGGGAGCACTGAAAGAGTTAATTGTAACTGTAAACTCAAAGGCACACTTTGCCCACCAGGATGAGTATAAAGGATCACTGGATGCTTCAGCCAAGGCTCGATCAGTGTCAGCAACAAACATGCTGGAAAAACTTGTTATGGAAAAGGAGTTGAAGTTCGTAGCGTTTGCTGAAGAGGTATAGTAACACGACGCCATGTTCGTCATTTCGTAGAATCCATAGAGGTAGTCACGTTCGAAATGGTTCTAAGAATAGTCTGTTAAGTTGCAAACTCCTGTTGATGTCATTTCTAAGAACCGGCATACTAAATACTCTATTCCTATGATTTATATAACTCTATTTGTTGAGAAGACTACAAAGACCGTCAGAGAAAGTGAAAAAGGCATACTCAACATCTTTTCCTCTTCACCGAAGGCTAAACTGTAAATAACAGTTATTTTAACTCCTTCAGGGTACCGCTGAACACGAGCAAGTTACAGAAGCTCAACTTCATGGAGTGGCTTTGAGTACAACAAATGATGTCGTCGAATATAACTGGCATAGTAAGTAGTAGGCCTCATTTGAAAATGTGTACTTTGTTGACTGACAGACAGTATCGGTCTCAGGTAGAACATCTCTAGTAAGAGCAAGGGAAAACGGGCTCTCTTTATAGCATACGGTGTGGCTATCCCCTGGTAAATTATTACAGAAAACTGCACTGAAATCTGACGCTACCAGATAATACACAGAGTTAAGTCATGAAGGTTATATCACCATTTGTTTTTTTGCTAGTTGCACTGGTGAACTCACAGATCGTTCTCAAAGGAATTGAGTCTGAAGGATGTGTACTGGTTGCAGCTGGTAATGCCAAGATATTGAATAGACTTCACACTCCAGTGTGGAGCAAAGGAGAGCTCTTTAACAAGAAGACATGGGTGGGAAATGTGGAAAATCTACAGGTATTTACCGAAGAAAAAACACAGGCTTCTAACAAAACAAGATCTTTATCTTTGGTGATCATTTACAGGTAATCATTTCCTTTTTCTCCAGTACTTTGCCACAGTAGGTGCCGAGGACAATATTGGTTTAGACAGCACTCCTTGGTTAAATACCTCAGTGATCACGGGCCGGCAAAACAAGAACTCGTTCGATATAGCCGACCTGGCCAACATCGTGGGGTCAGGAGAGGCTGTTGGCGGAATGGTAGATGCAGATGTTGGGAATACAGGGCAGGAGCCCACGCAGTTACAGCGGATTGTGGCTCGTTGCGGCTGTGAATTTCATTTTGTGAGCTTCAGTCCTGATTTGGATCCTGTTGCTGAAGAACATGCACATGAAGTCGTGGTGAGTAAAGTCTAAAGGAAATTCTTCATGTAATGTTACTTTCTTGCATGACAGAGCAATTTCAGTTGATTGTCGATGGCAGTCTGGTTTTGTCCGAGATCCTATGGGTTCTTCTTTACGTCGGCCATTGATTGGCTGCCGAAAAAATGCGCCTCCCCCTGATTAGAAACAAGTTTCAATCCTTCTGGGCGACTCGGTAACTTGTGTTTTTCCACTCTCCAGTTCCTTCTCAGAGTCTACTACTGCCTCCCTCCTTCTTTCTATTTCGCCGTTGTGATTTCTTTGTGTTTGGCTTTTCCACCTTTATACTAAATAAAAAGCTATCAAACAACTAGGTACATTGAAGTAGAAAAAAATTGAATTTGGTTGCCGTGAGCGCAGATCATAGTGAAAGCCTCTTCTGAGTGAAAAAGAGGAAAGGAGGATGGAAACTTTCTGTGTAGCTCAAGGGGCAATTTCAAAACATTAAACCGAGTTGTTGAAGTAATATATCAAACACTAGGAAGAGTGTTTCATCCGATATCCAAACACCGAGAAGTGGTTGAGAAAACGAGGCGCAGCCGAGTTTTTTATAACCAACTTCAAGGTGTTTGGATATCGGATGAAACACCCTTTCGAATGTTTGATATAGCTTCTCAAACCATTAATAATTCTTGGAGAAAATCAAAGCAAAAGTTCACCAGATTTTATGATAATTAAGATCACATATCCAAACCTCCTTCACGGTTGTAATTTCCTTTGTTTTCTCAGCATGAATTAGTAATGAGTTTGAGAAAGTTTGTTGCTTAAATGCAAAACATTGCTGAAATCTTGAGTGATATGACTGTATGATAATGCTGGTAGTTTTAATTCAATTTGTCCAACATTTATTTGTTGTCACTCATTTTAGCCTCCATCGCATTCCAGTCATCTCCGAGAGGACAGACACGTGGCAGTAAACACTTTCACCATCAGACACAAGTTGCTGGAGATCTCTACTAACTCTGTAAGTTCTGTGTAAAGAAATTCTGGATTCAACTGCAACTTAATTGCATGTGACACTTCCCTACCCCACCCCTGTTGTCAAGAGAAACTGGCAATTTATGATGGTAAACTAGCTCGAACCTGGTATGTCCCCAAATGCCTGCACAACGCTTGTGAAGTAAAGACCCTCCGCTTTTCCCCTCACAAAGGATATTTTTCCCCACCCATCTATCCTTCGTTTATCCCTAAACAGAAGTCCGCCAGTTTTGCTGATGTTATTGTTTTTCTTTCCTGTAGGCTCAGTTCGCCATGCTCATTGACATTGCCCATAATGTTGTGTTGTACACAGAACCTAAAAAGAAGGTGGGTAGTAGTTTCCATTTACTCAACAGCAGGAACTCAACTTTACTGCAACTTCTTTAAAGCAAACACCATACGATCCACGTTACCGTCCGCTCAATAAAGATACCCTTACATAGTGATCATTATATATATATGTCAACAGGAAGCGTTTGACAGACTCCAGAGAATGAGGTTTCAGTTACGTCTTTCCACTTCAGAAGATCAACGAGCTCAAATTCTTAGACTGCAGAACACTGTCAGGTAAGGATGTTATAAGCCTGCAAATAAATTGTATCAATGATTGAGCCAAAAAATTGCTACAACATTGATAGTAATGCGCAAGACACCAAAGTTCAATGGAACCCTACCGTGAAGCATAGTAATTTTACAGGTTTAGGTTTTACAAGTGTATTGTGGATTGAGGAGAATTTCCTTAGTCTGCAAAAATAAGTTCCCGCAGTAAAAAAATCCGGAAACTAAAACGCCGCAAAATGTGCCCCCTTTTGTCCAAACAAAGATAGGGATAAGGTAAGATTTTTGTTTGATTTTGTCGGTGTGTTAGCCCTGTTAAGAGTTCAGTTTAGACTTCAGTGAAGTGCCCTAACATGAGACGTCAGCAGTTCTGTTTCGCTGTGGTCTTTTTTACAGTTGAGTTGTTTTTGTTTGTAGATCTCTTCAGACGGAAATGCGGAGGTTAGAGAGAGAGCTGTATGAAGTGAACACGTTAAGAAAGGAAGTCATCAATGATCAAGAGTAAGACTTTTTAAGTGCAACAGTTAGGGCGTATTTCGTTTGCGTGTTGTAAAGGTCAGAACCAAAGTAATAAAGATGGTCAGAACTATGATGAATACTTCAAGGAGTAAATGGGAACCCAAACTAAACTCGTGTTAACCACCCTTAGCGCGGGAAAGCGCAAATTTCCAAATGGTCGCCGATTGCCTTTTACTTAAGCCCAGATTGGGTGAGTTGGCGCCTGTTTCTGTTGACCAAGCACAGAGCTGTTTCCGTCGTGTGTGTCTGCCACCATAAAAAACTGCCTGATGTAAATAGTGCAAACTGATTGTTTGATCAGGTGAACAATTTTCTGCGATCAGCGTATAAAATATATTGCCTATCGTCTCTGGTTTTATCGATCACAATCAAATGACTCCAGTTTTCTCCTTTACTCCGGGATGAAAACAAAGCGAAAGAAAATATAGCGATTCCTCACCCTGAATTTTATCTTGTTCAGGCTCACTGATGCTGTTATCCATATCGAGAGAGAAATCATACAGCTAAAGGAGGAGCTGAGTTCTTCAAGCACTGAACTGAAAATTATGATAAGGTGATTAGTCGTTAATTTTTTAAAGCATGATAGATACCCCTCTTTCTTCAACACTTGGACTAACGTTCCTCTAAGCCCGGTGGCTGTTAAAGCTGGTGGAGCTAAGAGTGCTGCTGTGGCTCCAGGTTGGGAGCCATGGGTTTTCCTCGATATCTTTGGGACGAGTTCCCTAACATTTTGGCTTCTACGTATGTCTCTACAAGAAACATACTGATGGCGATTTCCATCGTTCAGGTTTGGCCAAATTAAGAGAACTGTATAACAGGATTAATACTGTGAAGAGGAGTGGGAGAGTTAAACAGTCCTCCATGTATTATACAGAAACAGCTGTTTTGTCCCGCTGAATATTAATAAATGTTTTTTTTTCCTTCTATATTTGGCAGTGCATACAAGGACTTTCTGATGAATTTGGACACACCTACGCCTGAGAAAGGTGAGACTGTTCTTCAAAGGTCTTACTGCATTGATCGAGTGGGTAACCATTTGAATGGTCATTCGTTCATTGGTCAAAAGAGAGTCGAGTTGAAGGGAATCATACGCGCTAGATGATTAGTAGTTTCTTGGGATTTTTCTCAGTCCGCAGCACTCGTTATGCCTTTTTCGTCTTGAGAATATTTGCGTGAATAAAAAAGCAACAATTAATTACATGACAAAGGTGATGGGATGGGAAAAATAGATCAGGTGAACGTCGAGTACACGACACAGAAATCTTATCTTCCTGTCCTATCCTATCCTGTCCTGCTGTGCCTTGCCATCCTGTTCCATCCTGTAGCGATATATATACAGGCCACATACGATATTTTCATAATTTCTTCTGTTTCTCTGCTTCACTTTTCAGTTACCACTGCGGAGGTGATTAAACTGGCTGAAGTTTACTTCAATCATGCTTCATGGCAGCTGAATCAAGAGGACGGACAGTTAGCCATAGCCGATGCAAAATTAACTGACTTCAGGTAAATAACCTGTTGTTGAAAAGTAGCTTAGGCCTAGAGTGGAATTCAAGCAAAACAACAGGATTATAGAATTAAAATCTTGATGATGTGTATTTGTGTTGTTGATGTAATTGTTTATTTATTTTTTGGTTTTTGTTTTGGTTGTTGTAGAGGTGCCCTTACGTTCTAGAAACAAAAATGTTATCTTCGGTTGACCACGGTATATATTACTGGCCATTCATAACTCGTCAGATTACTCAGCAACATAAAGGATATATTTCCTGTTGAATAACTCGGATCAATATCAGTATCTGGGCAACTGCCCACCTACCCCTCCCCTAATTCAACTAGAGTCAATTGACAACAAGTTAAGGTTAATGTTGGGTTAGGGGAGGGGTAGGTGGGAAGTTGCTCAGATACTGATATTGATCCAATAATTCTTTCAAATGACTTTGTTAGTTACAGGAAGACTACTCTCAGGGGCTCCACTGTAGAACATCGGTTAGAATTAGGAAAGTTTCACGTTAGAAATCTGTTACCCAACAGCATTTATAAGGTGAGCTGACTATACTGAGAATTTCCTTGATTTCTATTAGAGCTTGAAAGACGTAGTGGTTTAGTGGTAAGCGAACTGGACTCAGGAGTGACGCTTTTATTCATCTGTTTCTTTCTTGTATATCTGATTTAGGATGCTATGAGCCCGCTAGACGTCAGCGGTAAGGGTCACGTGGACAGAGCCGTGGCTGTACGGATATTCAGTAGAGTGAGGCCGCCAGGTTTGTGAACAAAACTTCTCGATTCTAGAATTAGTATCAGTGATTGAGGATACCGTTTAGTGCTGATTTCAGGGCATTATATTCATTATTCTTAGGCATGACCATGGAGAAAAAATGTGTGTTCATTTCTTTCTACAGTTGGAGGAATTGGAGTGAAGGAGCATTTTGAAGTGAACGTATGTCCGCTGGCCGTTCGCTTGACGCACCGCTTGTTCAAGAAAGTCATGGTGTTTTTCTTTCCCCAGCGAGAGCATGAATATGAGGGTGAAGTGGGAGAAGTAGAGCTTGGATTCAGAGGTTAGTAGTGTGTTCTCACCCCAATACTTTTACGTGTCCTTCGTCAATGTAGGCAAAGCCCTTCTCATAAAATCAGTTCATTTTAGGAAGGTGTATATAAATAATGAAACAATTGTGTCTTAATTTTGCCAGGGATGGAATTTGAGGAAAAGGAGATGTTCATTTACGAAGATGAGGTAAAATAGGCGGAACCTTTTTCAGGCCATGGCAGTTTGACTCCAACACATTCTTAAATTGTAGAGAATACGATTCAACTAGCTACCACAGCCCTTCTTTACAAAACCTTTTTTCATCTTTGTCTAAACGCATGCTAACAGATATAAAATGTAAACATTTGATTACTGAGAAGAACACTTTTTGGTTGAGTGTCGAACATGATCCCTGGTTGTTTTGGGTTCGCTTTACTTCCGTCCTTAATTGGTCAAGAAAATTGCGCCATCCTTTCAACCAATCAAATGCCGGTTGGAAACCATTAGCCGTTTCTTTACTTTCGTTTTCCCGCGCCGTGGGGGGCATACTTGAACGTATTTGCATGGATTTCTCAGTCGCTCCTTGTGTCGTTTTCCTTTGGTATAGTTTGCTCTCCCTCTTTTTTTTCCTTTGGTTTCACGTCACTGAATAATATATAGATTTAGCCAAGCCTAAAAGCGGTGCTCGCATTTTTTTCCCCGTACGCCCCAAGTGCACAACGCTTTGCCCCGGCCAGGACTAGAACCCGGGTCGTCCGACTCGGAGCCCAGTGCACTGACCACTGGACTCCTGGACAAAACCGTGGCGTTGGCGTGCCCGCGGTACAGTTGACCACGCATGTTAAAAGTAGCACCTTGTACGGTCGAACGGTCGAAAGTCCAAATTTTCTCGGCTTGATGGGTTACTACTACCATTTTGTATAATTATGGGGCTACGCTCTGCGAGCTCCGTTAGAAACGCACTCTGTCCTTTTATATTTTATCAGGATTTCTTAGGTCCTCCTACAGGTGGTAAAGCGACATCTTTGAAGCGATCTCCGAGTTCTCTGTCTGCAGTATCAGGAAGTTCCATAGAATCCTTCAGACATAAGAAAAGTAACACAACACTGACAGACTATCCTCCTACGTCGCCATCAAACAAGGATAAAGGGGTAAGAGAATCAAATTTGGCGAATGTGTAAACACTAAATTTCCTAAAGGGCTTTTCAACGAGATGTATAGCAGTCACGAGTGCGATTTACGAACTAGATCTCTGGGGTTGAATTTTTGATAACTCAAGCGCGAATGAACAATTCCTATAGTCGGCATTTGAAGATTACAATAAATGTGTAAAGTTTGTGGCATAACTCAGATAAATACAACACAAAAGAGCAAAACACAAGGGAGGGGACGGGTAACATTAGTTGTTCGCAGCCGGTTTTTGGTCTTGTCACGCAAAATGCTTTTTTTTTTATTATCATTCGTATCCATTTGAACCACAGACAAAGAAGAAAAGTACGTTTTACAAACGAATCAGCGATTACGACGACCTTGACAAAATGAAGGTAAGCTGTGTACTGATTGTGTTACGTGATATCCACGAGTATTTAGAAATATAAGAAAGTTTTCCTTCTTGTTGGTGAAGGTGGAGGGGGGGGGGGGTGGTTGATTGGATGATGCGCTGCGCCCAAATTTGCAAAATTTCCCCGGGGTACTTTGGACAGTATCGTACGATTTTGGACACCAGAGTCTGATTTTGTACAGTTGTGTCCGATTTTGGACACTAGTGCTTGATTTTGGACACTAGTGTTTGATTGTGGAGGTTAATGTCTGATTTACGACACTACACTAGTGTCTGATTTGGACACTAGTGTGATAATAGTTTGTGGATAATGATGCACGACGCACTGATGGGGAATTACTTTAACTACTTTAAGTTTTTATATGCAGCTGAAATGAAGTGTTTTGTTCTGTGTTTACTTTTAAAAATTACTCACCTAATGGAAATTCATTTGCTTTTTCCAGGAGAGGGCCTCTAAGAATAACTCTTTTATTTATGTAAAGATCCCTGAAGTGTCCTTACTTGTCAGCTACAAGGTTTGTTATTAACTTATGTTCGTGAATTTTCAATTATTCCCCTGAAGCAATATTCAGAGAAAAGATCAACGATACTTTTCAAGTTTCGTAGGTGTTAAGTAAATGTTGTCGTAATGTAAGGTTGATTAACAATCGTCTTATTTGACATATAAAGCGGAGCAAGGAAGAAGGTAAGTTAGTTGGGGGTAAAAAGACGATTTAAAACTTTCCACAAGTAGGTCCATGTTCGCTTTCTCCACCCTTTCCCACCATTTTTTTAGCCATGTTAGCCTCCCCTCTTCTAAGGTAAGTATATTCTTTCTTCTAATCAGCATTATGTCGCTTATTTCTTTAGGGCGAAAAAGACAGGAACATTATGGATGTTCATGACTTCAGCCTGCTCATTCCCACCTTAGAGTATCACAATCGTACATGGACGTGGCATGATCTGTTGATGGCCATGAAGAAAGACTGTGTCAATGTGCTTGTATCACAAGTAAGTTCTTCACAATAGACCTTTCCTTTACCCTTAGACGACCAGTTTGCATTTATTCGTTTTTATTATGCATTTCTCGGTCGTAAGACAAGTTGAGACTTGGAGATATTGTATCATAACTTTCAGGTCTCCTTCTTTAAGTACTTGGTTTTTCTGTTTGTTTACCGGTTAAAACTTGATTGTTCTTTTTTTTGTAGGCTATAAAGGAAAAGCTACATCTTGTAGGAGGACATGGCACAGAAACCAAGGAGTCCAAATCACAAGCCAAGTGAGTTTCTTTTTCGCAGCTGTTACTAAGAATATAAAGAAGCGCAACACCTCTCGTTAGTTTTAATTTTGATTGTCACGTAACGCAACTTCACTGTGGCGGCAGTGATGGGTGGCAGCTGCGAAGTGGGCTGGTGAATTATGAATTGGAGATAAAAAGAGGAGTTGTACCAGGTTGTGACCACTTACAAGTGTGTGTTTGTAAACAAAACCATAAGATTTGATGTCCGTTGGTCTTATCCACCCTTTTTCATAGTTTCGCCTATCATCAAACTCTTTCGAACATCGTTTCTCAAATGTTTTGAAAACGCTCCGTCTCAAGCGCGAACAGGTGAAAACGGAAGCCCTACAAGACGGTAACGCATACGGCGTCACATATATTTGCTTCCGTAAACATTTCGGACAGGGAAAAAAATGATCGAAATTTAAACGAAAATGTTTAGTCTGGTGTAGCTGTGAGGGCATGGGACTCGTTAAAAATGCAATTGTGTAATCGGGGCTCAAGTGATCTACTCTTGTTTTTTTTCCTTTCTCTCAGGGAAGAAGATAAAGCACGCATGCTTTTAGGAGGCTTTGTAAGTTGATAAGATGTTTCAGGGTTTATTCTAGAAATTTGTCAAAGAAGACCCAGTTGGCCCCCTTCTATAATTTTAGGGAGAGCCCTTCGCTTAAAAAGGGCGCCCAAAATATTTAAATGTGGTGCCCCTGGAGGTATTGACATAAATTTATGCTGCAACTTCCTTCTCTTAGCTAAGATCTAGGATAAATTTTGTGTTATAAGGCTTAACTTAAAGATCAATGTGATTTCTTTTCTCTCTGTTTTATCCGTTGGGCGCGACCTTCCGGTTATGTTCTTTTTCCTTTTATTTCAGCAACAGAAAGATCAGCATAAGAAGTCAAAGAAAAAGTTGTTTGGCAAATTGGCGAAGGTCGCTCGAGGCTCGAAACGAAAAGGTTCGTGTGACGGACTTGTCACCAACAAGACAACGATATTTCACCAAGAGAATATTAACAGTTTATATTTCTTAATTTTACTTTCTGTCTTAAAGAATTTTTTATGGTCCTCTTCAATATCAAATTACTTTTCTTTGCATACGACATAAAGCTGGGTCTTAATTATATACCAAACAAGCCTTTTGTAAGTTTATGGCGTACCGATTTTTAATCGAGTCTTGGAACTAATCGAGATCTGATTGGTTTTGTTTAAGTACGCTCTGTAAATGCTCAAAAACTTTTGCGCCATTCTCTCAGCCAATCAGGTGTAGAATAAAAAAAACAATTGAGACTTGCACCGTGAACATGTGTTTACTCTGAGTTCTCATTGGTTCCTTGTTAATGTAAAACCTTGTTCTGATTGGCTATGGAGAATACTTTGATTTTAGTTAAACGATACTCCGTTGAAATGCGACGTCTAACAAAATAACCGGGAACCGTATCTAGTCTTACTACAAATCCGTATAAACATGTAAACTTCAAGCCTTACCTTGTTATAGTCTAAGATAGATCACTTGATACGTCAAGTCTCACTATCACTGAACAACCGTACTAAACACAACTTTATTCTCCCCAGGTCTCTTGCAGCCTGACGGAGCAGGCCCTGAGCCTGTTGACCTACAAGAAGATCAAGATTTTGAGGAATTCGGTACCTTTGAGATCGATGATCAACCACGGACAGAAGATGACGATGAAGATAAAGATGATACCGGTTAAATTAGCTGATGAAGTTACAACTTCTGTGCTTAAATTACAACTTCTGTGCAAAATGAGGGGAAATCAAGAATAGATTAGATGGAGAATTCCCATAATAAATCAACAATCAGCCTTGCGAATTTTTTTTTATGAACGGGATAAAAATATGAATGTAGAAGTCACTCTTTGTCCTAGAACAAAAATTTCCAACCTACATTATTTGAAACACATACCATTCTTGAGGATTACGTATTAGGTGGTTTTCTACTTGCTTTCTCTAACGTAGATTTTAAGGTGCAACTTAAAAGAGGATGGGGAATTGACACTTAGTTGTATTTTGAACGGTTCGATTTTTTTGACAGAACAACTTACGTGACCAGTGAAAGATGAATATTGTGATACCACTGGTTACGTAGAGAAATTATTTAAAATTACGTTTTCAAAATGAGATGTACAATAGTAATTAAGTGCGAGCTGGAGGTATTATTTAACCTTAGAGGCTTAGCTGTGAATTTTGTTTACGATTATTTGCAATCAAATGTCAAGACGAGTTCATAAATATCGTGGATACCCTAGGATTTGAATTAAGGGATCCCAATTTTCCAAGTATTATTAAATCGAATCAGGTCGTCAAGATTCAGTAGTGTTTAATATCTCTATATGCTGCCCTCTTCTTGCGTTAAGCGTTACCCAGTGCGTTACTTTATTGCGTTCCCTAATGCTACCACTTCGTTTGAGTACATGTAAATCCTCAGTTGCGATGAATTTTGAACTGAAAGTGATTTTTGATTCAGGGTGAGCATCGATAGTTCAGTAGCGACAACGTCTTAGAGGTGTGGCAGAGAACACAACTTGAACCCTGAATGTATTATTCCTTTAAACTCGTATCTTTTTCACGTCGCTGAGCCTCCTTTGGCTACAGATGATAAATGTTTATTGTTATTATTTACAAATATATTCTATTCGTCAATCAAGAATTTTACAGACTTGATAACATGTTGAACTTTACGGTGTAAAATTGGTCATCCTAAAAAGAAACAGCAAACCTAGGTAGACAGAGTTTTTCCTTACTAATTGAGTCAATTGCAAACAATTGAAAAAGAGATTCTTGTCGTCCTATAGGATAGCTCCTATGCTTCTAGGCTTGATTTTTGCTGTGCGTAGGACACCTAACATATGAATTTAAAATTCGACCTAAGTTACTGACAAGTTCCCCGCAGCTCAGTGGGTAGAGCATCTGACCGCACCATGTTGCGGTCCGTGGTCAGGGTTCAAACTCTGGCGCGGGGAATCTTGTCGTTTTTGTTTCTTTTTTAAGTTTCTCGTAATACTGTTTTCCTTTTCCTTTTTTCATGATAAGTCTTCGATAAGTGTATGCATAATGTAGTAGGGAGTTATACGGAAATCTTTTCAAAATTAGTTCGAACAAATTGAGTCTCGCAGCGCTTACTAGCGATTTTATCCAATGCCTCTTTTCATTCCAGAGTTTTTTCTTCGTTACAAAATAGTATCTACAGTCCAGTTACTGCTGGTTTTTTTCTCTTCTCACGTGCCAATTATTCTCAGAAGATGTGTCTCATTCCTCTTGATTCCTAGTTGGCTCAAAAACGTGCAAACTAAACTCTGCACCGAATCGGTGACGTATCAGTCAATTATTGGCTGCAGCTGCTAATCCATATTCATCAGTAATATTGTAGAAGTTTCAACAAACCACGCTGTCTGTCAAAGAGTGAACAGGTGCCTTTCGAGCACTGAAATAAAGTTGCACTCCGGAAAGAAGACGTTGGATCATTTCAGAAGAGTAACGTGAGCTCTCTGATGTTATTAACAACACGAGGTGAGTGCAAAATATTGTTTCCGATTCCTTTATAGAACTAAACTTACCTTATGATTTCGGTTGAACGACCAAATGCGAGTCAATTGCTTTGTCCCGGAGTGTCTCACCAACTCGAAGTTTGATTAAATTAGGGTGTTGACTTCGATAAAAACCAGAGCCCATGATTGTAAAATATTTGAAGGGAAATTCATAGCTATCTTTCGTCGAAACAATGAAATGAAGATTTCAAAGAGGATTTTTTTGCAGTTGAATATGGCCACGAGATATGTCACGACTCTTTACAAATAACTTGGTGACCTTTGCCCCATTTAACATTACTTTTCGAAATGTTTTCGCGTTTTCCCTTTCTTCTATATTTGTGCTTTTGTGGCAACGAATTAGAGAGAAATTAAATTTGAAGGTCCTAAAATTGTTTTTCCAGTAAGCATTCCCTGATTTCTTCTATATTTGTGCTTTTGTGGCAACGAATTAGAGAGAAATTAAATTTGAAGGTCCTAAAATTGTCCGTGTTCGTTCTTCCATCGAAATAAGACAATTGAAAACTTGCATTCCCTTTACTGATTAAATTAATCATTTCTATTTTCAGGAAAATGCCAACAAAGTTGTTCTGGCTACATGAAGCGAATGGAAGAACTTAAAACGACTTAAGATTAACCAGCAGACTGAACAGAACAAACTAAGTTCACAACCGATCAAATGAAAAAACGCCAGTTTAGCCATTTACCTTCCCACTTAAAAAATAAGCAAACACTTTTGCTAGCCAAAAGATGACAAATTCCGCTCAGGCCAATCAACTGATTTGGACAACAGGCCTTTTAGGCTCAACACTCGTGCAGACGATTGCACTACAGGGAGCTACCAAGAGAAAACGATGAGGAAAAACACTGATTTGCCTAAAATTCATCCTCAGCATGAAATGATATAAGCTGGAAATTTTAATATTTTCGTTGAAAAAAAGAAACATCAGTTCGCCATACATAAAAGGAAAAACCAGTGCAGTGCCATCTGAGAACTTGTATCTACTACTTTGTGCAATCAACTGTGGTTAGATTTAGTGAAAATGTTACTTTTAAAACTTTAATGCCTGGTCAAGAACCTTTTCTGAAGACTGCTGAGATCGAAATCTACCGTTAAAGAAACCAGTAAAAATTGACGAATGAGTATAGGTTACCATATTTCGGGTAGCTTTTATTCGATAGAGTAGAAAATCATTTCCTAAATCGTTGAAATCTATTTTACACTTTAAACGAAAGTCCATGCAAACATTTGAACCAATTTTTTGGCTTATAAAAGATTATTAAACTATTGGCAATAAATCTTTAGTTGTTGTGAAGGAGCATGATTATCCCATGGTATTTCCCGAAGAACATGAACATTTAAGAAACCATTCTGAATTGTTCTCTACAATTTGAAATTTTGGCAAGGCACGTCTATCTTAACGATAAACGTGATAATCATAAATGCAAATAAAAAAAACATTTTCATTCAATAGTTGCCAAACCAAATAAGTTATGTAAGATTTTCCGGTTGAATGTTCTCACATATTGCTATTGATGACGAATTACATACAAAAAGATTTTACGAACAAATAACCTATATTCTTTTGGTAATATTACTGAACTGAAATCACGTTGATTTTACCAACAAAGTGAGAACCAAAATTCCAACGAGCTATATCCAAATTAAAGGGTGAGTTTTATTGTGCCCTCAAGTTGAAAAGCGAGCGACTTGACGGTTTGCTGGTTTATATACAGTTGTTTCTTCAATGCGAACTTTTTAGTTAATCCAGTTAGCCTTGTATATTAAGTCGCAAACGCGTTGCTCTTCATACCAGGCATTTGGTTTTAAAATAATCGACTCATTTATTCCTTATTCTAAGTGGACGGAGGATCTTATGCGCAGTAATTCGATGTAACAGGACAAAAGTTTGTTGCACGAATTAATCGAATTCAACACAGAGCCTAATTGTTATTTGTCTTAGCTTTTGTGACTAGAACAACAGTTGATATTATTTTATTTTTATTACTTCGCGAATTTAGTTCAAGAAACTTGGAGCCTAACTGTAAGATATCTTAGCCTTCACAGCCAAAATTAAATTTAAAGAGTTTGCTCCAACACTTGAAGTTATGTTTGTTCTCAAATGGCTTAGTTTAGTCTTATAAACCGGCAGCCTAATTATGGTATGAGTTCTTGTTGCTAAATTCAAATTCGAAGAGTGTGCTCCGACTGTTGAAGCAATTTTATTTTTGAAATCGCTTCGTCAATTTAAGTTCAAGGCTCTTTGAGCCGAAATTTATTTTTTCCTTCAATTTTCTTAACTAGGTGCTTTTTCAACCTGTACCTGTGTTACATTCGAAAACTGATGGATTTAAAGATCTGCAACAAAAAACATAGTGGAAAGCTATAGGCGTAAAAAAGCAAATTGATCACTGTTTTTCTAGCTGGCCATGACGCATTTTCGTATACAACCTCCACACATCTCGTGCTAAGAATTGAAGTTCAAAAATCAGTTAAAGGATAAACATATTCTAGTCAGAATTTCTTTTAAAGAAACGAAATCGAATTTTTCAAACTGGTTAATTTTTTTTTCCTGAGAGAGGATAAATTGGCGTTTACTTCAGTTCTTTTTACACGAGATGTTGTTTAATTTTATTTTGGCGGGAAATTTATGAGGAAGCCTTACTAAAATTTTTGCCCAAAATGTTGCTAGGGGAAACTCTGTGCAAATTGGTCCAGATTTTCCCGCCAAAAGTCTTAGTACACACACGAAAATTTTTTCTTGACACCTCTTTAAAGATTTAATTGGAAATTACTTAATCAATTAACTTGTGATTACAGAGAATTCAAAACCAATAAAATACTTTGTTAAATATGAAACTTTTGGGGTTTTATTAAGTGAACATTGAAAGACAATAAAACTGAGTGATCACTTTGTTTTATTTATTTGTTACTAATAACAAGAGGACAAGAGCCTTTTCTTATCAACAACATATAACTTAAATCCAAAAAAAAAAAAAATTGGCGCATGCGTATTTTGGGCGCCGTATTTTTTCTAAGTTTTTTGGCGGGAAAATTGTAAACTTTTAAATGGCCTATGCTATGAATAATAACCCGACAAAAAAAATCAAAGTCCTATAAAATTGCGAATTTACATTTGCTTACGTTTGCTTTTAAGTCGTCGATTTACAGCGAATGACTCTTTGCTCTCCCTCACAATATTCTTGATAGAAATGCACTACATCTGTTTCATCCGTCTGAAGAGATTTTGTTTTTCACTTGGATCACAACCTTTCTTGTTTGATTCGTGCATCAATCAGTCTGTAAGAAGATGAAAAGAACGATAAATCAACAACTGCAAAAGATCTTAAACCGTGATCATTGAGAGTGGTTCGCTAATAGTAACACTAATGTTAAAACTATTTCACGATGTAAAATAATTGTGAATTGGTATTTACATCCTACAGTGTCGAGTCGCTCTTTAAGGGGACTTGAACGTAAAGAGAGATTCACCGGAAATAAAATACTAAAGAAAACAATTATTTCCTTGTTTGCAGTTTTCCTTCTATTTGACTTTGACAAGTTTTGTTGTAAACATTCTTTAAATCCAAGTTGATACGTTCAATACAGACCAGCAGATCAGACTCGTACGCGCAGTTGGCCGATTCGTAAAAAATAAACAAATAAACAGACAAACGAGAAAGCAACTCGCCTCTATGGAAGTTTTATGTGTTCCTTTCTTCCCTTGAAATTCCTTGATTTCGTGATAACCTCATTCTATGGCTGACGCTGTCCTGATGAGGAAAAACGAGGAAATTTATATCGTAAAAACAATCATACTTAAATCATAGTAGGTACTTTCTATTGTGACTGATGAACATCATACCATGGAAATTAAGCAAGGCAAAGTGTATTTCTATGACACCACTGTCAACTGACAGTGAGGTCGCATTGGATCCCAGTGATATCAACAATATATCTTGACTGAATGCAGATAGTTTTCTACAAAAACTTGATAATTCAGTCAGTTACGTTCAACATTTTTACATAGGCTACTAGTCCATTGCATGCCAGCACCCTCCCCCTCCCCTCCCCTCCCCCCCCCCCAAGTCCTTTGTTGGGTTTCTCTGATAGGGCACTGGTAACAGTTTCTACTCCAGGGAGGAGACAGTCACTGTCAGAGTCAAGTGTCGGCACCAACAGCACAAGATCTGATATCCAGAGAACGGATTCTAAGTTAACAATTTTAGACGACTGTACTCCTTTTTCTCGAGCGGAGATTGGAAGCGTGAGAAATGACAGGCGTGTTGAACGAATTTAACGTTAGAGTATTAAGATAAAAGAAACTGTTTACAGGATAATAATAATTAAAGAATTGAAACTTAATGAGTCATTTAGCGATCGGTGCATTATCAATAAAGTACACATTTCTCGCTGCTTCCCTAAAAATCACGTGGCTCGTCAAGAACTGTCATGGCGGTTACTGCTGAAAATTACTCTTACACTGGACTGTGCGTAACATGCTCTTACTTCATACAATTAACTCTAAGAATTAGTTTTACTGGAGAAACAACGAGAAAAACAAACACTGCATTTCTTTTCAAAATGTATAAATGTGTAGGATATTTACCTTTAGAAAAGTCGTGACAAAATGAAAATGACTTCATTAATCCTTCTTCGTCCTCAAATTCAAACCACTCGCCTCAACAACCTTGAGGAAAAACTCTCATGCCTTGAGAGAACGGACCATATCCAAGGTATTTGTGTTGATCTATATAATGTGTTTCCTGGCCCCAGAGAAGCTGAAAAAGACGCTGACATTTCTTACAGCTCGTAAATGCTTTCGACGAGCAAGACTGATCTCAAATATGAATATTAATGTTTCAAAATTAATTGTAATTTAAATCAGTTGTTCGACCAAAAACCATCGGAAAGCTTTCGTTAAGTTTCGTTAAAATTCTTAAACGATATAGGGTGACTGGTTGTAGATTGATTTTAAACTCGGTGCCGTTCAACAGAGAGTTGAACACATCTAGCTAAGTCATTGAACAAATACTACATCAAACTCAGATGAATTTCATTTTAAGAAAATATTTCCATGGAAGAATATTTTTCAATCATTTAGAACCTGCTTACATAAACTGCTCGTAATACATTTCGTTTTCCTCAAAATTTCGAGTTAGAGGTATTACACAGCACTACTTTAATACAAAGGAACACTAAGCTGTACTTTGCAACTTTCCCATCGGAAAAAAAAATATAAAGGCACAAAGATATTTCGTAATGATGATAACTATCTACTGTAAGATGATCAAAATAATAATAATAATAATAATAATAATAATAATAGAGTAGATCAGGAAACAACATTGGAAAAAACTCTGGGATTTGGATGGAAATTAGCCACTACAATGGATTATTGATTTTTATACCTCGTTACAAGCCTGCACATAGCTACCCTTCCCCCTCCCCCAACATACACCCAAACCCAGACCACATTCGCATTGCACATTGATATGATATCTATACTTCATGCTCCAGAAAATTTTTTTTCACCAATTTTTTGATAAAACAATCTTATATTAATTAATGACATACAGTCTGAGTTAACAGTCTCAAAAAAGTCTTCATTGACCCATTTCCCATAAAAATTAATTGAGTTTCGTTGACATCTGTATATTTAGAAGAAAGAGTGCCATACCTACTGATATCTCTTAGAGTCCTTCTTAAGTTAACTTCTTTTTTATTACAAACATCCAGTCAGTTGGAATAAACTTGGCAATTTTACCTTTTGTGTTCATGACTTGAACACGTTAATTTTTCTATCACCTCACCACTCTCATTCAAGATCTTGGATTCCCAGCTGTCCATTAGGACTTCTCCACAGGCCACCCCAACACTTGCCCACAAGCAACTCAACCAGGCTTGTCCACAGGTCACCCAAAGGCTTGTCGACAGGCCACAGACTAAGGCTTGTCCACAGAACACCCAAGGCTTGCCCACAGGCCTCACACTAAGGCTTGTCCACATATCAATTTCCAAAACTTGTACGCAGGGTTCATACCAAGGTTTGTCAAAGATTACCTTTAGTTAGCGGGCCACAATCAAATTTTTTTTTTAATTTCCAGATGTTTGAAAGCAAAAGTAATAGCTAATTGTACAATATGATCTTCCAGAGAAGATTTTTAAGGACTACCTTACTGTTTGCTTCTTTTCTGCTGCTTGGAAGTAAATGGAACTTGGCTTATCACCTCTATAATCAGCATGTGGTATTTATTGATGGTCAATAGTCAGTTTAGAATAACACTACCTTAAACAAAAAACTGCTGAAACATACAAAGACAATAAACAAATTACCAAAAAAGACAAAAGATATAAAATAGAGAGATCAGATAATAATAAAAAAAAAGTAAAAAAAACAACAACAAATTTTGAATTTCCACTGGATGAATTACTCAGCATTGAGCAGTTAGCTACCCACATGCTAAATTTCTTTGCACTTTCCCCCCTCAATCCACTCCATCATCTTCAGCATTTGTAGCAGGTGTGACCAGATGATTTGCTGTAGTCCTGGGTTTCTCCTCTTAACCAAACAATTATTTATATCATTTCTTTTATTTCCATTTTACCACGAACTGACACAAATTCTAGTGAAGATCTCTTAAACCATGATGGAATGTTTATGGTCTTCTGTAGAGTTCAGTTTACTCCTTTGGTGATCTGTTTTGCCACTTGGCCTTGTGTTCTTTGCAAATTAATTATAGAGTACCACTGTACTTAACATTCCTCAGGGCTCTTTAAAAACTCTCCTTTCAGGGTATAAATTTAATAAAGAAGCAGGTGCAGTTCATTCATCTTGTTGGAGAATTTTATATTCTTGTCCAAAATACTGACAAAATAAGTATTCCAGTTTCTTCACATAAAATCATCTTCATCTGATTCAGCACCCTGGAAATAAGAAAAGAAATGAAAAAGAATGTGGCCTCTGCTCAGGTGAAACATTAGTATTGGATTGTCCATCCTAACATCACATAATTTCATCAGTGATTATTACACTCCGATTAACAAAATGTAAGGTTTTCCTTCATAATTGGAGCTCACCACTTAAGTGAAAGAACACTTTTTTTCTTAAAAAGTATAGTAAACAATCATGTTTTCTTGTTGCACTTTCTTAAAAATGAACTTCGACTTTCCAACATATACAAGTATGCTGTGCAGTGTATTTAAAAACCATCTCAGGTTAAATAATTGCTAACTTATTTTATTTACACATTCCTTTGCCCATAGGATAAAAGAATTGAAAAGGACTTTTAAAAAATAGTTTTACTGGAGATTCCTCACTTAAGCCCCAATTATAATAGCTTCTGATACCTGATAAATTTCATAGAAGTGTGACTGTGTGAAAAGCAGTGTTGTTCAACATGGTATTTCCATAGAAATAGTAGAGATGGTAAGTTTTGAGCTCGGAGAAGAATTAAGAAAGATGTTTTTTCGTCTTGTCACAAGCGTGGGACAAAGAAAAATTCTGAGTTCCCATGAGAAATTGAACCTCAGACCTTCGGATCTGCACTCCAGTTTACCTCAATCTGTGAAGAGGTGTATTAAATCAAACAATGTAAAATTACCAACTGACCTTATTGGATTTCATTTTTCTTGAGTCCATTAAAGAGTCATAGCTCCTACAAAATATCAAGTTTACAGCCATTGAAAATTTCACATGCAGTATACAAATGAATATACAGTCAATTGTGAGAGACTTGATCATGTTTAAAAGTGTATAGAACAGTAACAAACATGTATGGTACATGTGAGATTAATATAAAAAACTCAGAGCCTGCTGAAGCTGCTTATCCATGTTTCCAGAAAAATTCTGTAATCAAACCAAGTGGCCCATACAGCCAATGCTTGTCCTGGTTTCCATTACATGAAGTGACTAGGATTATTACTCTGATACTACCTCCCCCGGATGGGATGCCACTTCATTAGAAGGTTACTCCTAGTATTTCATCCCTAAAAATTTGCTGATACCCATTTAGACTCCTGGGTGGAGAGCAACACTGTGAAAGTTAAGTTTTTAGCCAAAGAACACAACATAATGTCCCACCCTGCACCTCTTCATTAAGCCACAAGGTTTCCCACTCCCTGTTTCCAAAAGCATAACTCAATGTAGTACTGTCACTTGTCCAGGAGGAGATCTAAGTCTGTAACAGGTTACTTACCACCTCCCTGATACATGTAGTTTTGATTGTAACTATTTAAACTCCTGCTTGGAAAGAGTGGAGTCTTAATCACCAACACAACACAATGACTGGCAGTCCATGACTCCATCCAGACCTGTAGTCAATTATGTAAGAAGCTTCAAATCTTAGCCATAGTGGTTAAAGGAAAAAATTACCTCAATGCAGCTTCTTCTTTTCTTCTTTTCTCTTCTTCTTTTTCCCTCTGCCTCTAATTTGTGAAGATAACAAAATATTATGAGACACCTCTTGTATCTCAAGAATGAACAGAATTGAAAAAAAACTGCAGTGTTCATCAAGATGACAATGCACTGAACATATCAGTTGATCATGAAATAATGTTTTACTTGTTCTCTTAATTTCTGTTTGCCATCTTCTCTTTCCAGTCTATCTCTCTCCTCCCTTTCCTCTCGTAGGTTTGGAAACTTTTCTTCTTTTGTCTTATTCAATCTGTTCACTATTTCATTTACTCTTTTTTCAACTTTGATGATCCGCACCTGGATATAGCAATATGAAAGAAGAGTTAGGTATAATGTTCGTGTTGTAAGATATTAAAGAATTGTAACTACAGTATCTTTACAGTGTAAGATCATGTGTAGTATTTGATAAAAATAATTAAAATGACAGTACTGGAAATGAAAAGTCATCAGGTATTCTGGAAAGTTATAAAATTCAACTTATACTCTCTTATGGAAAGAGGCATTGTGAGGGAAAGTTGAATGAAATGGCCTTGGTTACAACTCAGATACATTCTTCTTGATTTGGAATCTGGTATGCTAACTACTACACCACAACAAAACTTGTGTAGATTAGACAGCATTGAAACTCTTTACAGTGGCCACTTTATATTATCAGCTCAGTTGATGAAACCAAATTATCCTTAATAAAACATACAAATGCTACTTGGGTTCTACTATTGCATTATAAATACCTCTTTATTACTGTGAAAACCCACTTGTCCAACCTCCATGTCGGCTGTCTTTTTCAAGTTACCCCAGAGCGTATACACAACAGCAATATTGTTCATCTTGTTTCCTGCAGAAAAAAACAATTTGATATAAATTGAAACACTTCTCAAGAAGGGATCAATGACTAAAACACAACAAAGAAAATATTTCCACCATAAATGACAATGTTTCAGTGTCTTAATGACTCTCTTTCAAGTTCAAATTAACACTTAATCAATAAAAGTTTCCTAAAGATCATCCAGGTTGGCATGCAAAATCAGGCAAATAGTTTTGCTTAAATTGACAACAATTTCAAATTATAGCAGCATTAAGATCACTCTAAAAGTATGTAAGGAATTTCATGTACATTATTCTCTAATACTAGCACTGACAGTTTACTAGTACCAATTCCTAGTCCAAGAGTAAAATGTCTTGCACAAGAACACCACACAATAATACCAACCTGGGGACAAAGATAATTGCATCCCACATAATGAATAAGTTAGTCCTGTCAAATTAACAGTCATATATGTACCTTGAATACTGTTGGCTTTTACAAGCTGTGCACAGTCGGTTAAAACTGTCATAGGAATGTCATCTAGAGTTTCACCCTAACCAAAAAAGAAAAATATAAGGTTTTCCTTACATTTCTAATTGTAAAGATACATTGAGCTTCAAAAATTACAAGGGACAAATAGCTTTCTTAATCAAGAGATCAAAAGCAACCTTGATTTTACCTTTTGTAATCTAAGATATACATGGGCTGATGATAACTTATCAACATGAAACCTGAAAAAGGCAATACATGCATGTAAATCAGTACAGTCATCTTTCATCAAGAAACTCATTGTAAGTAAAGGTTGAATTTCTATGTCTGTGACCAACAATCTCCCTTAATATGGTTTAAAATGTACATATGCAATTTAAGATTAGCTAGATATTTTTATACTAACCAAACATCCTCTGGAAATCCCCATTTTATCAACTCCTCGTCTGTGCAATGATTAAAACACACTCCATAAATTAAATTACAACTTAGTTAAAATACTATACGTAGATGGGACTTAGCTTTTAAAATACCAGACATGCTTTACATTTGAATTCTCCTTACGAAATCAGAACAAAATTTAGAAAACAGGTAATGAGAAAATTAATAGTCATAAGCTCTAGAGGACTATGCTATCTCGTGAGAAACCCTTGCTGGAGGAGTGTAGAGAATTCGAATTTTCTTGAATGAGTTGAGAGAAAATGTAGAGCAGCTATAAGGGAGAATTTCTCTTAGATCTTGGGAGTTTAAACGTTTACCGATAAAAAAGATTCAATCATATATTAGAGTGTTTGTGGCACACGACCACACTCACTTTCGTGTTTATCTGCGCCCATGTAAATGGTGTACGGCGGTGAGACAACTAAGGAAAGAAAAATAAATTAATTAGGTTTGGCCTTGAGTAGCAAAGAATTTCTATCTTTTCAGTGTTTCACTCACCGTTGCTTTGAAAGTACAAAACCATGGTGAGAGATTTAATTCGCTTTACAAAAATAGCCAGGCGAATATATTTGCGAATAGACCTCCAAGGACCTGGGTCTAGCTAAACCCAGTCTCCTCTCGGTTGTAGTTGCTATAGAAACATAAAACGCCAGCTGTAAAAATGCTATGGTTACTGTGTAAACTCATTCATTTCTCTTCTTCTCCGCGGAAACAATTTGCAGAAAATTTTTTGTAAAAACCGGATAAATGGCTTTGACGGACCCTAAAATTCCTCCACGCTTTGCAGTGTCGGATTGGCACACATCAAACACAATAATACGAACAAATGCTGAGCGCCAGCGAGATGCTTCGCATCGCGTTCGTCAAGAGAGTCGATTTCTGCGAAACGAGACCGACAATCATACTCGATGGACTCAACATGACAGCAACACAAAACTTGAAAAGAGAATACACGACATCAATAACTGGAAGAAGAGTTTAGAGAGATGCCTGGCCGAAACAGACGCCGAGATTGCTTTATTACAACAAGAAAAAGAACGAACAGAACGTGCACTGGAAGCAAAGAAAGTTCCCCTCGACATCACCCTAGAATGTTTGATGTTGAGAGAAAACAGACAAAACATTGATCTTGTACGAGACGAAGTTGAAGCACAGCTTCATAAGGTAATGACCAAATGATATTTTTTAACCAAATTGTTAGCGAAAGACTTGAAACTCCTAATTTTTCGATCACATTGAATGTTAACTTAGAAGTAAACAATAAAAATTTCAATGATCTTCTAATACTGGTAAAACCTCTCAAAATTTAAAACGTCTCATTATTAAACAGAAAAACTTTGATAACTGAGGAAACATATAGAAAATAGGTTCCCAAGTTTTGCTCGTGGTATTTAAAATTCTGATGATGTTACATGTAACTTCTCATCACATACTTCAATATTTAAATTCTAAACATTATTCATTGTTGATAGGATAACTTTTGGCTTTCTTTTTCTTTTCCTCAGGAGGTAGAAGTGATTGAGGGAGCAAAAGCTCTTCTTCAACAGAAAGTCAGTGAAGCTTTTGAACAACTCTGGTAAGTTTTGGTGGTTATTTTCTTGTATATATCTATCAACTTGTCTTTGTAATGTCCAGTATCACTCCTGAATCAATGGTACAAAATTGAAACAAAGTTCAAGATTGAAGGTAGAATCATTCAGCTAGGGAGGGGAAGGTTACTCTAGAGTCTCCTTAGCCTGAAGTTGTTTTATTATTATAAATCCTTATCTTGAGAACATCTTGAAAAAGAGAGACAGAGGTCTAGTAAATTTGAAAAAGCCCACAAATAGCTTAATACTTTGGGGATGATAGATGATTTATGATAAATTTTTATTTTTTCCCCATATTTTGTAGTCTCCTCCAAGAAGCTCGTCATCAACTGCATCTTGACATCACAGACAAGTACACCACCCTGGAGCTGGATGGTGAATGTTGGAGGCTAAACAACAACTCTGCCAACATTGGCTTTCAAGTGAATCCCACACGCACTGTCAAGGGAAGTGTTACACCTGAGACTTGGGACTCCTTCTCAAACTACAACAAACTGCGAGCAGAGGCTGAGATGAAGGCATCAAAGCACCTCAGAGAAGCAATTTTTGCCACCTTGCAGCAGACAGCTAATGATCTTGAGGCTCAGAGACAGGCCACTGAATATGCATTTCGCAAGAGGATTCATGAAACTAATCAGGCCAAGTCAGAGTTGGAGTGGCAACAGAAAAATGTAATTTTTAAAGTCACTATTAACTAATTAATGCATCATGTCTGGAAAAAAAATACAGATCTAAGTGTTATGAGTATGTTAATTTTGTGTACAGGTAGTTCCAAATGAAACGGACTAATTAAAAAAAAACCATACAGTCAATTGAATTTTACTATTTCTGTACTACTTACCTTAACATGTAGAACAAACTGAATATCTTAAATATTACTTTCCTTCCTTAGACCCAACAAGAAATTTCCACATTGGAAAATGACATCAAAGGAATCAAGGAGGCAATTGATGCCAAGAATGCACCAATGATGGTAGGTCACTAGTCCCTATTTCTTTCTTTTTTTTTTGTTACTGAATCTTTCTTTAAAATTTCATCACTTTCAGTATCTATGTGACCCTATTAGAGCCCAATGACTCAATGTTGGTAATTCATTTCTTAACAATTTAATCACATCCATTTTCCCCTGGTAATCATGATCACAGTCAAAGGTCACACTTTTTTAAATTCAAAATCCAAGTACTAATGGCAATCTGTTGGTGGCTGCATTTCCAGTTGAAATTCAAATGTTAAAGTTGGTTCAGTATGATAAGTAATCTAGTAGGTGCAATGTTTACACTAGATTGATTATAATTATTCTTTGACAATAAGTTGATTTTATTTGTATTTCCAGGTTGCACAAACACGCCTAGAGAACAGAACCTACAGGCCAAATGTTGAGCTGTGTCGTGATCAACCTCAGTACCAGTTATGCCATGAAGTTGCTGAAATTGGTGGATCAATCAGATCACTGAACGAGAAACTCCGTGAAGCAGAGAATGCACTTCAGGCCCTGCGCAGTAACTTGGAAAGGATCAATGAGGATCTAGCAGTCAAGAACAACTCACTTGCTTTAGAGAGCAGAAGCATGGAAGTGCGACAAAAGATGAAGGAAGTTCCCCACAGCATGATGAACACAGGAACAACATTTCGTACCATTAAGAATTCATCTCACACTCCTGTTGTGGAGAATGCTCCCTTTGATACTGCTATGCAAAGTGCTGGTTCCCCTGTGCCTGTGACATCACCTCGCATGGCTAATACCTACACACCACCAGCAAGTGGAAGGAGGCTGGAAACACAACTAGTTGACTGAACTATATGTGAAGAGTAATTTCTCAGATTAAGCTGTTAAGTGAAACAAATATGGTATGATTTTGTGAAAGTACTTGGTAAAAAGTCAACTCACAGATGAAATTTTAATAAAAGAATGGAATAAACTTTTTGCTTATCAAACAATGAAATGTCAATGGAAGCTACACTGTAAAATTTTTATTTTTTTTTCAAAACAACCTTTTTTCATCAAAGTGTCCTTTTAGACTTACTTAAGAAGTATGACAATACCATTAATAATAAACTTGTTTCTCCTATGACCTTTATTTTAATTAATATTATTATTATTTAATTATTCATGTCTGAAATCATTTTATTGTACATAATTAGTACTGATAATAAATATCACTTGTTGATAATCAATTTGCCTGATAAAGGTACTCTCTTGAATTGCCTGGTTTTAATCTTATCTTTATCTTTTCCTGGATTTAAAACAAAATATACTTTTTCAAAGAACTTAAATATTACAATAAAACCTTTCCTACAACCTCAGCATCTACATACTGGTTGCTGTATGCAACTAAAATCTGTTCCTCTCACATTTTGTTGACGAAGGAAAACAACAAACAATTAATATTGCTTGCTACCTTTGTCAGCTAACATTTCTGGTTTAAGTTTCCAGATCAACAAAATCTAAGAGATCTCGACTACCCTTATCCTACTAAGACAATTTCTGTACATCAAATATGCAAGGAACACAAGTAAGGATAACAAAGAGGAACCACACAAATCCCTTTATCTAACACCTTGAAACTAATCGTCATAACCACTAGTCACTTCTTGCAACAAAAAACATGAGAGGCATATGGTGTAATGAACCACAGAAGCTACTGGTACTTTTGAGGCAACCTTTATAAGAAGGGCTGAAACCAAACCTCTTTGTGTGAGAAGTACTGATATTTTCTGATACAAGATTTCCCTTACAAATGGTTCACGAAGCTTCTTTGCAATAATTTTCAATCTCAACCTAATGCCCTGTTCCTAATCTATTATCTTTATGTAACAAAACAAATTTTCTGAATACAACAGTTCTCTGAACAATGAAATCACTCAGCAGTAGTACAATAGAGGTCAGTGACAACTAAAATACAACCAAGCCATGTCACCTTGTTATTACTGATTGTAAGTTAAGTTAAGACATAAAGTAAACATAGTTCCTTTTATTAAAAGCTTGTCAAAAGTGGTCCTATATACAAATAGCTACTTCTTCATTGTTATAAAATGTAGCACTTTTCAACTTCCTATAAAAATATTCACTGCCTTGTCAAGGTATGTTATTTAACTCTACAATAAATTATCTTTAAACATTTAACAGTTTATAGGACTATTATGTGATCACATTTTCTTGAGGACTGATACTTGCTGACTGTGTTTTCTTTTTCAGGAAACATCTGACAGCTACTTCACCAAATAAAGCCATGAACAGCACAGAAGACACTGCAATACACATAAGGGTTACATTAAACATCTTATAATGTATGAACTTGCTGTGTGATAATTATAAGTTACTCAATATCATTTACTTTCCATTCTATAATTTTTGGTCTTTTAAGTAGCTGCAAATTAGCATTAGCTAAATTCTACCATCTTTAACTCTATTTACAAAACTGGTGCTTTCAACATTGTTGATCCTGATAGTCTGCTGAACAGTTATCACATATGAACCTCTTTAACCTCTGTGACCCAGTGGTAAAGTCTGAGGTTTGATTCATCATGGGAACTCATATTGTTTTCTTTGCCTCATACTCATGACAAGATGAAAAAATCTTTCTCTATGAATACTCATGCTTGCAGGTAACACAGTAGTTTTAAAGAGGAAAAGTTATTCAATCATTAGATTTATCTTGTGGTCAATCAACCTCTTTTGAGAAACCAGCTACCATCAATAATTTCTTGTAATACATTAATAACTCCACAATTCCCTTTATTTTTGTCACTATCCCTGTACCATGTTAACTAAAAAAGCCTATGAAGTATAAAATGCCTCAGTTATTATTTCAAACTTACAAAAGGCGATCCACCATTCCCAATTTGTCGGGAAAGCCTGCATGACTGAAATCAATAATAATCATCTTAACAAAGAAAATGTATATCTAACTGTCCAACTAAATCATGGTTCATTCGATACATTTACAAATGTTACTTGCATATTCAATTTAATTTCCTAAATTTTAGAAATCAAGCCTCATGAATTGTATGAGATTCTGAATTGCATTAAAGTGTGTTCATGGCTAGGAGTATAATCCATGACCTTTCCCATCCTGATATGTTATGAGATTTGAATAGTTAATTGTACTTCACAATAGCTTGATATATCTAGTATGCATATCTAGCATACAACACTTTCTTTGAAAGCTTGTATCAATTTCATTACTGACTGTTGGGACAAAAAAAAAATTTCAAATCTTTACCATTGTCACTGTTTTGTTGTTTTTTTGTTAACCATTATGATATCTACATCCAATGGAAAGCACTACCTTTGGATTTTCAAATGTTTAGGACTTCTTTTTTGCAATTGACCTACCAATAAATGTACTTGTTGGCTCATAAATAAGATCCAAATTCTTCATGTCCTTCTCAGCTTTGCCTTATGCAAAATTTTAATTTATTTTTCAATCTTAATCAAATGCATGCATTCGTTTTCTATGAAATCACTCTCATCAGTGTCTAAACCCTCTTTATAGAAACAATTCTTACCAGCACAGGACAATATAAGATGAACAAATCCTATTGTAATGGCATAATCCCAAATTCTCTTTCTCAAGAAGATGATAAAGATTAATGCAGTGAGGGTGTATGTCAGTAACAAAGAGAGCAGAGTTGCTGAAAAGACAAAAGATCAAATGTAAGCTTTAAATGCCTGGGCCCAGTTGTATAAGGGTAGATAATGCTATCAAACGGATAAATCACTATCCAGCAGATAAGTGATTGCAAAACATATAGCATTATCCACCAGATAGAGTTTTATCCAGTGGATAGCCCTATCCAACCTTTGAACAACTGGAGCCTGAAGAACGAAGACACAAGGTAGATTACAATTTATTTTTAACTCGAAGAGGGAAAATTTTGACAAACCTTTCTACAAAATACTGCAGAAAATGAAGACTAGAAACTGCACTGCCCAGGATATTCATACCATTACACAAATGAAGATAACTTGTTGCTGTGTTTGCTATTCAAAATTTAAAATTGGGAATTTAAAGGAAAAAAATAAACTACTCCACTCACCAACATCTTTGTCATCTTTAATATTGCAACAGTTCTGGAAATCAAAGGGCATCTTGCCATCGAAGTCACTAATTCTGTGGTACAGAGAAATTTTTTCCATAAAAATGTGTCGATTGACCCATTAATCGTTTAAACTATTTTCAAGAGGAAGTAAGAAGTGACCTTCACATAGCGACGACACCCGAGGTGAACGTAAACAGTCAAAACTGGACCCTAATTGAACGCCAACGAGAAATCAGTTCTAGTAAATCGTAATTTTTTGGAGTCTGGACTAATTCAAAATCTTACAGAAACACCAGTTGTCCAGTCTAAAGGCAACAGCGATAAATAAAGCGTGAGAAATGCGAGGGAAAGTGTTAATTTACAACAGTCACAGCTGTTTACAAACGGTCACTTACTTGAATGCTCCACTTAGCAACGAAGCTACCATGTAATATGCCACAAAAAACAAGGGTACGGCAATGCAGAGATTTAGGCAAATAACCTGAAGAGAAAAAAAAATGTTCAGTTACAGCACTAATTGCTATGAGATGGCGAACAAACGCATGGTTTTATACCCGCGTATCCTCCGCCATGTTTGCGCTCTAAGCCTCACTTGCAGGACAGAATGATCGCAGAGCATTGTGGTAAGAAATTTCAGCATTTTGTTAATTAAAGGGGCGGTGTCAACTCTGGAGGAAAACGGCGAGTAAATTAAGAATATTTAACCTAAAAGATCAAAGGGGCTTTTGCTTGTGCAATTCACAAAAGGAGAAAATACGTTTCTATGAAATATTGACTAATTTTATAATGTATAGATACTTAGTTTTTTCGAGGGGGAAAAAGTTAATGTTGACCAGTGCTAAGAGGGTTTGAAAAATTCTTATCAGTCAGGTTGTTCTTTCACTCACACTTGCTGCGTTGTTTATGTCTGTGTAGTTCTGTTTGATAAATAAAACGTCCATTATGAATTGGTTCATGATCTCTTGCGTTTGACATACTTGGAATTTAATATATTCTCTCAGGTGTCAAGCTTGAGAGCGAAACCTTGACGCTGTTGATTTTCAATTCTTACCTATCATAAAAATTTTAGTAATCTACAACCAGCTAATGGAATTTTGGAACTAAATTCTTGGATAAGAAACATTCAGTCTCATCTAAACATGAAAAACTTGTTGCATACCAAGCTTTCAAGCTGAAAATTTAGAATGATTTTGCTGTTGCACAAAACCTTCTTGTTTACTTCGCAAAGCATTACGAAAGCAGCCTGTTTTAGTTTTTATTTTATCTCACTCACAGTGATACTGGTTTAGTTCTGATAATCAACACAAAGAAATCGGCACGAAACTTTTACATTCATGTAAAAGTACGATAAAGCACATTAAAAACAGAGCGGGGGAAAGAAAGCAAAAACAGAAGAAATTTGTAAGGAATGTCACACCAAATGAAACTTGCACTAAAGCGTGCGTAAAAATTTTGCCAATGGTAAAGTGACGTCACTGAGAAGCCTGGTACTCATTCAATAGATTCTACAACCAGCGGCTCACTGAACACAACTCCCGCCGCAACAAAGCGAAGATAAGTAAAGAAGTGGATAAGATCATTCTATCAGCCAATCACAAACATGATAAGCAATGCTGGCTCGCGGTGACGCACTGCCAATTTGGAATTTCGGTTTTGTTAACTTGGCTTCTCTCACGTCTGGTCAGGCATGTAGTGTAGCGTTAATCTCTTTTCAAGTTCCGGTGGAAGCCACGCATTTTTGCCTCCTTCTCTGCGTTGTACAGTTAATATGGATCTTGTCTTGAGCGGGACATAAGTGAGATGCTTGGAGGAGTGGTGATTTTCCAGCTCAGTTTCATTGCCAGCGCTCTGGCTAGTATAGGTCTTCGATTCTCAGAAGAACCGGCCTACGCTATTTTCAAAAGATGGAACGCGAGAAGAACAGGGAACTTGACTTTTCATTTCAAAACGGAAAGCAAAAACGGTTTTCTCATTTACCAAGACGACAAAGGACAATGCCAATATATTTACCTTTCTATGGCAGACGGGCAACTTAGATTGCGCCTTAAAATGGGAAACTGCGAGGAAACACAAACTCTACATATCGGAAACAAACTCAATGATGGACGATGGCATAAAGTGACTGTCCAGCGAGACTCAGCAATGACAAGTCTTACAGTTGACAATTTAAGTAATAGCACGATTTATAATGGAGAAGTAAAGAATCTTATTGTTAAAAGTGACTTGATCGTTGGTGGAATCCCGTGGTCTACTCCGTTGAATGATCTCTCTTTTCCTCCTATATTCTACGAAAGCAATCATTACGGGTAAGTACAGAGCATGCTTTCTCTCTCTCTTTCGTAAACAAAGGATGCTTTTACACATTCCTTTAAAATCCATGTAATCAACTATTCTTTGCTGTTATTTTTTATTATGCGCCACACAAGTGAGCTGATCCATTTTGATCCGTCGCAGCTTTTTATAAACTGAAGGATGAAGAGAGCAGCTTTATAAAGAAAGCTATGAATTAAGGGATGGTTAACGCAAAAAACAGATGCTCCAAAACATTCCATAACTGCGAACATACTCAGGGAATCATTAATTATCATTACAACTTTTCTATACGCATGTTTTTCCGAAGGAAAATTTTCACAATTTGTTATTGTTAATCGCCCCGCCCAAGAATTTCTATCGATTCCTTACACTCGCGCGAACTAAATTCAATAAACTTGAGTATTTTTCGACTTTAACGCAGAATTTATCATTTTATTCGTTAGAAAAGAATTAATAAGTTTATTCCGCAGAAAAATACCATAAATAATTTAATATTGGATCCGAAATTCAGCTCCTATGATGAATAATACATTGTTTTTCTGCGGAATTTCATTATTGCATAAAATTAACTGAAGGGCGCACAGTTGTACTAAAAGAATCTCTTACGCTTCATTTGTAATATATTTGTTTTTCAGATTCAATGGCTGCATTAGCAGCATAACCTATAGTGTCAACGGAAGGCCTACGAAAGAGGCGTATCTGAATCACACCAAAGGAACAAAACTAGGATGTTCGGACCCTTGCTCCAAGACTGGAAAATGTAAAAACGGTGCAGTATGTCTTTATACTTCCACTGGGGCACGTTGCGACTGCAAAGGGACAAGATTTGAAGGAACTAACTGCAGCGAAGGTAGGAATGAAAACGGGAATATCACATTTTGAGGATTTTTTTTTTCAGTTTTCGATGTTTTTAATTTAATCCCTTTCGAGTGATACCTTCATTACAAATTGCCCTTCAAAAGTAAAATTTGGTTCAACAGCCTTCGCTTTCCACCTCTGTAAACAGGTCTATATTTGATGATGGCTTTTCAAACATTATTTGTTTTATAGGAAAGTAGCAGAAAATAATGACAATTTCCATGGGCGTCTTGTTCGTAAAATTGAAGTATTTCTTCTAAAATTTATATAAACTAAATTTATTTGTTTTACCTAAAAAAATGTAAAACCGTGAGCAAAAATTATTTCAGATATCTACACTGTCATCATGTATTGATCACCAAATGTACAAAGTAGAAGACGAAATCTAGTCAGTGTGATCTCGTATTTCAAAAAAGTATCAAAAACATTTTACTTCACTCCACGTGTCTTTTTCCCATTACGTAGCATTAAGTTCCTAGTCAAGAAAACATTGTTTGCAACCTCCGCCAAAGACTCTCTGTCAAAAACTCAGTTGTCGACGGTTGTAGAAATCAACGTAGTAATTTTTCATTTGAATATTGTAGTGATTTTACTCCACATTTGTTTATTAGCTGTTATCAGTCTGTGTGGGAGAATTTTTCTTTTGAATAAAAAGAGGCGTTTTCTCAGGCAGATGGTTAACCACAAACCACACGGCTGTCTCATCACCAAATTGATCAAAATCAATTCTCTCCTAAGGCTGAGGTCAATCGTTGCGTAACACACGTTTGAATCTCCCTTCCTCTTAACCGCTCAATGGTTTTTTCTTTAAGAGGCTATCTTCTATTTATGGCGCCAACGAAACACTTCTTCTTTTTCGTGATTTAAAGGAGACACATTATACCCAACCAAGCAAGTTGAAAATTACCGTCGATGAACATCGATGTTCTTGGCTTTAGCAATAAATAGAAATCGTTGAGAAAATAAAATTATGACCATTAAATTGATTAATATTCTTTTGTTTTACCAGAAACTTCATCTATCCGGCTTAATGGAAGTGGTTACGTTGAATTTAGTGCGAGACAAGAAGCAGAAGATTTTGATCCGAATGAAGACGATTTCGGGTTTCATTTGAAGACCTCCTCTGACCATGGTGTAATCTTCACTCTTCTTTCGCATTCTAACTACCTCTTGATCGAAATGGTGCATGGAAAGCTAAAAGTGAAGTTATACCCTGGACAAGAAGGTAACCATGAAATAATAGTATGGCAAGATTATCATAAAAAAGAATGGGAAAGGTTAAGGATGAAGAAGATTGACACAGATTGTGAACGGCCACCAAACTAAATAACAAGCAAGGTTGCTTATTCTTGTGGTCTCATACAAATGAATTTTCAATTGAAGGTGGAAAGTAAGATGGAAATATGTTCAGTTTCCTTGCTTTGCAGTGTGAGTTGTTTTAATGCATTACTTCCTCAGCCAATCATATCCAAAACAAGAACTTATCTTATCCTGGTTACTCGTCTTTTTCTCGCGCGTCAGACAGTTTGCTTGTTTCAGTTTTCAACCGGTTCCCGTGACATTTCCTTTGTTCTGATTGGCCAATGTGAAAACGAATGTTTTGATTTTACGACACCCAGTCAAAACGCACATAGGTGAAATATTCTCGTCCATTGCAATGTCATTTAGCTTCAAATTCCTCTCTTCTTCATCAATTCTAGATCCCGAGGTTCCCCCAGATGAGCCTAAAGTAAATGATGGCAAGTGGCACTGGGTCGAGTTCTATCGGCGGCTCGATGTTTTCACGTTTAAGACAGACCATAAAATCAGTGCTAAAAAGAAGGTGTCGTCCATGCCTTTTAAACCTAAAATTGTCTACGTCGCTGGAGGTCCCAGGAATGTCCTCAAAAAGTCTGAATCAAAACAGAACTATACTGGATACCTACAAGAGTTTTACTTTGGTAAAAAGAAGATATTTGACAGTATTGTACCCACAATAACAGACAGAAGATTTGCTAAAATTGGAACTGTGATCGATGGATCCATAACATCCGAAGAGAGTAGTGGGTCGGGGTGTTTACTAATCGGTGATGACGAAGATGAAGAATGCCCAACAACTGATAATTCCACAGGGATTAAAGAAGGTGTGTCCATACTCCATAGTCCATAGTCCATAGTTCAAATATAAAGTTAAAAAAAGCGTAAGTGAAGGTCAGTCCTGAGAGTGGTGGGGCGGGGGGGACGTTAATGGCGTGACAACCATTTCCCGGGCCAGATTTTTCCCCAATCCCATTTCTATTTCCCAATCTATCGATGTCTACTTTTTTTTTAGTGACAGTCCAATATCCATTTCTCTTGTTGTTTGTGATCCCAGTTCCAGCGACACAACGCTATCTTCAAGAGCAAGCTTAATTTTAAGTTTGCGTTTTTAAGTTCACGTGAATACTCAGCTAGAATGAAGCATTTTTTCCCTTTATCTTATGCAGTTGAACTGAACTTTACAACGATGCAGTCTACCACTGAGCTAGTTCCCGAGTCTGTGCCGACAGGCGTCGCAGTGCAGAAGTCCCTTCCACAAGTAGTGCCATTCTGGATGATCTCGGCGATAGTGGTTGTAGCAGCCATTGCTATTTCAGTGACATTATTTTTCTTGTATCGCTGGAACTCTCGTTACAGTGGATCATTTAAGCCCGAGTCTTCTTCGTCAAGTTGTATGAACTCACCAAAACATGGCGCTTTCGTCATCAATCCGCGTATTCAGGTCACAGTGCACGATGACAGGATGTAAGAGAGTTCTTAAGCTTTGTCCCTGAGGAAAAAGTCTTACGCTCTGAGTGGCAATCACAAAGCAAGGCATAAGATTAGCACAAATGACATGGAAGAAAGATTGTTTGATTTTACAGTCGGCGTTGAATTGAAAAAGCTCTTTAATCGAGAGGAATACGTGTGAGAGATAAAGCGGAGATGGCGATTCTTTAGCCCGTGGAGAGTAAATTAACTAAGCGAGTTGCTGTGCAGCTTTACGGTACTTTTTATTAGAATACGGCAAAATAAACTAACCAAGTAAGTTGACTAGACTAGGCTACGTGGTATGTGGATCAACGCCATTGAGGTTTGCTATGACAAGCTTTATTTGGTAATTCAGGCGACCACTTACGACGTTTCAAAGAATGTCCTAGTCAGATTTACATCGTTGAGAACCGGTAGACATTACACTGGAAACGCTAAATATCAAAGATTTCTCCTAGTTTCCGCTTAAAACTTGAATAAGAGTATGACTGGTTATTGCGTCGAGGAAAGCCTGTACAATACGTGATGTGAGCCTTCCATTGGCTGACGTTTATTCCGTTGGCTACGTTGTTGGTAGGTTAAGTGATGTTTACGGCTAACTTGCGTGTAGTGTCTATAAAAGTACAAGGTAGAACGTGTTACAATTTTCCAAAGTGGAGAAGCATGACCTCTACAGATTTGCATTTATTTGTACAAAAGTTTCATAAAATGATTGGTAAAATGAACTGAGTTGTGAACATTTCGATACAAAAAGTTTCAATCTCAAAGCTAGAAATCTATTATTCTTTAATTTCGATGTGGTGCAATCAATTTATTTTTGCTATGAGAAACAGCTTGCTGTAAGCTCGCTTTTATAATTAAGCTGAAGAATGTTATCAGGTTGTAAATTGAATTCATGACGAGATTTTGAGAACTTTGACAATTTATCAGGCATTAAATTTTACAATGTACAAACATGAAATTGGTAACAAGTTAATTATCGAATGAGCTTCCAAGCACCACCAATCAATCCCGTTTTCAATAAGTCCACCATTATGATGCTAAGAGAACGAGAAGTCCGTTTTGCAGCTTTCGTTTTAAATCTCCATCACTGCAAGTTTTTTTGTGAACTAGTGCTAAAAACTGGTAATGCGTTAGCCGCTGCTAATAAACATGACACATCCCGCATAAGACTTTCTCTGCTAATGCGCTCAAGCTTTGCTCTGATTGGACAAACTGAGAACTCCGATGACGTGGTGATTTGATGCTCATAGACTTGATCATAGATAGAAACTTGAGGAAATATTAAAAAAGGACAGCGCGCGTGTCAGTGGACGTTATAATAGGCAATCAATAATCAAATATTCGATACCACCATCAAATATTCGTAACCGCACAAACGGTAACGTGTCCCTTTTTGGGGCGTGGAGAGGGAGAACTGAGTCAAAATTATATACGTCATAGTGGTGGTTGATGAACATTTAGGATCGGGTCCCCTTGGTAAAATCCCCGCTACACCCCTGAGAGGGATGAGTTGTATTGTCTTACGGGTCGTAGTCATTGAAATCCCACGATGAGGAGAGGACGGCGAGATAGTTTCAAACTGAATGTAACTAATGAGAACCTAGAGTCATTCATGTACCCCCTTGATACTCCAAAAATAATCACTTTTCCCTCTTAGTTGAAGATCTTCCATATCGTCAGACCCATGTCTGCACCTGTGGCGACGCATAAGCAACCATATCTGACCACAGCTGATAGAAAATACTTGGGGAACATAGACTTACTAATAAAAACAAAATACCGGTAACCGTCCAATTGAGACAACCTGACATTGCGACCTGAAACTTTCTCCACACAAGACACACAGTAAGCCCCGATCGTGGCCGCAAGAATATGTTATGATCATTCCATACACAATGGCTGTAGTGACACCTCAAAACGAGCCTGTTTCTGCGAAAAGTATCAGCCATGAAATCAAATTTATGTTCATTAATTGATATTCCCAATAAGGCCAGTTCTCAGTCGAACAATTTGCTGTAATGCGAATTGATTAGATCTACAAGCCCCCTTTAAATGTACAGAGGTGCTCAAAAATGAATAACCCTTAACCCTTCGACAAGTAATCACCAGCCAAAATCCAACCAGTGGTCACCTGTTTCTCAAGGGCAAATAGATTCATAACGTTCTCCTCCCTCAACCCACCAATGAAATTTAAGTCTGTTTCTTTTGATTCTAATGTGCAGTAAATCAGTTGAAAAGAACTATTTTTCATACACCTGTGTCTACTTTTTGGATAAATAATGAGAAACTAAACAAGAAGTAAAAACCACAAGCATGCATATGACCATGCAACCAGTCAGGGGGGTTTTCATTAGCTAAATTAATGACATATTTACTCCTTGATCACAATCAAAAATACATTCTGGTGTAGTGTTATTACAGAGCGCTCAGCCAACAACACAGGAGGCTATGACCATGAAAAATCGTTGATAAAAAAAATCGAAGCGCGTACGTTTTGTCGATCTACGATTTTTATTCATTCGTGTACATCACCATCGCGTTCAAGTGACATTTAATTTTTTAGCCAATGTGATATAAAATAGTTCAAGTTTTCATCAAAGGAGTGCATTCTATTATTAAAAAGGACCACTTTTAATTTTAAGACGAGACAGAAATTTGAACTGATATCAGAATATTTTAGGACAATTTTTGTTCTAAACCACAATGAATGAACAGTCATAAATATGTATAACTGAATTTAAAAAACTGGAATTAACATAATTTGTAAAACTATACTCAGTTTGTACTCAGGTAGAGACATTTTCTGGACCAAATCTTCAGTACTTTAAAATCGTTCCAAGGATTGAAAGAAATTAAATCAGACACTTTCCATTTTAAGTCTTTGATACATTTTTCACGTTTCCGTGTGGTGCAACTTTCAATGAGTGTGTACACGTGTTTTTCAGTCAAAAATGTTAATGAGTTCGTATGTTAAATAATTACACTGATCTTATCGCACTTTAAGCGAATATCTTTGATTTATGACATCCTTTAAAAGATAAAAACATCGTCCTGCTGCATTTCAGCAGTTCTGGGTTACAACTATTGAACGTACAGCGTGGCATTCACGCGCAGGAACGCAGCGAAGCTGAGCACGTGCGCTTTGCGAAAACTGCGACAGCGTTTCGTTGTAGAACTGAACGATGTACTCGTGTGTCTCCCTAATACTTTTCGGTCTTTTCGCACAAGAAATCAAGGGAGAAATTCCTTCGGAAAACACCAGTGAAGGTGCCTTCTTTGCCTACAATACAGAGTCTTCTTATGCAGCATTTGAGGCATGGCGAATACCTGGAGAGCTATCATTCCTTTTCAAAACTAACAAGCCCACTGCCATTCTCGCTTACCAAGGTGACGGCAACTACAAATTTTTCGATTTGTTCCTTGTCCAAGGAAAGCTCCGCGCGCGGGTAAGATTTAACACCTGCAGACAAAGAGAACTGATAGTTGATGGAAACTTCTCTGATTCTCTTTGGCATAGAGTTCGCTTGACAAGAGGGAATAAAGAAGTCACCCTAACTGTGGATGGATGTAAAACGGAATCTTTTCCCTGCCAATTTACCGCTTCTGATTCACAAGACTGGAAAATTCTCTACGTGGGTAATATTCCATTGCATACCAGTTCTCTGGCAAATCCACAAAGCGGCTTCGAATTAACTGAGTAAGTAGAAAAATGGTTTCTTTATTGCTATCATTCTATATGAGGCAGACATCTAACACACCCTACAGACGCACATCTATTTCAAATCGCATGAAAACATTTCTTTTTATTCAAGATAGCAGAATGAAAAGAAAAATTTTGCAAGAAAAAAATGAGATGAGATGTCAAAATGCTTATGAAAAATGCATAACTTGAGAGCATTAAAACTTTACCAAGTGGTTTACAAGGCGAAAAAATTATCATTAAGTACTGAAAAATACGTCATATTTATTACGTTTAAGGTTGTAGTTCAGTTTATAAACCTTTTATGCCTGTTGACAACTTTGATTTACGCAGATTCCAGGGTTGCATTGGTCATGTGACTCAAACTACACCTGAACACAGTCCCAAGCCATTAGCACTGCTTCATAGCAATTTGACTGGTGCCAACTGTCAGAGTCAATGCAGTTCTGGTGGGAAATGTGATCCAATTGGTGACGTTACCATGAGAGAATGCGAATGTCCCGGATACGGAAATAGAGCAGTGACCTGCAGGCGTTACTTAGCCCTTACCAAAGCGAATTTCAGTGATTCAGCCAAAGTTAGCGCTTCGCCTTTATCTCCCTCAACATCTCTGGGCTTCTCTAGCAAAATCACGCCCACCGTTTTATCCAAGGGCGAGATGATTGTGAAAGCCACGTCTTCATCTGAAATAAGTTGGAGGTCAAGCATAACCCGTTTCCAGTCAGCGACGACGCATGCACGAGAAACTCCTAAAGTGGAAGGGCAACATGCCGACAAAGCAGTTATGCGTCATTCGCACTCGGTTCCAGGTCTCTTCAACCGTTCACAACATCTTGTCACAACTCACACGAGCTCGCTTCCGCCAACAGTACTGTTCCCCAGCTCAGCAGAAGTTCCTCTTGGCAGTTCTGTCAATGATAATACCTCGGCTGTGATGGCAAAAAAGAACAGTGCTTTACGAAGTCTCGGATCATGGGTCTTCGTTTACTTTGCAGTGACTATGTCAGTTGCCAACACCCTTATAAATCTGTAAATACTTCAATATTTGTGTGGTAGCTCTGCTCGTCTGATAGGTTTTAAACAATGGATTTAGTAACTCAGACTGAGGTCTTTGGAGCAAGATGTACTGAAGCCGAAAATTTTGAAGGTGATTAAATTCATGGAAAGCATAATTCAAGTGAGGATATTGTCTTCGTGTCCGAATGAGCCCAAACACCAAAGACATTCTGATACTCATGGCCCAATCATGGATGAGATGAATCAGTTTCAAACATATCTTTCTTTTGCTTGTCGATATGGTGGTAATTCAATAATGTAAAAAAAACTGGAATATTTGTCTTGATCCTCGAGAAAACTTGCTGAAATGTCGCTGGTTTTAATGTCGCTGAGCAAGAGAAGAAGTTGTCTGACGACCTCTTATGGCCCAGATGTGAATGAACGAAATTTGACATTGTAAGATCAGAAGTTAGGACGGGCATTAACATGAACAAGAATTCTTCGAGGAAAAGAGAACGTCAATAATTAAAAATCCTTTCGGTTGATGCGATCTGATATAATTTTTTTAGAAATAGCTTCTTCAGCCCCACAAATCTTGCTTGATAACAGATACTGGACTTCTACTATGAGAATTCTCGAAGAATAGAAACTGCTAGTTTAGAATATTGCATCATGTCTTGTATCGCAAGAAAAGGCAATGATTTCAGCACTCACCTAAGGAGGTCGATTTCAACAACATTTTTGAAAATTTTTACAATATCTTTAAACTCTTTACAAAACGCTCTTTTAGCGAAATTAGGCTGTTTTAGCTAATGTACTTCCGTTTAAGAGCGAAAGAGACCAACCAATTCATAATATGATTAAGAGTACTTTTGAACTTATCATTTCTCACCTCTTAATAGCAAGTTTGGCATGGTTCGTGTCTGCAATTTAAACCAATATCTGTTAGATTCTATAAATGTAAACAGCGTTTTTCAGATGAATTGAAGGACAATCTGGATTTCAATGTAATTTCTCATTATCCTGAGCCACTCGTAAAGAGTTAATAACAAATATATGTACGAAAGTGCTCAACAGAACTTCTTGAGTGCAAATGGATACAGATTTTATTAAAAGGGCTTGAGCTGATGATGTCATAAAAATAACTCGAAACATACGATGTTTCAAAATTAAATGGTTTAAATGACATATACGTTTGAAATCACGTCCATTTTTTTTTTGAATTATCAAAGGATAATTTTCTGTTCGACCAAACATTAACTTTAGGTTAATTTACGGATTTTTTAAAAAAGAAACTAAGGCAATGATCTGGGTAATTATTTTCAAATCAATGTCAGTCAATTGTGGGATTACGTTTCCCCTCAGTTGTCAATACACGGGAATATGCGAGGTCATTTAAATTCACAATTCATCCCTAACCGCAATGTTATCGCTTTTTAGAAGAGCTGCAAACATCTGGTTGCGGGAATTTTAATTTCAGTACCTTTACAGAGCTTAGATCGCATAAAAAGCGCGAAAATTTTTGCTCCGTGTTCGGTAAATGATATATTTTGCGAGGGGAACAGTTTGTAGCCCAAATCGAATCTTACTTAAAATGTTAAAAGTGTGGCTAACTGTTCAGATTTGTTTGGCAATTACCATCTGCCAGCGATCCATCCATGGCGGACTTTCACAGCGAAGAAATTCAAAAAACAACACCTGGAAGTATGGCAACTTTGCTTACTCTGCTTACAGATCAGTACAATTTACAGATAATTCCACAATCGTCATCCGCTTCAAAACAACAAAAACACATGGAATGCTGTTTTACATGGATGATGGCAGCGTTCAAGAGTTCATGGATGCATTCCTGTTAAACGGGCTATTAAGAATTCGTATTTCTATGGGCAAATGCACGGGAAAACAGAGGTTTATAAACGGCTCGTTTGCCGACCTCAAATGGCACAAACTCACTTTACAACGAATGTCCGAATCAGTGATTGTAGAGGTGGACAGCTTGGAATTAATCTATCTCTGTCGCGGACTTAAAAGAACTGACTTCAACAAATATGGGCCTTTTTTTGTGAGCTTCTTCCCGCTCCAAGAGTGGGGCAAAATCAAGTGGAATTTTCGCGATTCTTTTTCGACTGCTTTAGCATTTGGCGGGTAAGTTAGTCAACCAATAAGAATAAACAAGGACCCAGACAGGCAAATACTATTAGAGGATTTATTTAAACCAGAGGCCTAATGGAAACTGACTGCTGTTCATCGCTAAGATCATATTCTAGTGAAATCATAGCCAGTTTAAGAGGACCATGTTGCAAAATTTACTGTCGGTTGCCTAGTGCGTCAATGTATTAAAATTCGCATGGTATAATGCGCTGACCTTTACTGACATTCGTAAGTCAATTTAAGGATTTTCGTAAATGTTTTGACCACAACTGAACCTATTCCCATCAGCTGTGAAAGAAAAAACCCCAAGCTTATTTGAAAATAATGAAGAACAAAACATTTCAATCACCGTGGAAAAAATAATATAAGGTACTACTGATGTAAGTGTATATAGGCGGCTGGCTTTCCCTGAATGACCACAGTGTGCATTTCGAATAAACAAGAAGATAGACCTGCCTTGTACAGGAAAATAGACCCACTTAGTTGCTTTTATTTGGAAAGTTATTATCGTGGCACTACTTCTCTGAGGCTTTCATATGATTGGTCAAATCACGCAATGAAGATGCGTTGATGCGTTTTCACCTCTTACAGCAAACCATTGATAATTTATGATATGAGTGCGCGTCAGACATGACATGATCCTAGTTGGTTATGTAACGATCTTATCCATCAAGAGCGAGAGCTATAATTGTTGTTTTTCGACACCTGCGAAATATTCAATCATCTCACTGATCATGAATTCTCGAAATTCATTTTTTGTTCGTTTGTTACTTGTATTTATGTTGGCTCGTTGATTAGGGATTTACCATCCTTGCACTTAGTGAATCTTTAATCCGGCTGCATACTTGAAACTCCTCGTATCGTTTAAGTTTTTCTCAACATGGTTACTCAGCCAGTAGAGGATGCGTGAAAATGATGCCAGTCCGGTGGGCGAAAAGTCAACCAATTCATCAGTTGTGAAATAAGATTCTCCTTTGGTGCAAGTCGCTGACGCAAACCTAGAGCACGAAGATACATTTTGAAAAACTCTTACCAGGGTGAACCTTTCTGTTTACCCAGGATAAAAACATGTTTTTATCCCGAGTTCTCGTTGGCTTCTTATAGTGTTTTGCTTTGTTCTGATTGGTTTTCGTGATTCATGACGTAATTCCGGGCAAATCCTACTCTTCAGTAATATTTTAAAATCGATTAAGGAAAAGTTGCGAGCATGCGCATTGTGATCAGTCTGTGGTTGCGCGACCAATCAGAATTAATCGCTTAGCTAAGTTAAGAGCGCTTTTGGATTGAGTGTCGTATAACATAAACTAAAGTGATCAAAACAATCAGGATAATATCTCAAGGTGCAAATGAAACCTCAAAGCAAAAAGATACATACTCCCTGAAGCGGACCGATCACAGAGCAAAGTAAGGCACGGACGCAATTACTACGCATTTCTTTCGATGTGTATTTGAATATTGGTCTGATGGAAAAGCGTCAATAAAACAAATGCAAGCATTTTGTTGAGCCCGGTGAAGACAAACCGGAATATCACCTACTTTCTGTTGATTTTTAATCTTTGTTCACAGCCAATATTTAGAATTTTCAAGAACTGAGAATTGTGCGCGTGTCATTAAAAGGTCTGAGTGGGATCTCCTTCAATCAAATAAGTTAATAAATTTTTCGATGTAACAAAAAGAACAGCTTTAAGTGTTTAACGGGCCGAAATATTTTTCAGGAGTAAATTTACCATATTTATCCTTAAAGACGGTCAGTTTCCTGCGTACTTAGGTTAGAGGCTAAGCGCACAGATAAAAAGAACGGAGATCAAGAAAATCACTCAGTTTGAGTGGAGATTTTGACCCTGAAACCAAACTTTAAGGAGAGATCAATAATAACGTATTTTTTAAAAAATAATAATAATTAAGTTATGCCTATAATTTTGAGCGCTTTCTTTAAGAAGATGTTGTTGAAGTGCAGAATAAACTGAAGCTCGGTGCGAGCGGAAAGTAGGGGAAATATATAAAAAACAATCAAACTACCCAAAAGACAACATCGTGACACACACCTCTCTCTGATAGTTAACACTGATCGCGGGATGTACAAAGAACTCCAGTTGTGGATAACTTGATCAAAACAACATCTGACCCATCAAAGATAAATAATAAAAAGCACATGGCACAAACTTGAATTGTTTTCTTCCTTCCTAGATTTGAGGGGTGTATAAAAACGCCAAAGTTCGCTGTAGGCGACCAAAAGTTACGCCACGCCTCTCTTTGGAAAAGTGAGCGTGCCGTGGAGGGTTGCCGTGACGCATGCAAAGATCCCAGTTTTGGAGGAAAATGTTACAATGGTGGGAAATGTGTGAACAAGATCGTGAGGAGAGAATGTGATTGCAGCAAGACTCGATTCAATGGTCCAAACTGCTCCCGAGGTAACAGATATAAGCTTCAATTGTTAACTTGAGTGATATATTCATAAATGTTTTATAACTAAATAAATCATTGTTAGTACAGGAAAGTTCACCTTCATTGACGAGGTCTTTCCTCGATTTCCTTCAATCTATTTTAATCTGTTTAAGGTCGAAGCAGTTTTCTCCTTCGCTGAGAGTTTTTGAAGGTCTGTTCAGGCAACATCGCTTTTTGTTTTCAGTTGTTTGGTTCTCTAGTGTGAGTTGTCTAAGAGCAGGTTAATATAAAACAAGACATAAGTGAGATAAATTCAGAACTATTCCGGCTGACAGCAGAGAAACAGCCTAGATTTTTTGAACCATAGAAAGAAAATAATCCAAACCAGACTTATTCAGATTTTTCAGATGATGACATCTTGAATTGTGCTCAACTATGCGAAATTAATGCTTTTGGTTAACCGATTTGCATTTGAAATGTGAGTAAGTATGAAGACTCGATAACCATCTGGCGGAGTAACCGCTTGGTAACCCATTAATAAAGGAAAGTAAATTTAATTGTGATTTATCGACGGATTAAATTTCTGTTTATTAATATTTCATTTCATCTGGTTTTGAATAAACTGTATTTTCTCCGTAAATGTCTGGAAAGACTGAGTTCTTACAGACCATTTGATCTCGCCACTTAGTAAAGACATTCAAGTTTGATCCAGAAGTTTCTCCATAAATCTCGAGAGTGAAGCAAGTCGGGCGTTTCATTAAATTTTTAACTACCAATTAATGATCTTTGAATCATAGCCATGGAGGTATTTGCTCTATTTTTCCCGTTAGTTGCTCTCCTCGACTCCGTAACGGGGCTGCATTTCCACGAAGGTACCGATTGGTCTTTCGCAGAGTTCAGAGGTTGGGCCATGTCCAGAAGAAGTGAGCTGCAGTTCTACTTTAAAACAGGTGCAACTAGATCTGCTTTACTCCTGTATCAGGATAACAAAATAAAGAACACTGATAACGATTTCCTTGAAATGTCCTTGAACAGTGATGGCTACGTTCAGCTTTACGTCCGGGGAAATCGGTGCTTCCCTGAGAAACGCACGATTCGTCAAAACTTTACCGACGATACCTGGCATCTGGTGACAATTGCAAGAAATAGTTTTCATCTCAATTTCAGCGTCGATGATATTACAGCTGAAACGATCTCTTGCGTGGCACCTCCACAGTTATCTGGATTCGATGGCAAAGCAATCAACTCTCTTTACATTGGGGGAATTCCGTTCCTTGATTCCCAGGGAGATCCAACCCTCAAAGCATGGTCCCTGACCGGTCTGTTCCAAAAAGTAGGCCAAGAATACAGGTGAGAAACGAGAAAGAGAGTGGCGTGACATAGCGAGATGTGCGAAATAACGAGATAGGTAAAAAAGTCAATTGTAATTTCTTTTCAGACATCGTTTGCAATACAAGTCTGATTGAAAATTTGTTGTAATAAACTGTTTTGATTCAATTCCTGGGTAAAGTAACTAACTTAATTATGCTATTGCGAGTGGTTTTCATTTCAATGCCTTATGATTATTCAAAATCAAAATTGATAACATTTTGGTTGAAGTAGTAGATGAGTTGTGTGTCTGCCCTATTCAACATCATAAAACTGATTTTCAGCTTTGAGCCGCTGACGTCAAAAGTGAAAAGCTTATTGGATTAATTTTAAGGCTTATTTGATTTTCATGGCAGCCAGTCAAAATTGGCTGATTTTTTGCGCTGTAGAATAGTTTTCCCGTAATTTTTATTGATATTTAAAACAAAAAAAATTTCTCGATGTCGTTTTAAGTAGAAAATGTCACGATGTTATAAATATATGTGATAGAGAAAAGCCGCAACTTGCTTTTAACCCAAGATTACAGAAAAAATCTACTGAATTTTTTTCTCTCCTAAAGCAATCATATATATCTACTTCTTTTAAATAAATTTTTCCTGCTCCTCTAGGTAAATGAAGAAACAAACTGGAGATATCAATTTCTTTTTCTCTGATTTTCAGCTGGTTTCAAGGATGTATTGCTCTCGTGAGATACAGCACCGATGCGAAGCGATTTCGGAATGCTAGGCTCGTACGGTATGACGGTATTTCTAAAAACTGCAGTGGTGAGGCGTGTTCAAGTGCGGAACAGAATAAGTGTCAAAATGGAGGGCGCTGTGTTGATCTGGTGGTCAGGGCCGAATGTGATTGTGAGAAAACTGGGTATTACGGTCGCTTTTGTGAACAAAAAGGTATAATTCACTCACTAGACATAATGTTTTCTATTTGATTACATTATCCTTTTGAAATTCCTTTTTTTTTTTAATTCCTTTTGGGGAGCTATGCCCTACTAGCTCTGCATACGACATTTGAGTTAGCCAAAATACCTTAAACCTGCAATTTAACTCCAGGTATTTGTTGCCTTTCTTGTTAATTAAAGTGAATCTCTAATACAAAGTAGGTCACACATCCTGTCTGGGCAGTTCTGCGCAGAAAGGCGACTGCACATGGCTGAAACCTGCAAGAAAGTGGTCTGCTATCAAAGACCCCTTGAGGAGGAAAAATTGGTCTCTTTTTTGACTTCATTACTTTGTACTTTGTATGACTTTGTGTAAATTTCGTATTGATTTAACTTTTCACCTTCATCATCATCATTGAGAGAAGGGTGTGCCTAATGTAGAGGTTGCTGAGACGAATTCGTCTCTAATAAAAGTTGAAAATACATTTAGCTAATTGCTTTTCCCTAAGCAGCAAAAAGATAATCGCTTATATGAAATTAACCAATTTTGCTTTACACCACCCCACCACGATCTTCAAAATTAACTTTTTTAATAACACAATCATCATACTAATAGCGCATCAAAAGTTAATGGGTATAAAAAATTTTCACCGCAGTAGTAAAGAAGTATATCAACTCAACAGGATCTTCACATGTGAATAGAATAGTTTCCAATGGAACAGATGTCACCGCACAGAAAAACAACACCAAAGACGACGACAATAACGTCAGTAGCGGTGGAGATGTAGGAGCAGGTAATGGGGATGGCGACAATGTAAATGATCCTGATAAAAGCACCAAAGGAGTAGCAGTGAGCGAAAGCAAGAAAGCCCATAATGAAGTTTCACCTCTGGTCGTTTCGCCGCCGGTTTGCTTTTTTCTTTACATGACAGCTTTACTCATCGACATTGATGTAGCATGATAGTGTCCTAGTCCTCTGAAAGCTGGAGTCTCGGAAGAATCTCAAGCCTCAATAGTGTAGATAAAATTGCGCTTAATGGAGGGGTAGGTTCGAGAGTCGATCAACAGGCTGTTAGGTGACAGAATAACCGTATAAATACTTCATACTATCTATCTTTCAGAGGTTTAGACAGTGAGAATCTTTCAGCGTGGTAACCGCTTCAGAAATTCTCACCAGTTCCCGTTATTCTGCAAACAGTAAACTACATAGGTTCTATAAGATATCAACACCAAAAATTTCATAACTGATTTTGTCCAACGGTTTATTAAGTGCGCAATCTGCACCATGTTGTCACTTTTCATTCGTTCTCTGCAGAAAAGTATGATTGAATTTAAGCAGTGAATGACTCACGTTATTAGTTTTATTTAAAGAGTATTTCTCTCATCTGTATTTAAAATAACCAATGGATTTACGCAGGAAATGTGAAACTGTGTAGATTAAGTAATTATTAATATGTATCTACACGCATCTTTTATACAATAATAATCACGTTAAAGAAGAAGAATGTAACTATAAGATATTTAAAAAATGTACTTCCTGTCTTAAAGAACGTTTTCAGTGAGTTTTTAGTGTAGCTAAAGAGTGGCGTATTACCACAGCTCGTCAGATCAAGAAAAATATAACAACTTAATGAGAACTTAAAGCGAAAAAAGCGAACAACCTTAGGCGCGGGGAAACGTAAGTGGCCAAGGCGCGATTGGTAGAAGTTTTGCCTCTAATTGGCTGGAACGATGGCGCAAGCTTTTAAAATTTCTCTCAGCACTTGAGCGTAGTTTGTTTTCAAATACATATCAGTCGTTGACAAGAAGGCTGAGACAACAATAGTAGTGCTGCTGCTGTATGTAGCATGTCAATCAATAATTTTGAGTGAAATTTAACATGTAGGGCAAGTCAGGAGCCCATTACTTAATGCGAGTGACACACAGATTTACTTAAATAAAAATTGAAAACTTCCATCTCTTGACTCATTGTGTTTTTACTGCTCCGTAACCTCGCAGTTAAATTTTTTTTACGAATGATAATAATAATAGTAATTAATAATATTGATAATAAAGCATTTCTCTTTCACACAAAATGGAAGTTCGTCTTATTTTCAGCAGTCATCTCTTTTTCAAAAAATGCCACAACACCTGCGATGTACAAAGTCCTCTCTCTACTTATAAAACTATGGGCGCGCAAAAGGGGAAGGGTTCACATATTCTTTGTCTTCCCACGCTCCTTCACGCTTCGCTCTTGTTACTAGTCTCTCGCAAGTTATTGCGTGCTCAGTCGTTAAGGATGATCAAGAAACGCCCTTCAAACTGATTAGATGAGTTTTGGAACTCGGTATATCTGAATATGAATATAATAGATAACAGATAACATTCAAACCCCAGAAAAACAGAGTCTGGACTGCCAGTGAGGTAAGAAGTAGTTAGTTTTTTTCATTCATAACGTGAAACAATTAGTCGTACCATTCAGTCTGGTATTATTGGGTTTGGTGACATATCGACAATATCAGGTTAGTCACGAGCATCTACTTCAGCAAAAAATTAAGCTGACACAGGGTAAATAAATGCAATTAGCTTTCCCATAAGTAGCCAATTAGAGACAAAAGTTTTAACGATGGTTTCATATTCAGTGGACACAAATGATCGAATGCCCCCTTTAAAACCTAAAAATGGTCAAATTAATCAAAGCTCTAATTTCTTTTGGTAATTATTTTTTGTGTAGTTTTGTTTTCAGGCAGTTGGGTATAGAACATAAGAACTAGACATTTTGATTTCTTGTTAATTTGCTTTTAAATTTTTATTTTCAGAAACCTTCATGCGGTGATTAGCGATGAGACAAGAAGACCACAATTTAAAACTTTCAAAAATCGATAAATAATGGGTGCCGTTGCAAGTGGAAAAGAAAAAACGAAAACAAGGCCATACAGCTGTCTTCGTGTAAGCATGATAACTGCAACCTTCGTTGTCAAGGAATTAAACGTATGGGGAAAAAGGAGCAATGTGAATGTAGTGATGTGAAACTTTGAGGATTATTTAATATTTAAACCAAGACTCTTCAGAGAGACTAGGGTGAAAAATTTATTATAATGGAGCAATCTTAATTTAATCTACCAGTTGTCACAGTGGATCCCTATGGGAGATACTCTCATTCTCGTTAACAACCAAGTGATACCTTTCAATATTCGGTAGTGGAGTTCAGACACTTTCTCTACACCCTTGACAGTGGATAAAATTGATGAGAATTATAACGTCAAGCAAAATTCTGAAAGGCATATCAGTTATTACTCGTTGTGAGCAAAGAAAAAGGAAACTGCAAAAAGTTGCGTCAAATCCATGCCTCGATGTGCGCCTAAAATCATCCAAGCTATCCAGAGAACACTGAGCCAATGAAAGGAGGTGATAAATAATGTTAATTGAACTGAGTGGAGTGCAATTTGGGCTAAAATCATACGCGTGATTTGAAATCATAAGTATGATTTCAGACCAAAATTTCACAACACGAGGTTCAATTACCACTTTATTACATCCATTTTGAAATCGCCCAAGTACAAGACTTGGTCAGTTCAATGCAGTACTGAGTCGGTTTAAATTAAATTCATCCATTCTTTGGGGGGAAAAAATAAGAGTTTTGGAAACAGCAGAATTTGCCTCGTGATACTCATTGTATTTAATTTTCCTGCAATTTGATTGGTTATTTTCAGTAAACCTTGAAATCTGATTGGTTGTGTGGTTTTTAGTGTAGCCTCCTCATTGGCTGGGAAAAAGATGCGATTTAAAGCAAAAAATGGTACGATTCAAGAATAAATCGCACCAATTAGAGCCAGTCAGATTACAGGGACCACCAGTGATTTCAAAATGGGTGTAATAAAACTTTAAAACAGACTTCACAAATAGTCACAAACATAAAATATTTTAATGAGAATCATTTCCGTTAATTTGAATGGCAAGTCTCAATGTACACATTTAGGAACTGATACTACAAATCGAATGATATATTTCTTTCTAGTTGGGCATGTTAAGATGGTCTCTTTAATAGGAGATCAGAGCCGGCTCGAAAAGGATATACTTTTGCCATATCATAATTACAATCATTATCGTTATTATAAGTATTCAAGGTCATCAGAGCTTATAGCTTTAAAATCGTTCTCAAATAACTAGCTATTGTATTGGTTTACCAGTTTGTCAAAAAACTCAAATATATCAATTGAAGACTCCTTTAAACAGGGTTAAACTGTGTTTGATTAAATATTTCGCTTATACAATGAAACACGTGTTATAAGCGATATAACAATAAAATATTATAATAAATGGTTCACAAAGTGATAACAAACGCAGAAAATAGAAAATCGAGGAGATCACACATGAAAAGCAGAGCTAAAAGAGATAACATCATCTTGTTTTAAGTTACCATGGCAGCATCTCCCTTTAACGCGAATATATTGAAAATAATTTACGTTTGTTTGGTTTTGTGTGGTATTTTGGTACAAGTCATGATTTGCGTGCACGTCAATTCGCCGGAAAGAAACTCTAAAGAGAACTTGAAATGACCAACATCAATCGAAACCACTCTCTGAAATGTGAAAAAAAAACTCTTCACCGCAAAAGCATTAAGAACGATTGTCGCGTGTGAACACTCATGTTTATTTTACAAGAGCAACTTTTAGAGAAAAACAGAAGGCAAACTGTGAATAATTATTTGATGGGCGGTCTTTCCTGCATTTTCTTTTACCATAATTCCGTTTTATGTTGCTTTTTATTAAAATGTGAGCTCCCAACGTGATCGCAGTAAAAACGGTTTTGCTGTGGGGTGGAAACAAAACCAAACGAGACGCTCGCATTTTGGCGTCAAATAATATCAAGTTGTAAATTTTTAATGGAGTGACTCAAAAAATGAATAGATAAATACTCCATATTTTGTAAACAATTAAAGGCCAGGCTAAAATCTTACCCAAGCGAATGGGGTTAATTTTTATCGCTGAGAAAATTGTTTTAAAATAGTAGAGGATGAAAATAACGAGCTGAAAAAACCAATCTTGCCTGTGAGTGGCCAAAGAGAAAATTACATCTAAATAGAACACATCTTATCTCTTTAAACTTTGTCGAATAACCCAAGGTAATGAGACTTCAATGTGGAAAACAGGCGAATTGGCAATAGCGCACATTTATTACGCTTGCTACAAGGGTTCGGAGCGATATGGCTTTTAAGAGCTGGTTATAATTCCAACAGTTAACTCAATCTGATGACGTTTGCCTTGGTGGAGAGCTGTTATTATTTTGTTCTTCTTCTTGAGTTTCACGCGATAAACTCAGAATTCGTGTTTGCCAATGAGCTCGTCTCATCTTGCGATAGTGACTATGCGGTCGGCGGCCGATGGGAACCTGCGAATCATTTTATTTGTGCGTGCGATTAAAACACAGCGCACGTTTGCCCGCTGTTTTAAAGCTTCACAATGTAAAGAGAAGCTAGCTTCAACCCTCTGGAAATAAAAAAGACAGCCATTTTGACGTTGGTAAGCTTAGGTTGCAGCCATGTTAGTGCGAGGTATTTTCTTCCTCCTTAGTTATGTGTTGAGTTCAACGTCTCCCTCAGTAAGTCGGGCAGCAGGAGAAAGTGGAGGATATTATTTCTTCGGCGAAGTAACGTCGCATGCCGAATATGAACCGTGGAATTGGCTTGCCAATGCCACTCTGCAATTCTATTTCAAAACTTGGAGCAAATCTAAAATGATGATGTTTTATCAAGAGGAGAAAACACACGGCCAGCACATGGATTTATTCCTGATAAAGGGGAAACTTCGACTCCGCGTTAAGATGGGACGAAACATGATTTCTATCCAAAAGCGGTTTATTGAGGATAAAGTGGATTTCGCTGACTCGGGGTGGCATGAAGTTAAAATTGAGTTGTTTGGGAGCGAAATACGTTTTTTTGTTAATTCAACTGACGGAAACGTATACAGCGCAGATCCAATTCCATACACAGAGTATAATCCGTCTACCACTAGCCACCAAAACATCGAGTCTCTCCTAATCGCTGGTCTTCCTTTTAGAAAGGGATTTAAAGGGTCTGAAATGTCCTATCCAAGTTTTTTCTACGAATTCTACAGGTAATGTATCAACTAATTATTGTTGAGATATGACTTTGTCATCGTAGAAATGCGTCAACTAATGGCTTCTATATACGCACTCGAGTTTGCTGACGGTTACAACTAGAACAAGGTCAGGGTCGAGGGTTGACAAAATGACGTGCCCTCAAACACTCAGTGAAAATATCAGCTTAAAACACAGTTGCTTCTCAAAGAATCGTTGCAATACTTCATTTATTCACCCACTACTTTCCTTTCGTAAGCTTCTTTTCTGAGTGGAAGGAAGGGAGACTGTGTCATGTATTTTTCAGTTGCATAGTTTATTTACTATTTCACTGTCATGTTTCAGTCGTAAATCGTTTAAACGTTATAAAACTTTCATTTGTTTAACCTTCATAAATGAATGATTATGGCGTCCGCGCTTTGTTATTTTTTAATTCACGCTCATATGAATTATTAATCCGTGCACACGACTCTCCCAGTCAACTCAGCGAGAGATCATTTCCAATCATAGCTTTTAAATCATAGAAAGATGTCAAATGATTGTAACGAAATAAAAATCCATCTCCGAGAAAATTTGAGTCTCAGATCTATAGAATTGACAACTGGACACAAAATATCTTCTACTAATCGACGAACGAGTACAAAAGACTCCTAAGTTCTTTCTCCGTCTATCTACAAACTTGACGCTTTGGACATTGTTGATCCTCGTAGTATGCGGGGTACTTGTCACATTTGAACCTTTCATGACACAGTTTACTTACGAGATCTCTGTATCTCATTTGGGAGGGCATAGTAGGATCTTAGGTTCCTTTTTGTTCGGGAAATAAAGTTTTCTCCTTGTTTAACACTCGAGACAAAGGTTGATATCTTTCTTTATTGGACGACCCAGCGAAAAGTTCACCATACTTCACACTCTATCTTCAACTATGCTTTGTAAAACTTTTTTTAACAACTGGATTCATTTGATAACAGAGGGAATCCCTTAAGCTTCCAAGGATGTATTGGCAATATCAGATTCAACCGAATTCCAAATGGTCGCTTAGAGCAAGCGAGACTTCGAACTCCTCCAAGAGGGGCGGTGGACAACTGCACTGGAGCATGCGCAGAACGGACTCAAAGATGTTCCAATGGAGGTCGATGCGTTGATCATATCAAATACTCCGAGTGTGACTGCACAGGGATTGGGTACGAAGGAGGGAGCTGCGAAATACGTAAGGCACTTAAATCATACTACACCCATTCTTTTTCTTAATAGGTAATTTAGTGTTAACAGCTGGGTTGAAAACGTAAATTAGCCACCGTAAAGGGTAAAAAAGCTGACGTTTCGAGCGTTAGCCCTTCGTCAGAGCGATTGATAGTTCTCTACCTTTTATGGTAACAGAAAGAGTCATGGCTACAGAATATTGAAATTCTGACGACGACTCAGAAATCTGTTCGTCGCCAACACCAACATCTACCGGTAAGGACTATTTAACAAAGACTTCTTTTTGACACTAATCTGTTCAACTCACTCACATCCCTTCGCAGACAAATTACAAAAAGCTGCTTTTCTGGTTTTCGCTAACGTCAAGATTGCCTTCTGTGAAAGTTCTAATTTTTCAAACCTATCGCCGAGAGATAAAAAGAGAACAACTTTGCTATGTCACTTATCTTTACTATCGTCATTGAGAGAAGGCTGTGGCTAATGTACAGGTTGCTGGGACGTATTCATCTCTGATAAATGTTGAAAATACATTTAGCTAATTGCCTTGTCCTAAGCAACTAAAAGATAATCGCTTATATGGAATAAACCAATTTTGCTTTTCACTACCCCACTATGATCTTCAAATCAACTTTTTTAATAACACAATCACCATATTAACAGCGCATTAAAAGTTAATGGGTATAAAAAATTTTCCACAGCAGCAGTAAAGAAGTATAGCAACTCAACGGGATCTCCACATGTGAACAGAACAGTTTCCAATGGAACAGATGTCACCGCACAGAAAAACAACACCAGAGACGACGACAATAACGTCAGTAGCGGTGGAGATGTAGGAGCAGGCAATGGGAGCGACGACATTGTAAATGATCCAGGTAAAAGCACCAAATGAGTAGCAGGAAGCAAAAGCAAGAAGGCCCATAAGGGAGTTTCACCTCCAGTCGTTTCGCCGCCGGTTTGCATTTTTTAAGTTACTTAAAAAAATAAATAAATAACTCTTTGTTAGCGTATAGAGTGGTATGTTGCTAGCATTAATCAGATCGTTTAGGGTATGTATCTCGCACCAATCAGAGCATCGGTTTTTTGGTTCTTTGGTTTGAGAGGTGTTCAAATTTCAATGAATTAACCCGGGGTTCGTAGACTAGAATCATCATTTAGAATGTGAAATGTTGGCTTTTCTGTGTTTTTAACGCGTATTTTACCACGCTTTGAGAGAAATGCGATATTATTGGGCAGATGAACGACATCAGATAACCTATAGTAAACATGTTACTCGTGCTGTGAAAATGGTTGAGAGTTGTTCGAGAGGAAGTGGAGTTCTGTGCACCGTAGCACAATCCTTGTTATTGTTCCTTCACGACGAGAGTGATTGGAAAAATTTTGAATCAAATGTTGCTTGAGGTGTTGATGAGCTGCACCAAACATGTTGATTTAAGCAATTCTTTAACGGCAAGCTGTGTTGCAAGATTGATGATTTGTTGAGTGTGCCGATTACATTTTTCTGGATTGGTTTGCTCGGTGCTATCTCTAGATGAGTGTCTGATTGAAATTAACCATAGTCGATTTTGTGTGGTTCTTAGGAAGCTTTGTCGCCTCGTGTGACATCGTGTTTAATTGATATGCACTGTTAAGCGGTGTTTTTATTGAACAATGATTTTTCTACGAAAGATGGCTGAGTTTTCTCTTTGGTGGTTTAGTTGCAGTCATTTCATTGTAAACATCGTTGTGCGTTACTCTTGAAGGGGGTCTTTCGATGCTAGAAGGTTGAGCAGTTGCAAGTGTGCTGCAAAGTGGGTTTTGTGTCATTTTTGGCCGTGGAGGAAAATTGTTTGGCTGTTTCGAGGGTAATTTTGAGAACACTGGACGAATGGAAATGTTTTCGGTACCTGGAGAAAGTGATCGTGTGGAGTCGTTTATGTTTGGCCAAGGACGAATTCAAATACCATCGTAAACATGTTTATTTTATTCATAAAATGTGCTTCCTACCTCAAAGAAAGTGGCCCGCTATCAAAGACCCCTTGAGGGGGAAAAATTGGTCTTTTTCTTAACTTTATTATTTTACATTTTGTTTGATTTTGAGTAAATTTCGTATTGATTTAACTTTCACTTTCATCGTCATCATTGAGAGAAAGGTGTGCCTAATGTAGAGGTTGCTGAGACAAATTCATCTCCGATAAATGTTGAAAATACATTTAGCTAATTGCCTTATTCTAGGCAGCTAAAAGATAATCGCTTATATTTGAATAAACCAATTTTGCTTTACACCACCCCACTATGATCTTCAAAATCAACTTTTTTAATAACACAATCATCATATTAACAGCGCATCAAAAGTTAATGAGTATTAAAAATTTCCACCGCAGCAGTAAAGAAGCATATCAACTCAACGGAATCTTCACATGTGAACGGAACAGTTTCCAATGGAACAGATGTCACCGCGCAGAAAAACAACACCAGAGACGACGACAATAACGTCAGTAGCGGTGGAGATGTTGGTGCAGGCAATGGGGATGGCGACAATGTAAATGATCCAGGTAAAAGCACCAAAGGTGTAGCAATGAGCGAAAGCAAGAAGGCCCATAATGGAGTTTCACTTCTGGTCGCTTCGCTGCCGCTTTGCCTTTTTCTTTACATGACAGCTTTACTCATCGGCATTGATGTAGCCTGATAGTGACTTGGTCTACTCCTCTGAAAGCTGGAGTCTCGGAAGAATCTTAAGCCTCAACAGTGTAGATAAAATTGCGCTTTATGAAGGACTGGGTTCGAGAGTAGATCAACAGGCTGTTAAATGACAGAACAACCGTATCAATACTTCATATTATCTATCTTTTAGAGGTTTAGATAATGGGAATCTTTCAGCGTTGTAACCGCTTCAGAAATTCTTACCAGTTCCCGTTATTCTCTGCAAGTAACAAACTATGTAGGTACTATAGGATATCAACACCAAAAAATTTCATAGCTGATTTTTGTCCAATGGTTTATTAAGTACACAATCTGCGTCATGTTGTCATTTTTCATTCGTTCTCTGCAGAAAAGTTGGATTGAATTTAAGTAGTAAATGACTCACGTTATTAGTAGTATTTCTTTCATCTATATGTAAACTAACCAATGGATTTACGCAGGAAACGTGAAACTGTGGTGATTAAGTAATAATAAGTATGTATTTACACGCCGCATTTTTTATGCAATAATAATCACGTAAAAGAAGAAGAATGCAACTATAAGATATTTAAAAAATGTACTTCCTGTCCTAAAGAACGTTTCCAGTGAGTTTTTAGTGTAGCAAAAGAGTGGTGTATTACCACAGCTCGTCTGATCAAAGAAAAATATAACAATTTAATGAGAACTTAAAGTGAAAAAAGCGGTAACTACCTGAAGCGCGGGAAAGCGTAAGTGACCAAGACGCGTTTAGTTGAAGTTTTACCTCTAATTGGTCGAAAAGATGGCGCAAGCTTTAAAATTTCTCTCGGCACTTGATCGTAGTTTGTGTTAAATACATATCAATCGTTGACAAGAAGGCCGAGACAACATCAGTAGTACTGCTGCTGTATGTAGCATGTCACTCAATAATTTTGAGTGAAATTTAACATGTAGCGAAAGTCAGGAGCCCATTACTTAGTGCGAGTGAAATACAAATTTACTTAAATAAAAATTGAAAACTTCCATCTCTGTTTTTACTGCTCCGTAACCTCGCAGTTCAACTCTTTTACGAATGATAATGATAATAATAATACCAATAGTATTACTAATAAAGCATTCCTCTTTCACATAAAATGGAGGTTCGTCTTGTTTTTCAGCAGTCATCTCTTTTTCAAAAAATGCCACAACACCTGCGATGTACAAAGTCCTCTCTCTACTTATAAAACTATGGGCGCGCAAAAGGGGAAGGGTTCACATATTCTTTGTCTTCCCACGGTCCCTCACGCTTCGCTCTTATTACCAGTCTCTCGCAAGTTGTTGCGTGTTCAGTTGTCAACGATGATTAAGAAACGCCCTTCAAACTGATTAGATGAGTTTTGGAACTCGATATATATGAATATAAATATAAAGATAACATTCAAACGCCACAAAAACAGAGTCTGGACCGCCGGCGAGGTAAGGAGTAGTAAGTTTTTTTTCATTCATAACGTGAAACAGTTGGTCGTACCATTCAGTCTGGTATCATTGGGTTTAGTGACACATCGACAATGTCAGGTTAGTCACGAACACCTATTTCGACAAAAAGAAGCTTACACGGGGTGAATAAATGCAGTTAACTTTCTCATAAGTAGCCAATTAGAGACAAAAGTTTTAATGATGGTTTCATACTCAGCGGACACAAATGATCGAATGCCCCCCTTAAAACCTAAAAATGGTCAAATTAAATAAAGCCCTAATTTCTTTTGATAATTATTTTTTTGTGTAGTTTTGTTCTCAGGAAGTTGGGTATAGAACATAAGAACTAGACATTTTCATCTCTTGTTAATATGCTTTTAAATTTTTATTTTCAGAAACCTTCGTTAGGTGATTGGCGTTGAGACAAGAAGACCACAATTTAACACTTTCAAAATTCGAGGCGCACATTTTTTGTAAATCAAATTTTACGACATTTGCCCTTAGAGGTGAAAAAGAAACAACGAAAACAAGGCCATACAACTATCTTCGTGTAACATGATAACTGCAACCTTTGTTGTCAAGGAATTAAACCGGGATGGGGAAAAAGGAGCAATGTGAATGTAGTGATGTGGAACTTTGAGGATTATTTAATATTTAAACCAAGACTCTTCAGAGAAACTAGGATGAAAAATTTATCGTAATGGGGCAATCTTCTACTTAATTTGTTTCACCAGGTGCCATAGTGGTTCCTCTGGAAGTTACTCTCATTCTCGTTAACAACCAAGTGATACCTTTTAATATTCGGTAGTGGAATTCAGATACTTCCTCTTCTCCTTGACAGTGGATAAAATTGATGGGAATCATAACGTCAAGCAAAAGTCTAAAAGACATGTCAATTATTAATCGTTGTGAGCAAAGAAAAGGGAAACTGCAGAAAAAACTGCGTCAAATCCATGCCTCGATGTGCAGTAAAAATCATTCAAGCTATCCAGAGAACACTGTGCCAATGAATGGAGATAAAAAAAACTTCAAAACAGACTTCACAAGTAGTCACAAACATCAAATATTTCAACGTTTTAGAGGAGAATCATTTTCGTTAATTTGAATGGCAAGTCTCAATGTACACATTTAAGAACTGATACTACGAATCGAATGATATATTTCTTATTAGTTGAGCATCTTAAGATGGTCTCTTTAACTGGATATCAAAGCCGGCTCGAAAAGGATATACTTTCGCCATATCATAATTACAATCATTATCGTTATTATAAGTATACAAGGTCATCAGAGCTTATAGCTTTAAAATCATTCTAAAATCACAAGCTATTGTATTGGTTTACCTTTTAGTAAAAAACTCAAATATATCAATTGAAGATTCCTCAAAACAGAGATAAACTGTGTACGATCAAAGTTTTTGCTCACATAAAGAAACACATGTGTTATAAGCGATATAACAATAAAATTTTGTAATAAAGGGTTCACAAAGTGATAACAAACGCGGAAAATAGAAAATCGAGGAGATCACACATGAAAAGTAGAGCTAAGAGAGATAACATCAGCTTGTTTTAAGTTACTATGGTAGCATCTCATATATATATATATTATTTTCAACATATTGAAAATAATTTACGTTTGTTTGGTTTTGTGTGGTATTTTGGTACAAGTCATGATTTGCGTGCGCGTTAATTCGCTGGAAAAAAACTCTAAAGAGAACTTGGAATGACCAACATCAATCAAAACCACTCACTGAAACGTGAAAAAAAGCTTCACCGCAAAAGCATTAAGAATGATTGTCGCGTGAGAACACTCATGTTTATTTTACAAGAGCACCTTTTAGAGAAAAACAGAAGGCAAACTGTGAAATGTATTATTTAATGGGCGGTCTTTCCCGCATTTCCTTTCACAATAATGCCGTTTTATGTTGCTTTTTATTAAAATGTGAGCACCCAACGTGATCGTAGTAAAAACGGTTTTGCCGTGGGGTGGAAAAAAAATCAAACGAGAAGCTCGCATTTCGGCGTCAAATAATATCAAGTTGTAAATTTTTAATGGAGTGAAACAAAAAATGCACAGAAAATTACTTCATATTTGTAAACAATTAGAGGCCAGGCTAAAATCTCAGCCAAGCGAATGGGGTTAATTTTGATCGCTGTGAATATTGTTTTAAAATAATAGAGGATGAAAATAACGAGCTTTAATACGAATTCTTTATACACGGTGCTAATGAGTTGCATTTCAAGAAATATGAAAAACCCAAACTTGCCTGTGAATGGCCAAAGAGAAAATTACATCTAAATAGAACGCATCTTATGTCTTTAAACTTTGTCAAATAGCCTAAGATAATGAGACTTCAATGTGGAAAACAGGTGAATTGGCAATAGCGCACATACATTACGCTTGCTACAAGAGTTCGGAGCGATATGGCTTTTAAAGGCTGGTTATATTTCCAACAGTTAACTCAATCTGATGACGTTCGCCTTGTTGGAGAGCTGTTATTATTTTGTTCCTCTTCTTAAGTTTCACGCGATAAGCTTAGAATTCGTGTTTGCCAATGAGATCGTCTCATCTTCCGATAGTGACTATGTGGTCGGCGGCTGATGGAAACCAGCGAATCATTTTACTTGTGCGTGCGATTAAAACACAGCGCACGTTTGCCCGCTGCTTTAAAGCTTCATAATGTAAAGAGAAGCTAGCTTCAACCCTCTGGACATAAAGAAAGACAGCCATTTTGACGTTGCAGGTTAGGTTGCAGCCATGTTAGTGCGAGGTATTTTCTTCAGCCTTACCTATGTGTTGAGTTCAATGTTTCCCTCAATAAGCCAGGTAGCAGGAGAAAGCGGAGGATATTATTTCCTCGGCAAACTAATGTCGCATGCTGAATATGAACCATGGAATTGGCGTGCCAATACCACTCTGCAATTCTATTTCAAAACTTGGAGCAAATCTAAAATGATGATGTTTTATCAAGAGGAGAAAACACACGGCCAGCACATGGATTTATTCTTGATAAAGGGGAAACTTCGACTCCGCGTTAAGATGGGACAAAACATGGCTTCTATCCGAAAGCGGTTTATTGAGGATAAAGTGGATTTCGCTGACTCGGGGTGGCATGAAGTTAAAATTGAGTTGTCTGAGAGCGAAATACGTTTTTTTGTTAATTCAACTGACGGAAACGTATACAGCGCAGATCCAATTCCATACACAGAGTATATTCCGTCCTTCGTTAGCCACCAAAATATCGAGTCTCTCCAAGTCGCTGGTCTTGTGATTGGAGAGGGATTTAAATGGACTGAATTGTCCTATCCAAGTATTTTCAAGGAAGTCTACGGGTAATGTATCTACTAATTATTGTTGAGATATGACTTTGTCATCGTAGAAATGCGTCAACTAATGGCTTCTATATACGCACTCGAGTTTGCTGACGGTTACAACTAGAACAAGGTCAGGGTCGAGGGTTGACAAAATGACGTGCCCTCAAACGCTCAGTGAAAATATCAGCTTAAAACACAGTTGCTTCTCAAAGAATCGTTGCAATACTTCATTTATTCACCCACTACTTTCCTTTCGTAAGTTTCTTTTCTGAGTGGAAGGAAGGGAGACTGTGTCATGTATTTTTCAGTTGCATAGTTTATTTACTATTTCACTGTCATGTTTCAGTCGTAAATCGTTTAAACGTTATAAAACTTTCATTTGTTTAACCTTCATAAATGAATGATTATGGCGTCCGCGCTTTGTTTTTTTTAATTCACGTTCATATGAATTATTAATCCGTGCACACGACTCTCCCAGTCAACTCAGCGAGAGATCATTTCCAATCATAGCTTTTAAATCATAGAAAGATGTCAAATGATTGTAACGAAATAAAAATCCATCTCCGAGAAAATTTGAGTCTCAGATCTATAGAATTGACAATTGGACACAAAATATCTTCTACTAATCGACGAACGAGAACAAAATACTCCTGAGTTCTTTCTCCGTCTATCTACAAACTTGACGCTTTCCACATTGTTGATCCTTCTAATATACAAGGTACTTGTCCCATTTGAACCTTTCATGACACAGTTCACCTACGAGATCTCTGTATCTCATTTGGGAGGGCATAGTAGGATCTTAGGTTCCTTTTTGTTCGAGAAATAAAGTTTTGTCCTTGTTTAATACTGAGACGAAGGTTGATATCTTTCTTTATTGGACGACCCAGCGAAAAGTTCACCATACTTTTCATTCCATCTTCAACTATGCTTTGTAAAACTTTTTTTAACGACTGGATTCATGTCTTAACACAGAGAGAAGCCCATAAGCTTCCAAGGATGTATGGGAAATATCAGATTCAACCGAATTCCAAATGGTCGCTTAGAGCAAGCGAAACTTCTAACTAGTCCAAGTGAGGCGGAGAACAACTGCACTGGAGCATGCGCAGAACGGCCTCAAAGATGTGCCAATGGAGGTCAATGCGTCGATTATATCAAATACTCCGAGTGTGACTGCACAGGGATTGGGTACCAAGGAGGGAGCTGCGAAAAACGTAAGACACTTAAATCATACTACACCCATTCTTTTTCTTAATAGTGCTCTGCCTCTTCTGGTAACAAAAAGATTCACGACAGCAGAATATTGAAATTCGGTCTGGGTAGGTCGCAATGAATGGGAAAAAAAAAGGGGAGGTTGATTGTCCTTGTAAGAACTGCGTATTGAAATCCAAGAAACGTGCTAGTGGCTCAAAAGGCCTCATAGAATCATTTACAAATGTGCAGTATATGAAACTCGTTAAGATATTAAAGGAGCAGAACTGTTGCTAACAACAAAAGAAACTGAAACAATCAGGCTTACAACACGTATATCAAATATCACTCAAATAAATTGGCAGCATGAGTGATGATGATTTGATTTGTTATCCAACCAGGTTCCACAACTGTGTATATCAAGGAAAAAGGACACATATCGTACAGCTTGGGTATCGACAGTCCCTTACGTTCAACAGAAAGGAACACATTAGACTTTCTATTTCTAACAAATAAAGCAACCGACGGTGTTTTCTTTTACATGAGAGGGAATAAGGATCACTTGCTTGTAGAGCTTGTCAATGGGAGAGTGCGGGCTCAAGCAAACGTTGGAGGAGGTGAGGTTCCGTTCGTATTACGTGACTTTCGCAAAACTTAGTTGAAAGCAGCACTTGTAAGATAGTGAGGAAGTCACAACGCCTTGATCGAGTGAGTTTTCCCTCTTTCATCATTGCTGTATCAATGGTCATACATAATTCGTCCCTAAATACAAGTGTATTCTAATTAAATAGTAAAAATTACAACAGCTAATCAGAAGAAAGATAAATATCACAGAAAGCTGAAAGGAACTCAGAGTAAACGCAGAGGGTCACAAGCCCAAAGAAACACGAGTAGGCAAGTCGCTCTATCCTTGGGGCGAGGGATGGCTATGAATGCGAGCGATTTGCTTCGGTTGACAATTTACTTTTCTTCAATTTTACTTTAAAATGTAGATACTATTGAAGTACAAAGTGATAAAAGTTCCTTGAACGACAGCTGTTGGCATTTCGTGGAGGTCAAACGAAGAAGGTCCCGATTGACACTAATTGTTGACAAAGTCAGGACAAGTGGCAATTCTTCGACTAAAAAGTTCAAAGAACTGAATCTAAACAATCACTCTAATGTCATATACTTCGGTGGTGGACCAGCTAAGAAGATACGAGAAAAATCAAAATCAAAAACACTCTCATTTAACGGCTATCTACAGAAGTTTCGATTTGAAGGAATGGATGTTCTTGAAAATGCATTGTCAAACACAAATGGTTTTTCTGGCACTGAGGTAAATCGTATATCGTCGAGTAACACAAATCTGATAGACGCACAAATGAACTGTAAGCAGCCTGATGATGTTTCAGGCGACTGCTCCAGTGATGACGACGACTCAGAAATTTGTGCGACGTCAACACCGACACCCACCGGTAAGGACTATTTAACGAATATTTCTTTTCGAAACTAATCTGTTCAACTCACTCAAATGCCCTCGCAGAAAAAAATTACAAAAGGCTGCTTTTCTGGTTATCGCTAACAAAAAAAGAAGAGGAAAAAGAAATTAAAAAATATTTAAGTCAAGATTGCCCTCTCTGAAAGTTCTAATTTTTTCAAACCTATCGCCGAGAGATAAAAAGAGAACAACTTTCTTATGTCACTGGTTGATGACCCGGCTACTTAGCAAGCGTGCGAAGTTGCATTTTTAGAAAATTTGAAGACAACTTGCGATAGTTGGTTACCATCTTTGAAGTCAAAACACGGTTAAAGCCATGATATTTCACATAAAATTGTTAATAGGGAAGATATAAATCACCTGGTTCCCAGATGTTTCTTCCTCAAGCATCAATGCCACCTTGAATACAGCAGAAATAAGAGCAAGAGTTCTACTCAAATAAATAAAGTTTCAGTCTGAGATTTAGTTCTCGTATCTTAGCCACGATCTGATCAGTAATCCACCTTTCGAGCTGCCTAAAACTTCCATCGTAAATAATTTTATAGAATTCGGCATTACGTAAAATGAACACTCTCAATCTTATAAGTTTGTCTATTCACATCACCTTTTTGCTGGATAATGCATTGAAACTTTGAGGGTATGTTAGTCTTGAATGTAAAGGTAAATAACGGTGAGTCATTATGCAAGATTTGTTTAACTGTGGTATTTTGAGGTTTCTCGCAATCTTCAGGTAACATTTCGATCATTTTCACGGGGAAAAAGATTTAAAAGTAAGTTTTTCAATCCAGCCGCAGTTGTGATTACATCTGTTGTTTTGTTTCACGTTTAGCCAAACTGATAACAACAGAGCCTGAGACTTCGGCACCATCACGTGACCCTCCCGGTGGACCAAAGACCCAGGCAACGGTGGTTGCAGAATTTCGAAACCCAACACCGAGACCCAGAGGCGTGTCCGCTTGGGTTATCATTGTAATAGTACTCGGAGCAATGGGTATCGTCTTCATCGTGGTGTTTTTACTTTACCGCTGGAATCATCGCTATTCGGGCTCATTTAAACCCAGTAAAAATGAAGAGGGACAAATTCAAGAGCCTGGGTCGGACTCAACTGAGCAGCAATCCCGGACGTACAATCAACCAGCGTTTTTCGTATACAAGCCTCCTCTGAAAAAACCTACCGCTGATAGTCCAGTGTCGATTTAGAAGCGCAGTGTATAAAACAGAGCACGTGGGGCTGATTGCCAACATTCTGCATTGGTATGAAGTGACGATGGCGTCACATTCAAGAAATCTGAGAAGATTACTACGTATATGCATGAAAAATTGGATGGATCGACAATTTCAGAGAAATTGTGAACTACAGAGCAAAAGTACTCTCGAACATTTGATTTTCCTTGACTTCAAAATCTGATAAACGATTTTTTCCAAATGATGGCTACATCCCTTTGTTGACAAATGCTGACAATTTGGTACAATATTTAAACAGTTGACCGTTTCCTTCATTCTCGTTCGCTGTCTTTTAGACAGAGTATTGAATTGGAAGGAAAGCTAAGGCACTGATCCGCTAAAGGAGTGAAAGAAATCCCAACTTCTCTGCATAAATACTGCAACTTTGAGCACAAAAGCCTCACAAAAGGGCGGAATATTCCTTATGTTCAAATACAAAAAATGTGGTAGAAAAATTTGGTGGGATATCTAATGACGTTTAGAAATTATATATCTACTGTTACATCTATCAAATTTTAACCCAATTATTTCTGAAGGAATTTCAGAGAGTTGAAAAGGCTTCATTTAACTATATAGCCTGCCATTTGAAACTATGCGTTGTTATGCTTGCATTTATCACAAAAAGAAAGCAAAACAGGTAGGTTACAAAACAAATCGACCGCTTGATATTAGAATTTGACCAAAAAAAAAACATTCTTTACTTTTCCGGACTGTAGGCGTATTGAGATTGTCAGATGACAGAAAACCTTAGCCGTCCTATTTCATTATGTATGGAACGGCAATAAGATTTTCTTCTCCGATTCCTTTATAAATATCAATTGAATTTATATAGTAATATTTGAGTTGTGCCCACTGACTGAAGTTTCTTTCGGTGGATTCAAAACGTTTGTAAAACTTTTACTCCAATGAACTTTTACTGGTTGGTCTGATTTATGAAAAGAAAGAAACAAAATGAAACGAGGCAACCTCCGGCTAAAATTGTATCATTCTAATAGGTTTAATAGGTAAGTGTGCATTCAATTTAACAACAAAGCTTTGTAAGTCTCGGAAATAAATAAAATTTGAAATTAACGACTTTTGTCCCATGTAACTCTCTGTGCATCCGTGAAACCGTCTACGATGATTCGAAACGTTGGCTCTAGAATCCCTTCAAGATTGTCAACCCACTTGTCTGAAGCGTACTCTTGTTACCAATTGTAGCGAACAGGAGCATATTACACTGATACTTATAGGGCACACTGGTTACCAATGAGCTTTAGGAATAACTAACTTTCAAGGCTTCAGATGAACTGTATTTTCTCCATCTCAAACGCAGGGAGTAGCTGAAGTTTGGTGAACCATTTTAAAATTACAATACATCATTGGAAATAAAAGGAATTACATATACATTACTGATACAATGTAATATTATTGGAAATTTAGTCCGTGGCGAAAGAACCCGTAGAGAAACTAAGTAGCTAATGCGAGCTACGACTCCTCATATTTTACAAAAGTGAGGCATTAGTATATGGCGTCATTTAGATACAAAATATTTTGGGTTTAAAAGAAAAGAACACACGCACATAAAACAACATGTACAGCAGGCACTCGAACAAACATATAATAGAAGTTTGAGAAAAGTAAGAAAAAAAGCAAGAGGGGGGTCAGCTCAGGGGTAATGCTCGCAATTTAGACTCAAACAGGGACAATGACGTACCATGATTTTGGATTTCTATATTTAGAGAATTGAAAATTTAGGTCCTTGGAAACAAAACGCAAAATGTCTAATATTTGTTGATTCATACATAAAGCGTTTCTTTATTCAACCTTTACCAAAGAAACCACAACTGACGATCATAATAAAGATGAATTTCGTATTTGGCTCACATTAATCCTGAGTAAATACAGGCAACGACCTCAAACGCGGGAAAAAGCGAGTGCCGAAGACACGATTGATTTTTGGGGACCATCAAATTGGTTGAGAGGATTGTGCGATGTTTATCTACGTTAATCATAAAGCGTAGTAAAGCTTAACCAACTCAATTTCGAGACTCAATGAGCTTATTATCATTGAGCTACCCGCAACAGGTACAAACGGAAATAGTAGTTAACTCTGAATACACTGGTGTAAAGCGTAAAGGTACGATATAGTACTGATAGTTGATCACTGACTGTTACAATGAATCAATTTGCAAACCTTTCAGAGAGGGGAATAACTTAAAAAATTAAAGGTAGGTTCTGTGGCACGGTAATACTTGCGGGTGTATTGTGGGTAACCTTCGGCTGGCGCAGTGCCAGATCGCGACGTCCATGTTGCAGGTGGTTGTTACATTTGTAATGAAACGAATATAGTGTCTTATAATTTAAACCATTTAGCCATGAAACAGGCTGAAAAAGTATCATCTATTCCCAACACTGGGGACCATATTTATGTTCTTCGTTCCTTGAGCTACGCGCATCACGGTAGGTTGCTTCAATCACTTTTTTTCTGTGTTCTTTTTAGCCTTTATTTGTTATTGGTTATAATTGAATATTGTTTTGCAAGCCTAATCCAGGCTATAAATTGGGAGAAAACTTAAAAATTACTTCGCTTTCACATCTCGAAATATCAGTTATAACATTCACCCCTCTGATTAAGACTAAGAAAGAAAAACGAAAATGCAAATCTTCCCAATTATGAGACCATGGATTTTCTCGCGGTAGTACCTGAATCTAGCCATAATGAAGGACTTTCACATACATTACGTCGTAACGCATCTTAGGTCGGTACTTCAAGATTTCTTACAAACTTTATCCACTGGCTATTTACCTTAAAATAAATTAAATAATAGGGAAAAAAAGGAGGAAGGGGATGGTCGAAAGCTTGGTTTAGGAAAAGCAGCATCTTGGTATTTTACAATAAACCCTTCTGACCATCATCATTGCTATGATTATGAAGACTTACACAACATTGCTCACCAGGAATTTATCTACTTTCGATACGCAAAAGGAAATTTATTGCTCCATTCATAAAAGAAGGAAGCATGCAAATTTCCGCCATTGAGCGAAGAGTTTGACATTATCTACTGTGCGCGAGCTGAGAACGCCTTAAATCATGTACAGTAAGGATATACAATGCAAAATTTGATGTAAAATAAGCTACATTTTTAACAAAGGAGCATGGAATGCTTCTCTATATTGACCTTGTGTCGATGTACTCTATTGTTATGTTCCTCTCCTATCAATGTGAAAAGCAGTGATATGTGTGATGCACCCTCCCTTCAATCGTCTTTCAATAATAACTATCTCCTAGCTGTGTACTTTTCAATTATGGATATCTTATTTTCCGGCAGGTATTTATGTGGGAGAAAGCAAAGTGGTGCATTTCCAAACACCTCTTGAAACTGGTCGAATGGACAGTTCAGCGATTGCAGAAAGCGAATTCGACGAGTTCCTGGGATCTGACGGCTTCGATTGGTATTTATACCAATACGGAGTGACCGCGGAGGAATTTAGCAGATACCCCCGTGGTACATGCACAACAACACATAGCGATGATGTCACCACCGTCATTGATCGCGCGCGCAAGGCAATTCGAGAAGGATTTGGTCAGTTCAATATTGTTGGAAATAATTGTGAGGACTTTGCGTTGTACTGCAAGACAGGCCAGCGATCACAGGCAAGCGGTCAATATCTGTCAGCCATGCGTAGGATAGAGGCCGCGCGCCAGGCTGCGGCGACTGGGTACAAAAGTCCCATAGTATACGCTGGGTGTGTCATGGGGTGGTTCTCTGCGAAAGATTTCGGAAAAACAAACAGCTTGGACCAAGAACGAGAAGAACCGCCATTTGTGGATCAGGAGAAAAGGGATACGAGAAAATTGGATCCTAACACGAAAAGCTCGAATGCCAAGGTGGCAACAAAAAACGTATCTTGGAAGGAAAAGTAGGATGATTATCCACTCAATCCTTCTTAGAACTAGCTATCTTAGCACTCACTGCAGTGAAAAAAGAGGTAACACAAAAACTTTCGTGCACCATCGGATGAATAAGTGCCACGATCAGTCAAGACATTGGAGGCCAGGTTACTGAAGGACGCGCAACGCACCACGTGACCTGTTGATCCGGGAGAGATCCGATTTCACGTTGATTTACCGAAATGTCTCGTTTCTGCTAAGATCAAAACTAAAACAAGCTGTGGCGAAAAGACTGACCGAATTCGGGCTAAAGGACAATTTATTTGATAAATTATAGTTGATTTCTTGGTTAATAATTAATTTATGATAATTTATCATATTGATATTTCTTCCTATCAGAAGAGGTTTCGTCACTTTTTCTCACATAGGACTCTCATCTCTAATACAGATGCTATCTGTCTTGATTTCTTTTTTCAAGATCAGATCAAAGTTCTCCTCACTGTTTTGAGACAGTTTGAGAAAAATAGTTCAGGAGAATTTAGCTTTTTGGTTCAATACGCTCCTGTTTTAAACTTATCTTTCAGAATAAGTCTATTAAATATTCTACATTCTGAATGTCATTCTGTGGAACCAACTGCACTAAATTTGCTGCCAATTCTTTCACTTCTCGCCCAGTAATATGGACTAATAAATCCTATCTGGATACAAATGCACGACCGGTTGTCGATACAACTTTCGGTGGCCCCCCCCCCCAAACCTCTTAAAAATATAAAGAAACATCATAACATTATTGCAAAACAAATGTCAACTTGCCATCGAAGTTCAATCAAAATTTTAAGAGAGGGCAATCGCTCCTAGGGACCAAAAAGGAACGTTCGACCCGTGCATTATAGCCTTCTTGGGAGACCAACATAGGAATTCTAACTCGTCCATAGAAGGACAATAACAAAACAAGTTGCTCCGCGACACCTGCAGCAAGTAGTAACAACATGAAGTCATAGCATACAAGAGAAAAATGTAGACTTCAAATACCAAACAGAACGATGAAAATTTATCGAATATTTTTCCAGGCAATTCAAGCTCACCAATTTATGATATGTATTAGGGGAGGAATGACGGGATGCGTTGCATTCCGCGAAATGGTTGCCATCGAAAACGAGAGGTACTGGTAACCGAATGAGCGTCGATGATAATTTCCCGTGTATGTACAAAGATGTTCAAGGAAACCAATCCCTTCGACGCTTTGGTTCTAATGGCCGGTTCACATTCTTTGTTACAATTGATCCGGACAGGAACAAACGGCCAAAATTCTGAAAGAAACGGAACGAAAACTTAGCGATCACGGATCAAGGTCGCGCGTGTTATCTATTTTCCTCTTATCCTTATCAATCACTGTTGAGTGTAATTTAAAAATGCAACCTGTAATTGACTGTAATTTCCTTAACCAAGTAAATCCTCAACTGCACGACGGACACAATAAAGGGGAAGAACGATGTTCATCGCAAACATTGCAAAGTGTCGCATTGAAATGAAGCAGCTTTAACTGCTTTAACACAAACAAGCCGTAGCTTTTCCCTTAAAGTACTCATGTCCTTGTTTAAAAAATGGTGCTTCAAACAATGTAGACTTCTGCACACCAAATGAATACTTACAAGTTGTAATGGTAGGGTAGGAATTTAACTGTGTTTGTATAGCTTTGGCTAATTCTTCTCGGTCCGCCTGGAAATACAATTAACATCAGGAAATAAACGTCAGCTCCTACAAAGGATCGCACTTGCGCAGAGAGACCGGAACTGCTTAAAATATTTTTATCAATCTAGATGGCTCTAAACATGATGTACAGATTAGTTATAAAACTTGGCAGCAAGATTGATGTCGATATGCTGTCTTATCATTGATAATAACCGAGAGTTACCGATCTCTTTTCTAATTTACAGGCACATAAAGCTAAGATTAAAGAGGTTTTTTTAAAAGAGGCTGTGGCATTGTTACCGGTACACATTGAGGAATAATTGGACATACTTTTGACACCACATTCAAGGAATCAAGGGAACACTCAAAGAGTGTGATAGAATCGATCCATCGGAATGGTTTTAAAAAAATTATACTACATTTTGAGCTGCTTCAATAAAAAAATATGGTAATTGGCTCGTCAATTTACCTTGTTTAATAGTCCATGTCTGATTAGATCGTCAGCCAGGTCCACTCCTTTATCCCCTGCAAAAAAAAATCATTTTAAATTACACAACAATCCCCAAAAATGGTGACTCAAGTTAAAAAAAACTCGTATCAGTATAAAATTCTTATAGCAGGAAAGTAGATGGTCCGAATAGAACCTAATGAAAAGTTCAAGTTAATGCAAATGATATCAGTCAAGGAAAGACGACTGGAACTTGTTAACAGTTTCTATTTATGACTGAGGAAGTAGTAAAATATTATGGACTATACCTGGACGAAGATCACTCACAAGATGTCTATTCATCTTATCATCCAATTTAAGGAGTAATTCCAGCTGTGGATTAAAGAGAACAACCATTTCCATGCTATATATGTAAAACGCATCATTAATCAAAAATTAAGTTTGTTGTACTACAAGCCTTATCTGAGACTAACTCTTAGGGCAGCTCAGTAACGTGGATAACATTTAGCTTTCCTTTATGACTTAGTTATTTAAAAGTCAGGCCTTTCATAAGAATAAAATGTATAAGCACAAGTTTTACAAGGCAGGGAGACACCAAAAAAGGTTTGAAGAAACTAAAAATGAATCAGGATGATTATGGATGACAAAGATTAAAACAGAAGGAAAATGATGAACTTTAAAATTTCAACCAATTGGACCAGGTGTGAGCTACTAACTCCTACAGTTTTAAACTGAGTGTCAAGAGTAGTCCAGATTGCTTTGGCTTTTCTTTACTTTGCTCTGTGATGGGTCAAAAAAATTTTCACCACTTTCTCAACCAATCAGTTTGAAAACTAAAACCAACTGAGTCTTGGTCACTTGCATTTTACTGCATTTTAAGCTGGTCATTTGTTTGGGTTTGGTTCTACAACAACCAGTCATACTGTGCTCTAATATTTGAAATTGTGATATTTTCCATCAGTGACCTGAGTTTGCTGTTTACTGTCTGCACTGTCCTGACTGAGTTTGATCTGACATTTGGTAAGAGTAGCCTGCAAAAACAACATAAAAAATCAACAATGAGAAACAAATATTCTATAAACATTTATATGGAAGCAGTAGAATAGCTTTATCATCAAGACTTGATACTAAGTTAAAAGAGAGCTTGAAACATTTTCACAATTCAGTGCTGTTATTATTTCTTTTTTTTTTTCCCTTGGAGACATCCCACATTTGAACCATTATGCAGCCTAGCTCACCAACAAGTTTTCCTATGGTCAGAGGAGCTGCAAAACTGAGGCTGGAATCTTAATGAGAACATAGATTCCTCTTTGTCCAACACTCTTGTTGAGTGTTTTTTTGTTTAAAAAAAAAGGAATTTACCCTTCTAGTTTCTTCATCATATTGATGTTGATTTTCACTGAGGACAGATTCCTCTCCTTCAGGGGATTTGGGTCTACAACAAAGCAAAGACAACATGTAGAAAATCAATATAAAATACTATTCTCAGCATAACTGTTTTCAGAGAAGACAACAAATAGACACCCTAATGTTCATACTAACCTTTGTCTTGGTCTCAACTCCTTCTTTTGTTGCATTCCAGTAAGGGGAAACAAGCCATTTCTAGGAAAAGAAAAGAAAAATTCCAGTTACACTTCAAAGATACCATTGTCTGCAGAGGGAGTCAAGTCTTACCAGCCAAATGACCCATTCATGTTGGGCTTAACTGACATTCCATGCCACCTCCTTCTCTAGTACATTCACACATTATGACCAATGTAAGTACCATATCATCTTTTAATTCATTACCACATTTAGCAATGTTTTAGGATTACAGTCAGGCATTTAATTCTTGTTGCAAAGATTAAACAGTCAAAATGACAAGAAAATGAAACAGAAGGTATAGCCATTTAGAAAGCTGTAAAACAAACAAAAATCATGAATAACAACCCTGGCTTGGTATGATTGCATTTTCAACAACTGTATATGTTGACTGACCTTACTTCCTCCAAGTACTTTTCCAGTTCCAGTGCAGGAGACTTTCCTCGCCTTTCAAAACAAGGTGATAATCAGTAAAAGAAACTTTTGATGTGTATTGGTGATTGGTCTTTTTTTCCAATCTCTTCTAGAATATGTCAAGGAAAAAATCAAAACATTTCTTTTGTCATTTTATCCTGACTTTCTCTTGATTGTGTTCAGATGCAGGTTATTTTTCACATGCTTACTAAAAATTTATGATGATATTTAACACACAGCTTTGGTTTCTCAACTAATATATATAATAAAAGTCATACTTCCAATTCAGTTCCTTTCCAATGGTTGCTAGCACTCTTTCAGGATCAGTGTCTTCACGATTGTCAGGAGGAGACACTAGAAAGATCAAGTGATTGACATGTAATTTCTCATGACAGTTTCAATATCTTACCCGGCAAATGGGAAATGAGAATTAACAAACCAACCGAGTAAAAAATTTAATCTACTATACCAGTATATGGAAATAAGCTGATGCTATTGATGCAAAAATAAGAAAATTTACCATCATTATCCACCATGCAGTGTGCTGCAAGCAACTTGAGAGGATGAACCTACAAAGGGGGAAAAGTTTCTGATTAATTAAACAATCACAGAGTGCATAGTTAGCACAGAATTGTTCGCAGCTTGATATACTGATGTTAATATATTCTACAATTCTTTCTATTTTCTGTAAACCTCTACAAAAAATACAGAAAATCTTGTGAAAAGCATGACATAAAACCCTGTGGATATAAAAAATGCCATTTTTAAGGGAGTTTGCTGCAGTCACACTTACCACAAACAGACTTGGATGCAGCAGCAAGTCTCTAGCAGTAGGTCTCTCTGCAGGATTTTCAGCTAAGCATCTCCGAATGAAGTCCTGTTGATAAACATCCCATGGAAAGAAGTGTTAAATAAATGGCATGGACAGACACTCTTCACTTCAGAATACAAAAATCTAAAAATATTCGTACAAATTGTAATCTGTGGCCTCATTATTAGTGCAATGAACTCTGAAGCTCCAAGTTTAAGCCTTGTTAGGCCAATGTATTGTGTTTCTGGGTAAGACACTATACTGTCACACTGCATCCCTTCAGGTATAAATGGCTCAGAAAATTGCCCAAGGAACCTCACAAAATGCTAGGGAGGGTGGGGTACGGTACACCTTGATAAAAAGACATCCCATCAAAGGGAGTAGAAGCACTTCTTTTCACTTTCTGCTAGAGAGACTACAATAAGCTCCAGAATTATGGGGCTAGTGCTTACATTGTTTATCACAGGAATGCAACCTGACAAATAATATTTGTTCCAACAGTTAATTTATGATCAAATAGTTAATTTATTCAGTGGTTAATACAACACTTTTATACCTGCTGGCGTGGTATAGTGGAGTTAGCAGAGTCTAATCCGGCAATGGCTTTGAAGACAGCATCTCGTGAAACTCGACCCTCTGTGTCATGAAGTTCCAGGGCTGCCATCTAGCAAGAGTTGATCAAAACTAAATTTCCTTTAACTTTTTCACAGGTAAAACAATACAAAATCAGACAATGGTGATCAAAATCATTAGAAAGCTGTCTTAAAGTGGGAAGAAATGTCCAAAATAAAAAACCTATACAACCATATGAAATGGGACAAACACCAACACTCCAATGATATGGGCCATAAATGGACTGAAAGGGTGAGGGGTGCAGTGTTTGAAGGAAAAAAGCCATAGATTACAGCAATAAAGTGGTGGCAGTGTACTCTCCAACTATAATGTTACAGCAATCTTAATCTGACAATCTATATTATACCCATAAGTATTACCTCAAGAGCACAAATTCCAAAAGCATAAATATCAACTGCACAGTCAATAATATGTCCAGGTTTTCCTGTAAGTGAAAGCATTCAAAACAGTTTTGTTGATAGTGGGTCTTAATTCCAGCAAATTTTCTTGTTTCAAGTTAAGTTCTATCCAGGACACAATTTTCTGAGATAATGTCTTCTCTACCAATAAAGAACAATCAAATAAATGAGGAAACAAATTTAAATTAAATAGTACCATATTCTGGGGCAATAAAGTGCATGTTCCGCCTCTCATCTCTGTATGTTTTTACATGATTGTGAATGGTATCAGGAGCAACTGGAAATGAAACACAAGATAATTACATTGAAGCAAGACAAAAAACAAATAGTTCTGATGAAAGCCCCTGATTAGCTCCAAAGCCTTCCTTACCTGAACCAATTTTGATCAATCCATTGTGCTGGATAAATATTGTGTCACAAGACAAGTTGCCATGCACAATGGGTGTTTCACATTCATGGAGATAGCTGTAAAAGGAAAATAAACTTATATTAAATAAAAATGATAAGGGAATAGCAGGAGAAAAGGGAACATTGTTTTTATCTTTCCTCTTGAGTTGGATAAATTATTCGCAACTTTAAAGACAAAAATCTGTGAATTTTCTACCTCAAGGCTGACAAAATTTGCCGTAACCATCTTTTCCATACCTGAAATGAAACAGTTCAAAGATATATATTTTCAAATTGAATTGGTTTTTCAAAACTCCAAGAAGCTATGACTTGAAAATAAGCTTTCTTGTAACTTATCTGTATCTGCTGCTCACCATTTAAAAAGCATATTCTGTAAAATATTAGTGCAATATTTCATCTTTAACAAGCCATACCTTCTCATTCAAGGTCTTTAAGCTCTTTCGTGTCTTCTTCAGGAACTGTTTCAATGATCCAGAAGTCATGTACTCAGTGATGAAGATGACCCGAGGTTTTTCAGGACTGGTATCTGTCCAAAACTTGTGAAATTTAACAATGTTTGCATGCTGTCGAAAATAACAAAAAAAGGTTTAGATTGTTTGTTACAAAAGCTTTCACACAGAGAGCAGGGATTTCCAGAAAATCAATTAAAGAACATAAAAAACTGAAAAAAGAGTAAAGCACTTTTTGATCAGACAGAGAAAAATCATAATAATTATAACAATTATAATTATAATTATAATTATCATTGTTTCTATTCTCATAAATATCATTGTTATTGTTATTAGCTTTTTCTTCAATGACTTACATCCAACTGGATCAGATTTTCAAAGACAGCTGTGACATTCTCCTACACATAGAAAAGAGAGCATATTAAATTAATAATTCAGACTATATTTTACAAGGAATGGTCAAAGTACCCTTGAGTCTTGAAAATTGCAACAATATCTTCAAAGAATATTGAGACGTTTCTTAATAAAGCGTACATTGAGAATGTAATAATCACACAATCATTAAGTTCATACATTTAACTGCAATAACTTGGATATACATGTCAGTATAAGTCTTTGTCAACATTTAAATATACCTCTTTACTTTTGAAGGATTTTCTTTCAGAAAACTGCACTTCATTCCAAACTACTTCAACACCTTCCTCTGTATCCATGGCTAAGAATGAATGGTCAATACCTGGGACATCTCTCTGCATCACCTTGAGAAGATGCAGTAAAAATCAAAATAAGTCTTACTTACTTTTCTGTGGAGTATTGACAGAAATCTGAGATAGTATTGCTTTCACTTAAACAAAGATACATTTTCCCAAATAATATTTATCCATTTGTACATTCATCATTATCTCGCCATTGATATATTTCACACTGTAACTAAATGCCCTGCAGCCGGGCACAGTCTAAAATAGACTAAATGCCTGGCAGTCAGAAATTTCCACAGCATTTCAACTGAAAGGCTATTTCAAACTTCTTGATAATATCAGATGGCTGTTTACAGATGTCATGTCAAGCAATTCCAAAAATCAATTTTTTGTTTAAGTGGACATAAATTATCTGAGCTCGTCCATCCCGCTGCCGGGCTTTTAGTCCCAGCGTATATGTTATGGACAAGCATCCTTGAAATTGTTTCCAGTTATACAATATTTTCTTCTCTTACGAGTGTAGCATCAATCATTTTTGAAAGTTGGGTACAACACCACTTTGGCAACTATTGGAGGCATACTACTTTTGGAAGCCCATGTATTGTGAATTCTTGAATAAACACGGACAAAGAAAGAAAACCAATTTTATTTTCGTTGCATGGTCAATCGAACTGGATTAATGATTGTACAGGGAGTACTGAAAACACGCTTTCAGCTGGACAGGCTGCTAGCGTTAATATCAATACGTACCTCTTGCCTTCTCTTCTCCCATCGTCCACATGGACTTTGCTCGACTACATCATCATCATCTTCATCACTTTCATCTCCGGAATGCTCGTTCCGGACGTCATTGATTCCAAGTGTTAAATTGTTCGCCATTTTGCTATTATTATTTTACCTTCTTGAAGAATGGCCGACTGCAGATAGTATTGACGAGCGAATGAATATGAAGACTGAGTTCTAGTTGACTGTTTGGTCGAAAGAAACGCAGGCTCAGGAAGGAAATAAGAAATGATTAGGATGTCTCGTGAAGCTTACATAATATACTGGTTAAGTGAAGGTCTTTCGTTACGAAATGGCGCAGGTCTTGCACGGTTGTCGATTAGATAACTTGTATTCTTCCGAAGATCAAGTTCAATAAATCACCTTTAAATTTAGAGGACTGCTGGTTGAGGTTATACATCACTGCTTCTAGATTCTTGAAGAGATCGGGAAATTCGTAGCTAGACACGATTCCGGTTAAGGTTTGTAGCCCTTTCGTTTTCATCCGCAAAAACATGCTTGTATTTTCAGGATGTTTGTTGCCCGTTGCAAGCTTGTCCGAACATAATTTATTTTTCTTTGCTTTTTCTTTATTGTGGTAAGTGAGGGGTTAAAGTGTACTGTGAAAAATCAGGTGTTTTTTCTGTTTTTGCTGACTCCAGGAGAATAATCCGCCTGCATATTATCACGTGATGTTGTCGATTAGCAGGACTCAACAAGCAGTTACGCTATGAAACTGAAAATCAATTTTATCTCATTACATTTTGTAGCCTTTTTATTGCCAAGGGTTTGTTTTTACGAGCAATGCAAGTTTTGATATATTTGCAATGTGGGAGTTTTGAGTCACAGAACTTGAACAACTTCTCCTTGCCCAAAGAATATCAAGTGGAATATGAAAGAAGGTATAATACCACAAATTTATTCTGAAATAAAGATGGCATTGGTAAAACGCAAGTTTCTGTTTGAGTAAAAGCCTTATTTTACTTCCTGGTTGTGGTAATGACCTCGGAAACCAATTAAAACCTGTACATTTTCAATTGTTAAAAGGTGCCTTGTTAACGGGTCCAAAAGGAACATTTTAACAGTACAATAGCAGTATAAACTAATACTGTGGTGTGGTTTATGTCTGATTGGTGTCTCTACCAAACATACAAATTGACGTTAATGGTTTAGAGTGAGGCTAACATTTTATTCTTAACTTTAGTTGTCAGTAACATATAGAGTAAACCTTTCTGTTCATTTCTAAATTTGTAGTTTATTCTGCAACCATGTCTCGTGGTGAATTTGGTAGTCCCTCATATGGTACCCTTTCTTCAGGTGTTAGAGTGAATTTTGACAGGCCATCATCCAGATACTCAGAAGGTAAAGTTGGAAAATGATGTAACATTGACAAGCATACTCAGTATACACTAGGCACAGTCATTCCTTTATTATTTCTTTGTTCTGTTTATTTCAGGTGATTTAGGTGAAAATTTTCAGATTCTCAGTGACAATGTTAGTAGCAACATCTTCCAAATTAACAACAACAGTGAGTATCCAATAACTGGTTATTTAATCAATACTTTTAAGTGCCTTAGTTGCGCTATTGTCTTTTAATGTCTCACACTACATGTGACATTAATCTGCCACAAATAATTGTAATGTATGATAATTTTGAATTTATTTTGATTTCCACTTAAGCTGCTGTATTGGAGCGCACCCTTAAACAGTTAACAGCAGGAAAAGATGGTCAAGAGGAAAAACTGTAAGTTGATTTCTGTCTTTGTTGATAAAATGTTTCATATACCACATATAGCTTTATCATCAGCAAAAGAAAAAAATATAATAAATTTAATTGTTACAAGTTTGATGATGAGACATAAGGAAAGCTAAGAAACTTGATGGTGAAATCTGTGGCCTGTTGTCCTGTTGAACCCTTATGGACCTGGCCAACCCTTGGAAAAGGAACTCAACCTTGAGAGGAGAGGTAGTGTTTCAAAAGAAGTCAATGAGAGTTGTACTCTTAGTATCCTCAATTAGCCTGACAATTCTCTTCTCTTTACAGTCATAGAATACAGATAGCTACAAATGACCTTGCTGGTAAAACAACTGCCATGTTGAAACAGATGAGTTCTTATTGCGTTGGAAATAGTCCTACAGTGGTAAGTGGCAATTTGAGCAAATAACAGTTCATTCATGTTAATGTCAGCTTTTTTGGTTAAAATAGATAGAAACTTCCTTTATTGAGGTATTTTTGCTCCAATAAGGTGTAAAGATTTGACCTTTCAATGTTCCAAATTGACTGTAGTGTCTTAATTGAGTCATTTTCAAGTTCCAAAAACTCTTACTTTTGGAAACGAGACTAGTCACTAAATATTTCATATAAAAACAAGTTTCATTTGCACAATTAAAAAAATTCATCTTTTTTTAAAAGTTTGGTATTTACCCTTATTTTGAAAAAAGAAACAAGCTAAATTAAGAACTAATGTCATGTTTTGACATACTATTAACCAAGCTAATACTATTTATAGCATTTGCTTGCTTGTAGACTATTTTATTTTTTATTTTTTATTTTACACTTAGAGGCATCAGCGAATACAACATGAAAGATTAAAGGGAGATTTCAGAGATTCAGTTTCACGTTACTACTCTGTTCAAAATGTAAGTAGTGGATAATTGCCACCGTTTTGCTTTCTTCAATTGCTTGACATGATGATTATATAATTATATACAATCATAGACTCCAATAATTATTAAAGTTGTTACAAGAAACAAAGAATGTTTTGACCAGTTTTTTATTATAATCTTGTCTGCTGTTACCCCTTGTAGAAAGTGGTTGAAAAGGAGAAGCTTCTGGTGGGCTCAACAGGACTTTCACAGGTGATCAGAAAATTGTTTTTTAACTTTTTGGTTTTATTACGAGACAGTCTAACATGTGAATATTGCTCAAGTAACAACTCTCAATTCAGTTTTTCTATCATCAACCCACATAAATTCTTTTAAATAGATGAATTTTTTATATTATACCTTGCATCATCCAGTTTTTAGCAACACCTACCTTTTTTGATCAGGGGGGGGTGCAGAGAAGCAACTTCTCTGTAGTAAGGAGGTCACCATGGCAATCAAGTCATAGCTGACAGCTCTGACTTGGTTTTAACCTTGTTTAAATTACAGTTAGCTGGACTGAAACTTTTAGAAACCCTTTACTGATTGTGGTAATTTATGTGTTAACCACAGAGGCAAGATAGTAGAAGATATGGAGATGATGAGTTTGGAAATGAGAAAAGTGGCTTAATGGAGGATGATCTTAGGAGGTAAATATAGAGAATTTACACATTTCTCATAGAAATTATGATAATGATAAAAAAATTACTTGAATTATTTTTAATTTCCTAGTGCAGGCAAAAGACAATTTTTCCTTCATGTTTCTGGCAACCATTCTGTCCATAAATTTATGGCAATTAGAAAAAATGTAAAAATTGCATAAGTTTGGATACTAAACCTTCCCATTTAATATATGTTCTAACTTGTTGTATATGGGTTGTTCTAGAATGACAGAAAATAGTTTCTCCCTTGTTTCCTTATTTTTAGCTGAAAATTGCTTCAAATTTGGAAGATTTCCTCAGGGCAGTCTATTGCTTCATTTTCAACCATCCTTATCTCTGTTTATTTAATTTATCCAATTCTAATACCATTGACACCAGGCAAGAGGAAGAGCAGTTGGACATGCAGATTGACATTGATCAATCACTGATAAGAGACAGAGAGGACAGAATCCGACAGATAGAAGTAAGTCTGGGTTATATTGTTATTTCAATCTATAAAATAAGCAACTAAAAGGTGAAGTTTGGCGACAATTCAATTAAATTGTGCAAAAGAAAACAAAATCTATCTTCTCATTGCTATTCATAACTTGATATATATTTATTGGCATTTGTGTAAAACTCTGGAACTGTTGCCTGAGTGCAATCTTTTAAGTGGAGGGTTGGCTGTATACAGGCCATGCAAGTTATGCTGAAGTATTTTACTTTCTGCATTTTGTAGGGAGATGTTCTAGACATCAATGAAATATTCCGAGACTTAGCAACTATGGTTTATGAACAAGGAGATCTTGTTGGTAAAAAGATAATCTTGTCAAGTTTTGAATGTAGTTTTTAGTAATTTTCTGATTTGTTTATATAACAGATGGAGAAATGACACAGCCTTTTGCAGTTTTGGAACCAACTAGCCAGTTAAAATACTGTATAATTAGAGATTTTCACATTGAATTCAATCAATTAATCAAGCAACTTGTTAATTTCACATCATGCAATGAGGTTACCCTTACATCTGAGTCAAAGGCCTATGTCTAAAATGAATGACAAAAGATTGAAATGTTTTTGTATGCTCTAATTTTAGATTCGATAGAAGCAAATGTTGAACGAGCACAAAGTAATGTGGAGGGAGCTAATGTCCAACTCAGTAAGGCCAGTGTATACCAGGTAAGGCAGTGGTTAAAGATCACACAAATTTAGAAAGTTTGTTTTTGGTATCGTTGTTTAGGGTAAGCATATCCTTGTGATAGTCTGCTGGTACGAGACTGACTCGTGTAGCTTTCAGAACCAAAACAGGTTTCTTGAGTATAAATTGACGGTAAGCATTGCTAATTTCCAGAACAGGATATCATTCCTTTGGAGGTTACCTCTATTATTTCGTAAATACTGAGATTTGCAGTGTGAAGTACTATTATTTGTGTCACGGCTTGGACAAATGGTGTATTTTCACAGTCATTCGCTCCAATCTTTGAAATGAAATGTGAAAAAATCTTAGTATGTATGAAAAGAAACATCATACCATGGAAAGTGCTTGAACAATTCTTGTGTACTTGTTGCAATGCATCAAAAACTCATTTGTTCACTGTGCTCAATCATTTGTTTTTTCATGCATGGCAACTCAATGCTAAAAATGGTTGGTGTACAATTTCCATGGAAGAATCTCTTTATATTTGTGAGCTAACTGGTTTTCTCTGTCTCAAGGGTTTTAACTGGAATTGAACTTATCAATGTTCCTGATAAGTAAGGGGAGACTGTCAAACAGGATTTGAAAGTATTGAGGGAATTGTTTCAGTAACATGTGCAAATACTGAACTTCAGAATTTTTTTTCCTTTCACAGAAATCAGCCCGTAAGAAGATGTGCATATTACTTGTTATTATTGCGATCGTTGGTGGAGTTATTGGCATAATTATTTGGCAAACAAATTAACAAGCATAATTTTGACAGCAAATTACTTCAAGATGAAGAATCAAATCAGTTATGGTTTCCCCCCTAGTTCCAGAAACTGTCTGAATCAATGTTTCATGAAATTGGCATAAGGTTTTGTAAGACTTGGAAAGAGTATCACCTGGAATATGTAAACATTATTGGAAAAAAAGCATGCAACAGTTATGTGTTTTTCAAGGAATATTTTATGGGTGTGACCTTTGGGTCATGATGAGGACTTTGGTTGAAATTGTGCTTGCCATACGTTCAATATATGAAAAGTTAAAGTTTATACATACAGGATGAAGTAAAACTTAATTCATTAGATTGGAAACTGAAGGATTACTTTATTTCAACTAATTGTTAATGAAATAAAAAGAGTTATGAAGAAGCCTTGTTGTTTAGTCCATCCATGTCCAATCCAAATTGGATTCTCACCTCGACTTCTCAGCTTTGAACTTCAGGGCCAGGAGGGGAAGGGGAACGAAACAAACCTCTGCCACACAAAGCTCCATAGAGTGTATAACACTGTGAGTTGCTCACTTTGTAAATGTCTCAGGCCAATTTATTTGCACGTAAAATTCAAAAAGTTCCTACGGCAAAAACCATTTCTAAGTTTTCAGTTAATAATCTGCTAAAAACAAAATGTTGTAATATTTTTGTACATCCCTAATTTTTTTTAGTTCTTGTACACAGTTGACTAGCTGATAGTTCTTTCCAGATGGAGAAATAATTGTGACAATGATGAATACCAACTCCTTCTGGGGGCCAACCTGACTTTCCTTATGCACAAACCAAATGTCACACCATGAACAGTAACTGTTCTACTGCTGAAGTGTTTATGCCAAACACTCTGTAGCTCTCACTAGTATTTTGTGTTCGTAGTTCCTATCTCATGTTGCCAAAGAGAGAGTATAAAATGCATCCAGGAGTCTCTTTAATCTGTGCTTTTAGTCCCTGTATCTTGCTTGACATAAGCCATGACATGGCCCATGATACAGTAGAGCTATGTTCCACTAAGTTTAAAACTAAAGATTTCTTGGCATGAAACATGAACTCTAGACTCAACCATTTTGAATCTTGAAATAAGCTAAAAAGTCTTCTTATAAATAGTTGCTAAATGAGCAAAGAAGGCGTTGGTTTCTTTCCAGGCCAAGCTTCCTTAGCATACTTCTTCTTTTTAGGAGCTTCTGCAATTATCATTGTTGCATTTTGCACAACAGGCCCAGTAGGGATGGGCTCTGGAGCATGATGGACAGGGACCTCAGCCAGCTCTGGTGAGGATACATCAGGGGCTGATGTGATAGACATTCGAGGTTTATGTTGTGCAGTGGGTGAGGTAGGGCTGGTGGGTTCTGGTACACCTCCTGTGCCAGGGAGATTGGAGTAGAGACCCTGGGAGTAAGGAAAGCTTTGGAGGCGGCGCGTAATATTCTCTGTAAGGCTTCCAACTGGTGAAACTGGTCCTCGCATTTTCTGTAAAACAACAGACTAACTGAAATACTGAGAAAGAGCCCTGACTGCACTGTTCAAAAGATGATCAAGCTAACCAAGAATTAGTATACATTTTAGATTCAGCTTTAAAGCTTTGCAGTTAGATTGATTTTTATCTTTTGTTTTCTTCAGTTTTTCCTTACACTAAGATATAACCCCATCAAACATTGGCCTTAATATTTCCTTTACACTTAGAGAGATATATATATAAAAATATATAGGGAGTCTGCAAGTCGATTTTCCCGTGGAACAGTACTCAATACATTGAAGCAGAGCGGAATAAATATTTTAAGAGGAAAAAAGGACACAACTACTATTTTCCCGACAAGCCTGTTTTGTGAATCGCTTCAGTCTTCAGGGATTTAATGAAAGAATATTCATGTGACTATCGTGTATATATCAGGAAAATTTACATAATACGCAGTAAACTTAAAAACTTTAAAGTTCAGCTGTTGCATAGCAACGCTTTGTTTCTGTGTCGGCGTGAAGATACGAGTTCGTTATGCTTATTTAGTGATGAGAGGTCAGGTTGGTAAATTATCAGGAATTTCTCTTTTAGGCAGAGGTTGCATCTAGCTCTCCCTACAACAGCTCCAGTAAAAGATAAGATAATTTACCAATGACCATGATATATGACCAGATAAAAATTAACATTTAAAATGTACAGTACCTTGTTTGGAATAACAATAGATGTTTGAACCATATTTCTGAACTTTCCCACTGTGGGATCAATATCCTCTGAAATAAGAAAAAAATCAAGTGGAGTTATTGTTTTCAATGTTTCTGAGTGAACTCAACTTTTACAGATTATGAACAAAGATACTTCTTAGGAATGTCTGAATTCTGAATATGAAAGTAATATGAAAGTAAGATGCTGAATCAGTAATCTGATCATATTTAGAAGACCAGGCTATAAGTAAACCTGTGAACTCAGCATACATGTAAATCTCAGTTAGTGGAGCATCTGATTTTATAGGCTGAGGTTTTCTTCGTCTTACGCTTGTGATAAATACCATTAAATTTTTTCTATATCTTCATTGTGTAAATTAATTTGATAGCCAAGTTCCAGTTATTTTGAACTCTGTCTCTACATAAGTTGCTTTTAACATTGCTACCCTTACAGTTGTTAGGACACTGAATGTTAAAGTATCTGAATGTGTAATGTATCCTGGCAGTGAACTCTGCACCATAGCTGGTAGAAAATACACCCACCCACTTGGAACTAGTAAAAGTTTGAATCCTCATAAGCAATTCATACACCAACCTGATTTTTTATATCAGAAGGTATTCAATGTCAAAATTAATCAATTCGACCTAGATCTTTACCTGGATTAATAATTTCTTCTCCTTCTCTAAACTGGACAGATAATGAGGACCTCCGTTTCCGTTTTAAGGACGTGACACCTGTTAACTTTGTACTTCCTTCCTCTATGCCAAGAGATGAAATCCTTTTGTTATGTGCTGTGTTAAACTCTGTTAAGTCCTGTTTCCATCCAAAAAATATAGCATAGCTAAGAACAAAATTATATCTACAATTGCTATTTACATTAACTTACACATTATCTTCTGTTACTTAAGTCATTTCACAAAATGTCCAAAGCAGTGAGATGTTACCAGACATAAGTAAAAATACTGTAATTATTAGGTTATAAGGCATGCTGTTTTTTTCAAGATATTACTAATTTCTACTAAAAATTACTGCCAAAGTTTAGGTGCGTCTCATAGGCATATATTTTCCTGAAACAATTTTTTTTATCACAGTTACTGGTACAATTTCAAGCAAATAAAAGGACACAGTGTTGGTCATTGAATTTTATAAATATGGCGGTAATCAATGTATTTTTGCATAGTGTACTTGGTCATTGACAATCAAATACACTGCCCTTGTGGTTTATTTACCAGCTTACTTATCTTGAATATGCTCTTGGTTCACTGAGTGCTTAACTACCAAATTTCACCTTTTTGACCTCTCAATACATAAAAGGCTGGTCTGAACTTTGCAAACTAGCTGCTTTTGTTGACAGACTTTTAAAAATATATATTAATTATCAATTAATATGGTTCTGCATTCACTTTATAGAAGGGTGAGCTGAGTATAGGTTCTCTTTCTTATAAATAATAAAGGAAACATCCATGACTAAGACTTATGTTTACTAAAAACAGGGTGTTTGTTCAACTCACTGACCCTTACGAGTGACCAGCATTTTATTTCTTCTAACAATATCACCCCTGAATCAATGTCAAAAGAATAAATGAAATGATCAACAGCTGAATAATCCCTTGATTGTTACACAAATTCTCCTTATCAGTACTCTAGGAAATCAATGAAGAACAGAGTGGAGAATGCGCATACCAATGTTAGCTTGGGGAGGGTTAATTTAAGGTTTTCTCACTACAGGTTTTGAAGTAGTTGTTTGAAAGAAAATCAAAATGTTAATTCTCACATCTAATTCTGTGTCTGATTCAGGAAGTCCCAGTAATCCTCCTTTTGAACTTTCTTCATTATCATCCTCCATTTTTCCTGAATCATCTGCTTGTTTAAGTCCAGTATTTGGAATTGCTGGCTTTTCTCGTAGAACATAGCTTCTTGAAGATGCACCAAACCTTATCACACTATCTACCTGAACTTGTGTTGGTTTTTGAGGCTCCAAACGTATTGTGCCAATAAAAGTACCGTGTGCTGAAGAATATGAAAACAGAAACCAAAAACACATCTTTGTTAAGAATTATTGTAAAATAGTCCCAGCCTGTGAAATTTTTAACAAGTTGTACAAATTGCCCTTTCATAACAGTCAGAAGAGTTTAAGGGCCTCCTGATATCAGCCTCATCAATTGGACTGCCTTAGTACACTATTTCTGACCTTGCCTCAGTATTATGAACTCAAAAACTCCTATCAGTGAATGATCAGCACCTTACTTCTCCTTAACATTTCAAAATTAAGGCTTCAACAGAGAAGGAAATGAGAAATAAGAAATAACAACTACAGGGACGCTGTCTTCTCAACACTAGCTAACAAGTAAGTAATGAGAAAGAATAAGACAGGTTACATTTGACTAGTTGGGGACATTTGATTAAGCTTGCAGAACTTCTCTCAGATTTATACCTTATACACTGAAAGTTACTCACTGCTTTTAAGATCAATCAAAAATGATCTATTCAGGTGTTTGTGGAAGACCAGAGCTGCGTGGACTCGGGAACATGATGTATGTTCCAAATTAAAATCACAAGCCTCTTTGTTTCTTCCAAATAAGTAGTATGGCTTCTGATCAATAATCAGTTTCTATATCAAGATATATTCAAAATTGCATAAATATTTTCATGACAAAAATAAAAGAGCATAATTAGTAATCATAGAAATGAATCATGTTGTCACCAAAAATATTTCAAAAGGTTTATTTTATTGTGCCAAGTGACCCACTAATCTTGGCAGTCATTTCAGTTCCTTGGCATGAACTAACAAGAAAATATTTGGCTCTTGTTCATGACCAACCATATGGGTTAGTATCTCTCCCAGTGTCATAATCAAAGCTTAAAGATTACTCTGTAAGTCTGTCTGAGGAGTAATAACACCCATCTATACTCAAGATGAGATGCCTAAAGCTCACCCACTGCTGATCTAGCACATTGAAACCATGCAAACCAGCTGATATGGAAGCACAGTCTGTTCTAGTGCAATGTATCGAATTCATTCATGGACCTTTTAACTTTATTTTTCCCTAGACTCTCCATAGTAAATGACAGAGAAATTCCAAGTTACAGTGCATCTTTTCAGTAATTGATTGAAGAACGAAAAAGTAGCACAAGAGTGCACACACTACTGCTGTTCTAACACACAATGACATCTTCACGATTATTGCAGAACAGAAGCACATAACCATGGGGTCTAATTGTTTTATGGAAGGGAGCAAAAACTTCGTACGTGGTGACACGATATATGCGTCTGTCCTTCAATGTATATAACTAGCAATCAATCAAAATGCATGTATAATTCAGCTTTAATGTTTTAATGGATATAAATCCTTCAATATGACTTTAAATTAACTAATGCACCGTATAATCGACAACAAAAAAAGAGTAGCTTACTTCTCAATAATTGAGCTATAAAACTTAACACGTGTTTGTGTCTATAGCATGATCTTTGGTATTTGTTTTGATCTAAGAGGTTTACCTCCACTAAATTCGTCTGTTTCATAACATCTAGATGAAGTCCCTGTGGTGGTTTTCCTGCCCTGAGAGAGATATCATTTGTGTGTTCATATAATCACCAAATAACAAACCAGGTGATCTCTAAAACCTTACCAGCCGGGCACGTCGAAAGGTGGATTGTTCGCAGGGACAGAGGTTTTGGTGGCCGCCATTTTGGCTCGCTCTGTTCTTCCGAGAGACTGGTACTCAATAACTGTACTAAATATCCCGGATGTATGCTTCCCAGGATTCACCTGTTTGAATTTCCCGCCTTTACCTGACTTCCGTCTTAGTGAAATTAACAACCTCTTGCTCTCTTGCGCAGTTCGTTCAATCGTATCACGATGAGAGATTCCCATCGACTTTTCTTGAAAAGCCTGATGTCTAAACAGTTTCTTTCTGAGAAGGAGACTAAGACTCTCTACCAGAAATCTTACAGCGCCTTTGGAGGTAAGAAAAAGGTCTCAGTTGCTTTTCCTACCTTATTTTAGTTATAGAAAATCTGCACGAATACTGGTCGAAATTTATCATACGTTAGAAATAACCCCATCAAGCGTTTTGAAACGATTTCAGATGAAAGCCTTCCAGAAGATTTTGAAGCATTCTTAGCAACTGTTAACAAAAATTTGAAACCTTTCTTCATGGAGATCAGACGAGGAGTTTCGGAAGAAGATGGAGCCGTCCATTTCGGTTTGGTAATGTGTTGGTGATTGTTTTTGTGTCGGAAACTTTTTTATTTATGATCGTTGACTTAACACGACAGGCCTCTGCAACTTTTTTTTACCCACTAAAGCACCCTGATTTGGTTTTTTTTTCTTTTTTCAATTAAAAATAATTTTGAGTGTCTTGCAATACACAGATCACAAATTTTAAATTGCAGGGACCAATCACATTGTTTTTGTTTGTTTTTTTTTGTTGATGTTGTTTTTGTTTATTTTCTTTTTTGTGTATCTTGCACCAGTCAGACTGGAGCTGCAAACTAACATCCAATTTAAATGGAGACTAAAATGCTTCAGGTCAACGGGATTGTGGCATGCTATTTGTTTTGTTTTGTTTTGTATCTTGCAGTAATCAATAAAGGAATGTGATATTCTTATTTTATTTTGCTACACCAATTCTAAATATAGGAAATAAGTTTTTTAATGAAAGTTCTAATATGACGGTGTTGTGTTTACACAAGGTATGTAAGAAGGAAAAACTGCATGCTTTCAGGGAAATAATTGTTGGAACTATCTGTTCCTTCCTCCCAAGGTCAATACTACAGAGGACGAGGCTTCAAAACTGGCGACAGATTTTTCTCCAAGTGATATTGCATTCTTCAAGAAAGCTGTAAGAATACATGTAGAATTAATTTACCACGATATAAGAGCATCTTGAAATTAACTTTTCCTAATTCTATGTGGATGAACAAATTGAATTTGGTTCAGATATGAAAATTTTCATAACCTTCAAGGACCAAACAGACGAATATGAGATGACTTCAATGATATGAATGTTTTCCCTTCAAAGCTGCTTCATGAATAAGTAATGCTTGAATTATGGAAAAACACTTAGGTTCAAAGCTTGTGTTTGTATGTCTGTGCAGATGGACCTGATAGTTGCCTCTCCAGGTGGGTTGGCATCATCTGTGGAGATACTCAATGCTGCACATGAGTTGGAGAAAACCATCAAAATAAAGATGAGTATGACTCATGCTGAGAACCTGGTTGAAAGACTTATTAAAGATAAATGGATGTCAGAGGTCAGTCCATACTTATTAACAATGTTGAGACTTAAATTTAATCAACTCTCTGATTTTCCAAAGTTATAAGGAAATAGTTTTTCCTAAGAATTTTAATAGTGGCAGATAGGTGATGATAATAAATAAAATTATAAATCAAGGGATATAAATATTCTAAGAGATGCTGTAGAGAGGAATTGATGATCATTAGTTTGTAGAATTGTCAGTAGATCTTGGTACTGGATTCAAAGGTTACTTGATGGCTTTCACATTTGACCAAGCCATATGATTCTCCAGTCAAAGGTAGATGTAGTTGTTGAAAAAAAAGAGCTAAACTCTGACGTCACAACAGAATATATATGAACAGTATTCAATTCATGGAACTGGTTTTTTTCATTTCAGTTTTCAGGGTCATACTCTCTAGGACCAAGAGCAATGTTGGAACTACGTCCATATCTAAAGCGAGTTTATGAAGATGAAATAGTGGACTGTATGATTTGTCATGACATAGCTGTAAGGGTTAGTGCCTCTACTCATACGGTTTTTGGTCGATAGTTGTTAGATTTTGCAAGGGTTTATCTCTTTCATATTTTGACAAACCACTTTTGAAGTGCGACTGTTTAATTTTATGTCAGGGACAGTGTTGCACTCAGTGTGATGGCAAGCTTCATAATCATTGTGCAGCTCGCTTCTTTAATGGAAGGTAATTAATGTACATTTTTAAAAAAATACAGATTACAAGTGTGAGGTGTGGTGCACTTTGGATCAAATGTAGTGAGATTTAGTGATCACTTTGAATAGAGCCAGCTTGGGTAGTGTGTTCAGACTGATGTATTTGAGTACTTTGATTACACATTTATGTAACCCTTGAAGTTTAAAAGTGACACATCATGAAATAAACATTTTAACCATTTCACTCTCACACATGATGAAGAAGTAATTCTGCTCTAAAATATCAGTACAGTATAGGCAATGAAAATGAGGAAAAACATGAACTTGGGAACATTACTTGATTAAACTCTAAATTCTGGCAACTAATTATACAAAATGTAAAGCAGAGTAAGGATAGTCAATTTTGAATCTTGGAAACGAAAGGGTATTGTTGCATCCTTCAAAAAAAAAAGATTGGAATGTTCACATGGGAAGAATTATTGTCAGGATGAAGAGCCAGCTGAACTTTGTGTTTAAGGAGATAACAATTTTGACAGAGAAATAAAGAATTGTAAGGCAGGATCTCAGATGCTGATCTAGCTTAGTAGATATAGGTCTTTTGAGGAACCCTTAATCTGCTGGTAAAAAATCCTTGTGTTGTTTGATTAAACCCAACAGAGCTCAGAAGACGTGTCCAAACAAACAGTGTGGTGCTATGTGGACACATAGAGTTCCTCAGTTGTCGACGTCATCTCCTTCTCAAGTGAATGGTAAGTTAAATCATGTAAAACTATTTTAAAGATTGTTATTTTCTGGTTGTAAAAGCAGTTACCTATTTCTGTCATTAAGAAATTGTTTACAAGTATTTGGCATATGCTTTATAGACAGAGGTGTGTTTGGGAAGGCTAGAAAAATCTCCTGATAAAATTTGAACATTTTGCAACAAAGAAATGGAGAGAACTTTTAAATATCAGAGGACTTGCTTGCAAATTGATATTTTAAGTCAGGTAACAGTACTGATGTAGTTCTTAATTCTCTATGCTGGAAAAAAAATTAAGAAGTGTATAGAAAAACAGGCATAACTAATGTATGCTATTGTGTGTTCAAGGTGAAAGTAATACCGCAGCTGGAAGGCATCACAAAAAGAGGAGAAAGAATACAAAGTAACACAGACTTTGATATATGAGGAGACAAACAGAAAATTGATTTAAAAAATTAGGAATATTAGACTTTCATGTTAAGAGCACAGGGAATTGTGAAAATTTCCACCAGCAGTTTCACCACACTCTCCGTGTAAAACTAAATTATACTCAGCTAATCTGCATCAACAGTCAATTATAGTGGTAGTAGGAACATTTTAAGTTATTACATTTATAAGCCTGAATACTCCAAAATTGTTTTCCCTTTTTACTTGAATGTATGCCAAAAATTTATACTGACGTTCTTAATAAAACAATATTTATACTGAGAGTTCCAGTGTTAAATGACATTTTTCTTTCTTTCCACTTTTCACATTTTAGGTAGTTTTGTGGTAGCATCTTTGAGGATATCACATTAAAAAGCATGATAATCCCTGTTGTTTTGGTTTGCTTTTTTGTGTTGTTTTGCATGTTTGTTTGTTTGTTTGTTTGTTTGTCTTGTGTGTGTGCTTATTGCATTTCTTTCCTCCATTTTGGTGAGTTTTTGTTGAGTTTCTTGTCAGATGATGTTCCATCACTGATGGAACAACCCCTCAAAACCAAAGAATCTAAATGCCCCAGCTGAATCTGTTGGAAACAAACCAACAAAAATGCAGCATTAAGCTGTGATAGGTGATGTATAACCAGTAAACCTTATAGTTAGATGAAAACTGAGAGTAAATGGCCAAAACATTTTAATCTTCATGTCACAGGTCACATTTCAAGGAACTTTCTTTTAAGACAAAACACCGTACTTTATTATTGCCCTTCGCCACTATAATAAGTTATTAAAATCTATTTGGGACATACACATTAACATGCTATTTTATACTAGTCAAACTATACAAATAACTTATAAATTCTTGGCATCTAAAACATTTTTGTTATTGCTCTAACTATGATAAAAAATTTTATTGAAATGTGAAGTAGTATTCTGCTCTGTTTCTTTTATGGTTTGGTGATGTTCCTCTTCTTTTCTGAATGACTAGAGTTAAATTGTATGTACATATATATATAATCATATTTCTTAATCTTTTTTTTCACACTCTTATAACTTTAGTAACTGACAAAATGTTATGTAAATAACAAATGAAACACTTAATTTTCACATAAAAATGTTGTTGATTTTGTGCTAGTTTTTAAATTGATTAACTCTTGTAACAATATTTACACAGTGAATTAATTACTGTTAATAAGGCCATTAAAACCTTATACTATCTGTGCATAATCATTTTACATGCATAATTCTAGGCAAAGCTGTTTAATATTTCTGTTTAAATACTACTAAGACTCAATCTAGCAAAGGAGAAACCTATGTCCTGGGTAAATTTTGCATAATTTTTATACCACAAGTATCTTTTTTTTTTCATTAAATCTTGAACCCCCAGAAATGATAAGCGTATAACTTTCTCCTACAACTTTAATGCAGTGATTGCCAAACAAGTTTACCTAAACAATTTTAAACTTAAAAATATCAGAGAATCAACACAAGTTTATTCTTCATGCAAAATTCCCAAAAAACAGACTTCCCTACATGTCTCTTATTAATTTACATGGAACTGACATATCTAATGGCCTGACTCACCAGCCATATGATCTTTTCCTGGAATTTCTATTGAGTGCAGCCAGAGAGGAGAATTACTACCTAGCTCATGAGGGTCAAAAGGTAAAACTACCAGTACTTGCTGCTAAATAAAATGACAAAGGTTCACTTCAGGCATATTGATGCTTGATGCTCTGATTGCTTTATATAACAGCCACACCCATCCCTTCTATGGCAAGAGGTAATGAGGAAAATTCCTCCCACTTGTTACTCAAGGGATCATAGCAATCAATCTTTTCTGTTTCAACATTTAAGCAAGCACCACCTATGGCATATAGTCTGTCATCAACTGCCACTACTCCTGGACTCTCTCGTCGCGTCAGCATGGGGGGTAAAGATAACCATCTGTTCATCCGTGGATCAAAACATTCAACAGAATTGTGATCCTCGTCATAATCACTACCACCAACCACAAATATTTTGTTCTTTAATACTGCAGCACCAAAATACCTCCGTCGATAGCTCATAGCAACACAAGCACTCCAGCGATCCAGGCGTGGATCATACCTCTCAACTGTGTTTAAGATTGACACACCATTATCACCTCCAATTGCATAGATAGCACCATCTAGAGTTACCATGGCAACACCCTCTCTCATTGTGCTCATGGGCTTCATGTGAGTCCAAACATCTCTGGAGAAAGAAACAAGACAGATTTCCACATGTAGGAATTTTAAAGGTGGGGGGGGGGTAAGCTCGTCAAATTTAGTCTCTGCTAATTATTGAAAATATTGGGTTGATACTGATGAATCTATGAAAAATTCACAAAGGGTGTCCAAGAAGTTAGGCTTCAAAACCTTGCTGCTTAACCACACATTTTATTAGGGATAGTGCTCATTTATTTATTTTTCCTCTTTTTCCAGGTTAAGATATCTGTATAAAAACTGTATTTAACACTGTGCAATGGATATATCATAGTAATCTAATTGGTGACTAAGAATTTCTTTTCAAAAACAATCAAATTAACATCAACCTGACTGGGTCATATCGCTCCAAACTGTTGTATTCAGAACGGGAAAAGTCACTTCCTCCAGATGCATACAACCAACCATCTAATTCTACCAAACCAAAGGCGTGTCTTCCACATGCCATAGGCTGAACATATGTCCATTTATCTGTTGCAGGATGGTAACATTCCACAGAGCTGAGAGCAACATCACCATCACATCCTAAACAGGAAATGAAATTATTCAAGACATCTTATTTATAATAACTATCAAATTAATAAGTTTAACAGCCAAATGTAAGATTATCAAGAAGTTTTGAATTAAGTTAACATAGTACTAATACAACTTTCTACTTGTTAATATTGTACATTATTTATTTCTAAAAGTTGCTTTAACTTTATAGAGTTTGAAAATAGTGGGTCTAAAAATAAAGATTGTGGTGTTGAAAGAAAGATTGTAGTGCAAATCTATAACAATGGGGTCATGTTAAATCCTTAGAGTTCATGGTCATCCACATGTCTGATAAGATGCCAACTGGGTAGTTTGTTTGCATGTGTACTGCAACTGCAGCTGAAACCAGAACTTTCATGTCTACAAAAAGCTAACTTGCTAACCTCCTGCAGCATAAATATGTCCACTGTATACAGCGACACCTACTCCATCCCTATGCTTGTTCATAGGTGCAACCTCATCCCATGTGTTAGTCTCAAAGTTAAACCGTCTAACACTGTTGAATACTCTATTGTGTATTTCTCCCCCAACAATGTATATCATTGTGCTCCCAGCCTTGCGCCTGGCCTCTGTCACAAATGAAATCTGGTCACGCCTCTCAGGAAGCAGGTGATAGTTTTTTGCTTCACTGATTAACCTCATACAGGAGTCATTGCATTCCACCAGTTTCTCACTTTCAATACAGTCAACTGAAAATAAAAAATTGCCTTTAATGGAAGGAAGAGGATAGTGTTGCATCACGTGTAATCATAATAATAATATTAATACTTGATTGCAAAAAAATTAATTACCATTATTATAATCATAATTATTATAATAACATTTAGCTTTGGTTTATTTGGTAACATAAGACTACAGAAGAAGAATAAACATGATTTCAAATTTACAAAAGGAATAAAAAGGAAATGCAGTAAACATTTTCAATGAAAAATTTAAGCAGAATCAGTAATAAACATCTATCACAAAGAATAATAACATTTTTCGTTTAAGCCATACTGCAGACTCAAACTAGTCAAAATATTAAAAAAAAAAGTCGATTCCATCTGCTAAAAGCAATTTTGGTGATATAAAACTGAAAAGTTTCATTTCAGTAATTTCCTCGTTTCGTTCTGTTCAGTTTTAATTTCATTTCCTTGATATCAAAATCGACTCTCATTATAAAAAATCACGGAAATAGATTTTTAAGGTGGACACGTTTAAAAGTCTCAAAAGGACTTTAGAACAGCTACAGAAATTAAACAGTTTTTTTTTTTTCGATGAAAGTGAAACGATAACCTACTTGCGTGACTTGTGAAATCGAACTTCCATATCAGCAGGACATTCGAAAACGAGAATTTCTAACACGAGAATATCACGAGAATTTTTCTTTCCTTAAGCAAATAAACAACATGACTTGAAATAAATCTGGAACATCCTGACTGAAGTAAAAATATAATAAAAACGAAAATAATAAAATATTAACAATTTTTCAATATAAAAAGAAAATATTTCATACGGAAATATTATTTGCATTTTGGGTTAAATGTGTATATTAAATTATCTCGTAATTTAGTTGATATATCTTTGTATGATATTCTTACCTAATATTTTCGGTGGTAGTAACGGGAGTCTAATGTCTTTAAGAAATTGTGGTAGGTGTTGCTTCCGTCTGGGTTCATCGTAACGAATCCATTGTATAACAGCATCGAATACTTCTTTTTCACTTGCTACATCAAGGAAATCACTCTTCGACATGATTGATATCTGCTCGCTGGTGGCGTTGAGAAATTCCTCAGACTTGATGACCTCGAGGAAATGTTTTTCTGCGTAGGACTGAGCGGCATTTTTGAGTTTATAAAAGCCGTGATGGTCCGCAAAATCTCCGATCCCAAGACAATTAGTGGGATGTAATTGATTCTTCAAAAATCCACAACACGATTCGATGATTGTACTGAACTGCAGTAAATTCGACACCGATAGAAGATTTTGCACGTTTTTCTCCGTGATTGTTATGGTCGATGTGTAGCAAAAGTTGACAATAAGATCTAGGGCTTCGTAGTCTATTCCTTTGAGGGAAATCCTCTCTTGAACGCTCTCACACATGTCCGTGGTAAACATTGAATAAAAGTAGGCACTATTCGCGGCTAAAATCACACGGTGAGCTCTGATTTCTTGTTCATCGACGATCAAAACTACGTCACAGAGTTCCCTTTTTATATACAATTTCTTTAGCATCTCCAGAACATGGCAAGCGTGGAATGAGTCCTTGTAATTGAGGACTTCCATCAAGCTTTCTCCGTCCATTGCGGCGGCCATTTCCTTTGTTTATTAATGTATATCCCAAAATACACTTAGAGCGTCGCTTCATACACCTGGTATGTTCCCAGGGAAAACCCTAACAAGTGAACCGTGAGTTGTTTCACATAATTGGTTGCCCAATAAACCAAAAACATTCCAATATTTATCACGGTTTTTCAAATTTGAAGGTTCATTTCCTAGACAGAAACAACACATGGCCAATCAAAAGCTTGTAAAACTGATTTAATAAATGGTGTTAATTTAAGCACTGGTATAAATTTTTTTGTGTTGTTTGATGTTGAAGTAATAACATTGAATGATAATCCATTCAGGCTTTGAGAAAATCATCACAACACCATGACTATACAAGATGAAATGTAAGGTGTCTCTCTTTGCAATGTTCCCATTGTGCATTATTAACCTTTGATGGCTGAGGGAAAACAAGATGTCACTCTTAACTATCAATCATAATTTAATCAACTTGTATTCTGATTGCGGAGGCTACATGAGAGGGTTGACCCTACACTACCAACTATGTTATATCACAACCCTTCAGGTAGAAATGTCATAAGACTGATCAGGCACACTTACATTCTATAAAATTTTATTCACTAAAAAGGTGTCTTATAATAATTACAAGAGAAGGGATTTTCACTGTAAGATGTATTTCTTTGACTATAGTAATGATACAATAAAACTCTAGGTTCTTGTCACACTATAAAAGTAATTAATTTACAAAAATATCAAAAACCTCTTTTAACAAATAGGTAACACAGTAACATTGTCTGAATCAATATTTATTTTATCTCAATATTTTCATGCCTCATAAGATTAATACCTCTTTAAAACAGACACAAAGTGAGCACCTTCTGCTAAAAACTGTCAGTTATCTTTTAATATCTGCTCTTGTTAAACAGGAAACCTCTCCACAACAGCATTTAATCCCAAAGTTTTATATTTCAGAAAAGTTAAGTTTGGCACCACACAATAGATCCAGTGCTTAGAAATACCACTTGCATTTTAAGAAAATGGTTTTGTGGATGTTAATGATCACTTTCTGACTGTTATAGTGACATAAAAAGAAACCTTTCAGTAATCACAATGGCCCACTAACATGTTACCAAGATGTTTTGAGATCTTATCATGTTCAAACTCTTTAAGGTTAATAAAGAATTATTATCAGTTTGAAATGGATCTGTATCATACAACAAAGTTTAGTTTTTACACATCTGGAATATAACCTACATGTGACTTTAACATCAACCTCCTTCACTTAAACAGTATAACGTTGTAGAGATAACTTAAGAAATGCTGGAAAACTCTTAAGGGCAACAGCCATCTATCATGACAAAAAACTATTTTAGTTGTTTACACTTTTTACACCATAGCTGCTCACATTTTAAAAATTCCTAGGTTATGTGCAAAATAATCCAGACTTACATGACAAAATATGCAATTGACTTTCCAGTCCATTGCTGTGATAAGTACAGTATATAAATCTCACACTTCTTTTGATGTTATTTAAAAATTCAATATTTCATTGATCCAGCTTCTCAAACATCAAAGTTAGTCCTTCCACAAAATATCATAAGACACTGATTCAGAAACATCAAACCAAAGACATTATTTTCCCTAAAGAAACCTAAAGAAAACCAAAAAAAGTCCAGATGACACAGTTTAATTTGTGTACCAAAAATTCAAAGTAAATCTTATCATATTATTTACACTGTATACAAGTGAATATTAAAAAAAACTTTAAATTCACTGAATGTTAAAAATAAAAAAAGAAATCAAACTAGAACCTCAACATTTCTGTTCGAGGGACTAGGTCGCTTTACATTTCACAGCATATATCCTTCATCTTTCAAAATTTTTGTTCCTGTCACAATCCTCTGCAATGTTCCACATTGCAATTCAAAGTCATTCCCACTTGATTTATTAATATTCCTTCATTTTTTCTATCTTCTTATGTTTTAATCTAAGGTTTCTCCATTTTGATGACAGAAAAAGAGGAAGCAAAACATTGTGACATAGCACCTTTCAATATTTTGTTTCAGGATTTATTTACCATACCCCTCAGCAGATATACAATTCAGTTTTTCAATGAATATTTGCCTGCCAGCTCTCATTCCTTCAGCATGATACTCACACCAGAGGTTGCCAAACATCGGTCTCACCCTGGTTCACACCTACAGACCTTCGACTCACACATACTGCACTCTCCCCACTATGACCGACACAATTGGATAAACAATCAAAGAGAAATAAGTTGAAACAATTGGAGAAAAGACAAGGCTTTGCTAAAGATTCTCCTTTTCCCCAACACTCCAATTCTAGAAGGGACACTAATAAAGAAACGTTTGTATAAAAATCTTATGAGAAAGCTTTCGAATTTTTCATAACGTGTTTCAAAATCTTCAGGCATCTGAATCCTCCCCAAAAAGTCTCACCTATATGACTCCACTGGAAATTCAAAATGTAATCAGGTTTGATTACTAGAAGAGTTTTGGATGACTTATAGAAAATATGGTTGCAAGTTCTGATAAACAGAATCACTCATGTGCAATACAAATTGTAACTGATCACATTCAACATAAGCTGTTGATAGACACAAAATGGAAAAACTTTGAATAAAACAAACCTTGCACAGCAATATTCAACAGATAATGTAGACAGAAAATTTGTTGTCAAGGGATAACTTCTGATAAATAACTTAACTTCTAGAAAACCACTTAAGCTAATTAATGCAAGCATAAAAACTGATCCACACACGAAAATGACTCATTGACAAGTAGGCCTTCGAGAGAATTATTAGTTTTAAAATTTTCATCTTAAGAACCTGCTTTGAAAATGTGTTAAAGAAATATTAATTTTAATACAAAATTTTCACATAGCAAGATAAAATTACAGTGATTCATACTGCATTGTGGAGGAAAATATGTTATCCATTTTATATCAGTGTTCTATAGAGAAAACAACTGTTCAATGCATAATCTTAAAATGAAAATGAAAAATTAGCAAGTGAAAGAAAGAAAACTTGTTTGAAACTCTAGACTCATAAAGTTAAAAAACCAAGGTAACTAAGCAGTTCACACATGCTAGGTCACAAGTTTAAAAGCTTGAACAATGATGAAAAATTAAAATGATAAAAACTAACCCTGTTTAACATGATATGATAAAATACCACCACTCTCCTGTTGCAGTTTCTTTTCTGCCAGCTCATTGACAGATTTGGCAAAATTGGTTTCAGAAATACCAAAGGAGAAGGTTGAGTTGATATTTAGACCTGAACTAAGTCTTTCCTACCAAGAGAAAATGTGATTCTAAAAGATAGCATGGCCAGATTGAGGCAAGGGAGGTGTGGTATAGTTGAAGCTCCCCTTCCCCAATCTATTACACAATGAAAACAAATTTCCTTGGGCGAAATATGCATATGGTGTATGTTTTTTTCAGCCCTCACAAATGAAGTTTTGTTCTTCTATCCCTGATTATTCATTGCTTTCTTGAAGATACTAAATTGTGAGCACTGAGTAATTGTTAAAAAATGCACTACATGAAACAATTTTTCTCTGTTTTCTTTTGCTGCATCCAAACATTACCAGTACGTAATGCTAACAAAATCTCTTCACATGTGTACAGATTAGATATGCAAGTCCCTCCGTTTATGAAATAAATAGAAAATGTGTGCCATGTATCATAATTGAATCACAAGTTGCTACAGTTCTAAAAAATAAACCCTAATAAGTTAATAAATGGTTAGTTTGAAGTCACTGAGGCTGCAAACAGTAATTGCAAAATTTAATTTTTCTATTCTAAAATAGTTTTTCATCCCATCCTGTGACTGCAATGAGAACCTTGGTATTAAAAAAATGCATATACTTTGCTAAAAAGGATAATAACTACCAATATGTAAAAATAGTGTTCTGTTGGTACTTCTTTATTTGCTTTCATTCTATACAAACGACTGGTCTTGTTTACTTCTGCAAGAATGAAAAAGAAATTAAACAGGTATCATTTGATGATGGATCAAGTTCAATCCAGTGACCCATCTGATAGCTTGAAGTTTCAATGAGAATTACTTATTTGCCTGGATGATATGCTAACACTTCAAAAATTGTAATCCACCTCACAGCATTTTTCACATTTCCCTGACAGGTTTCTTTCACCCATGTTTTAACATTCTAGAGTGGAGAGATGTGTTGGTAGGTTGGTTAAATTATACAGTAGTTTTAATACTTACCAGGAGATTAAGGGTCCAGTTTTTTATAATTAGGCTCTGTTGAAACAAAGTAGTCCTCTAACAGCGATTGAAGATATTCAAATGTTGGTCTGTCATATTCATTTGCCTTCCAACATTCCAGCATAATTCCATAGAGAGCATCAGGAGTATCCCTGGGTTGAGGCATACGATATCCACGCTCTACTTGGGCCAGCACTTCAGCATTTGTCATGCCTGGGTATGGTACACGTCCTTTTGTCACCAACTCGGTCAGCAAAATTCCAAATGACCATACATCTGACTTGATGGTAAATTTGTTGTACAGTGCTGCTTCAGGTGCTGTCCACTTTATTGGAAACTTTGCCCCTTGATGAGGATTATACTCGTCATCTTCAATCAATCTTGCAAGACCAAAATCTGCAACTTTACAGACATTTCCTTCACCAACTAAGATGTTTCTTGCAGCTAAATCTCGGTGAATGTAGTTCATTCTTTCCAAGTACGCCATTCCAGCAGCAACTTGTGCACCCATGTCAATCAAATCTTCCAATTTCAAATACTGACCATCTCCCTTCAAATACTCTAACAAGCTGCCATGTTTCATTAATTCTGTTACAATGTAGATTGGCTCCTCATTTGTGCAAACTGCATAAAGCTGAACATAAATAACAGAAATATACTTAGTATACTGTAAGACTCTGTAAGAGCATGTTTAAGGATAGTGAGGAGATAATGCCTACTGGGTAAAATGCTAAATGACAGTTACTTCACAGTAAATTACTCATGGCATTGTAAATAAAATGTTAAAAAAAAACCCAGTACAATGGGGAAATACAGTCCTGAAAAAAAGAAGTACTGTAAAATTACATTTCTATACCATCACAGATTCCTTTTCTCTATTAACATACCTGTATAAGATTTGCATGCCTTAATTTCTTCATTATTGCTGCTTCTGTTAAGAATGCTTGTGGTGACATTGTACCAGTCTTGAGTGTTTTCACAGCAACTGGGGTTGTTCCATTCCAAACTCCTGCCCACACTTCACCAAACTGTCCTGCTCCCAACCTTCTGTTCAATCTCAAGGATTCACGGGAAATCTCCCAAGCATCTTTGGTGTTATACGAAAGGCCAGAAGTGGTGGGCTTCTCTGCTTTGCATGCAAGAGTCAGCTTGCAACACAGACCATCTGCATCCTCACTGTAGTGCTCAACTAGCTCACCGAGAGTTGTGAAAGGTGCTCTTGTGGTAATATAGTAGCCTCCATTATCAAGCTTACGTATACGATAGTGTCTGACGCTCTCTCCATCTCGAATAGATAAGGAATAGTTACCAGGCATGGTTTCTGAGTCACGGATAAGAAATGAACCAGAAGGACTTCCTGGAGAAAGTAGCTTCTTCTCTGCATCAGCACGCTTGATCTTACCAAAGAACCAGCTACAGAAAAACAAGAATGTTGAAAAAAATAGAGGAAACATAACAACAACAAACATACACTCTCACTAAGAAAATAGAAGATTAAGTTTTATAAACTTTACAGCCCATTACATGTTAATGTGGCATGAAATGACAAGCATCCTATCCCACTTCATGAATGAGATGCAAGTTCAGTACAGATTATCCCCTTGCAAATTATCAAATTTCCTTGAGAGTGTGCTTATATCCAGTAGAACTACTGAGTGAAGAGAGGCACTGTGAGAGCAGAGTTTTCCCTAAGAACAAAGCACAGTGACCTAATTAAGGCTCAAAGTCCCAAGACCTTCCACAATCCAGAGTTCATCCAAAAGTCACTATACTTCTGCATCTCTGAGAGTCAAAACTCACCAAAGAATAAAACATATGTTTGTTAAGAATTCTTCATGACAACAGTCAGCATATAATTATTGAGTTGAAAAGGTTATGGCAAAGGTTATGGCAATATAATTAGTCAAAATAATTTGTATTTATGTTTGCACATATATACACTCAAATCTATCTTATGTTATGAAAGCTTCAGTTTTTGTTTCAATGTCTAGAAGTCACCTGCTAATCATGTGCCAAATGTTCTACTTCAGTGTCTTCATTTCCTTTTAAGCATCTAAAATTAACTCACCAACTGGAACACTACTTACACTGATCATTCATAGAGCCAAACTTAATAGTTCAATTCTTGGTGAGTAGATAATTTTTAAAACATGCACATGTAATGAAGAAGATGCAGATGAGAAAGCTGAATTAGGTCAGGTTTATCTGTTGCTAATTATTGCTATGGCTTTGAATTAAACTTACACTACCTCACAAACATTCAACTATACACATTGTAAGCCCCTCATTTGTTTTCACTTCCCCATGAGCTGAAAGTCTGATTAAGTCCATTGACTTTAAAAACAAACCAGTTTCATTATCATAACAAAACAAGCAAGAAAATAGGGAAAAACGAACTGGCGACAGTTTACATCCCGGAAGTGGGATTGTGTTGTAGAAACGCTAAAACAAGACCGAAAATTCCAAAAATTGATGATATACTCAGACAGACATCTGGAAAGCTGCCAAATTAAAAAATGTGCGTGCAGAAAACGAAACAATTTTCGCACACACGAGAATCCGCGCAGGAAGGAACCGTAAGAAATTCATTATTCATTGAAAGGGTTTACAACAACTAACCTCACAAAGCGACGATATATTACAAACAAACCACCTCTTTCAGAGAGATTTTCAAAACAATAAACAGACCATCACTTTCCCGAAATATCAACTAATTCGTCTACTGGAAGACTAGCTAATGCTGAGAACGCCATAAAGATTCACTAAACTCTACGTCCGGTGATCTGGCAAAGTGACAGATGATCTAGCGCTTTCTGTATTAAAAAGTAATAATTTGAGCTTAAAACTTCAGCTCTTTTACTTACTCTTGGGCATTCACGCTTAGCTCAGGCGCCACATAATTGCTCGGAATATAACCGTCCTTGTGAGTTGCTAGAGATTTGGCCAACCACCAGTCGCTATCCGTGTTGTCGACAACTTGAAGCCGTTCGCCCTTCTTGAAGCTCAAGTCTTCGTTGGTTCGTGCATCGTAGTCATACAGAGCAATAAACACCGTTATTCCTTTAGTTGGTTGCATCACTGAGTGGCTTGACATAATGGACGAAGGCGCATGGAAGCTCATATTGTCCGCAGGGGAAGCATTTCGTTGCTGTTTGTCAATGTGATCATTCGCTTGTCCATTCGTTGGTGCCATGTCTCGGCCAGACTCACCCTTCGCTTCATACTTTTTCCTCGAGTTTGACTTCCCGCAACAGCAACCCATGGTTGCTGAGAAAGTACAACACGCAAGCTGATTCTAGTCCGTTGCGGAAAATGGAATATTTAAGAATGATAGAGACAGAAGAAGGTTGGATTGATGAAATAACTTCCAAGGTATCTATTGATCGCGAGGGAGGAAACCGAAGATGATCGTACCGAAGAAATTTCTTAGTTGAGCGCAAGTCTGGGAGGGGAACTAGCTACCAGTGACTCTCGTGCAAATTAAAGTCCAAAGGACTGGGCAGAGATATGAATGGGAGTGCGCAATCCCGGAACTGTGTACAACACCTTTCTGAAGTTTGATCCTTCGCGAACGATCCGTACTCAGAGTCAAATACACAGCATTTTGGTGTAGATCTTGGCTCCTTCTCACCCATGGGGTGCTGCATGGGCAAGAAGTCCTCTGAGGACCAAAAAAGGGATATAAACGACGGGCAAAATGTGGACAAATCTGCGGCAAGTTTAAAGGAAATCGAAGTGAATTCCGGATCTGTACAACAACATAGTGATCGATACGTGCCGGAGCCGCCACCGAGCTCACCGCCTCCTGAACCCAGTCCAACTGCTGTGAAACCCCTCTACATTGCTCTCTATGATTACGATGCTCGAACAGAGGACGACTTGAGCTTTGCAAAGGGCGAGATTCTTGAGGTAGACCCCGACGATTTGAAGAACGATTGGTGGAGGGCTAAATCTCGTGATTCTGGCAAATCGGGTTTCATTCCAAGCAACTATGTAGCTGCTCATGAAACTTTGGAAGCCGAAGAGTAAGTGAAGTGTAATGGCAATTGTACCAGAATATATGATCAAGCATTAATTATAGATTGTGCGGGAAGCAATCAATGCAAAAATGAAATCTCGATTTTCTCTGGAATGTTACGTGAATTGTGTGGGCCAGTTTGGCCAAGAGGTCACATAAATTCTTCTAATTAATGGTTGAAGGAATTCATGTAGCAGCTTGAATCAGCACTTTCATTTTGCCGCGGCTTCGAATTCTTTGCTTTAGCACTGCTTTAAGGTTTAGATCTGCCCTTGCAAATTTCAACCCAAAATATGATTTAATGTTAAAATGTAATGTCAGAGTGTTTGGTCAACTAGTTAAATGAAGTTATTACTTGAACGAACACCCGGAAACTGCCGCAAAGTTGGTTGGCTAACCAATTTTTACATCGACACAGCCTTTCGTTTACAACTAATTCTATTTACCAAATTCAAGTTGGATTGTTTAGTACTGATGCACCACATAATTGGCAATCAAAAATATAAATTTAACTATGCGTGATTGAAACGTGCCATGTTATGTGAGATTACCTAATATTTTCAGCACTTAGTTAAGCAAATAGTCCGTGTATTATATATGTAGATCGATAGCAAAGCATGCTTTTATCAGATGTGGACTGAGTTTCTCATATTCAGTGTGGAAAAGAAATCCCAAGGAAGATGAAAGTAGCAATGATTTTAAATTCATAATTAACACATTGCCTCGGGCACCCTCGCTTCCTTGTGATGTAAATCATCTGAGGTCGTGAGAGATTTACATAAGAATCATAAAAGAGTAATTATCATTTTTCAGACCGCATAACAAAAAGACAGATCTATTTCTCATGTCCCCATGTCAAACTTTTTTCCAGACAGTGTTGTAGTGATTATCACATAATTGATTACATGTTATCTAATTCCTAGTCTTAACATTTTTTTTACTCACAACAATTATATACAGTGTATCTTGCAAAAGGAGAGGGATATGAACTCTCCTGAGGGATGGAACAATTCTCACTGACTCAAAAAGTTCTCAAATATTAGATGTAATTATTAGTCAAGTATCCTGTCTTCAAGAAGACATTTTAATTTTTCAAAAATTATTATTAACCCCTATTACTCCAAATTGATAAGCACCTAGTTCTCCTTACCATATTGATACATTATCTTTTAAACAAGTTGGGGTAATAGACATCCTTTCCAGCTAGAGAGTGATATAACAATGTAATTCTTAACTGGCTAATGACCACACAATCCTCTCAGCTAGTTTTGTACTGTAAAAGAAATATGTTGCAGTTTGAAGGGAGAAGAGCAAGTTTATCAGACCTGGGTTTATGGTAACATGAATGCAAATTTATACCTTATAAGAGTATAATTGTTTTATCTTCAATCAATTGCATTTTCCTTTCTTTACACAGTTGGTATTTTGGTGAAATAAAGCGACCAGAGGCAGACAAGTTATTAAAGACACCTGTCAATGAGCATGGAGCATTTTTGATCCGAGAAAGTGATAAAGGTGGTTATGCTTTGTCCGTCAAAGATGGTGATATGGTCAAGCATTACAAGATCCGCAAAACAGAATCTGGTAGTTTCTTTATTGCCCACAATAATCCATTCAGCACCCTGTCAGATCTGGTTCAGCATTATACCCAAAATGCCGATGGACTATGTGATGTCCTTAAAAAGCCATGTGTCAAGGTAAGATATCAACTCAAGTCAACATTTTGCAATTAGGTTTGATAAGCAACATTGTTGATTTTACTTTCAAAAAAACAACAACGAGTTTGTAGTAGTGAGTGCTAAGAAACTCTCTTTGTTATATAGTTTTGCCATCTTATTTTCCTGTAAAATGATACATCACCAGTAGCAGACAATCCTGCTAAGAAGTTATCTCTTTAAACTCCAACATCAGAATGAACATTCCTCATACTGTTTCCTGTACATCTCCTATGGTCTGGAGAAGGAGGACATGTTTACCAATCAAGAATCTTTTAAGCTGAGAATCACTGCCTTTATTCTTATGACCACAATATATGATTCAGCATTGGTACTATAAGATGAAATTACTTACAAGTTGATTTAGGGGTTAAATGTTAAATACATTCCTTAGAGTCCTGGGTCTTGATTCTCACAATAGATGGGATATTCATGTTTTTGTTTTGTCTCTAGTATGTATGTGTAGAACATGTTTATGAAAGAGATAACATGTCTTGAAAAGTGATACCTTTCGAGTGGCCTTTTGGGAAAAAGATCCTTTGGTTTAAATGTACAAAATGATATGTTTTATTTGTATATGCAAATTAATAATGATCAGCCAGGAGAAATAATTAACCCAGTTGGTTCTGACATTAGTTTACAGGTTATATAAGTATATTATTTTCAAGGCTTCTTGTACCAATCATGAAATATTACTGGCACTTTACTTATCATTTCTGATTATTAGTTACAATTTTATGTTTTATTAATTTGTTTATTTGATATTTATTTATTTACATATATTTTTAGGTCGAAAAACCACAGACTGTTGGTTTGTCACATGACACTGTAGACATGTGGGAAATATCGCGCGACACACTCAGACTTACCACACGTCTTGGATCTGGCAACTTTGGTGAGGTGTGGCAAGGGCTATGGAATGACACCACCCCTGTGGCAATCAAGACATTGAAGCCTGGCACAATGAATCCCAAGGCATTCCTTGAAGAAGCTGAACTCATGAAGAGACTGATCCATGACAAACTGGTTCAGCTTTATGCAGTGTGCTCTAAAGAGGAACCAATTTACATTGTGACTGAGCTGATGCCCAAAGGAAGTCTACTTGATTATCTGCGCAGTGAAGAGGGACGAAAGAAGAAGATGGAAGAGCTGATTGACATGGCTTCCCAAATTGCCGCTGGCATGGCCTATCTAGAGAAGCATAATTATGTCCATAGAGATTTGGCCGCCAGGAACATTCTGGTTGGTAACAATAATACTGTTAAGGTGGCAGATTTTGGTCTGTCACGGGCCATTGATGAAGATATCTATGAAGCCCATGAAGGAGCAAAATTCCCCATCAAATGGACTGCACCAGAGGCATGCCTTAAGAACCAGTTTTCCATCAAGTCAGATGTGTGGTCATTTGGTATTCTACTGACAGAGCTGGTAACTTATGGAAGAGTACCTTATGCAGGGATGAATAACAGACAGGTAGCACCATAAACATAGTTACATATAGTGTAGTAAAGAAGTTTTATTGGCTTTGTTAGAGCAGGTTCCAATTTAGATTGAATGTAGCATTGTGGAGTATTGTTTCTCCCCTTTTCAGAATGCCAGTACATCACTTGCAACCCCAGGCAAGTTACTAGTCCTTTTAATTCAGAGCCCAGTACACTGCCTATACAAAAAGTTACTTCCCCTTTAAACTGTTAATCATTTAGCTTAGCTATGTTAAAGCACAAAGTTCTCAATATATCTTTGTTGTTGTAGGTTGTTGAAGAAGTAGACCGTGGTTACAGAATGCCCAAACCAAATCTTTGCCCAGACAAGCTCTATGATATCATGATGGCCTGCTGGAGAAAGGAATCTGTAGAACGACCCACATTTGAAACATTACAGTGGCAGCTGGAAGATTTCTACCAGACAGATGGAAAGCAGTACAAGGAGTTGGCAAAATAAGGGTTTGCAATAGTAATGCTGTCCAGTCCCTCATACAAAATACTACACAAAATCTTGACTGTTGAGATTTGTTTCGAGAATCAATTTGAAATGTACTGGAAAGTGATCAGTTTCCATTTAATCATTAACTTTATTTTTATTTTTTTGCATTATTGTCAATTTGCTGTAAACAACCTAATAGTTTTATACATTACTTGGTCAGATTGGAAGTTTTACTTGCACCTAGAAAAACAAAGGATAACTAAGGGAATAAAAATATTCAGGAATATAATACCTTACAACAGTTGCCCTTTTTTTAACCAAACTAACCCTGAAGATATGTTTCCAACTAAAAGGTGGTAAAACTTTTTAAGTAACCAAGGATGGAATCTGAAGTTATGGTGCACTTAGATTTCTTGAGTGAGTTCTTGATGTGTGGAAAAACTTTAAGTAACCCTCTTTCTATTTTAGAAATTTTTAAATTAAAATAAGTTACCAGCAAGTTGATATCAATTAAGCAAAAAAACATTTTTTAGTTTAGCAGCTTTAGAGTATGAAGTCTTTGGCTGTCAAGAGATAAACTTTTTGTTACCAGTATATGTAGATTAAGGGAAACTACAGAAAGTATCTAGCATGACATAAAAAGCTTTCAATCAAATAGCTGATAAGAAATTTACTCAATTACTGGTATAGATTGCACTTACCATAATGAGAAGGTAACTTGGTGTATTATAGATACACCTATAATGGCAACAACCTATTCCGAATTATTGTGAGCAAGATAGCCAAACGGTTTGGAGCTTTGATATAGAGGGCAACAAAAATTACAAGGTTTTCATCTAAATATTACAAAATGGCTTAACCTTATAAGACTGGTTACTTTGTAAATTGCCATTGCAACTCTTAATTAGGCTTCAATTTGTTAACTTAGTGGAGAAATAATATTGATAATTGTAGTATTTCATGATCAGTGAGTTATCAGAATTATACCTGATTGTAGGTCTGGTCATATTCAAGTTTCAATTTAGTAATTGCATGTTTTATTTCATTGAAACATTGTCATGTCATAAGTAACTTGGGCAGTGATTACCATAACAAATTGAATTAATTAGGAAGGGCATTTACAGGGAAGTGCTTTTATGGTTGTTTGTTAGTCCAAAGTTTTCTTTCCTCTTCTTTTTGCTTTTTTTTTCTAAATTACACTTGAAAGACAAATGTTAAAAATTATAGAGTCTTCCTAAGGGTTAACATTGTTAGTTACACGAGCTAAATATATAAATTTGATATTAACCAAACTGGCCTTTAGAATCTCATAGTGGGTAGAGGTATATGTTAAAAGCTGACCCACTAAGATTACAAGAGGAGTAAATATGCTACTTTGTTCACAATGTTGGAGGAAATAAGCAACTTGACTGCTGTCTATGTATGTGCAAAGTCAGATGAAATTCAGTTTACTTCTCATACTACAAATTTCAAAAATTACATTTTGCCTTGCATTTAATTTCCTCACATTATCCAGCATAATACACATATTAAAATTAGTTAAGTTGATGCAAAGATGGGAAAAATTGTCTCTACATTTTTGCATTTATGTGTTTTGGTCATGTTTTGATACTGAAGCCAACCAAGTCTCACATTCTTAAGTAAGAGAAAGAGTAAATTACAGTTGGCACCCATAGACGTTTGTACCTGCTCTCTTCAACTATCACCAGTCAAACCTGACCTGGCACAATTTTTTTTAGTATCAGAGATGTATGGGAAGGGATCTTATTTGTAATTATATCGTTTTTTATTTGCTCAGTTTTTTATTTGTTACAACTCAATTCTTAGATGTTTGCAAAGAAATTTATAAGATGAGATAAATATAATTAAATAATTTAGGAGAATAAAACAAAAGTTTTGTTGTGTTTTTCTATGTTTCGTTTTTGCCATATTTGCAGTTGAGCACAATTTATTTACTAATGCAGCAGCTGAAGCTTTTTATAATAAGAGATAATATAAGCACAACATATATCAAACTTGAATAGTGGGTTACCAATAATTGGAAATATTTCCATTTAGTTTATTTTTGTATCAGGCTGTAAATAAAAGAACCTTTAATTCTTGTTGTTTTTTTTCTCATGAATTTTACAAGGAGAGTATTCTTTACAAACTACATTTACTGTTGATAGATTAAAAACAATTCTGCATGTGAAACAGCTGAATAATAACAAAAGAGGGACTGTCCTTTGGAGTTCATTCTACATTGCATTTCTTACGCTTCAATTGAAATTGTAGATTTGTCTTTAACACCCATCTACAACAGTTTTTTTTTTCAAAATACCCAACAAAGACTATCACACCACTTTGTTAACATTCTAGCCAGCCCCAGAAATATGCTGTCAAATCAAGTCAATATCACCTACTTGATGTCTTTCTATTTTCTCATTTAAATCTACTATGATAATTTATGTATCCATCGACCCCAGGAGTCACCTACAGGGTTCACCTAACTCACAGCCCTATATGATATCCACAAAACTCCTCCCTTGACTTGTTTCTTTTTACAGGTGTTGGAAGGTTTTTTTATTTTTTTAGTACTGTGCAAAACTACCTTGGGTGGTAAAATATTCTTCTTGAGATTGAAGTGATACATTATCAACATACAATTATCAGAAGAGCAAAGTAGATCCAAAGTCTAAACCTGAAAGTGTTAGACAACTAAATGAGCTCCCATTGTGCCAGAGATCATGGTGGAAAATCATCTAACCATTTGCAGAGAATGTCTTTCAATACACGTTATCACACATTTGAACTTAAAATCTATGAATGCTTCTGTAAAACATCAACATTCATGTCAGCTTACATCTTTTAAGTCACTGTCAGTAGCACAGAGGAAGGTAATGCAGACATTTAGGCTCAAGTCAGGTTCAACCAGCATCTTTATACATGGTTCAAACAGGCATTGCCTGCTCAAAAGATATGTACTGTCCTCTTGGAGATCTCTTTCTTGGTTTGTAAATATAAACTGCCATCCCAACAAACAACACAAAAAGTCCAACACTGATCCCTACTGTCAAATCTGAAATTTAATAATTTATTCAAAAATGAGCCATGTGACATAGGTACAGATTGAGTCTCCCAAGACTGGATGCCAATTGTTGCTTGGAGGGTTTCCCACTTCCCATACCACTAAGTGACTGGGGGACTGACTGCAGACTAGTCCATTTCAGGTAACCACCTCCCATTTTTTTTCAGTCAGTTTCACTTGTACAGTCTGTTGGTAAACTTTGATACTCATAGGTGGAGAGAGGCACTTTGAAACATTATTGCCCAAGAACAACACATAACTTTACCAAGAAGTCAAACCCATTACTCATCATCATGAGCCACAATTCTGATTAACAGATGAATTTCACGTTGCTGTGTGTCTGTTCAGTAATAATAGATCACAGATCACATCAAAATGTAGTAAGAGCATAAAAGAGGCACACAAGGTGCAGCCAACTGATGTTCTTACTGCTTTTTGACAGTTTCTGCGATCCATTACCGTACAGACCCACAGCAACATTGAATTTATTAGATTTGTGTGAGAAAAAAGCAAAAAGTTGTTAAAGGTGATGTCAGCTGAACATCTGTCCACTAATAAGAACCAATCAAAAGGCATGTTATGTCAAGGTTAGGCTTCTGGCTGATAATTTAGTCTATTCTCATCACCTGCTTGGTGCATAATGTATTCATATTGTGGGGAGAGGTTACATGTTAGTCACTCATAGGATTTTATGGGCAAGGGGACACACTCACCCCTCCCCTCCAATAGCACGAGATTTATCAAGCATCCTCGGACCCCTTTGTACCCAATTGGCCCCGTGTTTCTTCCCTGCCATTGATAATATTATAATTTTATTCTGGGAATAAAGGCTCCCTCTCAAAAATCAGTAACGAGTTTTTTTCCTAAGCCAAAATACTAGAATGCATTCTTGAAAGCCCCGGAAATAACAGTTTTTTCTTACCAAGTTTTGGTTTTCCAACGACGGTCTTGCTATCTCTTTGCAAACCTGAGTCAGCAAGAGTTTCTACATAACTATGAAAGGTCAACAGAAACAAGAGAAGATTAATTCGGAGATTGTGCCCGTTTCTCCTCAACATCCTCAATTATTGTGATGGCTGTGTGTTTCATGTAGTAGGTCATGTATGAGACACAATGTAATGCACATGTCACAACTGGGGCTGAGACATACGGGATATCGACTTCTCAAGCTTCATCCGGGAATGCAAGTTAGAGAAACATGGCGGCTTCACTCCGTATATTGGCGAAAGGGAAGTTGTCTACGATGCAGCCGGCTTTGAAGGCAATTATAACTAGAACATGCCCTGTACTTCTCTCTAGGGGACTCTCTGTAACAAGTGAGTGTGGTAGAAATCTCTTCATAGTATGCCTGGTATGAAATAGAAGACAATATTTATCAAGGATTCACCTTCCTGCCTATTTGCCGGGTCTCATATTCGCCAGAGAATCACGATAAATATATCTGTTAACTTCAATGTTAATTGAACTTTCGTGTGTCAAATTTAAGTATTCAAGCTTTGTGGTCCTCATGAAATACGTGAGAAAGATAGGTTGGAAAAGTTTGATGAGATGTGGAAAGTGTCATGTATCATTGCTACTAATTATCACTATTTATCGGTTAAATACATGGATTTCATCGCACACTTTTTCCAGCTTATTACATTATTTTAACTACACAAGGTTAGTCATTTTACTAAGTGTTTCATTTCAGAGTACTGATACAATGATCAACTGAAAAAAACATGAACCATTAACCTCCTCCTCTCCCCACCCCCACCCCCCCTGCCTTACAGGGATACCCAGCTGGAAAGAAAAATCATCATTGGAGAATACAACTTAAGTATTTACAACTCTGCAATTATCTTTTATGTAATGGCCATTGCCATAAAAGGAATTCCAGAGCTTCTAGATTTCAAATTACTTTGAGGAGTGTGGCATCAAACCCACTTTACATATTGCTTATTTATCATTGGTTGACCTAGTGAACTATTTATTCTCACCAAACCATCCATGTTGGAAGGTACCAACAGCTCCTTCTGGTAAATGAGTTTATTCTGCAATAGCTAATTCTTCAAATAACCGTATTCATCAAAAGTCATACTCTATTGATATTTGATGGTAGGCAAATTTAGTTATCTGCTGTATGCATTATTTACCAGGCACAAGGCTGAGTACTGGTGGAATACCAACTGATGCAGAACAAGCCACTGGTTTAGAGAAGAAAGAATATGATGCTTTGGTTGCTGGCATTGATGTAAGTTTAATTAAAGTTTATAGTTGTATGTCACAGGATCACAAGCTTAACAACACAACTCGCAATATTGAAGATGTATAAATGGTATCAATGACTTATAGCAAGCCACTATTTGGCTATCTTAAGGTAGACAACAATCCTTAGGAGCAAATTGTGGATGGCTAAATTAAAGAGTGGGTACATTTTGTGCACTTATATATACCCATGACCACACTGTTGTGGGTGGAATGAGAAAAGCTGCTGCTCAGCCCTCCTGATCATTAAGAAGATCACACAACAACTCGGCACATTAAAGGAAACAGGATATTTCTGATTTTATGTGGATTTTTATCTCGCATGATCCTAGGACAGTGTAATGACTTGCCACTTTTTGGCAAAACACAGGTTTTCTTTTGACTTTTAGGTGCAAGTACTATGAATTTTTTCCTCCCCATGATAACCAACTGGAGAACTCTAGACGCATGCACTCACAATAGTACTTGTGGAATAATGTGCAACTTATTTTACAGTAATAATGCATGTGTGGTCATCATTTAAACCAACAGGATCCATTTAACATGAAGCCTTATGAAGGACCACCTGGAACAAAAGACAAACCCCTTGAAGTGTTGTCCATGTTTGATGAGCGAATTATTGGATGCATTTGTGAGTGCCTAACTTTTTAATGAGAGCTTCATGGAGTTAAGGCTGTCATCAAATTCATTCTTGTAGGTGACATACCTTAGGATAAAACTCCAGGTTATTGATGATATTTTTTAATGCTTGTCAGCCTTATTCACAAGACCATTCTCTGAGAAAAATTTATCAAAAATGAGCCAGAATCTAAAATGTCACAATTATGATTACATATAAAGATATAGCTATTGACCTATGAGGGTAAATGTACTATTCATTGTTTAAAAACATATCTGAAGTAGTGGAATGCCAGGTGTGTAGGGAAACAAAGTTTTAGATTCTGGAAAAAGCCCATATTCAGAATGAATGTAAGCCTTCCCACAAAACTGGGTCAAGTGGAGCTAGTTTTGGCTTATGGGTAAGCTTGTTGTAAAAGATGAATGGAAAGAGCAGTAAAATTCCCTTCAGGAATATTTCATAGTTGTCAAACCAATGAGATTTGGAAATTTAAAATTGAGTTTGGACTTTGTGTAGCACACTTGGTTTACTTGAAACATCCACACATAATGAACACAGACCAGTGATTCATGCAAAGTTGTAAGATTGTGAAGGTCACCAATACATTACTTTTTGAATTTTAAAGTTAATTTTTTTTTTACTCTTATCTGAAGGTGAACCAGAGGCAACTTCAATTGTGTGGAACAAACTGCACTTAAATGAAGTAACTCGATGTGAATGTGGTCACTTTTTTGTCCTTAGACGAGGCAATCCTATTAAAATTGAGATGGACCATGGTCCTGGTCACCATTAGCACTTCTGTCAAGGTTTTCTTTTCAGTCAAATTGTAACTAAATTCTAACAAGGAGAGAATGCATTTTGTGTTGTATGCTGATGTTTTATAGTTTTTCTCTTGGTATTGTAGTATTCAACCACTTCAGCCTCTTCCAGGACTTCAGCTCTTTAATTGTATGGAAATTTGTTGTCTTGATTTTTTTGATTGCAATTAAAATTACCAATTTTAAAACAAATCACTGCCTTGCCTGTATTGGTTTATGTCATCTATAGAAGCTTTTTGTGTGGGAGAGGGGGCATTTATCCAATTAAAATTAAACAACTTTTGAAAGATAAACCTTCCTGGTTTTTTTTTCAACAAATTATTGCATGATATGTGTTGTAACAGCCAACTACTAGTTGTATATTCCAAGTTTTTTTACCTTAGTAGGGAAAAAAAAACTTGGAAACCATTGCATAAAGACAAAAGTTGGGACGTGAAGTTGTTCCACAAGAAATTGAAAATAGTACATTTGCTTAATTTTATGGGGTGAACCGGATATATCATGGGAATGGTTGTGTAACCAAGAAGACTCACTAGAAAACAAGTTTTTCAAGGATGGGTTTCTCGTCTTTCTCAAGATCACTTTGACAAGTTTTGGAATTTTCCAAAACCGGTTTGACCTTTGGTCGGAATAGCGGTTACGGACTGGCTAGTGGGTGAGAACGTGACTTATGACTGGTTTTAAGTAACTGAAATAATAAAAAACGCGTTGAAGGCCTGCAGAAGATTAAATTGCAGAGCGCAAAGTGTATCCGATTCCAGATTCCAGAGAGTTGTTCTTTGTTACGGCATTGTCTCTCTCACACACACACACGCTTTATTTATTTCCAATTAAATTTTTACAGAAAAGGGCATGCCCGCAATTAGCAAAGGCTAATCTAAGCGGGCCATGCCTTAATAGTCGAATTACAAAAATATATAAAAAACAGAAATTAACTAATAAAGTAGAAGGGAAAGAGACAGTATTGAATAACAAGAAAAACCGTGACATTGACCTAATTTAAAATACTAAAGGTACAGCTACTGTTTATAACAATAGTCAGGACAGGTCAGGAGAAGTAATACCAGGATTTTACATTTTGTATAATCTCAGATAAATCTGTATAAGAGTCTTGTGAACCTAATATGTTGAATAAAATTTGTTTGAGTTTTCTTTTAAACGCATTTTTTAGAAAGATTTCTTAATTCTTGAGGTATTGCATTCCACACTTTTACTCCTATTCGAGAGAAGGAATTCGCTTGAACGGACAGCCTAGAAGGTTTGGTATAGAAGTTATTAGAGGCAGAAGAACGTGTATTGTAATAATGAACTTTAGATACATCTTGAAATAGATCTTGAATATTGGACGGAGCTGTTCTGTTTCGAACGTCAAACATCAAATTAGCTATAGATTCATAACAAACAAATTTTAGCGGTAAGATACGAGTCTCTCGCACGGTAATGCGTTACATAGGGTGACAAAGGAACCCGTTCGCTTTGAATTTAAACAAATGGTTATCTATAAACATTGCAAGTATCCGAGTATGCTTTTTACCGGTTTCTGTTCACAGTCGAGTTAGTTTAAAATAAAGTGAAGTATGGCGCAGATATCTTATTTATCCATGTTTGCGTTTACTTTTCAAATGTAAGTATTGCGTTTTCTTACTACATCTGTCGCTTATGATTCTGAAATTTTAATGGGACTTATAAGTCTTAAATCTAATTTTGGATAGTATATATTGTTCACTAATTAACAAACGACACTAAAACCGTTACATCACGATTTGCAAATCTTGAGAAATTGTGCCAATGGGTCATTTAGAGTTTGTGCTGGTCTTCTGTATCCTTGTCAGTCCTGGTTGCTTTTTGGTTAATATTATAGTTTTGTTTTGAGAACCAAGTAAATAGTTTGTGGTTTCCCTCAATTCTAAGATGATTTTCGTCACAATTAGCCACTTGTAATGTCGTGATACACCTAGCGCCCCAAGAGACTACATCAGTTTAGGATGACAACATGATTAATCTTCGGCCTATATTGAGTAAAGCGTTAGTGTGAAATTTTGGTTACCACTTGACCACTCAAATTTAAAGACTAAAAGTGCTGCTTTGAACAGAAACACGGCTAAGCACCCAAGAACAGGTGTTCCAAACAATTATCACATCCGTTGGCATATTTTTAATATCAGTTTTTAGTTTGCAGTCTTACTCAAAGGCGTTGCCCTTTTTTATACTCTTCATCTTTTTCCACTTGTTCGGCCTCACAAGCTGAACTTTCGTATTAGAGTCACATAAGAACTAATTTTTCTTCAGATGCCTGTTCAGCGACGCAAAAACAGGGGCTGGGAATAACGCGAAATGTAAGTAGTACCGGTAAACATGAATTTGCTCACTCGTTTTGGGAAGAGGCTGAGCTCTACAAAAATAATCTGCAGTTCCTCCAGAAGGAAGGCACTTGCAGTTGGCACAACAAATCGGGCAACGCGTTTTAGACCGAGTAAAAACTGGGGACAGTTTCATTAACCTAGCCGTTGACTAGCGGCTATAAATCGATTTTGCTTTTGATGTTAATCTGAGAAATTTGTCTTTTAGCATGGTGATTTGTTTTTTATATAACCAATTTGTTTTTGATGTGAACAATTTGTTTTTGATGTGAGCAATTTGATTTCGACGTTGTGGCAAAATGCCCGGTAGTCAGAAAATTTCGCACAATTTCAGCCGAAAGGTTCTTTCAAACTTCCCAAGAATGACAGATGCTTGTTTAGAAATGTCAAGCAACTCCGAAAATCAATTTGTTTTTTTAGTGGACAAATTATGCGAGCTTCTGCATTCCATAATACCGCTCGGTTGTGGACCCTTGGAAATTCTACGTTTCTGATCAGACTGCCAGGCGCGGTTCGAATAGACTCAATGCCCGGCAGTTAGAAATTTTTCTCCAAAATGCCACTGAAAACTTCATAAAAACCTATTATGTACACTAGATTTTTGTTTAGAAATGTCAAGCGATTCTAGGAATTGCGTTAGTTTTCAAGTAGTCAAACTTGAACACACCATACTAAAAAACATAGACGTCATAAAACTTGTGAGCAACTTGTTTTTGATGTGAGCAATCTGTATTCGATGTGAGCAATTTGCTTTTGACGTGAGTAATTCAGTTGTTACAATGTGACACCTGTGGGACACCGTAAAACTGAAAATAGAAGGTAAAAAAAAACTTTTAAAAAAGGGAAAAACCGCAAAGCGCAATGATTACCAAACTCGAAAACACAGCAGAATTTTAGTCCAAACAGCGAAACATCGATATGAGAAATGACTCATACCGGAAAACCGCCTGTCCCCCTTGATGAGCTTGAGATATTACATCCCCCACAGAGTGAGGAAACGACACTAGATCTAGAGTGTCAGTGAGCTTCAATTGCAAATCAGAAAAATTTCAAATCGACAATTCTCAACGCATTTTGCGAACACAGGCAGGCATCATATGAACAGTGTCGAAATTTTTTTTGCGTACAACAATTTTTCTAGATTTCCCGGCAAATTAAACCGATGTGAACCGATTGAAGTTTGGCAATGTGTCAGTAATTTGGGACATCATTTGACTCCCATTTCCTTCCAACCACGGGGTGTAACACTGAGGGTATTAGCCAAGGGTATTTCTGCCTTCAAAATATAACCATACAGCTCACAGCGTTTACTGATAGCTCAATAGTGAGATATTTGATATTGATGTAGATGATTTTGTGGTCGTAAGTCCAGAGCGAGGGAAATAGCAGGTAAACTGTTGTCATCGATAATACTTGATTTATAAAGTACACACAGACAGACAGCTGGTTAGTTGACATAACCTTGTCAATCAAGGTGTCAATTTTCACAGCTACAGACAACTTACAAAGCGATAGTCATCGCTGTGTCGCGTAACATTCAACAATGGAACCGAAGCGTAAAGAAGGCATTACAATCTGTAATAACGCAGTGCTTTTTGTTTTTGGTTTGCTGTCTTTGATAATCGGTATTGTGATGGTGTTTGTAGGCGCGGCGAAGATTCACTCTGCAGATGAAGACTGCTCAACTCAAGCGCCTTCCACTGCGGAGAGCATCGCATCGCCTCAGTCGCCTTCTTGCGACTTCTCATCCGAAGCTGTTGGCGTCGGTTTGCCTCGTTTGTTAGAAGAAGTAAAAACTGCGTATTTTTTACACACTCCGAATAAAGCCGCTTGGAATCCGGACATGACAAAAGAATCCGAAAAGGAGCAATATATGAAAACAAGGTAAGGAAATTAACCATACTTTTATGAGTAATTTGCGCCCTTCAGGGAGCATTTAAGGTCATTTCTACGTCTTCTATCATCCAAATACGTCAAATTGTATGTAAAGATCGACGCTAGGGCTTGTGCGGGTCGAAAATCTTACCCTTAATCGTAAGTTATTGGAGTCCTTGTCAATGTCCTTTAATCTGAACCATACTCGCTCCTATCAGGTTCATTCTTTCTTGCCATGCCGAAGTTTGTCAGCTTTATATTAGTAAACTACTATGTCAAAGTTAGTGCTATTTTTGCTGTGACGCTAAAATCGAATAGGAACCTGGTTTCTTTCAAGTGAACGAGTGCTGAATATTTGTTAATTATCCAGTGAAAGTCACAAAATCTACTTTATACTAGAGGATAAATGATAAGAAGTCTAATAGTTGGAAAGTGGTCTACATATACCCTGCAATAATAATGTCTTACTGGTCTGCCCCCGTATTATCCTCTCCAGATATCACGTAAGCTGACGTAAGCTACTGCATTAATGTCATTTAAATGTTTACCAACGCTAACGTAAATTGAAAGTCAAACATTTCGTTTGAGTGCCAAATTTTAAGCTCCCCCAAACTAAAAGAAAAACAACCACAGACACGACTCGACACATTTCTCAAGTGCTTAATGTTATCAGTAATGACGATGACACGGTACCGCAGCTGGAGAATGTTTTTGGCAGAACATTCATTGCTTGCTCCTTTGATTCCCTTGGAAAGGTAATTTTAAGACTCTTTCCGGAAAATAAAGAAAACGGATGAAGTACAGCAGGGTAATGTTATTTCAACCGCTAGGTTTTTTGATCGTATTTATCGAAAGGAAGCTTGGATTGGCTCTGCAAAAACTGATAAAGGGATGAAAGTTAGCGGTGAGAAACTGTCGGCAACGTTAACGAGATAAATAGAAGGATAGAAATTCTTGGGTAAAGTAGGTAATGTCCTACGAACTGTCTTGTTGTTATCATTTGCAGATCGTCTGCAGGGCAGGTAAAGGAAAAGGTTTCGCATAAGTCACGAAAAAGAGCAAAGAAAAATACGAGTTCCAGGCCCTTGAGGTTTTAGGCCTAAGACCTTCTTCATGTTTTTACAAGTGATTAAATAGGTGTTTAACTGAGCAATTTGGGAAATATTGCCTAAATTTAGTAACTTCGTTTTAATCGCCTCCCTCTCTCACTGCTCTTATCATCGTCCCTTATTGGTTTTTTGGTGAACCTTGTGGGATTTTTTTCCTTCTTTCAGGAGAGTACGATGCGTCAGCTGGCATGCATGTTTGTAAATTCTATGAGATATTTTTGAGATAACGCTGCGATTTATTGACAACTAACTAATCGCATCGATTTTTTGCCGAGAAAATAATCTTTGGTATTTACCCTTACAAATCCGTCTGCACAGAATCGGTCCATTTATGCGCTAAGTAAATGGCAGCTTAAGAGGATTCGCGTCGATTAGGCTTCGTAATCTTAGTTGGACTTACAAACGCGAAGTATAGTCTGGCAAAAGTCCCGAGGTCGATGAAGTTGATACAAACTGATTGGATTATGGTGATAATGCTGGCACATTAACAGCCTCCTGGTTAGTAATTGTTTCCCTGTTAGGTGTACAAGGAGCGCGGGTCAGTCGGGTATTGATTGGACGAGATTAATTTGGTTTTGTTTCGGGCAAGTGGACTTAGACGAAGGCACAGAGTTGTGGTCACTCACGAGGGTGGACGCATACTGAGGCATGATTGACATGTTTGTTAGTGTTTTAGCATAACTTTGTGACCAAAATTAAATGATTGATATCTTATTTCCCAGACTGAAGTTCTCAGACACACCAGAACAACATCTCGAAAAAAAAAAACTCTTTTACTTCATAGGTACCGCCCCTACGACCCATCCCCTGAGGTTCTTAAGCGAAAGACTGACGCTGCTCTTGCTCTGTTGGAAAAGCTGAAAGAAACCAAGGTGGACGAAAGGAAGCTGAAAGCTCGGGAGGCTAAAGCTTTGTGGCAGGTATGAATAGAAATCTTAATTGGACTATCCTCTTTTGTTCTAAGGTCAGTATGAAGGAGCTTTATCTCATACAATATGGGTAAAGACTTTCTCAATTTCTGAGCACAAGTTCTGCGAGGCCCGCTAATGATCATTGAAGATACTAAAAGGGAGACGGTATAGTGATAAGAGACAAATGGCTGTTAACCAGTTTGATAGGTTGAGATATTTTCGAAAGCTGTTTCTCTCAGCTTTTCAATGCTAGGAATTTTCAAGTTCTTCTCTTAAATTTCTGACAGAATCCTTTCCACCCCTAAAGGGCTTGCTATGGGTTATCTGACTCGCTTTTGTTGGTGCTGTCATGTCAACAGGCAAAGCATTTCCTTCAGCACGTGTTTGGTTCGCCGTTTGATGTCAACTATTATGCAGGTGATTGGCTAATGGGACCAAACTACTTCTGCTGGCAGCCAATCTGCAGCGTGCCGTATGACTTGAATTCTTTTGCTTGGTACGTCAAGCCACGTTCCTACAACGATGTACAACTTGTGATTGACATCATCAAGATGCACAAGAATACGTTTGATCAGTACAGGTGGGTGAAGGAAATGGTTTTGTTGCCTATGTCACAGACGCTCGGCGAGGAGGCGAGTGTCACGCTCGTGAGAGAGCAGACACGCGGGATTACCGCGCCGTCGCGCGCGTTTTTCTTGCTCGCGCTCGACAGTCTAAACTACTCGCACTAGCTGAGATCTGGTGCAGCCTCATGGGTTTTTGACACTTTTCTTTCTGGTAGTTAAAAAAAGTCTTCAAGATCGAAGAGCCTGCTTGTAAACCTCACTGTTGCACTGAAAAATTTCGTGGAGCTCAAAATCAATTTCATAAGTTTTGAAGACAGTTTCACTGATTAATTTATGTTCCCTTCAGTTTTGCGTGAAACAACTCTCGTCATGCAATACGTTTCTTCAAGAGAAATAAGACCCATGCTGAAATTTCAATCCTCGATAAGATGCCAACTGCCTTTTGAACAGCGTAGCTATAATCTTATATTCGCTTCCCCCAAGTCATGTGACCTGTATCCAACTTGACATCAACAGAAATAACATGGCCATGGGAGTCAAAGCAGGTATGGTTCGATCGGACATTGATTGTAGGGCGGGTCTTGACGCTATCAAAGAAACCTATCCCAAAATAGCACAGAACAATGCCTCTACAGGCGTATTACACGAGTGGTACGTCGCACAGTATCTCAAGTCTCAGTACCTGGAGAGGTTGAACTCGAAAGTGGATGATCTATGGAAAACCAAACACTCTGGTCAGAGTGTGCAAGAAGCTATTAAAGAGGCCTTGGTGAAGGGTTTTGGCGAACCAGTTCTCAGCCTAATTCATTATCTTGAATATGAACATAGCCGTCATTGCCTGCCGATAAAAGTGGCCAGCGGACTTGCTAATTTGCCCGTCGATTACGTGTACACCGATGGTGTTCCGGATGTTAAGAATAAAACAAAGAAAGTTCTTCCAGGTACTGCACGGGAGTTGAATGGCACTAAAACGTACAGTATGATTTTATCATACTTCACAACGACTAACATTTCAGCGGAAACCATATACCAGGAGGGAAGAAAACAACTCAAAACCCTCATGCCCCAGGTTGGTCTCTTTTCTTTTGGTGCAAGAAGTAAAATATTTGTGTGTTTAAGAACCCTTTTTTTCTCACATGAAGACGCAGACTGGTTTTTCACGAGACTTGAGGTTCTGTACAATCAAGACATGTGTCCATTGATAATCGATGGTGGACATTGGATCATCGACCGTTGATCATTGATTAGTGACAATTGATAGTTGATAGTTTATATTTGATAATAGACAGTTGATAATTGATAATGATTTAAATTAAAAACTGTGATGATTGATATAATTGTTATTTATCAGATATTTCTTCCATATTGTTTTAGGTCTATAAAATTGCAAAACTTCTGACTGGCAGGAATAAGAGATCCAAAGCAATCGAAGAATTTAAAATTCTCCTAAATGGTCCCGAACAGTGGCACAATTCTGCACCATTTCCGGCGAATGAAAGTGACGAGCGTGCGCACCAAGCTTGTCGCGACCCAGACTCTGCAAAGAAGAATTGTCCTCGGCGCTGGGCGGCCGTTGTGAAATGGGGCGAATACATTAATGAAGTAATGAGTATGATAGCTCCCAAGATTCGATCGATGTTTTACTTTAGTGGTCCCAAGATCACGGCGCCTAACTGCCCAATACAGATGTGGCCGCATTACAACCCCTCTAACGGCGCCATGTATTTCCGGTCAAGCGACAGTAACTGTACAACGCCATGTCATTTCGGCCTACCGTTTTTCCTGAAGGAGTATGGTCCAAAGTTCCAGGAATGGTCTGTGATTGGCCACGAGTCAAGGCCTGGGCACCACACTCAAATGCAAGGTAAATAACTTACTTGTTTCCCGGTTGATCGGTTATTGCTCGGATGATCACTTCGTCTTTCAAGTTACCGCTTTCCTGATATCATCAGGGTGCAAGCGCTCTTCTTGAACCCTCAAAGCTCCCCTCTGCCAAGCGGTGGAGAGTAATATCTTGGTAGCAAAAAGGCACATGCCATCTTGTCGCAACGCGAACTAATCGTTGGCAATCATGGTCTTGACCGACAGGCTTAGTTGAGCATTTCCGTGACAGATGTGGTGGTGTTCCACGATGGCTGGACAAGCAAACGTCCTACGTAGCTTTTCAGGAGGGGTGGGCTCTGTATGCTGAGAGTCCTCTTCTATCCCACGATGCTAGACTGTATGAAGAGAATTTCTTACAGCTTTATGGCATGATCAAATGGCAGGTATGTTTGAAAATTCGACGGGGCTTGGGGGCTGAATAGTGGGCACAGTAGGGCCCTCGGCTGTCACAGCCCTTCTGTCTTTCAATCGTCTTAAGATCAACTCTTTCTTCTACTTATTTAATCAAGAGTAGAGTTCTCAGTATTTTGATATGACATCCTGCTGGTTAGGTTTGGCGAGCTGTGAGACTTGTGGTGGACACCGGACTTCATTACAGAGGCATGACGAGGTGAAAAATATTCCAGTTTATGTCTCCATTAACTTTTAGGCAATTGAACTTAGTACTCTCCAGTCTAAACTAGCTGGGTAATTGATATTCTCCCCTTTTCTTGTTGCTTGTGGGAAAACAGTAACAGTTTGTTTTTATGATAGGTCCGAAGCACTTAAATACTTTGAAAACTCTACTTGGGATACCACAGACTTTGCTGTAAAGGAAGTAACTAGATACCAAAGTGTTCCCGGTCAGGCAACAGCCTACATGTTAGGGAAACTGGCGCTAATGGACATGCGCACAAAGGTTGAGAAGGAACTGAAGAAGTCGTTTAATTTGCGGGATTTTCATTATCATCTCCTTAGTCAAGGGTCTGCTCCACTTGGATACCTCCAAAATCATATTGATAAATACATAGACTGCGAGAAAAAGAAAATAGAACCTAAATATTGCGCTGACATTCTGAGATACTCTGATGAACTTAGCGATGAAGAACAAGTGTCAAAGAAGGAAATAGAATTTGAAGAAAAACAGCCGCCAAAACCTCCCCATAGAAGCTATGTGTAACAGGAACGCAAGCATCACCTCACAGACAGTTTGACACATGACTTGCGTTACTGCGCATGGCCTGAGCCGACTGCCCATCAAAGTTTCGTTCAATGCTTCAGACATGCGCATAGAAAGCTCGACCGTAGCTTGGTTTTCAGACGGTGCGAGATCGGTTATCCAGCTCCCTCGACGAGACAGTAGGCAAGGAACTTAGCGACCAACCCCTGATCGTCTGAGAGTCACGTTCATGCTCAATTCAAGGGCCTGTGATAATAACTTGATATTTTTGCGAATATAATCGGCACAGGAGACAAATTTAACATTCCATGTACCTACACGCCATGTGTACGTATATAACATCAATGAATTGAAATAAAATCTATTGTTTTCATAGTGCAGTGATATATTGCAGGTCGTTGGTTCGTCTCCTCCTACCCTCCCATGAGAGATTACGCCTTTGTTCTTCACCCCTCTTACCATGAAGTGTTTTCATTAAGTCTATTGATCTCCATTCTTTTGAGAAGGAAAAAAAATTAAGAACTTCGAGACTCAAAACGAGGCCGCTAGCCTCAACTTGTTTTGAAAGGATAGTCACGTGACGATCACAGCTCTGAAATCTTGACAACTTCAAACAAATAATATTGACCTCTATGATACGATCATTCCCAGGACCTTAGCATTCGTTTGTCGCATCCTGTGAGCGAAAGGTAAGGGAGTGCAACGTTTGTTTCAAGCTGAAAGGAAATTGCTGCCATTATTGAAGGATCCAATTTTGTTGGTGTCGTAATATCTTTCTATCAGTTTTCTAGAAACACGAGGTACTTTGGTACAATATCCCCTATAAAAGCGGTGAGTTACATACGATTATCTCTTGGTTACTCTGTAGTCAAAGATAATTCCATCTTGAAGTTAATGCGTCACTTTACTCTTGTAACATTTCACTCAAAAAATATCGCAATAAATCTTGTTTGTTTTTTTACAAAATAAGGATTTAAAACTGACATTGGAATTAACGAAATTTGAGTTTTCACTAAATGCAGGAATAAATCTTCTCCTCGTCAGACAGAGCGTTGTAAAAACGAAATCATTGTTTTATTGGCGATTTTGAGATGAAAAGACTTGATCGAGATTTTCGCATGACAGTCTTTCGCCAGTTTTTGTTTGCTCTCAAAATCCACCAGTTGACACCTGTCGCTAATCTCTCTGTTCTGGCGGGAAAAGCCTTTAAGTATTACTGGTGCCACTAAAGAGTTATTAACACAGAAAATCTCCTAACGTGCTTTTGTAGCGACTAAGTGATTTAAGATTCTGTCTTAACCGAAGGAATAGAAAGCAACTACTGCTAAAATCTTCAGCAAGTCATCGTCTTCTTTTTAGAGGACAATGGAACTGGTCATCCTTCTGGCGCTGGTCAGCGGTATATCATGCAGAGTGCATGCCACAAATCTGAAAGAGACACAACCAGTCAAGAAGTTTAACATAGTGTCCAGTTCCAAAGACGAGGTACTTTCATAAATATTCCATTGCATGATACACGATTGCAAGAGGGACCTCATATACCGTCTGTTTCCTGATAAAAAAAATCTATGTCGCCACAAAACCACAGCCTAAGCTATAAGAAAGTCGTTTGAATTTGAACTTTGCAAGAGAAAATTGAGGATAAACAATCAAAATATGTCTTCTGCCTGTTATCAAAACCCAAACACATGACGTGTTTTGTCATTTTTCCTACCATCCTTTCGCTTCCAGCCCCATTTCGAAACCATTTTGGCGATCTTCAAATTTCGAGTTACGTGTCTTGTCTGTTTTTATTCAAGGACAACATGATGGTGTTTTTGAAGGGCAACGATGGATCAGATGGACAAAATGGCACACAGGTTTGTCATCTTGATCCCAAATTAAACGGCAACAATAAAGCAATAAAAAAGTTGATACTCAAGGTCCTTAAGCCGTGTATGGGATACTGATGAGTCTTGCAGGAGATGATTTGTCGCTGCAGAACGATATCTGTATCTATCTCCGCTGAATGAGTATTTCTAAGCACCATGGCGCATTTTTTATGTCCATCGTGCGTTCAGAGAGAGAAAGACGCTATGCCCCGTTTTTAATATGATGGCAGCAAAAATGACAAGAGCAATTTTGCGTTACTTTCAGGGTGATGTTGGCTCACAAGGACCCCGTGGGCCGCCGGGATTGCCGGTAAGTTTGATAATCATGTGTTACAAGTTTGCGCTGATGGCCTCGGTATTTTGTTTAAAAGCATGATTTCTCATTGATATTTCAACGCCTCTCAGCTTCAACAAAGCAACTCAATAACCAAGAATAAATTTTAATGTTGTAGGGTCTGAAGGGAACACCAGGAGTATGCACCAAAGAACAGGTGACTAACAATGATCTCTCGTTAATCAGACCAGCATCAGAAGCATCAACTCTCTTAACGGAATAATCAAGCAAAGTAAAGTAATTGGTTTATCTTAAGAAAACATACAGTTTCAAGAATATGTTCAAGAATGTATGAGATAAGAGATAAGTGAAGGGTGTTGAGATCCATGCTGGGAAGGCATGTTCGATTGAGTGTCACAAAACCAAACCAAAGGAGTAACATCAACTGCTCAGAGCAAAGGGAAAACATCACCCGAAGCTAATGAGTGATCAAAGTAAATCCAGAAACTGTCTGAAGTGCGGGAAACGCAAGTGAAAAAGTCAAGATGGTTCTTGGCTTTGCATCAAATTTATCGAGAAAATGGTACCAGTTTTCTAGACCATTCCAGCGTAAGGTGATAGAAACAAAACCAATGCAGTCAGGGACAACCCTCGACACAGATTCAACGAAAATTGCTCTATAGTATTCTAAACAGGTCTGCACGACTTAGCAAAGCCATACACATTTCATTTTCCTTCTCTTAGTGCGAGTCAACTGAACTTAAACTACTGATCCAACGCTTGGCTGCGCTCGAAAAGTACGTCAAAGACAATCAGAATAAAACTGGAGGACAGCCTTGTGTTAAACCCACACCACAAGTCATACCTAGCGGGGCTAAGATTTGCTCAACACCAACTACAATTACGCCAACTACTCCACCAGTGAAGCCACCTCCCAACCAGTCACCGAAAGTTTCTGCTCCCCCCGCTGGAGCACCTGTGAATGGTCCTGTCCAATTTCCAGCTACTGCTGCACCAGCTCCTTCGCCTGCCCAGAACCAGGCACCTCCTCCTATTGTCATTCCAGCCGCTAGTCCTGTACAGAACCTATGGGCCAGTCCGGCTGCGGCACCCGCACCAGTACCAGTCGGTGTAACTGTTCAAAGCACAGTAGAGGCACCTTCAACCTTTCCTGGTGGTCAAGTTCAGATAGAGGTAGGAATGCAGCATGTGACCAGCCATACCCCTTGCTTCCTATAAAGCTAAAGAAGAATAAGTGAAACGTCAAAGAAAAACAGCAACAAACAAAAGAAAGGTGATAGATCATGGCTGAGGTTGAAGTGGATTTCAAATAAGCAGATTGATGACGATTGTGATTTGTGATTTGTGATTTGTGATTTGTGATCCGTGATTCGTAATTTGGGCTAGGTTTTTCTTGATCCAAGCTGTGGCACAGAGGTCAGTGATACACAATTCCGTAATTCGTGAAAGCAAATTAAATGTAACGTAGCACTTAAACCTGAGTGTGATGCTTCCTGCAACCTTCGCTATTTCTCAGGCAACTTCTTCCTTTGTATTTTTCCTCCAGGGAATTGTTACCCCGCAGGTATCCGTACAAGGTTTTAATCAACCAGGAAATTCATTTAAGAAAAGCAGGTTTGTTGGAAATTAAAGGGATAGCCCCTGTAAGTTGATTTAATGAATTTTTGGGATAGTTCAGTGCAAAATGTCTGAGAAACTGTGTAGAGGAGCGCACGAAAAATGTTGTCTTTATATTGTTCTTGGTAACTTTGTCTCATCCACGCTGTATTATCTTGCTCTTTAATAAACACTCAGTCATGAGCACGTTACCGAATACAAAGTTTAAGAATGTCGGTTCTCTCCGCAATCAGTGCCAGTGTACGCATGCGCAGGCTATGCCATACTGTCCCTCTCTAAACATCCACACAGTGGCCATTGTCTGTTCTCATGTTGTGCTTTAAAGGACTCTTCTGGGGTTCCACAATTAAATTAGTCAAAGTTATGTTTTTACTACTTCTTCTTTTTCAACAGTATTGCAACGAAAGGTGCTCCTAAAGCTAAGCGTGGCCATAAGAAGTCCTCTTACCAACATGTTGTCCATCACAGAAAGCGGGCTCATAAAGCTTGAGTTACCATCTGGTGTTAACCGATAATATCGTACCCAGTTTCTACTCCACCATCTTGGCTGTCTAATATCGAGAGAAAATAAATATATTGTCTTGCTAATGCCCCACTCACACTAGCAAACCATATTTAGTTAAACCGGGTTTCACTGAATGCAGACCAGAAGCAGAGAACTGGAAAACTGACTTGCCTTTTCAATGAGCTTAATTTGAAGTGAAGCAGCTTCTATGAAGAAAACAAATTTCAACCGTGTGTAACAAGGAAGCTTTAAAACATGTTTAAGCTTTGGTGTGAATGGGGTATAAGCTTGGTACTAATTACCCACTGAACTCAGTTTGCCATCGAATTGTCCTCCATGACAATAAGAAAAAAATACTTTTAAGTTATAGAAATTTACTTCTTTGTTAAGGGTAATTGAAGGCTATGAGAGCAAAACAATTAGTGGAAAGAGTAAATTCGAGTCACATTTCCCCTAATGCTCAATTCAGTAAGTAACATCACGGAATGCAATTCAGCAATAATCTGAAATGTTTTGTAACGCTGCTTGAAATCAAATAGAATTAACCTTTTGTCTTGAAAAAGGTACAATATGCAGAAATGTGTAGAGATGAAAATAAAGGGGATTGTAATGGATTCCATTAACTAAAATCAAATTTTCACATGCTCCGTTAATAGAAAATTAACCATGTACCGTGTAGTCGCCTTGTCTCAAAACGTTGCATGCATGCAATATCGCGTGCAGGTCATGTCATCTGTGTGCACCTTTTCTCTGAAAAAATGTTTTATTTTCCTCGACGGTAATTTTGTTGAGACTTCCTCTTAAAAGGGAGAAACTAAGAAACAGGTAACAATAGCCATAAAGCGAG